CTCAAAGAGGGTCTTTCCTGTATAGTCGTACCGAGCTCGCACATGGTGGAGAAGAGATGGATGATTCTTGACAAGTAAATATATCAGCCCCCTCAGGACAGACGTAGCGCTGTTGATCCATATATCGGTAGCCTGACAGAAAAAGAACGAGATGCTCGCATTATCCCCATACAATCTCGTCAACTCTTCGATGACACCACATAGGAGCATCGTCTTGCCTTTACCAGGATCACCCCTGATCCAGAGAAGGCGATTTCTCTCGCTGTCTTGCCATTGTTTGAAATCTTTGTTCTCTAGAATCCAGCGATATGAGTCTTTGAGTAGTCCGCCCTTGGTATTCTCGATACGTTCCTTGTCATCGACAGGGTTGGTGGCATGCAAATCACGAAGGCATTCTTAATTCAGCGTTTTGGATTGTACTGAAGCCGATCACTATTACTAGCCGTAGATTACAGTTATATCTATTTTCACTTACCAATAGTGATATTCCCGACATTCCCGTGTATTACTCCTACCTAGAATCCAGAGTTTTTTTCGCCGTAGGAAATAGTAGTTACCATGGCCGTTGCGTAAGAGGTTTGAGGAGGCTCGAATCCACGCTTGGATCTCCCAATCCCCAGTCTACCCCGCTATCAGGTGATCTGATTCGAGACAGAAGAAATCGACCGCCTTGATCATATTCCTTTATAATCGCCTTGATAGATGATATGTCTTTCCATTTACTTTATTCAGGAGGTCAATACGTGAACGTAGCGCCATCTTCCTCGAAGTTGCCGCAGAAGACCAAAGCTCTAATCAAAGTGACGAACCTTGTGGTTAACCGCAGCGTAACGATTGTATCTGTGTTTCAGGAAAGTTACAATCCCGCATTCGTGTAATTAATCCTTACAAAACACTTCAAGACCCCACAACAGACTAAACCGAAGGGGGACTAGCGTGTTTCAGAATAAAGTTCAGAAAAGAAAAGAAAAGAAAACAAAGGTGAAGCTGATTTCGAGCGGCCCTGTAAACAACAGTTTTTTCCTGTAACGAAAGATTACACCACACTAACCAGAAGTTTATTACGAGTGCTTACACTAATAGGATCTATACTGGAATAAAAAAAGTGGTCTTCTGCAATGAATTTGACATGCTTGTTAGCACACTCCCCTGAGGGCGTCCTGAAAGGATATGGATAGGAGTGAAGAATTTGGAATAGACCTGAAATAGGTATGAAGATATTAAGTCTAATTGCTAGTTCTCCTATAATGGTCTAGCTCCTCCCTTTTCGGAGGATGTCTCTGTGCGTATGGCGAGATGATGTACCGACAGACGGTTCCATGGGATTGTAGGCACCCCCCGCGCATTTGCTATACCTCATTGTATGGTTGGCGTAGCAGTGCTTGTGATTAAATGAAGGTTTAGTAGGGTGCCAGCGTCGGTTACCCAACAAACGATGAATGCCGAACGGCTATTTCTTATCAGTCAATGGAGCATCAGACGCAGTAGGGATTGCATCATTCTGAAGAGCGTTCACCGTGAAATCAAATCATATACATCTAATTGCAATTATGAAAATACCTGATTTTGAAGCCAGATGAAAAACAAAGACAGGAAGAGCGATGCGCAAAACATTATGAAATGGGAAAATTTAGATATATATCAAATGATCAGAACTTTGAAACTTTCCATCTTGAGACGAAGAATGCAAAACCCTGCCAATCGCTGGTATATCAAAACAATCATGAAGTTATACAGTTTTGAATAATATTACTTCCCACCCTCTCCTCTTGCCCTTCATTGTCACAGATAGATACTGGAAAGCCAATGATTATCTGTGAAATGTCGCAGCCTTAGGGCAGTACTGCACTGTAGCACTGCCAACACTACTCACCCTGATAAAACTCCACATCTAGGTCTGCCCATACGTCACATTCCTGGGTAGCAAAATTATCATTGGGATGGTAATACGTTAGAGTGCAGTTTTTTCCACCAGCAGGACAATCTACAGTGGAACATCTTTGGGTGCTCGGCTTGATGCGCGTTCCAAAGGAGGTAGCCGGTGCATTGATTAGGGACAAATCGTAAAACAGCGTGTTTAAGGGATCACACTCAGAGGCCCTATCATAAAAACAAGCACTATACTCCACTTGAACGACTTTATCACTGTATTTCTCAGTGGAGATCTTGAGGGAATTCCCGGTGCCATGCGTAGTAATGCGAAACTGCTCACTGATGATATGTTGCGGCTGTAGCTCAATATCAAGATACGTATTCACTGAAACGCCTTTGATATATAGTGGAAAGTTACAACTGTTGGTGAGGGAAATGTTACCGCAGTGGCTTTGGGCCCCACACAGCCTTGATAGGATCAGTATACAGGATGCGAAAGGGTATCTGTGGTGCATCATTGTCTCAGAAAAGGGATTTAAAAGTAAATTCTACTCATAATGGGAGGCAAGTGAATTTAGACAAGTATGTTTTGGCACAACTCATGGTCTCTAGCTCATTAAATATGTTTTCGGCATTAATCATTTTCCTAATAATGAAGTCATAAATCAAGGTTTCATCTCCTCAATTAGATGCTTCGAGTCTTATGCTGTGGCTTCCTGGATTATCAATCCATGGATTCGAATTTAATCAGCAGATACAAGATAGTTGGCCATTTTTGAGAGATTTGCGGGATTTTGCGAGAGGCGAAAAAGTGGAATGATTTAAGGGACTGTATGTCCATGGTAAAGCCTTTATTATTGTAGACCCTTGCTCGTATGGAAATTCAATTCATCGATCCTATCGCGTCTTCAATTGATTAGTAGAGTGTGTCTAGCTGACGAATAAATTTGACTCATCAGTTTCCCCAAATGGTTGGGATGCTGTATGATAATGATGTCTACCACTTGATTCACGGACGACCTCACATTATATCGCGTTCTGTTCCATAATGAAGCTTTAAAGCTTTCAATTTTCTCCGATATATTATAGCCTTGCTCTACGCATGTATGAAGTCTTGAATTTATTTTATAGCTATCCTTACTCTGTCCAGGACTTTTCTTTTGCTAGATATATCCACCTATTGCCTGGACTTTCGTCAGAGATTCATCTATTCGAGAGCCAGCTCAAAGAGCATGGTAGCATCAGATAGCTTGCTATGTATCGTTCAGTTGTCAATTACCATCCTCGTGAGGTCAAAGAGCAAAAGCTGGGGCTTGACTTGGATTTAAATCCATTTTCCACAGCTGATCAAACAAATCTCGAAGCTGTGAATTTGGTTACTTCTTCGAATTACTCGTCTCCAAGGGATTTAGTGAGCTTTGAAAGAGTCCCTAAGCCGTCGAGTCTTGACTTCCAGAATACAAGCGCAAATGCCAAAGTACGATACAAGGGGGTTAGGGATAGTGAATGTCCAAAATGTACCAAGCCGCCATCACACCAATTGATATTAAATTGTTGGAGGCACCTCACAGCCGAGTTCAGTGCTGGAACATTTGCTGGTTTCGCTGAGGTTATATTAAGAACACTGCTTGACGAGAAGCTGAATTCTTCAGGGCCACTGGCGAATTACCCCCTGGGAAGCGATGGTCGGCGTCAAAGAAAGAATAAGCTTCTTCAGCTTCGTGGCGCAGGTATTCCCATTAACTATAAAAAGCATGAAGGAGAGGCAATTCAATCAATGCAGAGAGCTATAAACAAAGCTCTAGAACAACGATATCCGGCATATCGGAAAGCACGTCGTTTTATCCCTCTAGCATTGAACTGCATGCCCGAGTCTCTCAAAAAGAAAATGGCGAGAAAATCAAGAACGAAGAATCTTAGACATGCATTGGGGTATTGGAGCATTGGAAGGTCTAGCTTAGCAATCGTTGTATCTCACTCGATCTACTTCAGTAGCCAGATCTAGGAGAGTGACTTGTAGATGCATGATCCTCATGCCAGATCATTATTAATCTCTACACCTTTATGTCTGTATGAATCGTTCGGAGACTTAGTCCATTTACTTATAACTGGGTGAAAACTAGTCGGAGCATGCAATCTTACCATGTGTCACACTATTGCTGATAAGGCAATTCTTTTGAGCCTATAGCAAAATAATATCAAAAAGCCAATTAGAGCTATAAGCATGGGTTTTGTGTTGCATCGGCCTTTAAATCACAATCTACAGATTTTTGTAGACTAGTAACCGGAGCTTGGAAGTGATGACTATGCGACCGATTCTTAAAACATATAACCTCAGAGACACGCGCTTCGTTGCCAGAATTCCGTGTGTGCGTCTAATGAGATCCCTTTGTGGGCCTTTGAGAACGCGAATGATAAAGTGTATGCAACTGAGCGAAATCTGATCTTAATGCTACTATAGCAATAGACGCATAGTACGAATCAGTGAGTTTCCAAGGAGTAGAACATGGACTATAGGAAGCATCTGTGGGGGTTTGAAGCTTACTCGCTAGCTAGGAACGTGCGACGTGGAAGTTCAGCATGGGGCATTTGTGCCTTTTCTGGCAACTAGTACATCCAGAGATCTATGAAGTACAGCAGAATTCAAAAACAGTTTATTGCTCAAGGCCACGCACATTGTTTCTCGGCTGGTACCCGAAACGGGTACAGTCTATATTTAAATAAATGGTAATTTAATATCCATTCAGAGGCTAGTATTGAATACCACTAGGCCCGACTGGATTAGTTTATGTTCCGGGTACGAGCCGGGAAATAACGAGTATGTGCTTTGGGATGTTTTCGAAATCTGCTGTAGTGCTCTCTTAACTATTGAATCTCCGATACTAAGGAAATCGAAGAAGCTTCTTTCCAAATACTGACTATCTACACATACTTCCAAAACCGCGAAGTACTCCGAATGACTTTGAAAGAGCGTAAGCTACATACATACAATTTGAAGCATTGTTATACAAGCAATGTACATGAATTACCTCCCATGGTTGGCTGCTTAACGTCGCAACTTTTACTTTGTTCACCCCGACAAGGATTCAAAACAAGATATTCATTTGAAAAAAAGAGAAAATCCGTGATTAGTTACCGTCCGTGAGTATATCTATCAGCTCGCTAAGCTCTTCCTTTGTGAAATCACAGTGTTTCTCCAAATACTGATATGCTCCCCCATATCTCGAGTGTATTTCCGAAATTGTTCGCTGGACTGTTTCCGCACTATTGAGATTGTTATCATTTGACCTCACTTTTATTTTTAATGGAGAGCGAACGCACTGTGTCGTGATAATTTGTAAGGCCCTTTGACTGCATTTGGGATCGTCGTTGGTTCTTTGCATAAGAAAACGTTCGATAATCTCCAAGGAACCCATGAGACCCGTTGCACTGAGACAATATTCCTTTTCGATCATGCCATAGGGCACTCCCATCAGTAGGAAAAGGATAATAAATATCAGTCCCGTTCTGTCCTTGCCAAGCGAGCAATGAATGAGCGTTGCAGCATCTTGATTGGCTTTGAGGATCAAGATGATATCTCGAATGGTTGTGCTTCCTTTTTCTAGTAGGTCAAGATATGCTTTCGAAACAGCCTGTGAGCTGCATTTAGTACAATTGCTTGAAAGTATTGGGCAGGGAACGTACCTCAGCGCCTCGTTCCTGGAATGTGTCATACTTCAGTAGCAACTTCTCCAAGGAGAAGTACCCCTCTTCTATCGGTCGATGCAAAACTTGAATTCCTTCCCGTTGTAATTTGTTCAAAGGTAGGATATATGGAATGGTTTTCTCATCGTGGCAGGTCAGGTCAATGATGCATCTGACTCCCCTTTCTTTAATTTGTGCCAAGCCTTTCTCTGTCATTGCCCCGGGGTGAGCAGATCGGTACAGCAGGCCCTTGCGCGTTTCCTGATGGCCTTTGACCGTAGTTGGATAGCCGCCAAATCCGCGGAAATTAGGTATTCCCGCCGCATTCATGAGGTTCAATGCCTTTTCCATAACAAATTTTGCTAGTTGATGTAAGCCACGAGACCTACAAATATAGGGATGATCGGCAAACCTTTGCTCCCAAGGCGAATCGCTATCCAGTTTTCCTTTATGAGTATATCGCTGTAGATGTATTATATATAGAAAATTAGAGAATATTCCCACGTGGGAGTAAAATTTTCCATAATGACTGATTAAGAAGACCTTAATAAGCACCATTTACCTCAGGATCATTGAAAGTCATATAAGTTTTGATAATTTTGGTAATTTTGATGGTTTTGATGATTTTGATGATTTTGATGATTTTGATGATTTTGATGATTTTGATGATTTTGATGATTTTGATGATTTTGATGATTTTGATGCTTTTGATGATTTTGATGATTTTGATGATTTTGATGATTTTGATCGGTTTCGGTACAATAAGCAAATCTACTCTTTACCCCCCGGTATCTTTCGCGCTGATGCCTGTGATGCAGTGTAGTTTTCATGTAAATGACAAATTTATGATCCAGATAATGAAAGGGTCATGACCCTATGTTATCGAAAGGCCTACTTCAAATGCAGAAGCATGTCCATTATGGCATTAGAACAGTATCGGAAACACGATTGTACTGAAGCTATTCGCTGCTGAGTTAGAGTATGCAAAACTCTTCCGCTTCCCGTAGCGATCTGTGAGCTTACAGGGAGAGGTAAATAGACGATTATTGCTCTACGTTTCATCGGGGGGATTAGCAACGCGGTAAAACAAATGTTGTAATTTGATGAAAGATCAATTGTCATTATTGCAGAAATAACGCATGATGCTGATCCATAGATTGTGGAAACAAAGATAATGAAAAATTGACTTGATTCTTCACAATGATACATATTTCAATGGCTTGGCAGGCTTGATATGTGGCTTCAAAACTATAACTCCACGAGGCACAAAACGGACAAAAATGGCACAGCAGAAGTCGCAATATCGTGAATTGGCTGAGCTTTGTGTACTGTATAAAAGAAATGAAAAGAGATTCTCCAACTGAACAGCACTGAGCCCCACAGAAAAATCAACTAGACAACTATCTCAGTAAATCTCTGAGACTCCATGTCATGTTTGTATTTGACATATTCTTGTACTACGAGTCGATTGTACGCAACCTGCGTCTCGAGGGTAGCATTGTGGGATTCTGTCATTAAAGCCTGCATTTCTTTAATAAATTCCTTCTTGCTAAATGTTCTTGGCAAGGCATTTTGCTCAGGTGTGTTAGCTTGAGCAACGGGTTCGTGACTGGACGAATATTGACCTGTTACTTCAGCTGTGTCTTCCGTACTTGCTTGGCGCTGCGTTTCAACGGTCTCTGTCTCTGGAGTATTTTCCAGTGGGGTTAGGCTTGCCGACTGTCTTCCCTTCCTCGGAGTGCCTTCCCACCCTGGATCAATACTTGTTCCGGCGCAATCTGCAAAAGCTTTAACTTGCCGAAGTGCCATCTCATATATTCTCCGATCTGCCTTTGCTTTTTCTTTAGCTCCACCACGTAGTAGTCTGCTGTAATCTGTTCGGCCAATCCAAACCGAAATCCTATTTTCATCTGTCTCGTCTCCAAGCCAAACAAGAACTGTAGTAAATGGATATATATATTTCCTGCCTTTTTCCTTGTTTGCGGGATTGAGTTCTTCCACGGATTTGAGTATACTCAGCATAGTTTCACCACCTTTTCTAGGCTCCCATGCTACTGGCTCCAACTTTGCCCTTGTATATGAGTACGTCTTTCTCTTTCTTCATAGCATCACAGTGCGGTGCTTCACTCAAAAATGGCACATGATCGGCCCTGCGAGAAGCGGGTTGTTGGCTCCAAATATACATAGGACTATTTCGCCATCCGTAAGAATTCATTGATAGGCTACCTTGCCGGGTTTGTACCAGGACGGTGCCATTTTCGAGTGAAATCCCATCGGTTTCATTATTTATCTGAGCATCCATTGCCACAGAATTATAATCATCATAAGTCCTCGGGATATGCTGCGGCTGTAGTGTACGTTCGTTTCTGCTGTCTGTTTGACTTTGTGAATTCTCTTTGCTGAGCTCACTGGTTTGAGCAGCTACAGTGCTTTCAACTGAATCTAAGACTGATGGAGTGTTGTTGCCTTCTCGCGATTCAAGGGTGCTGATTTCGCTGTTGTTGTTATTGTTTGTAGATTGGTGAGTTTCATCACGTTCTCCAGCGTCATTTCTTTCCCCAGTGATTGCAACGTCCTGATTTTCTTCTGCAACAGCGGTCACACTTTCAACAGGTACAGCTCCTTCCGGAACCTCATCGCTTTTGGAGGGGCTTTCTATTGCAGAAGCTGACTGGGCGTAGAAATCGTCGCTTTCGATTTCCATCCCCTCCGGTTGGTCAATTTGACGGATTTCATCATCAGCGCCCTGGATATTGGCTTCATGCTGCTTCAGTCTTTCTTCTATCCCGGATCGAGACGTAATGAGCTCGGTCATTCGGGCCTTTAAATCAGAGAGTCTCTGATCGTCGACTTCTGTCTCCATGGAAGCCTGAATCACGCTTATTTCTTTGTTTATCTTGTTCATCTCCTTCATTGTACTACTTTGAGCCTTGGACTCGTCATCTTTGCGCTTTCTTATGCCGGCTTTCATGCTTCTTGTCTCTTGCCTGCTCCTTGTATTTTTTGACTTGCGAGATGAAGGCATAATGGAATTGTGGATATTCTGGGAAAAGAAACGTAGAATAATTAAACTTTCTTCGAGGCAGAATTTGTCGACCTTTTATCCACTGCGATAACGTGGAATATTGCAAGTGGCAAAACTTTTAATTGCACATCAACTTTGATCATCACATATAATGTTTAACAACAAAAAATGACTGTTGCTATTCGGGTAACTAGGGCTGTATCTTCATATCTCCCCAGACGCATCACGAGCCTTTGATATCCCCCCATACAAAAGACATAAACATCGCAGATGATGGGCGTGTCACTGAATAATTGCAGCTCAGTCATCTCTACGCGCAGACGGGTATGTCATGATTTGAATGGATCTAATTTCCATTCCGCTACTTGTATTTCAGCACCTCCCATGGTTCTCTGCATCATTTGCTGGTTTAAGGTTTTTAAATCGACAGAAGTTAGTGGGAATTCATTTGAAAATTGACCGACAACTTTATAAAGGGAATGGTTCCTGTGTACTTTACCTTCATTTCTGCCAAGTTGTATAATATGAGATCGCATCATTTTTTAGAGATCAAAGGGTCATGTAATTAGAGGAGTTTAGAATTCAAAGTCTGCGGATTAATATTCACAGATAGGATGCACATGAACATGATGATTATCTGAAACTGTGCCGTTCAAAATAACCAAAGGAGGAGAAGGATAGTGCATATCAATATTGAGGTTCAATGCCCCATATTCCTTAATCACTCCATGGAATGCCAGGACGGTCAACTTAAATTACCCAAAATTTGTCTGCCTGGGTACTGTAAACCATGACGACAAATATATGAAACGCCTACTATGATTGAACTCTTCATCAATACAAAGACACCTAATATGAATAGTACAGCCTTTATTAACTGACTAGGCGCTGAATAGTGGATTAAATATCTAAGCAGCTATATATATTGCGAATTCCTGAAGAGTACGAAATAGTTCCTGATATTCTTTTTTATCTTAGAATCTCAAAAAGGATCACTACTCTCACTCCTCATGCTGTTCCCTTCTTACTGGAACGATCAACAAGAGAATGGAATTCACAATATTTTACGCCATCACAGCAGCTAGTTTATTGGCTTTGCTTTTCTTTATTCGTGTAGCGCCATTGTTTCAACAACCTTTGAGGTTTTTGTCTTTTTTCATAACAAAGTACTTCAAGTACCCATACCTTTGGGGTCGTCACAAGACTGTTCCGCCTTGCAGTCGAGCAGATGCTCTTTTGTTTCTTGTATATGCGACTACAAATTTGTTCTTCATTTGCTATAGAGCCTCCTCATTGATTACAGCTAGAGACCGCACTGGAACGATCGCTGTGGTAAATGTCGGCTTTCTCTTCTTAACACATCATCTATCTTTCCTTGCAAGTTTTCTTGGCATTTCTATAGCGGCATGCAAGCGCGGCCATTGGGCCGTAGGCTGGATGACTGGTGTTCTCATTATGCTGCATGTCATATTGGCTATCCTTGGTGGTAAAGAGTGGAACTTTCGTGAAGGCAATGACCTATTTGCGTTGATTGTCAGTATTTCTTTCGGTCTACAGGATGACGACGCTGATTTTCATATAGGGGGGTGTAACGGCCGCGAGTATTCTCGTCCAATCGCTTCTTTTTCTTCGCTGTCACCTTTATGAAACACTTCTTCGACTGCACCAAGGTTTGGCGGCAACTTGCATATATGGTATTTGGCGCCACTTGTCAGCTAAGGGCTTGCTTCCCCGATTGTATATTGTGGTTCCACTTGGAATAATGATATTTTTTTCTCTTGATTGAGATAATTTTGTGTCTATTTAAGAATGGCCTTTTCTCTGCACGTCTCTACTCCCATGCATCCATAAGATGCGATGTACTACAACAATCGTCGGTACCGAATAGGCAAGAGGGAACACCACTAAAAGTCAGGATCGCACTGGCGAAGCCACTGAGGGTCGAAGCTGGTCAATATGTGAGTCTGTGGCTTCCTACAGCAAGTATGACATCTTGGACTCAGACACACCCCTTTATGGTGACGTCTTGGTCTCCAGATAAGCAAGACGTTCTTGAGCTATTCATCCAGTCCCGGCGAGGCATTACGGAAACTATGCGTGCTCGTGCAGCCTGGGAGGGTTTTGCCTCACTGACTGCATTTGTCAGTGGACCATATGGCATCAGCCACGCCATTGATCGGTTTGAATGTGTGGTAGTGGTCGCGACCGATTTTGGTATAGCCGGGGTGATATCCTACATGAAAGCCATTCTTTATGGATATAACACATCTACGTCACATGTTCGCCGAGTGCATTTCGTTTGGCAAGTTCAAACGTTAGGTGAGTCGAACGCCGCTGTCATTGCCAATGAACCAATACAATACTTACCTTCTTAGACATTGCAGTGGCAGCCCAGCCACTTCTTAATGGTTTGTTAAGTGATGACGTGTTGGACGATGGTTACGTATGTCATCTTTTATGATTGTTTTGACTATTCCGCTGACTACATGAATAAGATCCTTGAGATGTCTTTCTATGTCGTATCGAATCAGATGATAGAACATGGAAAGCCGTTCGGACAGCACCAAAGAGCAAGAGTCTTTAATGGCAGCCCACCATATGAGAAAATAATTTCAGAGGAGGTATCCGGCCAACATATAAAAAGGCTGGCAATTACGCATAATGAACGCGGTGAAATCCTAGTGATGAGTAAGTCTCTTGCCCCAAACGCTGAGCAGAAACTTACTCTTTAGCATCCGCATCCCCTGAAATACGAGATTGCTTGAGAGCAGTAGTTTGCGAGAATATTGACCAGAGAGTAAAATTATTTGAAACGGAGTATCAACCGTCCTAGAGGACTTACATAGTTTTAGAGGAAGACGATGAAGCGAGTAGACTGTATGTCCAATCGTCAATTTTGCGGCTTTCAGCTTTCAGATTACTTCAGATTCCTGGTCATTATACTTTGTAAAACGGTACTTCACGGAACACTGTCTGGAGACCAGGCCGATCATATACCATACTAAAGTCAGCTTAGCGTTCTCTTGGAATTAGGGTTAACAAAAGAATGAAAGAGTGTAAGTGATGACACCAGTCTCCGGATACACTGCATCAATTCCTAGTCAGAGTACAATTTGTTCCCCCTTTATGAAAGTTATGACTAGGCTTCACAAGCAGTATCTTAATAATGTAGAGAAGCTAAACCCGTGCTACAGATTTGAAACGACCCCATGTATAAATTTTCCTTTCATTAAGGCTATAAACAATTAATCTTGCTTGGTTGAAAATGATGAAAGAACGATACAAAGCGGACATCACGTTTTTCTCCGTAGGCTATGGAATTAGATAACAATTTATCACGATGGATTGGCGGTCCCGCTTACTACAATTGAGATAATTAAGGCAAAATCAAGCATTTATGGGTCTAATTTGAAGGGTCAAAGAGCCGCTATGTTTCATAGGAATAAAATATTTTTGCTGACAATAAGACTGTCCGAGCAAGCAGAACTAGCTCGCCCAATGAATGGCGATAGACTTTCATAAACGAATCCTAGATATTTCAGTCTAACTTCCACTCGGAATCCATATACTACTAGAGCCACTTACCGTTTTCAGAGATTCGATGGAATTTGTTGCCGAAATAGCAGATAAGAACCCGAACGCATGCGATTCAACTGGCCAGCGTTTCAAGTCATCGACTCCTATGATTCCATCATCTTTCACGTATTTTTGCATAAGCTCCATGGTGATAGAGCCTAACGTTTTTACGTGTTGGCTTTGTCTCTGACTCGAAGAGCTTTTTACACAAGATTCCAAGCTAGCTACACGGAGTCAGCGTCATCATCATATTGGTCCCCATTCTTACCCACCGATCTTTATGACCCCATCGAGACCCCACAGGATATTCTGGCATGATAGTGATTGATGCTCGAATCCAAGCTGGCTCAAGTAGCATAGCCCATTCAAAATCTATCATCGTCAACAGATCCCGAAAAATGAAAAGGTAGCTTCACACATACCTGCCAAATCATTAAAGCTAATTCAGTCTCCGTCGGATACAAAAATCGGCACCCAACCAGATGCCCCAGTGTGAGGGGAAGATCATCAACAAGAGCATACATTGAATCACCCTCTTCATAAAATGACTGCGCTGATAGAATGTTGGTATGGTCAAATTTAGTATAATATTCAAGCATCCTTGCGCTGTTTTTTTTAGTGTATTCCCGGATAGCTATCACCTGGGATGGACCATTGCGACGAGAAGCTATGGAAACATCACCTGCTAGTTTACATCGCATTGTGCGACGATAGGTATACCAAGGAGACTCCTTTCTTACGACCAGCTCGCGAGAGGTCTTCTTTTGGCCACTTAATTGTACCAATGCTAGCTCCTTTGGAGCTCCGCTAATCTTTTTCTTGGAATTACCTTTAATATCAGAGGGAATTTGCTTTTCTGGGGTGGGAATTTCGAATGCGGTCATCCCTTCAGGCTGATATTGCCATTCTCTTATGACCGGTTGCTGTGAGGGGACCATAATTTTTTGAATTTCTTTGTAAGGCTCAAAGTCGAGCTTGGTGCAGTGCTTGTCTTGATTTAAACGCATCCTGAAGCTGAAAAGATGTCAATTAACTCCCAATGCATTCAAAAACAGGAATAGAAATTAAGAGCGAATAAAGCTATTTGTATTAGCTTGGAGGTTCAGTGATCTCCTTCGATATGGGCTTTCAATGCTTTCTTTATTTTACAATATTTTGAGGGCAATTATCAAGATAAATCTCACGATTAATGCTCCCTTGTGTATGATGCCCCTCAAGAATGGACCAACAAAAAGGACAAATACTTACGTTTAGACACATAAGTAAAAATCAACCACTTCTCCAAGAGTGATTACTGCACTTTTTTCCGGTTTCTTCCAGTCATGAATGGTTTCTTATCTACGGAAAATGAGCTTCGCCTTACTACAGAGAGATGTCAAAAATACCAAGGCACTGCGAAAATCAATATTGACCAAATTGTCCCTCACTCATTTGTCGCTCGGAACTTGGACCGCCACAATGTGGAACGACTCTGTGAGGTATTTCATAAAGAAGGCTGTCGAAGAATTGCTATCCATCATCATATCAGTGCAGTAGTCTCGAAACAGGACCTCCATGAGGCGCTTCGGGTAGCAGGAGTTGAAGCAGCCGAAATGATGGCCGGACCAGATCGCTACCCGCACCTAAGTTTCTTAAATGGTCAGATCCAGTGTCTTCATGGTCAACATAGATTGAAGGCTGGCGAAGAGCACTTACCACCTTATGATCAATGGTGGACAGTGGATTTGTATCTGAACGGTAAGCGGGAATCTCGTGATTGCCCCGTCCGGAGTATTCTAAGCTAATGGTCTAAAAGACATTAGTCCCGATCTTCAAAACAGCCTTGTCGACGAATACTCCAATGAGCGAGTGCCAAGCGATGGCGAAATCTACCGGAAAGTCCGACAGTACCGACAAGAAGCAAATGCACATTTCGAAAACCGATGGTTAGCACGGCTGTCGGATAACAAAGCCAGACGGCTTCGGGGACTTGAGTCCCATCCAAATATTCGATCTGCTTTCGACTCATTACTGATGGTGCCCGCATTGCTCGTGCATGGTATGCAAATAGGCTCCCTTGCGGAGCTTTTAGCACTCAACTGTGATGAAGTAAGAAATATTTGACCTGAGAAGAAAATGCACTGACTTGCGCGTAGGAAGTGGTCCATGCACTTAACGAGCTACGAGAATATTGGTCATCGCTCATGAAACACGATCATAAGAGGATGCTCAGAATAGACGTTCATACCGTGGAGAAGTTGCAGCTTCTGACACCTACGGCATCGTCAAAGGACCGAACGAAGGTCAAAGGGCTTGTACATAGTGGGGAAGTATTTGCAAACTTCACTCCTTCTGAGCGTTCGTCCATCTGGAGGCGGATGAAGAAGAAAGAAGGAATCATTCCATCTCTACATACTTTTTTCAAAAACTTATGGTACCTGGAGTCTTGCGTGAATTGTATGAAGCACCTTTTTTCACCCTCAAAGGACTTCCCGACTATGAAAGGCACAATGCGTGCTGCTTTTTCACCATTCAGTCCAATGGATACTCAATTCCATATCCAAGTATCCGAAGCATCATTCCGCAGTTACTCTCCCCTGGAAGCAGACCCTCTGGAGATTGGATACAGGCAACTCTGGTTATATGCTATGCGGTATTACCCACAATTATCTAAAAAACCGCAGAAGAAAAATGTTGCAGCGAAGGCTGAGCGTGGAGTGGTTGATCATATGTTACTTCATGACATGGCCATTCTTGCAAGACGACTCGGATTCAAAACCCCTCAAATTGAGCAAATTATCCAGCAATCGCCAGACCGCAAGATAGCGTTGGAGGCTCTAATGAGAGCGCGGCAGGCAGATCGTTTTAGATACGAGGACGGGCAGCTTGAATCACTTATTGATGAAATTACAAAGTGCTTCTCACAAGCCGTTCCCTTGAGTGACGAAATTGCTCACCAGTGTGCAACTGGCAGGGAAACGAAGAAAGAGTCACGGGTTGGGCATCCAGATGAAAGGACGCAATATCAAGATCGGTATTTCCTCTTCCTAGACCAGTTACATGGTCCAGCTTCAGCCTTGCAGAAGGCTACAACCACTTATGTGAGGCGTAGCATATATTTTACCTTCTTTAACAAGCTTAAATTACCAGAAGGGACCTCAAGCACGACTAACGAGCGTGGCAGCGGTGACAGAGCTGAAGTATCTATGTCATCCCTTTTTGTTGCACCCTCCTCCCAAAATCAAGTATATGACGAAACCGGATCTTCTGCATCATCAAGTTCAGCAAATCGCAGCCCAAATACTGAAGATGAGAGATCTGCGCGACGGAATGATAGACGGAAAGGAAAGTCGAAAAAGCGGCAGCAGAGGGAGCGGCAAGCGAGCCAATTGTTTGTAGACGAACAGCCTTCAGAAATTCTTGGGGAAAAAATAACAACGCCCTTGGTTGTCTCTAGCAAGGATACCTTTGACGTCGAATCTATTGAAAGCATTGATATGGAAGATTTAGACCAACAGATAACGCCGCAGCCATGCCAATCCGACTCTCCGATGGGTGAGAAATTCAGCGTATATGATTTGGAAATTTCGCCGCTGACTGCATTCTAGAAATTGAACCAGAACCGCTTTTTGAGTCAGAGAGCAACACTGTCGAGAATACATTTACATCGGAGGAGGAGGATCAAGAAATGAGTGCAGAAGAACAAATGCCGATGGAGATGAACGGGCATGAAAGTATGTTCGCGGAGGATGCTGACAAAGAGCATGTTGGTAGAGAGGAAGTATCGGAAGAAGAAGGACAGCCTTCTGCACTTAAAGAGCGGGATAATACTCTCAAAAAATTGGAGGGACTCCCATTATCACGAGTGCATGGTCCCTTGAGGACTGATAAACGAAAAGGTAAATTACGAAAAGAGGAGGCTACGTGGAAACCGTACGGGCGCCAACAGCGGCGGCCATTGACCAATCTATCAGCCCTTCCTTCGCAGGAAACACTTGAAGGTGACATCATGACTTCTCTTTCTCAGCTGGGAACAGCAGTATCCCGTGACCAGCCCGCGAAACACATCACCCAAGTCAATTTTGACGAACTACAACAGAGGCTTGCGCTCAAAACAGATAACGACTGGGGACTTCGGTCAGAACCGCAAGAGACCATGATAACAGACCTATCTCCTACATCACTGGTAGCACCCATGGAGCCTATTAGGAATGATTTGGCGAGCATCCACCATGATGGCCGCACTGACGATTCCGAAGGCGGAAAGCCAAATTCTGTTGAGAGTGATGACAGAGAATACCTATCAGCGACAAAGGATACAGACTTGCAAAACTCAAGTCCGGATGGCCGGGCGGCACTGAATGACTCTATAATAGTAGCTCAAGAAGAACATGAAACGTCACCTGGAATCCTCCAGGTGGCCCATGAGATAATCAAGGCCACAGCCAATGAGCACAACGATGATCTCTCCAGTTTACGAGCAGCAGATCCAGAAATGACCGTGCAAACCCCAATTACGGTAGAAGGTCTTTCAAGAGTGACTATTGTGTTCCGCGGGCAAGATGAGAAGGGTGAATGGAGCCATATTATACATACAATGGAGGTGGATCCGTCCGACCCCTCGGCCGTCCAGCGAATGGCCGAAAAAAATGCGCGACGACGCAATGCAGTTTTCTATGATCGGGCCTTGCGTCAGGTACATCCTTCAGAATGTTTCAAAGCTGCTGTGGAGGATGGGGCCAATAACACAGTATTTGTGAAGTTCGGAGACCCCCTAGTGGTCAACGAGGAGGCCTTGAATTCAATCGCGCGTGTGCTTCAAGGCGAAAATGACGATCACAGGACAAAACGCCGTGGGTAGATTTAAATCAGAACTCGTATTTCATATGGCATAAATCTTGCATGCATACATGCCCAATTGCTTACGTCGAATGTAGTCTTATAGCTTGAGTGGATGCCAGTTGACAGACTGGAAACCTCTGTAGATGTAGAGCTGTGGACGCACGACCACATTGGTCGTGCGTCCACAGCTCTACATCTTGAGTCCCAAGTCAAAATTTCCAAGGCTTTGGCCTTCAGACCACGGTCATACCACCGCGGCTTGCTGAGTTTGGACGCACGTCCTGTAGACATATGGCCTCCTATGCCTTATTACCCCATATTTACGTCTTTACTTGCCTCATGACATTACACAGCTGACTCTTATTTGCGGGCGGCTGCGCAGGACAAAGAACAATGTACGTAGTTCTCCTGTATCCTTGGGACGTCATTAGCCTTTTGACTTCTTGTGAGGGTTGCGGCAGCACTCGAAAGGGTGCTTTGCAAGTTTGTCTGATGCTACCAGCCCGAGCCATCGGGAACAAGTTTCCTTTTTAGATCGTCCTGATGCGAAGACATTACTCCTCTCATAGCAACTTCTATGTTTCAGGCGTCACATTACATGCTCACTATTGCCCAGATTTGGTAGAATCGCCCTAGGTAGCTATTATTGGCCAAATATGTTCTTCTAACCCATCAACCACCGAAAGGAATGACATTTGCGAAAAGTTCATATCAGATACAATCATTGTCAGTTCAACCGCTTAATATATTACACAACGAGGGCATCTCAATGAATGGATCGATTTTCCATTCTACAAATGAGTGATTTCTTGCTTTGCTTGACCGGTTCGCAAACAAATTCCTCGATTTCAGGGCTCAATTTTATTTCTGCATTCTCACCAAACAATTGTTTATTTCATTGTAGGTATCATTGTTGAGGAAACAAATTTAACTTTAGAAAATATTAGAAGAAATAAAAAGAGAACAATATAGTAGATTTGATGTGCCTAATTATCTTCAATAGGACATGTGCCTGGGGAGAAAATGTCTCAGTTAAGAGATTAATCTGGCTATCTGCTTGACCACGCCGGTGGGCAGATATTTGTCAAATTTGGATTGCAAAATGTACCTGCAAGCTAAACAGGTGACTTGCACTATGCATCCCGCCCAGCCTCGCGACTAGAAAGATCCATATTAGTCGTCATTGCTTGTCACTTGCTAAAATATTTTCTTACATCATTACATGCCATCTAGATTTCATGGTCGAATTTCTGAAGCCGGCGTTTTATGTGGATCATTCGCTGATTGTAACCTTTTCACCTGGAGGCAGGATGATTCCAAAGATCGCGTCTGAATTCTTTTTCTCGTAGAGGTCCTTAGTTCAGCTATCCGAGGACAATAGCAGAAGCCCTCTTCGAGCACTTTGGTTGGTGGCAAGTCGGATAGGACCCTAGCCGTAGAATTTACTCCCTTGCTTTTGAGGCATTGTAGAAGTTTTTCGGTGAGGACTTCACAAGCTGATAGCTCCATTTTCAAACATTGAAGAAATGGGAAGTCTATTCAAAATGGGAAATCTATTCAAAATGGGAAGTCTATTCAAAATGGCAGGTATCTTTTATATGTGCAAGCCCATTGCATTCATTCCAAGCAAAAGTCGAAAACAACTACGGATCAAGTAGTTCCTAGGAGCTTCTTTCGTCTCCCTAACTTTCCTTTTCAGGAGGAATCAAATTAATTGCCCCTAAGGCATTTCTTTGCTTCATATGTGAAATCTGAGAAATTTTAAAATTCTGAGGGCTCAAATGTGTAGAATTTGAGATATCTAAACACTACCAGTGCATAGTCACTCCATCACGCTAATATCTCCTTGAATTGAAAGCTCCTAGGAGCGAATGAATGAACGGCATACATTGAACGCGTAATATGGATTATCATGTTATACTATCCCTCTTATGCAAATAATTTGAGGAGGTGGTACTCTGCGTGCTAAGCTCGAAAGCCATAACTCTATGGTTATCCGGAACATTGTCCAGGCCATTTGTACACAATTTTAATCATGCCTTTGTATCGTATTACCCGAGAGCATCTGAGTGAAGAGCGAAATCTTGTCCTGATTTCCTTCCAGTATGGAGCTAGTTGCAGAGCAAAAAGTACATCAGATCTTCTTTCTCACAGCATTATACAGGAATGGCGAGTATGACTAAAACATTTGGCCTAGCTTAGACAGGCCGAGATCAAGATTATGTTACATTGCAGGATAGAATGCTCATTGGCTACCAAAATAAAACCTGCTGAGAATTCCTAGGAACGTAAAAGCCTTGAGTTCAGACATGACGGTGCTAGGGGACTCGTAATACCGCCCAATTTGCCATCTTCTGTATATTTAGTCACCTACAGGCTGCTGCCCTTTAAGAAATCTATTTAAGGGCCACTCACTTTCTTTATGTCTTGCTTTTCGCACGTTACATCCCTCCACTCGACCCTCTCGTCTTGATTTACATCATCAATCTGCAGAATTTAGGTTTGTCGGCCTTTCACCATTTCCTAGAAACCAATCAACAGAATCCAATTATTTATTCCGTGAAAGGTCCTCTCAAATTTCATGGATAGACGTTCAGCACCACAGCTCAAGAGGCCTGGAGAAACGATAGCCAAGACTGGGCCAAAGCGCCAGTATGATCAATTCCCGCCTATAGTGAACCCTGAGATTTTTCGACTTGTCTCCCCATTCGGAGAGAATCCATACGCCCACTTCAAAACTCTTAGTGAGACAGATCGGAAGGTCTATTTCGATCAAATTTTCAAGACCCTCAGATCATTTCCTCGAATCGATTTAATGGTTTTTCAGAACTACGATAAAGGCGACCGATTAAGGCAGGAGGAGCGAGAAGCTTGCGATAAGCTGCAGGAAAGATGGGGGGATAAATGGAGCCCAGTCCAACCGAATCCAAGGGGACCGGGTCGAAGACGACAGAGGGAGATTGTGAAATGGGAGGATGACCAGCTTTGGTGGAACCCGTCTACGCAAGATTTTGAGTTGAGCCATCCTCCAAATTTAGGCCAACGCCATTCTTTGGAGCATTTTGAAACATTGTCACGTGATTATGGCTTTTTATGCCATATTTCGTCTTCGTTACTTTTCTACCGCCTGATTCTCTTAATGGGTGACTCCAATTTCGTCTCAACCGATGGATACAAATCCTGTTGGGAAGTGCGCTTTTACCATATCGATTGTTTTACTTTCCTGCGGCTCTGGGATAGCAAGGGAGCGCCTCGGGTATCATTCTACGGGTCAGAAGAGTCACAGAATGATGCCTTAGAAGTCATAAATCTGCTGACAAGATACAAATTTCCCCACACTTACGATGGAGTGATAGCTGGTACACCAGCATGATGCTGAGTTTGCATACAGTATTTCATTCGCATACTCAACACATCGGAGATCTTTCATTGATGTTTTGGAAAGCAACAATTTCCGACGAATATTTTGTTCCCTTTATGCCAGCGTCTTCTCTGTACAGGGAAGATCGAAATCAGTTTCACCATTTGCACAGGGAGATTTGTTCTCGAACGCTTCCTCGAAACACACTAGTCTGTATCCTGGCTAGCGTTTGGTTTTAGGGTTGTCTCATATTAAAAGATTGTATTATCAGGTGAATTGTTAAATACATTACGTAATACGCGTGTATATCTCTTCTACGTGACTGCCCCTTGTGGTACGGTACGCTTTCACTCTTGCGTCAGTTTAACGTTACACGATGCCTCGAAATCAGTTTAACCACTTACTCGCGGGAATTGTTTCTCAAGCACTGCTTTGAAACTCGCTAGGCTCGTTTTGCTTTAGGGCGTTTCAAATTATCGAAATGTTTTGCAAGTGAGGTCGCATGATAGCCTACTTAGTACTTTAGATGAACTAGCTAGTGAAGTGGGGCACGCGTCATTGGTGCTGGTAGTGTCTGTCTGCGAACCAGACACCACCGGGGCAGATTCTTGGGTAGTGGAAGACAAGAGAGGAGAACCTAGGGGTGGCTTGAGAAGGAAAGATGGTCTGAGTTACTATCTCTGCACGACTTGGCTTATATAAGTTACATCACATATGCTTAGTCACCACATACCACTCTTCCCCACTATACTAGTTAACTATCCAGTCGGCTGTTGTCGTAAGCAATTTGTATTACGACCACCGACTAGTCAAGTGTCTATCAACATGCTGCAAGCACACTCTCTAACAACGCTTAATATGTGATCTAGCCTGTAATGCGAGATCTGCCAGATTACTGACTACATGTTGGATGACAGGTTCCCAGTCCCCGTTCTTGTGCGCCACTTTCACCGCATTGGATTTTCACTTGACAACGTCCATTTAAAACCAGGAGCAATTATATTCGTTGTCCTTTAGCAATAATTATGACAGCAGGTCGTAACAGGTCCGCCAGCAAGGAATTGGTTTCCATCTGCACATGCCAGATTTAGATACTAATCACAAGACAAGACTGTGAATTTTCACAGCTGCCCCCCTCTCACTGGGCTGAGAGGGGTCAGAATGAGCGGGAAATGCAAACGACACGAAATGTAAAAAGCATTGGTTGGACTGTCTGATAGCAACGGGCAATCTGCGCTAAGACTTTTAGCGTGACATATATGGTGCGGCCTAGTCAGTTTCACGAAACATGGATGGCAAGGTTTATCCAAGTAGAAATATTCCATCTCACCCAATGCAGTAGCATTCGTTCATATCGTCACCATCGCAAAGGCCGCAATCTCATTCAGTTCTCCTCGCGCTTGAGTCAAACCCGAGTAGGCAAGACATGCCCGGGAGACGTCTCACAGAGAGCATGTGCAAGCGCGAGATTTGGCACTCACATGCAAAGCTTCTGGCGCAGCGGGAAGAGTTCTCTGCTAAGAACTTTTGTAGGCGCTGATAACATTTCGAAAAGGAAGATTACACCAACTTTGACGTAGACCCGGTTAGACAGACGCAACCGAACATCATAAGACAAAGCTGTGGCCCTCATTCGTGGTAACTTGGGGTAGGGTCCGCTAGTGGTGACGAATTTGCTGCAGTTTAGCGCGGAGGGCATTTGAAGTCCTTCGATTGTCAAGCGTACTTCGAAAGTACTGCTCACTTCGAGCTACCTCACGCTTATTTTGACGGTCACGCTCACGTTGCGCTCACTTGGAGCAAACACACGCTCAATTAGATCAATGTAACGCTCACATGAACGAGGGACGAGCTTGATGATTAAGATACCCTGAGCGGTTTATTCTTTGAAGACCAAATTCCAAGCGTCAGATTGGATTGAGAAAGTATTCTGACGCATTCCGAGTCGTTCATATCAGGAAAGCCAGTGATGTGAATGTATTTCTGCTCGGAATCAAATGATAAAGTCGTTGCCGGATTGTGGTTGTGCAAAGTTTCCCAAAGTTGATCAATCATTGACTGGCCAGATTCACCGTAGTCATGTGTGCGAATTGAGACTGGTCTCTTCATTTTGGGTTTACCGTTCTGTGCAAAATGTCGAAATCAGACTTATATGAGGATAGAAGAACAGAGTATCTGGTCTCGATGGGAAAAATGTGGCTTTTTAATAAGTCCAAGAAGACGGAAAGGAAGGGTAGAATCCCGAGTGGCCTCGGCAGGATTAGTGCCCTCCCAGGAACTAAATTTATCCGCGATGACCAGGAAAGTTGATTGAAGAGTGTAAAAGTGGTTGCACTAGTTTCGGGACGTACTATGCTGGTCCCCGATTATTACGGTAATAAATTCAATTTCAAAAATACCCGGAAAGTATTTGGAGAAATGTCATATCTTGATAGTCAGGGCCTTGTCTCTTTCACCTTAACCGAGCTGATCAGACAATCTTTAACTAGGCAAGTCTATCTAGGCTGGATATTTTAGGCACCAACCATTATCTACAGGGTCCGTCAAAGTGTTAAGAAGGTTGGTACGGTATCTAAGTTCGCCTAGCCTGTCGATTAATTGGTTATCTTGACTCAGTTCCTTGGGATTTATGGCGGAGCATCACATTTCATCACTCCATTTCATCACTCCATAATTAAGTTAATGTTTCAATCTCATCAATCTGTAGTTTGTTTTTTTTGACCAATTTGGAAATTAATTTAATCTATTAGTGATGGTTGGTGGAAATTCAAACCAAATCTCAAATTGTGGATGAGTTGCTTGGTATTTGAGCACCTGTATTGATGGTGTTGTCCTGTTTTCTCATAAGCACCCTTATACATTAGCGTTGGACCTGTATCTATAGCACTGGGTCGTGACCCAGAGAACTCCTCAATCGGACAACCAATATACACATTAAATAACACTTGAAATTGAGATTTACACTAGCCTGATTAGGCAGGATCCACTATAAACAACGAAAGGTGATAAAGATCACTACTGTAGGTGGGAGAAATATTAGCCTAGCAAGGAACTGGTTTCGGTGTTCGGCATGAGAAAAACTACAATTGATATTCCTTCACCAAATTTAAAATGGATTAAGTATCTTGGAATTACATCAGCCCTATTCATCATAGGCATTTGGGGTCTACAGTATAGAATTAGTGTTCCTTGACCTTCTCTACATACAGTATGATTGGGATGCTATCCATGGTTTTGGTTGTCGTCTCCAGTTAAAAATCTACCTCCCCTTTATGTGTAGATGTGTAGTAGAGAGATTATTTCTTCAGAAATAGACAAGTTAATTGGAACATTTCATGACATACTACAATGCACCTTTTAGGATGAATACTAAAACTCCATTTTATTCCAGCTACATTAGGTCTTCCTTGTTCCTTGTACCCCTCAAGAGATTGTTACAACTTCTTGATCGTCATCCTCTTTTTTATCTACCACTTTGAAAAACCGTCCAAATTCTAACATGCAAGTGTTCAATTTATCCCTTTTGTTCATTTCGCTTTCAGTGCGTTTACTTTTGCGGGATTCTATCGTTCTTGCTGTTCTCGACACCACTTTTCCCATTATATTGGCATCTCTTTATGAGACCTCTTGGACGGTTGCACTGGTGGTCCTTGGCTTTTATCTGGGCGTTGCCGTTCTGCACACGTATTTCGACTATTTTAGTTGGAGGAAGAATACGGATCCCCTTGCAAATGCATCTCACTTCACTTCGGGCCTCTCAGCTAGCGGCCATCCAAAAAATCATGATGAACAAGTCCTTGACCAACGAGATTCCACATACCTCACGAGTCAATCCAGCAAGCGCGCCAATACCCAAGAGGACGCATGGTGCAAAGAAATTTACAATGGAAGGGTCATGATGTTCCCATGTACGCTCCGGCATTTACGCCGCTCAGGTTTTAAGGACGATTACCGGCATTCTTATCTTTACGTTGGCTGCCCTGTGGGTTTGCGTGCAAATTATAGCCCTCTGTTGACTGTAGAGCCAGATTTTCGTCCCATATATTTGTTGCCCTTCAAGAGCTCTTGGTTCAGCATCAGGCCCGAAGATCACGCATTGAACGGTGGAGCAACTTTAACCATGGTCCAGAAATTGGAAGAGTTCCTTCTGTCTGAAGTAAGTCAGTCTTCTGATATCGTTCCATGTGACTGCTTATCAATATTTCATAGGGAGAGGATCCTGCAGAGTGGCCATACGCATATCTGTTGACTCCGCCTTCGGTGACTTGGCAATTGAATAATCCACTTGCTTTTTGGTATTTATATGATGGTGAAAGACACCTCACAGCAATGATAGTTCAGCTGCAAACGTCGTATGGCGAACGAAGATTGTGGCTGACGAGAAACGAGCTCACTCAGAGTTCTGGCCCTGGCATTTACTCGTTTCAGGGTAGGTTCAACAAAGACCTTCAGGTTTCGCCATTCACACCAACTTCGGCCAGCTACGTGATCAAATCGTCAGATCCCTGCCTGGCTCCACTTAGGGAACTAAACATCATGGTGACCCTGAAGCAGGGAGAACGAGCTGTTATGCAAGCCACGGTTCGTCCTTCTGGGCAGCCGCTCGATGCAGCCAGAACAAGCTTAAGATCTTCGATCATTTTTCTTTTTAAATGGTGGTGGGTTCCACTGTGCAGTGTGGTTGTTTTTCGAATTCTCTCCAAGGCAGCGCAGATATATCTCACACATAAGAAAGCCGAACTCAATGTGCAAACAAGAGCTGAGCCGATCAAGACGGTCATTGCTAGATCTGCGAGGTTATCCGAAAGGTAGACTTCTCCAGCCACTACGAGGATTTATGAAAAGGAAATCATTGACGTTCACAGGAAATTGGAAAAATATTTCTACAAGATTTTATCGGCCATGGTCACTCAACAAACCCGCATAAAAAGCGTGAAATATGTGACTTCGGGTGAACACTGTGAAAGGGTGAGAATTATACACGCTCATCAGAACCACACCGGAAGCAAAATTCTCTCGCATCACAGCAACTGCCGAGGCTCTGCTGAGCAGACATGCGGAGAAATCATTTTCCAAGTAAACAGCCCTGCTTTTTACGCGAACTTTTTTCATTATAATTCACCTTTGGATGCTTTGCAAAGTGAAATGCTTGATGACGAACGAACTCGCACAGTGTTTTCATCGCATCCAAATGAGATTCTCGCTTTATGTGAAAAGCAAGCTGTCAGCTTTTGTTCGCAGCCTTTGGACTGGCGTTGGAGAATTGTATCTGCTCTCCGTACATCGCCTTTGAAAACCAATTTTCCACGGCGAAAAGCCTTTGTTGCTTTCGAAGGGATGTCCATGACAGACTGTATTATTTTGCAGAACTGCTCAAGTGAAGAGTTCCGCAGTTACAGGCGCGCTTTGGTCCGTCTATTTTTGGGAAATTGGACAGGGGGCTACTCTGTTGGTTCCGTCAAGCAAGGGAACTTTGAGCTCATAGGACTTAGTCGGGATGCGGTCTTGAGCATGCAAGACGCATTCATAAAGTCTGTGCTTGTCATTATATCCTCATTCTTCTGCAATCAGTCTGATGTTGGAAAGATGAATTTCTGCCAAATTCTTCTAGCCGCTTTGAGCCTGAGCCTTTTGAATATTTGGGCTTCTTTCAAGCTTATGATTTGAAATTTGGATTCCATCAGCTCTGGAATTGTATCTGCTATCAAAAAATCTACCTTCAAAATATATTTAAATTTCTTGGTAACAATCCAGATTTACGAGATGTACACTGTTTCTCTGCGCATATTTTATCGTAATAGCACCTACTATAAACTGAATGCTTCAAATTCCATTTTTATTAATTAGGCCTGGTCTTCGCTGATGTGTACTAGCTCCAATATGTATGTCAGACTCGTAGGTAAGTGAAAATTTTTCTGTTCTCTTGCCTACCTTTCTTGTTTCCCAATACACGGGTATTTTTGATATCTTGAATCTTTTGATAAATGATACTGAGTCTTATTATATGTGTGTATTATGGCAGGCCAAAGGTTTTCATATGCTGCACTAGTGAACAGTTCAAGACCATGATGAGTGCCATCAAGATGCTTTGGATATTGATTCTGGTAAATACTGCCTCAAATCCTCGATGGCCGTTTTTCTGTGGATCGGCATATGCAATATGAAACCACGAAAGCCGGCCTCCCATTCTATGTATATATCCAGTGTGCGTTCTCCCAAAACCTTGTGCTTATCCAGAAGCTCAATGAGCTAAAAGGATAAGAGAAAAAATTCCAGCCACTCTCTGCATTGGTGTATTGCTATTACAAAATGAGCAATAAATTCCATTCAGCACTTGAAACGTTTAATTGTGGAGACTTACGTTAGAACAGCTCTGCGTCAGGACTGTATTGCTCAAAGCAGATTGAATGGTATCACACCACTTGATTTCCGCTTTTTCTCGGACTTCCACCGATTTGGCTCGGCGATTGATGATTGGAGAAATCAAGTCAATCACAAGGTTCACCGCACTGAAGTAGGCTATCAGCTTGACATGCTTTATTTAGTTGCTTGAATGAACCAACCACTCCATCGAGAAAAGGACCGATGTATGGCCACTACCTGAATTGGGCCCCAACAAGTAGAACATATTCGGGAATCCATTTGTCGCCACAGTTTGAAAAGCTCCAATTCCACCCAGACTGTTCCAGTGTTGTTGCAGGGTTTTCCCTTGCCGACCAATGACGGTTTGAGATTGCCATTGTGTGAACTCAAACCCTGTCGCAAGTACCTATTCCGTGTACCATCAATTAGATAATGAACCTGAAGCAGCTGTTCTGGACTTACAATGAAATCAATTTGATACTCATCACCTGAGATTGTGGTCACAGTCTTTGGTCCGACGGTTCCAATGGCATCCTTGACAAGTTTCATTTTTGGGTTGTGGAGTGAGCTGATATAATTCTTGTCCATTATTCGCCTCTGATTCAAAGATTAACAATCATGTACTGGAAATGATAGTTTGAGTTTACCTTGCATCCTAGATCATAGTCTGGAGTGAGTAATGGCCAATATTCCTCTTTAAAGTATGTCAGAATACTCAGATCATCCAAATGTCACTGAACGTACCAGGGGCATTTTTCGTGATATATGATTGGTTCAAAGCTAGCCGGCTCTTTCTCATTTGTCTGCCTTGAGAGTCATTCCAAAATTGACTAAGCCCTGTCTCAAGTGTCCAGAAGACAACCCATCTCAAGAATCGCAAGACGAAAGGGAGGCGAAACAAAATTTGAAGTCCCCTTGTAAAACGATCATTGCATACAGCCATTGGCACATAATGCTGCGGCCCCTGCTCGAACAATTAGCCAACATTCAATCAGCATGTAGTTACGAGATCATACACGAATGAATTGAGTCACAGTGTTGACATCATCAATAACTGCAGGAACTAATTGAGAACCAGAGCCTATAGACCTATCAGCTCTGTCAAGTCTCGGTTCATTCATGTACCGGCTAACTTACATCCGTTGCCAACAACGACGACGTTCAACCCCTTAAGATCATAATCTCGTTCCCATTGAGCTGTGTGAATCACGGGGCCTTCAAAGTCCTCGAGTCCAGCAATCTGGGGAAGCTTTGGGTTTGTATAACCACCAACAGCAGATATCAGAATCTTGGCTTCGTGTACGAACCTCTCTTGCGTCTGTATGTCCAGAAGGAATATGTGCCAGGTATTGGAGGATTCTACCCATTTGGCCCCTTCCCACTCGGTTTGTAGCCTTGTCCGGTGGGGCACTTTATGGGAGAGCCCAAGCCGTTTGATGTAAGCCAATATCTCGTGCTGTGCAGGGAACGGTCTGGTGAAAGATGTACTCGGGAACCACGACAGTGAATATAACACCCCAGGTATGTCAACCCCACACCCTGGATCTGGAGTATATTTAGTATCAAAGTCGCAAACACATTTGGAGTTGTGGATGGTTGTGAAGTCCCCAACAGAATGTGGAGTCACTCACATTTGTTGGCTGCCCATGCCCCCCCAATTTCAGGAGCGCGGTCGTAAATCACGTAGTCGGTAACTCCAAGTTTCCTTTCAAGTTGACAGGCCATATTGATCCCAGATAATCCTGCGCCAATGATGACAACCTCACTATAGACCACTTCACTCTGCAACATTGTTAAAATATTTGTCTGTATACACAAAGCAGATTCGGATATGCAAAGATTGATGTCAAAGGTTATTTATTGATTGCTGGTCGTTTAACTTTTCTTCATCCCCCAGTTAAATGCTATGGAATTCCATGAACCTAGTACAATATTAGCAATGTTTCGATTTTGCTGCCTTGTGCTTTTTCAGCATCGGCCAATCAATGATAGCAATTAATTGCCTCGCGGCTATTGAGCCAAACTTCACCCATTCAATTGATTTAAGCGTAAACTGCTTGACAATATTGACAGTCGATATCAATCGTGCCGCAAATTCATTTAGTTCTTTGGCTGCTTTTCAGTCAATTCAGACACTGCTCTCTTGTAGAACTCACATGCTACAGGATGAGAGCATCGCCGTGAGCTGTGAGCTATGATCGGGGATTGTGGATAGGATATCGGTTAATGCAAATTCACTATGATCACCTCCAGCTATAAAGACCGACCTGGATCCTCCCCAGAAGATCATCCACGAAAGGAGCCCGTTCTCAATTAAAGCCAGAAAGCACCAAGACAACATGACCACTTCTAACCTCCCAAACAAGAGTGTCTCCTACAACGGCGAGGAGGTGCCCGTCTGTGAGCTAGAAACAATCAACTTCAGTCAGCTTCTGTCACAAGAGCCAGATGAGATCAACAAGCTCCTGCGATGTTGTCAGGATGCCGGGTTCTTCTATCTTGACCTTGATGATATTGATGGAAAACGGATGTTGGAGGACCATCAGCGACTACTTTCTCTCATGCGTCGTTTCTTCAATTCGCTCCCCAGCGAGAAGAATGAAATTGGCCTCCCGTCTCTGGAGCACGGGTATGACCTTCCACCACCATTCTTTACATATACAGCTAACCAATTTCAAGCTACGAGCCAGTGGGCAACCATACTGGCGTAGTGGAAGGTACAATGGACGGCTATGAGATTCTTCAAGTGTCCCGAGACGAGATCAGAACGCCAAACCCAAATCTCCCCTCGATTGTCCACAACGCAGATGACATCAAAACATTCTCCGACTTCATCGCCGATTCCAACATCGTTACCAAGACCATGCTCTCCTGTCTCTCTACAGCCCTTGGACTGAGTGGCGAGGCCCGCTTTGAGAACGCTCACCGCAACGAGCATAAATCCAATTCAGCCCTCGCCATGATGCGGTACCTGCCCGGTGATCCGAAATCAAGCAAGGAAATCGGTCACCAGAAGCACACGGATATCGGATCACTCACTCTCCTCTTTTCGGAACAATGGGGGCTTCAGGTTCTCCCACCCGGCTGTGATACCTGGAGTTTTGTCGAGCCCAGGAAGGGACACGCTGTTGTTAACGTTGGAGACTCGTTACGCTTTGCTTCCGGTCACAGACTGTTCTCTTGTATCCACCAAGTTGTCCCAATCGACAATGTCGCAGATCGGTATAGTATCGCCTTCTTCCTCCGCCCAGAAAACGATGCAAAATACTTGGATAGTCAGGGTCGATGGGTAACGGCTGGGCAATGGCATGATGAGAAGTTTGATGTCTTCAAAGCCCCTCATGCAGAACAGAGGCTGGTAAATTCCATGTTGGTTGGGGGGATGGAAGTATGAATGGGCCCTCATTGCGCTAGGTGGTTCTGGGTCAAGGACTTGGCAACCCTTTCGTTACTAGTATAGACTCCAAACCAATTCCTTTGTCTCACATATCGTTCTTCGACTTTGTCTCCTCTTTCCTATAAACTGTCGCCCTGGTTGGATGCAGTCTGCAGCACAGTCAAGCCAAACTATCGTTTTGATTAATTGATACTGACATCTCGAGAAACTTCTAATGTGGAATTAGTGGTGCATCTGATCGAAGCATATGGAAAGGCCATGGAAATGCTATCGCGATTCAGACCGACCTGGAATTCAAAAAATATCGCTATTAGGCAATGTTTAATAAAGCAAGCGAGCCGCACTTCTTTGAACGGAATAAGGGATCTCCAGCATGAGGTTCCGAATGCTCACTTCCAACACCCGGTGCATGGGATTCATGAAGTGCAGAAAAAAGTGTCAACTCGTCACCGGGATCAACGGGATCCTAGATGATGAAATTCCCGAGCTTGTCGTATGAAACGGCAATCCGATCACTGGCAAAAAAGCTTCCTTGAAAAATGGCACAGTTGGAATAAACAAAATTTTCAGCCCGCTTGTCGACTGCGCCATCACTTGGGCATCTACCTACGGAAGTCACAACAGCTTTCACAGCCTCTCGCACTTAATTTTTCTAGCTATGGAAGGGCTGTGGCCAATTCAAGAAATAGGCAACTGGACCCTAGTCATAATGCGCGCATAACCAGTTACTATCTCCCCGTGTACGGACCCTGCATCGCTGCTGCAGCTCTTTGACACTGGCGGAGGGACGTACTGCTAAGAGCTTGATTATTACGTGAATAATGTTGCGCAGCCATATTCAGTCAATGAGAGCGTTTTGGAATGATTTAAGATTACGAAAGCGAACTTGGTCTCAACAAGCACAACGAGTATGTTCCCTTCATCGAATTCACGAACATTCCCACCAACTAGTCCAGGGGTCCAAGGGGGTTTCAAGACGTTCTAATATCGCTGGCGTGATCAAACCGCCTCAGGATGTCCTGTGGTCAGGTTATCTCCCTCTAAGTCCTCCTTCTCGTCCGCCGTCAATTCACTTTCGGCATGACGGATCCTCACAAATCCCAAAACGATCAAAAGACCGAGAATACAAATTCCTGTCTGAAACACAAACACCGCCTTATAGCTCTTCCATTTACCGAGATACTTCGTCTGCGTTTCAACAATGTCCGCCAACCCCAGCATAACCGTAACTCCCATATGCATGGTACAATTAATCAGCGCACCAGCCAGACCCTGCTTCGCCTTTGGCATGCTAGTCGTAATGAATATGTTCGCAAGATTAAAACTGATGTCGATGGCGATGGTACCGCAGATCATTGCTGGGAACACATAGGCCCAGTAATTTCCGCCGAGGGGGATGATAGCAAATAATAGCCCCGAGCCGACGTATCCAAGACAGGAGATAATCATCAATATTGTGCCTGATAATTTGTGCAGAATGAAGCCTCCTGTCATTGAGAGAATGAGGCCGCCGACTGCCATGGGGACGGTCCAGGCGACGACCTGGAGAGGGGTGGTACCCATGAAAGCTGACATGCTGTGTGGAATTAGTGATAATTCAGCCGCATAAGCCACTGAAGAGGCATACTTACTACAGCACCCCATATAGAAAGAAAATGCCTAGGCTTCCGTAAAGACACAGCAATGCCAGTATCAAAGGCGTCATGAATCTGACTCGGAATATTTCACCAGGAAGCAGAGGATTTTTAATCACCCATCCTTCAATATATGCCATGATACCCAGCAAGGTGACACCAATCGTAAAAATAACAGGAATATACGGAGATTTCCAACCCTGCGGGGCGTACGAGCTATCCGCAATAGCGAAGACAAAGAGCGTCGCTCCTGAGATGGATAAGCAGAATCCAAACCAGTCCATCTGTATCCCAAGCTCTCGTTTCTCGGTATAATCACTATGGATAAAGAGGAGTGACGAGGCCGCCATCATCATCGACAAGATTGCACCAATGAAGAAATACCATCTCCAACTTAAGTACTGACCACATATCCCTGAGACAAAAAACCCGGCGAAGAAGCCCAACGTGGCACATGCGCCGTATACGCTGAACACCAGGTTCTTCCGCGGACCTGGGCGGTATGTACTTCCTAGAATCATCAGTCCGGATGGGAGGAGAGCTCCGAGAGCTAACCCTTGCAGGGCTCGACAGACAATAAGCATCGGCCATGTCTGAGACACGCCGCAGAATATCGAAGATATGATTAGCCAGATGGCACCTGCGTTGTAGATGACATAGCCACCGTACATGTCGATCAAGCGGCCGAATATGAGGAGCGTTGAGGTCAGAGCGAGAGAGAGGGCGGTGGTGGGCCATATTGTGGAGGCTGAAGATATATGTAGTTCTTTCACGAGAGTTGGGAGCAGAACATTGATCCCCGAGATATAAAATTCCTGTTGAAACCGTACGTTAGAAGATTCGGCTTGTTGGGTATGATGTATTCACCCACTGCTAGGATTTGGGACATTACTATCGAAAAACAAAAAGCCAACTCAGACCAGGGCCCTGAAAAAAATTGAGGACGCTCTCTTCCCAGTTTTTCCAGATCAGGCATCCTCGTCGTTGTAATTGTCTGCTCTTCAGATATTGTCATGTTGAAGTGTTTTTTCACCCGCTATTCCTGCCTTTGCTCCGATTATGTCGCGCCAGGACTTTTCACGTCGAGTCAAAAATATAAATTTGCGGTTCAGAGTGCCGGTATTGCTCCCCTATGGATGTGTGATTATGAAAGCCCGCGAGTTCGTGTGATACATGCAGGGAGCGCAGTTGGAGGTTGGCAAAAGAGGGTAGGGAGGAGTGATCAAAGGAGTGATCAGAGACCAGGACATAGTGCAGAATAAGTGCAAATATTGAGCGAATATTGCGCAAAAAGCAAGCTATGAATCGATTTTATACGAAATGTTCAAAAATGGGGTAAAAGCGAGCACAAGTTGTTCAAAACAAAGTGGGCGTATAAACTGAGCAAAACGTGTTCTGAAATTGTTCAACTGAGCAATCTCATTCCCAATATTCCGAGTAGTAAGTTTAAGTGCTTAATCGAACATGATTTACTAGCAGCGATTGATTAAGAGATTCATTGCTCCAGCCTTCATCGGTTTGACGGTCAGGGATATGTGGAAAAGTGCGCAATTTCGAGTGAGATAACATTAATGATTCCCAGATTCTAGGCTTTCATTTAGGATAGCTTTGCTTAGAAGCAAGCAGAGGTGCGAAGTCATGTATTATAGAAGATCCGTCATAACAAAGAGGGCAAAATCAATGCGGATTAGGTGCGAAGATATAGTAGAGGTGTGCAAACAGTGTGCAAAACTTAGGCGACAGGTTTATTCAGAACTTGACTCTGAAATATCACTAGTAAGGATCCAGCAGTGATCGACGGCATCGTACCTACCTATTCATCCTTAGAGCATGCCTAGGTATTGATCATCAAAATGATATCCCCAGTAGGAAGACAAAGGGCATTACAGAATATCTAGACAACTGAAATTAGACTTCGTCATCGAGCTGCTTCACATCAACAACCAAGGATTCCCTCCTCCCCTCATGTATTGGATGTTACCGGCTGTAAGCCTTTCTATATAGCACTAAGTTGATTGAGCCTCTAGACCTATATGCACATCAAGCGGCTTTGTGATATGAAGAAAACGAAAGGTTTATTAGGCCCCACAAAATCAATTGGTCCTCAGCCCAGTAAAGGGCCTCTGAAAATATTCGAATGGTCTATTCTGAAATCCTAGTTAAGTACTAATGAAGGGCCGTATTTAAGTCAATCCTCCGGCAGGGTAATAGACGAGTCAATCGAGGTTATCGTTCTGAACTCCAATACGCGGCGGTGTGTTCTCGGAGATTTTCGGTCCAGGATATGTCGTTATTTGCGTTAACCATCAGCCTGAAGAGGCGAAAGCTAATAAATGTGCTACTTTTATTAGTGTGCTCTACTCCTGGAATTATCCTATTCGACGAATGTAAATCTTGTCAATCGTATTCAGATCTCAGTACCAAAGGACGCCCTTTCTTGAGCCCACGTCATCTGGGTGGCTTCTGCCGTCAGAGTGAGAAGACCTAGGTTAATTTCACACTCTGTTCAGCCTCCTCTAATATTTGCTGAATATTGGCAACCCGCCATGAGAAATTGTTTGGAGTGCGGTATTGATGAACTGAAAACTGTCGCCGTATTTTTGACTGAGAGCAGCCAATGATTCAATGTTCTATCATAGATGAAATAGACATGAGCCTAGCTGTCCGCCCGATCTGCCGACTTTTACCTTTCTTCCAATTAGGTACTTTAAGATCAAAAAATATCTTAATAAAATTTAAGGCGCCCAAACCCAAAACCGCACTGACGGTAGTGTGGGCCTAGACCATTCCTCTACCATGGATAAATGTATTTTCCAGCAAATTCTTCTTTGTGTGTTTAGCACACTTTCAGCACTTCATTTCAGCACTCCACTTCAGCACTCCATTTCAGCACTCCATTTCAGCACTCCATTTCAGCACTCCATTTCAAGTCCTCAGCAAAGTAAATTATTATATTTTTATTTCTAAGACTAGCGTAAGAGTATTTCATTGGATTTGTCATCCAACCCACATAGAAACGTCTACTTGTATACAGTATTTAACATGCAAGAGGGGTAGGTCACACCGCAAAATTCAACAACGGTAAAGTTAGGTACTACATTGATTGTTTGCGTACTGTAATATTGTACATGCCGCTCAGTGCTAATGCCGTAGTCCGAGGTGATCTTTCTTTCAATTAGCTTAAATGATCAATTTTGTACAGATGCATTCTTTAGGTTTTAACTGGATCAAAGGTGCATATTCTATCAAGCTTTCCGTGATCTGATTTATCACTACATGCTCTTTCTCTTGGCGATAAACCAGCTGGTCCTGATTTTTTCTCTTAGCTAGTAAATGTTGATGTATCGCTGTCCTCAGATGCTCTTGTAAAGTGGACTTGGGAGTTTCTAGGCAAAGATAGTGCCATTTTGCACACGGGGAGTGTTCATTTTTAACTTAATCCTGAGACGAAATAAAACATGACTCGTGGAGCGTGTTTGCGAACAGAATCGGCGCTTCATTTTGGCTTTGCCGCTTTTGCTATCTCCATCAGATACTGCAACAGTCTAAGCATATGACGGTCTATCGCTTCACATACTAATACAGACTACGTGAAAAAAAACTACCTACAGCCACAATATGTCCTAATCAATCTAAGGACGAAGCACGGTACTACAGATGCCATTGAAGAACCTAATTGTGAGGGAGCAAAGTCGAGAATCCTGGCCATGCCAACAATTTTCAAGGAACGCGTATATTATCGATATTGGCTTAGATGTTAAAGCCTGAAGATGTTTGAAGGAAGCGAAAATCCGATAGACTTGAGGGTCATGAAGCTGACGCAGACAGATCTTGGTCAAAGAGAATTTGGGCATGAGATAACGAGGAAAGATACAGTATGTACAGAATCGATCGACAAAAAGACAATGGATGTTTCTGATGAATGACACTCATGAACTCATCTTCGGGCGTTTTTCTTGGTTGTGCGTTTGATTTTCTTCAGCATTGTCAGTTCCTCTCTTTAACAGGGCCTGCATTTTGAGATAATCGGCTTCCGCATGTGCCAAACCTTGCTGGCACTTCGTCAATCTCAGCTCCTGCCCTTTGTTACCCATAGCCGATATCTTTCGCTGGAGAAGAGCATCTTGGGACGTCTTTGACATCAAGATGGGGCTGTACGACCTAGCCTTGGAGGTCGAGACATTTCTGGCGGACAGGCAATTAATGGAGCTTTCGCTTGCTGAGTGACTATCATCAACGCCAGAGGTCGAATTAACGTGTCGGACAACAAAGGGGTTTCCGTAAAAGGCAAATCGCTTATTCAAGGATATTGTTACAACGTATCCTTTTGTGTAATCCACATTGTCGAATATTGCAATCCTATTGCGTTGATCTGTAAATTTCTGAGCGCACCCACATCGAGCATGCCCCGCTGTAGGAATCGCTGCTTCATTAGCAATTTGCCTGAAATCGATTCCAAAACATGGAATTCTCTGGGATCGGTTTACCTATTGTATCATGTAAGATGTCCGAATTATGAAGACACGTCTCCGCATGGAGGGTGATGTGATATGGAGTACCGTTGACGAGAGAACTTCGAATGAAATCTGTCTCGTTATCCGCCCATGTTATTATCAAACGGCTATTTTTGAACTCATGTGTCGATTGAATGTTATGAGGCATATATCGTAGAGAACGTTGAGCATTCCGTATGAACGCATTTATTGATTCTCTGGACGGGATCGAAGGCTTGAAGATTTCGCAACAGATAAGTCGCAATAGCTCTTCGACAGTATGACCACACAAGAAGGGGGATCTCGTTCCAGTCATTTCGTCTGGAAAATGATCACGACATTGTGATGCTTGGTGTATGGCATGGAAATTCAACCATCTGTGATGGATTTTAACAATGCGCGTTTCATTATCAAAAAAGCAATCCACACCGGTATTGTCCACTTGAACAAACTGTACAGTGGTTGGAGCTAAGTTAGGAATTAAGAGCAGGCAGGCATTGAGGGCTCTCCTGATGGTTTGAGAGAAAGAAGATTGCGGGCAATGACAGCTCTCTGCCAGTCTAAACTGTTCAATTTGTTCTTCCTCTGGTGTGCGGAGCGGATAATTTGTTCGAAGAAGATTCCAAAGCACACTGGGAAGTCTCAATGGCTCTTTTCTCAAGGCCTCTCGAATCATCGAAATACTCTGGCTTGCCTGTTAGCTTCGATACAATAAAGTTTATGTTGTTGTGAACACACCTGGGCTTGTGAACTTTCACTGTAAAACCATCCTGTATTTCCCGCTTCACGCAATAGGTGCCGCCAAATCAATGCTTTGGTGGAATTCTTGAGGAGGATGTCTGCTGATGCAACATCAGGCGATTCGGGAAAATTCCGGAGAAGATCTAAGTATAACGGAAGCACAGTTTCTTCATGCATATCTATCGCAGCTTCCCAAATTTTTGTCACAGCATTGGCTTCCTCTGATTTGTCAACCAACATTTGTCTATCCCTGTTGATTTTTCCTCGAGTAAAATTGTAGCAGAATCTGTACGGCTTCAGATTAGAAAAAGCTGCCGGCAAGAATATTCCGTTCAGGTATAGCCTATTGGAAAGATCTGCATCCAGTATCAGATCTCCCGCGCCAGTCTCGATGATATGAGACGGATAGGATATTCCGCGAATTTCAAGTGAGATCTTGGTCCATGTCCGAAATGTTTCAAACGAGATTGCTTTTTCTCCTTCGGCGCTGGCCGATCCGATTGTAATGGCCACGTCTCTCTCAATCCGAGACTTTAACTGGGCCATGTCAGTAGTTGCATCAGATGGTGCATCGGTGTTCCTCCCCATTGAAGGTCGAATTATACATCTGAAATCCGAGTCCACGAAACAGAAATCCCAATGGCTGTTATCTGTGTCAACTCTCAAACTGTAGCCGCTTCGTATCATGACCAAAGCCGCTAGTTTAAGGCCTTCCCCGTGACAACCTGTAAGCCTGTCATGGTCCCTTTTGGACGAATATCCAAGCTCCAGACATTGAGTATTGATGCAAGCACACGGGTTGACTAGGCTCAATCGACCTGCCTTTTTTTCATATTTGATGAACCCCAAAGCGTGCTTAGATCGACCGTCAGGCTCGGGTACCAATATCGAAATGTAATCATCGTTTTCTTCATAGACTGGCTGAAAGCTTAGACGATCCAGATTGAATCGCTCCACGATTGCGTCTCTCCTAGTATTGCTTAGCTTGCGCGGCCATGTAACACGAAGAAACTTTTACCAGTTCTGATAGAGCTCCCTGAAGGCGGCTGCAGTATCCCAATCTTGAACATAAGATGGTGATATTGCAAGGGGAACTGTTTTATCTTGCTCTGAAACAGATGAAACAGAAAGCCCATCAATATGATTTTTTCCGTCGGTTCGTACGTCCTGGCTGGGAGTCCGTGTTGTGTCGCTGGGAGTCCGAGTTGTCTGTATAGAAGACATCTTTCCTGGTGATTATCACTAGAGAAAATAGGTCGGTTTGTCAACTTTCAGAAAAAAGTTGTTCTAGATAAATAATGAAGAAAATGGATATCTGATGGACCCTTTTATACGTTTATTTTCAATCCAATACTATCATATCCACACCAAATGAACCTCCTACTGCAAGGTCAATTTGGTCAAAGATTCGAGTACATTTTCAGCGCAAAGCGACTTCATCGATGGTAATTGAACTGCCACTGAGCTGGTTTTTTTTTTTTTTTTTTTTTTTTTTTTTCAAAGTAAAATCCATACAATCCACACAGACTTCAAATCATGCACTAGACTTTTGAAAAAGCACCGGCTACCTGCGGAATAAGTTTCATCTCAGGACATGAAATCTCATGAAGGTTTACATAATCAGCTTTTCTACCTTATGTCGGCCTTATATTGAATCATTTCTGTGTGTCCTGTCCTCTAAGTGGTTGTGGTCTTTAACGTATACATCCAGTATCATAATTTCCGGCTGGTACGGATCGCTGAATTTGCTCCCGTAAATATTTCGTGTTGGTCCTTGATTAATCGTTCCAATTTATTTATCCTTCATCCAAGGTCTGTATTGATAATCACTCGATTCTTTCAGCCATAGGCTCTTTCATCGCTCCATTTTATCATTTGTTTTCATTAGTTATGAATGTGAGGCCTTGATATTTCTTGAGATCTTGGTACTTTCTCGTCACGCACAACAGCTGGAGTTCATCTCTGAATACCGCAACGTCAACTGAAAAACAGCAATATTCGAAAACAGAATTTCGCTGTACAGTACTCTCCCGCCTTCATTCTTGCTCACAACCAAATGAGAAAGTCGCCGCCATCGTTGGTCTTTCAAACACCAAAGATCCCTCTCGAATTGTACGTCATATCAATAGCTCTATATCATACAGAACAATTCAAATACAGTAGAACTCGAGAATATTTCACCCTTTGGACACAAACACTTTCCCCTGGCGCCTCACCTCAAAACTAGACTATGTTCGATCATTGGAAGCCCACTATGTCTTTTGGGGGGGTTTTTAGTGTATCACCAAAGTCACCATAATTAATGGTCCAGCGGTTGAACGAATCGTCCATGCCGAAACACTCCTTGGCCATACTGTACCACTACCAATGAGCCTCGTAATTCATGTAATCATCTCCCAGTACAAGTTCAAGCTTTATGAATTGCGACTACGCTCCAAATAAGTGCGCTTTTGATGTTTGATGTCCTGTACTGTATTGTAAGGTATTGCATACAATATATCAATACCAAATAATTTATTGATTATTCATCAGTTTGTGGCGGTGCGCTTTTCTTTTATCCGTAATTGTACTGTAATGTAACATGCTCATCCTCATCTTCGCGCATCACCCCTGCCAGGAATCAAGAATCCATTATACTTTAATCCTGGCATAGAACAAACATTAAAGTATCGCCTTGGAGGGTATTTTGTATCCTGGATCAAATTGATTTCTGGTCTAATTTCTCGCCCTAGGCCTAGACCTGGTGAGCCTTCGAGAAAGCCTCAGTCCGTGTACACTTGTAGGACTGTTTGATCAATTGCTGCAAATTGGACCACATTTTGCCGCAGGCGTCAGATTTTGGCTCTAGAGCTCACATGATCTTTGTTCCATTTTTGAGCTAAGTTTTATTTGTTCTTTGTCTTCGTTCGCGCTGTCGGGCATACCTCAAGTGGTCCAAGCTCCTTTTTGCGCTCTTGACCTTGGCGCATCTTGAGTAGCCCGGGCTCTTTTCTGCGCTCTCGTCCTTGGCTCATTTTCAGTAGCCCGAGCTCTTTTCTGCGCTCTTGTCCTTGGGGCATTTTGAGAAGCCCAGTCTCTTTTCTGCGTTCTTGTCCGTGGCGCATCTTGAGCAATGCGGGCTCTTTCTTGCGCACTTGTCCTTGACACATTTTTAGTGGCCGTAGCTCTTTTTTGTGCTCCTTTCCGAGGCCCCATGGTGGTTACATCAAGGTGAACTTCATCATGGCCCGTGTGAAGGTCTTTTTGTTGAGATCCAGCAGAGGAACAGTTTGGGTTGCTTGGATGGAGAAGGTAATTTCTATCCAAACTTCCCTGCCTCTTCGTTCCATTTAGGTGTAGGTGATCAGGGAAAAAATAATTCTCCTGATCACTATATGATGATATTTTCTCCACGTCCCTGAGAGGCGTAGGAGAAACTCCGTCAAGTATCATAGAATCATTCGATGGGGGTTTGGTGGGACTGCAATTTGAATAGTCAGACTTACACCCAAACGTAGACTGCATGACAAGATCTCGAATGGGGCCCGTTGAGGACGTAGAATTTATGGATTTTCCATCGACTGGAGAAATATGGGCATCTGACGATTCACCCGCCACCCGAATTTGGCCCATTGCCTCCCAATGGTGAATAATTCTCGGATCAATCATTTCAATGTCGGGTTCTCTTAGCTGCGGTTCAATCAAGGAGCTCTCTGCGAAGAGGCGAGGAACAATTGAACCACTTCTGCTGAGATTGATTAATTTTTCACCGAGACTCGAACGATCGAATTCGTTTTCATGTTCCGCGACGCACAAATCCGAAGTATCGATTGTCATCAAATTTTCATTGGATGATTTGTTCTCGGGTTCGCAAAGCAAATTAGAATAATGACAAAAGCGGAATCTTTTGTGCCGGTCATCTTCAGATTTAATTGAAATAACTTTTTGTTTTTCTTTGGGTGAGCGCTTCCGTTTTTTGGGGCAAATGCTGTTTAGCCATATGGCTTTTTTCAGACCATGTACGTCATGCAAATGATGTCGAACATCTTTTTCATCCTGAAAGACTTCGACGCAACCACAGATAGGCTTCGTTGTGGGGAACTGAAGGCAAGAAAGATGTATGGTTTCGATATGTTGTCTCAAATTGCCGTTTTGTAGCCAGTAGTGCAATCGATCTGTCGCGGCGAGCTCTTCGTCCCATAGGCAAAACGGACAATAGCCAGGGCGAGTGATTGTGTGGCGATATATTATCAGTTCGCAATGTCGAGTTTTCCATGCCTGGAGATGAGCCTGGCAGTGGTCCAGCCATTGATCTTCTAAATTCCATTCCATGCACTCGTAACAAAATCTTAGACTTTCTTCGGAAACCTGAAGATCAAAGGCAATTTGTCGTTTAACACACTCGTGAATATGGATGCTTCGCTCATGCTTCGGAAGACTGAACAGGTTAGCATGTATCATTCAAATAGGGATCCCCTTCATTACCTTGTTATAACTATTTGACAATGTCTAGCTGGGCAAGAACCTTGAACAGGGCTTTCGCCCGGAAGATAAACCACATCAAAGTCACGAGCACATTGCGTCTTCAGATCTTCCACAAAGAGAAGTATTTCTTCAAACGACTGCTCCTTCGTGCAAGACATGGCTGTTGCAATTCTAGCGGTTTCCGGCATTAATAAAGCTTGGGTGCGTGTGGTAATATCATTTCCATGCGCCAAGAAACCTTCTTTTCCCCTGCTGAGGATCCTTTGGTCTCGTCTTTCCCGCACCCAACGCTTCTGATACTCCTTGAGCTCGGATAGGCGACTTCTGAGCAGAGACTTCTTATAATTCATTCTCTCCAAAGCTATCAGACCCTTATCGTCGTTGTGGCTCTGAAGATGCTCAATTCGATCTTTGATCTCCTTCAACTCAGGCTTCTTCAGAAGGCTTTGCTCGATTTCAGCTGGTAGTGTGCTTGGTAACCCTGGCTCATAATACCTGTCAAACCCTTGAAAATACTCAATATGGTCTGATCCTCCTCCTGCATCTGGATCCTCATTCAAAACTGCTGCAACTGTGTTGATTGAAGAGCAATGCAGGACGTAGTCTTTAGCATAGGTTCCTGGGCCTTTGTGTCCATAGATTTGAGATACCAAGGCCGAGCCATACTTGCCTGCATAGAAATTAGAAAACCGCGTCTATTGAACTGTTCCATCATGTGCCGATGACTCACCTTCGATCACTTTCCCGAGGCTCTTGCGAATGTTATGCACAGTTGGTCTTTTGGTGTACCCAGCGGCAGTCAATATCACACGTAGACACTCACAAAACACTGTTTTTGTGAGGGGCACGTCTTGTGGACCATCAGCTGTGACATGTCTGAGAACAGGCTTCTCTAAATAATCATCTTTCCAGCGTAAAGGGATTGGTCCATTTGAAAGGTCAAATTGAGCTAGGTCCTCTACGGACTCAATGCCAAAAAGGGCGCCATGGTTGAGCGCAAGCGCCAGTAGAATATAACCGGCTGCGAACTGTGGCTTTCTCGAATCTCGGATCCCAATTCCAAAGCTAAAGGCAAAAGTTAGTGCATGAAACTTTGAATTGAGATACCTTATAGTTTTACTTCTGTCGCTGACTCACACTGTATACTTCGGATTTCGATTGTTTTTTAACCAAACTTGATTCACTTTCCATTCTACTTTCCAGGGGGCTGTAGAAGAAGGGAATAGAACCAGCTCTATATCCTGTAGTAAAAGTCAGCAAGAGTGCCATGCCTTGCTGATGTGCTCTCTTCACCTTGTAACGAAGGCCTCTTTCTGTTTTGTTCTCATGAGCTGGAATAAAAGCTCCAATTCTTGCTCCGGTGAATAGAAACAGCTGAAGAGTCAGCAAGATTGTGACTTTTAGCAAGCCAGGTATGAAGCGAGGATGATCTGTCTGCCACAAGGAGGAGATTGTTCGACAAAAGTCCTTCTTGGTAAAGCTTAGCTTTGGTGACTTGACGTCTTCAATCAATTTTTCATCTGCCGTCAATGTTTTCCTGATCCACTGTGTGTCGATGCCATAAGATTAGCCACTGTTGCCATGTCCAACCAAATGATATATATTTCCGCACATTGAATATCTCACTTCGATCTTCTTCTACAATGGTGATACCCACTGTTTCTTCGAAGCCGCCGAAAAGTCTCTCGGCACAATTGAGGACACTCGACATCACCGGGCGTCCATTCTCACTCTTTCTGCCATTTGTCTTGTGGATGTACCAGCGAATAAATTCTTTCATGTCCGTATGGTCTGGGGTTGCACAATCCGGGCCCAGTTTGTAGCCCTCAAGGCCATACTTTTCAGCGAATCTAAATGCAAATCAACAACTCATTCAGCAAGGAATCTCGAGAAAGATTTCATGTCAACTCACTTCATCCATAGATCAAAGCCGATCGAGTACATTCCCTTGGTTCTTGGCAATCTTTTATCTTTTTTCCTGATGGAATCATCTTTCGCATGAGCGCCGAAGACATAGCCGTCATCGGTCCGTCGTCGCTGGCCTTGCTCTTTGGCGGTTTGATTGACATCTGCAAAGAAGATCTTCTGACCCATAACTATCACTACCGCAGCGAATCTCAAATTTCAGAATTTGACATTTGAGGTGAAGATAAAGCAAGAAATGGGAAAGCTGGGTGACTGGAGCTGAAATGCGGGACTCGGTCTCCAATTTATATTCCAATATTTAAGATAAATAAATATTTTTTTCTTCGTTGGCTAGTATTCAGCACCACGGCATGCTTCAGATTTACGTCATTATGCTCTAGTGTTAGGAAGAGGAGATGGGACATTAAGCAGCTCATGAAGCACAGACAGTGCGCTAATTGAGGGCCATCAAAATGTTGATGGGTCAGTAATCAGTGATGGAGAAAATATGCTTCTTCGGGGATAGACTGGCAGTAGACTGGGTGGTCAATAAATGCCTCTTAGTAATCAACGGGTATGGGGTGTCAGTGAACAGCCACTCATGATCACTGAGCGCTCACTGAGTGCTCACTGAGCGTCACCGTCATATCACGTGATGATGATGAGCTGCTCAGTGAGCCTGAGCCCAGACTGAAAATTACTCAGTGAGCCTGAGTCTGAGCGCCCTCATAAAAGCGGCGGTATCCCAAATAGGAAATCCCCACCCGTCAAAGAAAATCCAGTACGTACAGTGACGGGTCATAAGTTTTTGCACCCCCCTAAAGACCCACTCCCTCACCGCTAGTACCGCCTTCCTAATTCGCGTATCAGAAATCACGCTAAATTAGTCGTGTATAGTCTCGCGTTCAATATTATTAGAACTACCCCCTTTCTTGTCTAATTCACTATATCTCCTAATATCTATCAGCTTCAGCTAACATGGCCCGCTCAGCGGAGCTTACATCCGCCATACGTGAGCGTATATGCGAGCTCCACGCTATTAAATGGGGATATAAACGTATTCAAAAGCGTTATCCCTATATCCCACTATCTACAATTCGATATACAATTAAGAAGGAGCATGAACGACGAGAAGGTGTCTCTAAGGCACGCTCTGGTCGGCCAAAAAAGCTCTCTGACGCAGAGAAAGACCGAATTCTCGAGGCTATTCATGGTAATCCAAGAATTACACGTGAAGATCTACTCGCTGAGGTTGACCATAAGGTGAAAATTCGTTCGATTCAACGCCTTCTAAACGCTGAGAACCTCCGGAAGTGGCGCTGTAGTTGGCGACCATACTTAACTGAGGAGAATGCCACGAAACGACTTCGATGGGCCTACCGATATCGACACTTTACGCCTGAGGATTGGGCCCGAGTTTTCTGGTCTGATGAGTGTACGGTTGAACGTGGAATTGGTGTCCGCCGGGAGTGGACTTTTACTCGTCCAAGAGACTAACCAAAAGAGGGCCAAGTCTAAGGGCTACCTTAGCGTGGAAAGCAAGTTAAGTAGATGTTTTGGGCAGCGTTTTCAGGGGCTGTGCGGCGTACTGGATTGATCCCGCTTTTTGGAGATCCTGAATCTGAAAGAGGAGGTATTAACCGCTTCGTTATTGAGGATTTATATCGTCGAATTTTACCTACTTTAATGGCGAATGAAGACGCTATATTTCAGCATGATAACGCACCAACACACACTGCCTACGTTGTACGAGAAGCTTTAGAGGAGATGAATATCGAGTTTATGGAGTGGCCACCTCATTCACCGGATCTGAATCCTATTGAGAACCTATGGGCATTACTTAAAGCGGCAATTTATAAACTTCGACCTGATTTGATCCATATGAGGAATAACAACGAAACAAAGGCAATCTTAGTCGAGACAGCGCAACAGGCTTGGGATGAGCTTGATCTTAGCCATTTTAGCCATCTTTCGGAGACTATGCCGCACCGTGTCGAGGCAATTATTGAGTCTCAAGGGTGGTATACACCATATTAGGTAGGAATTCATACAATTTCCAAGGTTTTTGACCGGCAGAATATTATATAAGCAGGGGGTGTGGGGCGAGGGGGTGCAAATACTTATGACCCGTCACTGTATAGTGACCTATGTGCATGAAGAGTCCCTTTCTGTTCATATCTGCCCCAGTGTGCATCATACCAAGTAAGTCGCTCATGGAGAGCCAGTATATTCGTATTGTCTAACCAAGAGCATGATCAGTCTGCGGTACCAATCCGATTCCTTGACATTCTTCTACTTTAACGCGGCCAATTTCAGCAACATTTCCCCTCGGCCATGGGAGGGGGCATATCACACTTCGGAGCTCCCGCTGGTCTTTGGAACCTGGCAGGACTATGGAGGTCCGGGTACCAGCTTTGAGGCGGCTGTATCCGCACACTGGCAAGATCTGTACCTGGCATTCATAAAAGATCCCGTGCATGGCTTACCTCGCTTGGGATGGCCACCATATAACCCGAACGGCTCGGCTAATTTGATGGCTGCAAATGAGAAAGCAGCTCAACTGATGTCCATAACCAAGCTAACGAAGGAATGTGCCGGCATCCCGGAAACTTATGATTAGAAGGTTAGCAGGGCCCCCATGGCCCCAGCCACCGAAAGACTTGAATAGGATAGGAATCCCGGTCGCAGAGATGAAAGAGTCATATCATAACCGAGATCAATTAGATTAAAACGTAATTAAGGTGAAATCCTCCAATGCGCAACGAAAGAGAAGGTGAGTGAGAGATCGACATTGGCGACACCTTGACATGATTGGTGGATCCGGGCCAGGATCACAGACCGCATTCCCTCCGCCGGAGTTTTGCCAATGTGACTTGGACTCCTTTGTTTACCCCGTTTTTCTCGGCGCCTCACTGGAGCTTAACGGATCCACTGACGCACCTAAGCTGTGGGCTCGGATCTTCCCCCTCATCCTCTGGGAGCTAGTCCAATGGTTGAGTAGCATCTCCTCACCTGCTTTCGGATAATTCGTGATCTATCGACCCTTACCCCGGGTTTCCCTGCCCCACGCGTAGAACCCCCCTAGCGTCGGTACATGCGGAGTGTAGACTAGCGCGTCCAATTGGCCATGTTGTTTGCTCATTGGAATCCTCTGACATAAAATGCCCAGCCTTCCCCACGGCTACTTCCGTTCTCTCCTTTGCCCTGCCCGCTTCACTCCTCGACTTCTCATCCTCTACGGTATCCTTCTCTTAGCTCTCATAGCTACAGGCATCAGGATGCATTTCAAGTCATACGTTGCAGCGGCCCTCTATGGCCTGCCTGTTCTGGCAAATGCGGCGCCGTCTGCGTCGACCGCGTCGAGTAGCTCGTCCGCAGATGCTGATCACTTCAAGGAGTACACGATCAAATCGGAGAACATCACTGTCACACTCATCCCTTACGGAGCGCGCCTGACCTCAGTTCTGGTTCCCGACCGTCATGGCAACACACAGGATGTCCTGGTTGGTTATGACAACCCGCTTGAGTACCTGCACGATTCCGAAACCAATCACACCTTCTTTGGCGCAGTCGTGGGTCGCTATGCCAATCGCATCAAGAATGGTACCTTCTCTATTGACGGCACCGACTACCACATTCCGGAGAATGAGAATGGCGGCAAGGACACCCTTCATGGTGGTCTCATCGGCTACGATCAGCGCAATTGGACAGTCACTGCCCATGACTCTTCGTCTATCACCTTCAGCCTTTTGGATGAGGCATGGCAGGGCTTCCCTGGCGATGTGCTCTCGCACGCCCAGTTCAGTGTCTCCACCGAGAAGTCGCCCGAGAACCCCAAGGGATTGCCCCAGCTGACCACCAAGCTGATCTCCCTCGCCCTGACCACAAAGACCCCAATCATGCTCGCCAACCACCTCTACTGGAACCTCAATGCCTTCAAAGAGGAGACCATCCTGGAGGATACCTACCTGTCAATGCCTCTGTCCCAGCGCTTCATTGGCGGTGACTCCCTCCTGATTCCCACCGGTGAGATCCTGGATGTCAGCACTGCTTACGAGGGTGCCCTGGACTTCACCGAGCCCAAGCTAGTCGGCCAGGATATCAAAAAGACCACCGGTCTCTGCGGCGATGACTGCACCGGCTACGATACCTGCTTCATTCTCGACCGTCCCGCCGCCTACGCCGCCGAGAACTCGATGGTCCCATCCGTGCGCCTGGCATCTGATACCACCGGCATCAGTCTGGACGTTGCAACCAACCAAGCCGCTCTGCAGATTTACTCCTGCAACGGCCAGAACGGCACCATCCCTACCAAGGAGTCGCAGGCCAAGCGCAACAAGAAGCAGGATGGCAGTGCCGGTGCTGGCTTCGTCAACAAGTACGGTTGCCTTGTCATTGAGACCGAGGACTGGATTGATGGCATCAACCAGCCTGAGTGGGGCCGTGACCAGTACCAGATCTTCGGTGCTGACGATGGTCCCGCCGTCAACTGGGCCACTTACCAGTTTGGCACTTACTAAATTTTTTCTTCTTTTACAATGCACTTCTGCATCGATACCATAATCTTGCTTTGATTTACTTGGGCTGCCCTTTTGACTCTTCACTCCAGGTTCGTTTTTGTACATAGCCAAAACGCATGCCCTTGATGAGTTGGGTTCTGCAAGTCATTAACCTATATTAATGCAAAATACCCACCCAACTCTTTCAATACTGTAGACTGTCCAGTCTATACTTATCCGAGGGTCTTCTTCATGTTCAGGTAAAAGAATCATCACATTTCAAATCAAACATAATTGGTAGGCTCTTTATAATATTGCTGTGGCAGCCTTCACAGCTTTGACAGTATATCAGACCCATCATCCCCACTCCCCTTGATGATTTCATGCTCCCAGTAATTTGGGTTAAAATTCATTCGGTTCAACGGGTTCAAGCGATGAGCTCTGTTGAAAAGGTCTTCGTACACACGACCATCATATCGTCCTAGCGCACTAATCAAAACCTTGTTAGAGAAATCACAAGCTTCCCAAAAAGATGTGTTACGCTTACCTATCGAGTAAATAATCCGGAATCATCCATGAGTCCACCAATTTCACTGCGTGTGGTCGAGTTCGCGCCATTAGATCTTGGATACGTGTTGGTAGGAGGTCAAGATCGGATTGAGAGACCGCACCACAGCGGAAGACTAGATAGGTCAATGTCTTGTGATAGACCGCATCGGTTTGAAGAAGCTTACAGTCATATCCCTCGCTCTCCATGGTATAAAGTGCAAAGAGACGATACAAATCCCATAGAATGGCCTTCAGGGAGCTAGACAGTGTGTTATCGGTTGACAACGTCTCGAAGAATTTGCTGACAAGTATAGATTGGGATTGAGCTTCCTTCAGTCAGTTTGTATTCATATACAGAGATCATATCATGGCTTACCCTTGCTTAGCTTGTGAAGTTGAATGAGGAGACTATTCCAGCTTCTCTTCTTGAGTACTCGCTGCTCGTATGCGTCATATGCCTGTCAATAGTGGTTAGCCGTCGAGAATAAGCTTTCTTTAATGTGTCGACGTACAAGCACAGTAGCACGCAGCTCGAAGGCCTTGGAAATTTCCTGATCGCTTTCCAATACACGATATACAGATTGACGAGAGACTCCGCGTCGATTTTGAATATACTGCTTGAATCGGGTCTCTGTCTCATCCGCGCCCGGCATATCAGATGCTTTCACCGCAGCAGTCATCTTCTTAATAAGATAAGAAGCAACCTGCTGCGTAATCATCCAATTATCTCCTTCAACGGTCGGCTTGGACAGATAGTCGTTATTGAGTTCGATAAGCCCACTTCCACCCCCAAAGCCATGTCCACCTAAGGCTCGCCGGCAAGTCTCAATCCCATCCGCAGCAAGCATTGTGCAGAGACTTTTCAGACCGGAAGACATACTGTGCATGTGAGCTAAAGAACGAAAATCGCCTCGCTCCACATCTTGTCGTGTATTGTCGTAGACACGGCGCATTGCGAGGCCGGTGTAGTGTAACGCAAATGTAGTAGCCAGCAAAGGCAAGATCCGAATTTGAACGGTCGGATAGTCAAGGACAGACATCTCAGTTCCAGTGCCGTTGCTATCTCGATCTGTGAATTGTCGTCGGACGGCGGAATAGCGTACTGCGACTGTCACTGCGCGTGCTAGGACTAGTCTAGCATGATGGACTATTTGAGCTCGGACGTAGGTGAGAGATCCGTAGACCACGGCTGGCTGCGCCGGTTTTGCGTAGGTTCCGGTCTTAGGGTCCACGCTCGAGTATCGTGAAAGCATGGCAGAATGAGGAATGCTGGCTAAGGGTTAGTATTCATCATTCCTAACAAATTTAGTGTCTCTAAAGCTTACCGAAAGTTATTGAAGAGCATGTAAGCATTGTCCATCGTGACATATCCATACTTAGGCCCGATATCTCCAACCACTACGCCATCCAGCGGTTGGTGAGTTTTCATATCTCGCACCTGTACAATGAATGGATGGGGACCATGCGACACGTATTGATCTGGGGACCCAGATTTAGGAAGAAGTAATTGCGCAACGACGATAGCATGATTTGCAATACGGCCCAAGCTACCATTCCACCATTTGCTAGCCGTGAGCGTCGGGCTATGCAGGATGAACTCACAGGTTCCGGGATCCCAGCGTGCCTCAAGCTCCAACCCCCGAACATTACTGCCATGTCCGAGCTCTGTTTGCGCATAAGCCCCAATAATCTTCCACGATTCAATCAACGGCATCCAATGAGCCCGCTGGGCTTCATTTCCTTGCTCGCGAATGGTTGTGACGAACATCTCCAGGTGTAGAAAATACGGCGAAACATCGCTGACTAGGTACTCCGCCATCTTGTGATCTTCATGATCCCATTTATGTTGGTCGACTAGTCGACGTAGCAGCTTTGCTCGAGCGAGCCCTAGCTTGAATCGTTCCGGACGAGATAGGTTTTGCTGCTTGTCCTTGGCGAGAAGTGGCTCCCTTTGCACGATTGGTAGAATGCGAGCTTGCCGTTCCAAGAACCCATCTGCAGATAATAAGTGCTGTCCTAGCTCCTCGGTTGAGATGCTGGATTGCTCTCGTTCGCGGGCAAGAGTTGTGGGTCCATCTGGCTGGCCTGGACGGAGTTTATCAGTAAAATCGGGCATATTAGTCCAGTGTTTTCGATTAGAGCATCACAGAAGATATCAATCATGGTTTAAAACATCAACTTCACTCGAACTGTATTAAACTAAAAATTGGTGTCCGTGTTCCTCGGCCTCACTCTAGAAATCACCGAGTGCCGATTGCCGGCATATGCCACGCGGGGAAGGTCGCGGGGAAGATCGTGGGGAAGTAGCCGACTTACAGATGTGGCACACAAAATGGTAATGCGGAGAATTCCCGGCTTATATACCACTGAGAGAGGTAGTTCATATGAAATAAATTCCCCAGATCTCTATCCCTGGCGACGGTTAAGCAATGGGGGATCGCACTCAATTCGTACCTTCTCATGTTGGAGCCAACGTGCTTCCCAATCTGCCTTTCTTTCACAAACTACTACGCTATGCTCAGCGTAGACCGCCACGAATCTCCATTCGAGACGTGAACGCGGGATTGGAAAAAACATTTCATCATGTTCTTTCAGACGCTCTGATTCTTCGAAGAAAGTTGGAGCAAAAGCTGAGTGCTGAAACTCTTCGAGACCTGGTAGAAGATAAAGAGGTCTATATTGGACTATTGGCACCGGGTGGCTATGAGTACACCGTTGGCTTCGTTGCTATTCTTGCACTTGGTGCTGCAGTAGTGCCAATGGGTAAGTCAAGAAATTCCTCTACAGGAACATGAAATCTGACCATATTTAGCTGCCGGGCTACCTGTGGAAGAAGTCTCATATTTCCTACTCAAGGCGCGATGTGTAGCTCTATTGGCCGATACAACCAGCGAGCCACTAGCGCACTCAGTTGTACGTTCTATGGGCGACAAGAACAACTTCCATATACCTTGCATTTCTCCCATCGCATCCTTCTTCCAGACAACGCTGGTCGCAGTTGATGATATTCTCATTTCATCAAACCGGGCCCTCGATATGAATAACGCAGCCGCAGTCATATTCACCTCGGGAACAACTGGTCCTCCAAAGGGGGCTGTCCAACGTCGTACCTGGTTGACTGGCAACGCCGAAACCGACGCGGCCTTTTATGGCGTCACTGAAGACGATGTAGTTCTTCACGTCTTACCAGTACACCATGCTTCCGGATTAGGCCTCACATTTCTTCCTTTTCTAACTGCTGGCGCATGCATCGAATTCCGAAGTGGTAGCTTTGATACTGCTTGGACATGGGAGCGTTGGCGTCAGGGTGGGCTGAGCTTTTTCTCGGGTGTTCCAACCATATATATGCGGTTGATGCGGTACTTTGAAGAAAAAATTGCGACTCAAGCCCCTGAGGTACGGGACCAATACATCAAAGGCGCTCGTGATATCCGCACAATGCTTTGTGGATCGTCGGCTTTGCCTGGGCCTGTGCAGGATTTCTGGGAGAAACTCCGTGAGAAACCAATGATGACCCGCTATGGGGCTACCGAGTTTGGGGCGGTCATCAAGACTGATCTCAGCCCCCAGGGTATGCCGAGGAACAGTGTTGGCCGCATAGTTGGCGGTGTCGCGCTGAAGCTTGAAGAGGACGGTCATCTGTTGGTGAAATGCCCTTACATGTTCTCCAAGTATGTATCAGCCCATATCTACCGGAGAGTGTTGCTCTAACCATTTGAACTCCAGATATGTCAATGACGAAAAGGCAACCATTCAAGCACACGATAGAGACGGTTACTTTAAATCAGGTGACATCGCTCGACGAGAAGGCGATTACTTCTTTATTCTCGGTCGCGCCTCCATTGACATCATCAAATCAGGAGGATACAAGATTTCTGCCTTGGATATTGAGCGAGAGATACTCGGCTTGGACTATGTATCTGAAGTGATGGTAGTTGGTGTGGAAGACGAAGAATACGGTCAGCGAGTGGCAGCCAGCATCAGCCTCAAGACGGACCAGGGCACAACACGCAAAAGCCTCACGCTGGCGGAGCTACGAGCAGACCTCCGAAGCAAGATGGCAAGCTATAAGATACCTACTATTTTACGAGTGGTCACGGGTGAGCTGCCCAAGTCAGGAACCGGCAAAGTGCAGAAGAAGATTCTGGGGCCACAACTTTTCCCTTCGAATTATAGAGAGCTGCCCGAGATTTCAGTTTGGAGCAAGAAGTCCAAGCTATAAAGCTGCGTAAAGTTTGAGTCCTTTGAATTGCATACCAATTTCATCACATATTCTCTCCTCGTCTAATCGACATTAACGAAAACCAGACATACTTGGCTAGAATGAATCAAATCTTGACCTTGGCAGGAGCCGAAGTCATTCGACTGTGCACATAACTAATTCGCTGGAACTTCTTAATTGCCTCACCCCAGAGCTCCTGGCGTAGCAAAGCATATACCCTAGAAGAATTGAGTCAGTTAAGATAGACTCACATCTAAGGCATCTACTGCATGACTTACCCCATCTTCGCCTTAGGCGCCCACTTAGCTGCGATTTCCAATGCTTCATCCAGCATACGATCTGGATCAGCAATAGCATCCACAATACCATCCTGTAGTGCTTCTTGTGCTGTCCACTTGTGTGCTTCCAGAAGCATCTTGCGCGCAACCTGAGGCCGCAGCTTTAGCCTAGGAAGGGATCCAATACCGTCGAAGTGCAGACCCAGGTTGACAGGTGGCATTGAGAAAAAGCCTCTCTTGGAGTTCATGACTCGGTAATCATGTGCAAGAGCCAGAGGACAGGCACCACCGAATGTATGACCCGTTATCAATGCAATGGTTGGAAATGGGAAGTCGAGAATCGTATGGATGAGCTTGACAAGTCAATACGAGCTCCAGGAGGATCAGCAGCCTTTGACTTACAGGATAGAATCCGTCTGTGTTTGCGAATGGGTTATTGTCGGATTCATCTAGCTCCAATCCCTACAAAGGCTCTTATTAGCTGGTTCTTGGTAGACGAGTCGCAAATGTCCATACAGTGCACCAGAACTTAGCATCATTACCTCTTGTAATAACTGCACCCTCAGAGTCTGGGCCCAGGAGCTTCTCAACAGTACGAAAGGCTCGAATCATTTCCTGGCAATACCACGAGTTCAGTCTGTTTTCGGGTGGTTTCTGCATGGTGAGAACGAAGACGTTCCCATGTCTCTCTAGGGCGAGATTGCAAAAAGTAGGTATATCTGGCATTTTCCTGTGTTACGTTATTTCATCAGCTTTGAATAGTCGAAAGATAAATAAAAGAACATTGAAGAGATTATTGGCTGTTCACTAGTTGTTAAACATAGATATCCAAGGCCTTGGACTCCCCGCACCCCGGATCGCCAAACCCCCACTTTAATTGGTTGCCGAAATGCCGAAATGCCGACTTGTGGAGGAGAGTGTCATCGAGACATGGGTCATACTAAACGAATTCAGGGTTGTTTGTAATTCCGGGTTGTTAGGCATTGACCCTTATGGAGCAAGAGGATGAGGATCATGGAGAGGAGAGATCTCTCTCAATGGTATTGCTGGGCCACCCAACGGTCCATCTTCAAATTTCTGCGCAGTAAAAGGTTGCAGGTCATGAAGAGTATTTATTCATGATGAAAGTTTCCATGGGTATCTATTATGTGCGGAATAGTAATTTACAATATTATGCCCATCCTGCCAGGGTCCAGCTAGATCGATCGCCCGCTCTCAATCCCGATCGACGATCAGGCGCAGGTTCCGAATCTCGAGTGCCACCAGCCAGCCCATGCTGCAGAAACTTTTCACGCTCAATCTCCACCATTCCACGGATCTTCAGGCTGGTCACCAAGCTGGCTCCAGCCCAGGCTCCAAGAGAATCAACCTCTCGTAACATTCCTTGGATAGGAACGGGTGTATCTTTGTTCTGACGGCGTAGCTTTTGCTCCACGAAATCAATTTCAGGCTCATCTTTGGATGGGTCTGGTTTCTCGTTTATAGGCGAGGATGCCGTGTCCGTGGGAGTCGATTGATTTTCGCCATTAATTGGAGATGAAATTCGTAGTTCTGCCAATCGCTGGCGTTGTCGCTCAATGACTTTGCCTCGAATAGGACTCCACCCATGCTGGTCAATCAATTGTGAAACATCCTTGAGAATCCGCTGCCGCAAGCCAGGGATTCGAGCTCCGCCACCCACAAAAACGATGCGCGACATGCATGTTCCACGCACGTCGGGTGGTAGTGCGAGCAAGGTTTTGTAGACAAGAAGCGGGATAGGTTTCTCTTCGTCATCTAATTCGCTCTCCGGCACACCTGGAGCAAAGAGAGCCTTCTCAACGGGTTCTGCAAGGCGTGAAAATGGCACCTCAATAAATTCCTGTTCTGGGTTGGTTGGCGAAGGTATCGAAACGTTCTGGTTCAAATGATCATTTTCCTCATTCGGGGCTTCTACCCTGCACCAAGCAAGCCGGGACGCAATCTCCTCGCAATATCGAAATCCCACGGAGATCTCGTCTGCTGAAGCACTGTCTTGCTCAGGGCTAGAGGCCAGACTAGTGAGGAGTCGGCCCAATTCTTGCAGCACAGCTTTCATTGCCCTTGTGCTTCGTTTTGTGGTAACTTCTCTATACTCATAAAGGCCAGTCGTAATGGTTTCCGCCCAGCCAAGGTCTACCACCAGGGCAGACCGCAATCCTGCAGCAGTCGCTGACATAGGCGCACTCGGTAAAAGTGTGATACTAGGGAAGCGCCAGCGGCTAAACAAGGTCGAAAGAAGTGATGACAGCAGCGGGTGTGGCATGAGAGAGGGCAACACCAAGACCAGACGAGACGTGCCTGCGTCGGTCAAAAGGTATTGGTTGTAGGTTTCGCGGAAAGCACGTTCGATTTTGTCTTCGACCAACCCTAGGTCGGTTTGTCGCAGGTCCAGCCTCCACAATTCATATTCCCGAGTCCAATCTTCGGCATCAACAGGTTGCACTGACGGTTGTGCGCCAGAACCGCCCTCTATCCACCCCCGATAGTCCCCCGCTCTCCTCGATTCCTCGGGCCCGAATCTTACGACGCAGACCGGGGAACTGCTGCCTTCGAATCCAGCTCGTAGCCATCGCGCACCCAATTCAAATATGATTGCATCATCCTCGTTGCGGAAAGATGAGCCCGGTGATGTGTTGCTAGCGAAGGAAGTATTGCCTGAGCGAAGCTGTTGTTGCGGAGTATGAGGAGAGTCTGGACGAGCAGCCTGGCTTTGGCGCAAGCTCGACGATGCGGACATCTCGTGAATATTGTTTGATCGGTGTATCGCGCCTAGTCAATGCTGCGTCGCGTAGCTCAGAATCGTGCGCGTGTTGGGGCGCGGATGGTGATTGCCCCTCGGAGCGACAGAAAACCCCAAGACCCGCTTCAGCGAAGTGCTGGATCTACAGCGTCATCGGAGTCAGTGTGAAATAAATGTGAGTATTGCAGTTCGCAGAATAACAAAAAATGACAGGAAGCTTCAATTGAAGATGTGGTAGAAGAGTGATGCGGGACTAAAGTTCAACGGATCTACATCGGGCCGCGGTTTATTTACTCCGTCAACATTCACTTCGACATCTTGCTCAGCTTCTTACCGGCGCCACATGGCTTCATACCCCATTGCTTGAAGTACGACTTGAGTTGATATCAATATCGGCCGGATGGGTATCCCAGGGTATGTGTCTCTTCGAACCCCTCCCCAAGGCTCTCATGCACGCCACAATATATTTCTGCCCAGTTTCATGAAACCCACTCCCTAGCAACGCTACCAACTAGCATATGGGCGTTTCCCTCACGACTAACAAATGTTTCAATACTGACAAATACTTAGGCTTATTCATGCCATTGGCAAGGGGGAGCGCATCTCCCTGTCAAAATTGGCAATTACACATTTGGAGCGAACAGCACGGCCAATTCGAATCGCGGTCGATATTTCTATCTGGCTGTTCCAGGTTCAAGCCGGTCGCGGCGGAAAGAATCCTGAGCTGCGCACATTGTTTTATCGGCTTTTGAAGCTGTTAGCATTGCCAGTCCACCCGCTTTTTGTCTATGATGGCCGTCAAAAGCCTCCATTCAAGAGGGGAAAGGCCGTGTCTCCGCGGAGTCACGGCAATGCGCCAATCATCCAACGCTCCAAAGAGCTCATTGAGCGGTTCCGATTTCCGTGGCATGAAGCTCCGGGTGAAGCGGAGGCTGAATGTGCGCGGTTACAGCAAGCCGGCATCGTCGACGTAGTGATGAGCAACGATGTTGACGCGCTCATGTTCGGGTCCACTTGGACTATTATGAACTTCTCGAAGGAAAAGGGCACTGCCACAGCTGCATCGACTCATGTTACTTGTTACCACCTAGGAAATGAGGATCATGTCTCAAATGTGCCTCTAAGCCGAGCGGGAATGATCTTGTTTGCCATGCTCAGTGGAGGCGATTATCTACCAGGGGGCGTTAAAAATTGTGGACCTGGATTGGCTGCAGAAATTGCAAAAGCTCATTTCGGCGAGGATTTGCTTGAACAACTTGCATCCCAGTCCCCCGATTTAAGTACGCGCCTGAACGAATGGCGGGAGCGGCTACAATACGAATTGGAGGAAAATGAAAGCGGATATTTCGCTACGAAACACAAAGCTGTTCGCATCCCGGACACCTTTCCTGACCAGACCATTTTGAAGTATTACGCGGAGCCCAAAGTTTCAACGGACGATGAAATGGCTACTCTAAGACGCCATCTGAGGCATGCCTGGGATCGTGAGATCGACCCCCTCGCAATCAGAACCTTTGCAGCCGATAATTTTGAATGGAATTATCGTTCAGGCGCGAGAAAGGTGATTAAGCTCCTAACAGAGCCTCTACTATCCTACAGACTTCGTCTTCAGCGGCCTGTCTCAGGCTTGTCACAAGGAACATTAGCGCCGAATTGTGATACACCATGGATGCACAAAGTATACAAAACTCGTGCGAATTTTGCCACTGACGGCACGGCTGAACTGCAAATGGATATGCTCCCAATCGATATTGTCGGTCTTGATCTTCTAGCTGAAGAACCGAATCCGCCAGAGGAGGCAGTACCTTCGCAAGAAATGGGCGAAGGAGACGAGGAAGATGACGCAGAAGTTGCTAATGAGGCTCTCGAGGAACCCCCCACGACGCCTTATAAGCCTCGCCCCAAAAAGCGATTCGATATTTTCGCAATTGAAAAGGTCTGGATCTTTGAGACTGTTGCTAAACTTGGTGTTCCTGATGCTGTCAATACATGGAACAAGGAACAAGCGGCAAAGGAGGCTGCGAAGGAAGCCGCAAAAGCTAAGAAGGCTGCACCAAAGAAGCCCAGCACCCGACGCACTGGTCCCAAGAAGAAGGGGCCTATCGATCCAGGAATGAAGCAGGGGAGCATCCTGAAATATGGAATGCTCACGAAAGAGAGATCCGACCTGTCCTCATACAATAAAGAACACATACTAGAGGCGGCTTCATCTCAGTCCACAGCCAAGGATTCATCTTCGAGGTTTCGAACTCCACCTTCATTCGAGAGCTTCGACTTTGATGATTTTTCTCCAAGCATGTACTCTCAACACCAGGGTTCTAGTCAGGCGCGCTACATATCTCGTGCGCTTGATGGACTCGTCGACTCATTTTCCTCACCGTGTGCCGCATCATCAACACCAAGAGTCAAACGCCATCCTATGGCAGGCCAACTCCCAACAGCAGCTCGTGTAGGTGTTTTGGCAGCCGAAGAAACCGAGATATTGGAATTTGAGACATCCAGATTGTCACTTGAAGATACGGTTGTTTCGACGCAACCACCGGTACCAAGGGGACTGAAAATGAGCTATTCGGTCTCCAGCTATGGACCTTTGGAGACCGTCAGGCGGAAGCCTGTAGTCTTACCAAAGAAGCAAAATCCTCACAACCTGAAAATGGTCAAAAGCCTGCCTGATACGGAAAATGCCCAGGATGTTGACGATATAGAGAAAGGCATTGGCTCCCTTTCATTATCAACCAAACATGCGAATGAGCATCTTCCGGAGCAAGCTACACCTTCGTTCGGATCTTCCTGCCTAAAGGATGACAAGAAACCAACAAACAAAAAGAGCCCTTCCAAGAAGGTGCCGAAGATAGAGAAGCCGCCTTCAGAGCCCGGACAATCATCGGGCCACGTTGAAAACATTTCAACAGCTGATGGGTTCTGGTTTTTTGACAAGCCAGCTGAATCCAATACGGACAAAGGTGATTCAGATGTGCCGAAGGGCGCAAAGCGTGACCAAAAGAAAAGGGACAAGACAAAACGAATTCCCCGCGTTAGCTTTATTGATTTGATTTGACAGTATTATTATACCCCTGTGATATTGCATTTTCTGGACCCAACTGGCAGGGACTCGGCGTTAAAGTGGTACAAGCATCATGTCAAGCGTACATATCAACTTAATCTGGATACAAGCATGAGTCTTTAGCCTCGAAGAACACAATAAGAATTTTGTGGATCCTGATACTTTAGCGTATGCAGACTCATAGTGATAGGTAAGAAAACAACAGTCTCAGGCAGTTTAGTGAGCGAAATACCATTCTCGCACTAGGGGACCCCGCTTGTTGCAAGATGAATCCAAGGGCTGTGGGAGAGACGAATGACCGTGGACTTGCTGTGGGGTCCCGCAGACTTATATCCTTTATTCCCATATTATGAAGTACCGTGGAGACTTTTTTGAAGGCATCCGTCTCACGACTGGAAGCTGATTAAATTGAGTCATGCTGGAGGTCCATTGCAACATCGGACCATTTGGCTAGGATCACGGCCTGACGGGAACACTGCCACCTCCTGTTGCCTCATCATATACAACTGATTGGTTTCCCTTCGAGTTGTTGTTGATCATGTACGTATGTTAGTTTCCTTGTCCGATTCTCGATTCGTAAACACCTCAGCCTAGTGAGATTGTTCCATGATTGGGGTTGATGGATTCATATTTTGTCAGGCATGATGGCCTGGGGAATATCAGCATGCTATATTACATGTAATTGAAATATCTAATCGAAGCCTTCAAAGTCATCGTCATCATCTCCTTTCTTTGAAGCAGGCTTGCCAGAGAGCTGTAAAGCGCGCTGCTCTCGCCGCCGTTCCTCGTTCTTTTCCCGAAGGGACTCGATCATTTGTTTCGTCTCCAGAGCCTTTTGCTTCTCCTCCTCGGGCAATTGCTCCCACTTCTCGTTCTCCTTTCGTGTCTGCTTGATCTCCTTTCGCTTGAGCCTCTTCTCCCGGTTTTCTTGGTTTTGACTCCAAGCAGCACTTTCGGTTGCAGTTCGTTTCCGTGACTCCTGCTGGCCATTCTTCTTCTCTTCCTCGGCCTCAAGGGCCTTCTCCTTGCGCCGCTTCTCTTGCTGCTTGTCTTTGTAGGCGTAGTTGTCCCAGTCATTGCTCACACCCAATGTTCGATCTCCCTCGAATTTGCGCAGCTCTGGCATTGTGGGTAAGCGAAGAAGTCCCCAGGCTTTGCCCAAAGCTTCCCAATCGAGATCTGGCACACGGAAAATACTGCTGGCTTGGTGCTTGCTGTAACTGCGGAGCCAACTGACGAAAGCCTTTTGAGCCTTGTCATGAATAGCACGATCTTTGAGGAGGAGCGAGCGGATAGACTGAGTAGCCACTGCAGCATCCACATCGGAGCTCGGTGTTGGGAGGTTGAAGGGGGCGACTGGGGTCTTGCGTACTTCCAGAAACGAAACGTAATCTTCTTCTCGCCCGGGATGCAGAAGGACAATGCTCAGACCTCTTCTTCCAGCACGGCCTGCTCGGCCACATCGATGGATGAAGGTTTTGGGGTCTGAGGGAGGATCGATCTGGACAACTAGATCAACGGATGGAATGTCCAGGCCACGGGAAGCAACATCGGTAGTTAAGAGGATCGAAGGAGTCGTAGAGGTGGTGAAGCGGGTAAAGTTCTTTTGGCGGACGTTGGAAGGGTGTTTGCCATGAAGCGGGACCAGGAGGAAGTCGTTTCCTAGTACAATTGGTAGAATCATAGCCAAGTAATCCACACTAGAACATGTTGATACAAAGAAGATAGTCTTCTGGGGCGTCGGTTGAACCGTTGTTAGGATTTGTTTGAGCACAGAAAATTTATGAGCCGGAGGCGTTGTGAGGTAGGTCATCTGCAAACTGTCCAAATGTTAACAACGTTGTTTGGAATGGTGGACTGGAAAAAAACACACCTGGCAGGAGTACGTTTGTCCTCCGCTCCGCCTCCTCCTTTGACCTTGACAGCAATCTTGACCGGATTCCGAAGTCCCAGGCGGACAATTTGGTCAACGGCTTCGCTGATACTGGCGCTGAACAATCCAGTTCGTCGTTGCTTAGGAAGATGCTGTAGAATTCTCTGGAGATCATCCTTAAATCCAAGATCCAAAAGCCTATCGGCTTCATCGAGCACAAGCATTTCGAATGAGGACTGTGGGCAGTGAACATGCGGGGAAGAAAGCAGCTCCAAAAGTCTTCCGGGGGTAGAGACTAGCACATTAGGCGAACGTTTCAAGAAGGAACTGAGATCTTCAGCCGGTGTTGTTGAGCCACCCAAGAGAAGTTGTGGGACGACTTTCAAGGTAGAGGAAGAGGACTTGGGCTTTGGGGCGCCTTCTTCCGGCGGGTGAATCGCTGCGGCGGATGGCGGGTGGAATTCCAGTAATGATAGGAGGACTTGGTAGATTTGCGTAGCCAATTCTCTGTACAAGAACATTAGCGACCATGATCTACGAGTTGTCCAGACATTCCAACTTACCTCGTCGGGGAGATGATAATAGCACCAATGTGATGTTTCTTGATGGGTTCATCAAGGCGCAGAAGCTTCTCCACGACTGGCATCAAAAACGAAAGGGTCTTTCCACTGCCTGTGACTGCTTCGACGACAACATCCTTGTGGGTCATAAACAGAGGGATTGCGGAGGCTTGGACTGGGGTCATTCGAGTAAAGCCCATGGAGGACACAGCATCCAACGCCCATTGCGATAACGGAGGATTGAGACCATCCCATGACCTAGAGGATGAAGGTTTGGGAGCCATGATCAATCACTTTTAAGCCGAGGCTGTTCGTTTGAGGACTTTCCTACGATCGCGAGTCGCCGCAAAAAAAAAAAGTTGCCCCGGTCTTATCGATTAGGTATCTCCACGTGACCTGCGGCATCGGGCGGATCACGATCTACTTTTCCCTTTCTGTCCTGACACTGCCTAACTCAGCTTGACAATTCAGCTCCTATTCAGCACATATATGATGTGCTGTGTCCATTCTTGTGCCCACCAACATCCTTATCACTGTTCATAACGCGCTGTTTCTTCTGAAAAATCGCCATCATTGAGTTGTTATTAAGATCATTAATACCTTGCGGCAATCTTGCCTGCGACAGCACAAACACCTGTGCGCGACCCTTATCTGGCCTTATTTGGCCTCGAGCACTCCCGCCCTTTGCAGTTCGAGCATCCGACATGCCGTCAACACCTAGTACGATCCCAGAGACACGAGTCATCTCCCCGTCGCCCTCCCTTTCCGATAGATCAGACGCACGTGATGGTTATTTTGCGCCGGTAACGCGATCTGCATCCCGCCGACAACAGGATGGAACTGGCTCAAGGCGAGCACGAAGCCCACCTGATGAGACACCGTCAAAAAGTTCCACGCGACAACGTCGACCAGCTCGGCGGTCCAATCCCAAAATTCCAGCTTCACCACCAGCTACGAACGGGAGCGCCAGCAACGGTTTCCTTTCACCCACGAATTTCTCAGACACACTACGCGACCTGTCGAGATCGCCATCACCGCTTGGTCTGATTCCTCTACATTCCAGATACCGCAATTTCATTCACCGCCATGAAATTCCTCGGAAGTTCTTACACGTGTCAATTGGGTTCCTGACACTTCACCTGTATAGCCGAGGTATCCAGACACTTCAGATCACACCAGTGCTCTTCTCTGCCTTGGTTCCCATTGCAGTGACAGACATTGTCCGCCATCGTTCGGAGAAGGTCAATAAGTTTTATATTCGCTGCGTGGGTGCGCTCATGCGTGAGACCGAGGTCTCGGGCTATAACGGTGTGATCTGGTATCTGCTCGGCGCATATGTCGTCCTCCGCTTCTTTCCCAAAGATGTTGGTGTAATGGGCGTGCTCCTTCTCAGCTGGTGTGACACCGCAGCATCGACCTTTGGTCGTATGTACGGGCGCTACACCCCTCGTCTCCGACAAGGGAAGAGTCTAGCTGGCACCGCAGCTGCTTGGCTCGTTGGCGTCATCACCGCCGCTACTTTCTGGGGTTGGTTTGTGCCCTATATGGGTGCATTTCCTAATGATCCAGAAGGCTCATTCATGTTTACCGGCAGCCTGAACCTGTTTCCAGATTGTGTTCGGGGCCTGGTGGGCTGGGATGGCGCTGAGACTTCATCCACCACCATCACCGGCCCATTGGCTCTTGGTGTGATGAGCGTTGTCTCTGGCTTTGTCGCTGCCGGCAGCGAATTTATCGATCTTTGGAGCTGGGACGACAACTTCACCATCCCGGTGCTGAGTGGGCTTGGACTTTGGGGATTCCTGAAGGTCTTTGGCTAGACATATATTCGCTTTCTTTTTTTAATATGGCGTACAGCAATTTTATATACACATCCCTCCTCCTGTCTTGGATATTTAATGATGTTTAGATGACTGGGTGTTTTCTTCTTCTGGGCATGGCATTGCATCGGATTTGGTTTCTGGCTGAGACAGGATGCATCTTCCATGCTCCTTCCGATATGAACATTTTATATATATTTTTTCTATGCATTTTTGCAGCTAATGCTGTCCTCGGCACAATATCATTCATATCTGGCTATAATTCCATGTGCTCCCAAGGTCCGCCTATTCACTGGATGTTATAAATCCTCCTGATCCAGGAATTTTCTCGTCCTGCGTTCCTTGTAGCCTAGAAGTCGAGCGGGTGATAGGAGAGTAGTGCTTGGCCATAGATTTAAGCGGGGATCAGTGGATGTCCTGGCGTGTCCCGAGGCTGGTAGCTTGGCGGGCTCAATCAGTAGAGGGCTTGGGCATCATTAGACATAAGACGATTTCACGACAGCGTACCACAGTAGTTCGTGTGCGCTTACGAAAATGGGCAAAGTCCTTGCGACGCGTTCTTTAAGGATCTTCTCGTGGGGCTTGAAACCCGGAGGAAGTTTCATGAAACATCGCGTATTTTTGGACGGCATGGCACCCAGAACATGGACAGGCAGATGTTTGCGAGAGATACATCCATTATCCTACTAGTGGCTGAGATATGCATATAGGTCCCCATATGCCGGAGGGAACTATAGTAGAAGGAGATCGACACTCAAGGTGATATTTGACGTCTTTATGGATATACAATTTCAGGGTCTGCTTCTCGGCATGAACTTTGAACTTTCTCTTCTCGTTCAGATATTCAAGCTTTCCTAAGATTGGACGCAACGCCAACTTTGTTCATATTTTGGAAGTCTTCCTCCTCGCGTGATGTAAGTGACTCACTTCGACAATATGTATTAGCAACCGCCCTGTCATGACATGCTCATCCTCGACCAGTTGCTCCGATGTCCTCTCTCTAGACTGAAGAACGAAGCAACAAAGAATAATGCCATATGCAAGGACACCGGACTTCACTCTGGATTTCGTGTAGAATCTCGAGAATGCGAGAGGTGCCGGTGATGGAAGTGTAGCGTAGGAAAGTCTGCGTTTCTTCCTGGCCAACTTTTGTTTCCCTTGCGGAGCGCCTGCCTCAGTGTTCTCAAGTCCTCCTGCAAGCCACATTGCACTCCCAGTGTCCTTGAAAGCTTGATAGACACAGCTCATGCTCCTCCGCCCTTATAGAACTTCGTGGGCTTCAAATTGATAGTGGCCGTCATTGAAGGTGAACACTTCAAACATCTTGATGTAGTTCCCATGGATAGTGAAAAGCCATTTCTTCCCGATCTTCCTGCGAGAAACGGCCAAAAGGACATAGGGAAATGGTATCTGAGGATTTCCAAGAGCCAGAGATCAGATCTTGATTCGGGTGGATATCTATTTTGACGCGGATGTTCGCAATAGAAATAAACTTATACTGGCTGTACAGTAGCAGTGTCATTAGCAAAATGTATTGCATCCCCAACACACTCACCACCTGATCACTCCGAAAACAGACTCATCCACCATTGTGTGAAGACGTCTTGGATCTTGCCTTCGTTTTCATCTTTATCTTGATCTTCCTCTTTCTTGTTTCTTTTTCTCTCTTTTTTTTTTTTTTTTTTTTTTTTTCTTTTTTGCTATACCTCTGTCGGCACCAGTAGGCCATGATCCACCAACCACCCATGACGTGAATAATTCTGCATTCACCCTTTTTTTGCACAAGGGCTCCTCGTCACTGAAATGAGGAAGAATTGATGCACGTTTTCCCATCACGAAAACGGCCATGTAGTCCACAAAACCATTGACTAGTTTGAAGGAATCATTGCAGAAACATGTTTAGCGAACTGCGCGACATCATTTCATATATATGGTAGTGTTTCGCGCATGATAGTGACTATCCAGACTTAATCGACCATAATTTGCCGAGTGAATGTGCTTGGTGCTCCTTATCTGGTTTCTGCTGCTGGCGTAGGCGCTTGGCCTGCCTCAGTGCTTAAATGACTTCGCGCATGTTTTCGCCAGTGACTTGAGTCAAAGCTAGCGTGAGTAGTGAGTCAACTGACGTGTATTGATGCTCTCTTGACAGTGTCACATTGTAGTAAAGTCCTTTCCTTTCGCTTTGGTCAGAGCTGGTTGCCTACTGAGGCTCTTGGAGAGGAAGGCCTATCAGAGCCACCCGCAAGGCTAATCTATGAGCCTTTTTGTCAGCAGAGAATATTCAGAGATGGACATAATCGAGGACTGACTTTGTTGGTAGTCAAGGCAAGCCTAAGGAGTCTTTAGTAGGTATTTCTGAGGATGGTCAAGGATAATTTTACCTCAGTAGAACTTGTCAAGTGACTAAAGATCAGCATCGTAACTTCTTGTTGAAGGTACAAAGCTTAACCAGCTTTTGTCTTCAAGGTCCCATTCGAGACACTTGAAGGTAGAAGTGTGAGAGAAGGAAGAAGAAGAGGAAGAAGAAGAGAGTGGAAAGAGTTTTGTATAGTGCGGATTGTTGTTGCCTTATGTGGTCTATTTCGTTTGACATCTCGTTCCAACTTTCAGGTTCAGAGATTGAACTTGACTTCAACCTTGGGGGAATTTTCTCTGTTCCGAGATGTAGGAATACAAAAGCCAAATAATTATCACAAAGAAGTAGGAAAATAAACCTTGGAAAATGGGTTTGATAAGTAATAACCACTAAATCTGTTTGAGATAATTCCATGAACCGGACGCCAGCCTCCCATAAAGTACCTTTGCCATCCATAACAATAAACAAGATAACAAAATAAAACAGATTGCTGAATATTATCGGAGCCTGTCCCTAAGTATTGACGCTTCATATGAAAGGGATTGCCATTAGTGGTTGCGAGTGCGCTTGCTGCTGCGTTCGCGTTCCATGCCTACTGACTGAAACATTTCAGCACCGGCCCAAGGCCGTGCAGGCTGTACCTGCATACCGACAGCAACGGGGAAATCAGGGTGCAAGGCAGAAAAGCGTTCAGGGTTGGGTGGGACGCCATTCGCGGAGTCAGAGATAGGCGTGGAAGCAACAACCTCGATAAGAGAAGAGTCAATCCAGCCCGATGGCTTGGAGTTCAGACGGTCCAGACGGAGAAGGTCGTCATCGACCTCCTCGTTTAGAAGAGAGGTAAGAGGAGGAGCATTGCCGTTGGGACGTGCGGAGTAATTGGAGAGGACGTGGTAAGGCAAAGCGGGGCGCGTCGCAGGCTTGTCGGCCAGATCAGCCAGAGCGCTGAGTGCACTGTGGGCAGCGGTTGTGCGAGTTGAGCGTGTGACATGGAAGTTGTGGCTGGCGGTGCGGATCATATCAGAAGCGGCGGGGGTACCGTTGTCCTCCATGGGAGTTCCCTCGGGCATGTCTTCAGCATCGGTGTTGTTGCCGTTGGTGACAGTACCGGAGCCTTGCTCTGCGCGCTTCGAGGTGGAGAAAAAGTGGAGGGCAGCGGCATGCGCCTGATTGGCGTGGGCACTGAGCTCCTTATCGGTGAACAAAGAATTGATCGAGTATGTTGGGGCAGTCTGCTGTGCGAGGTAGGCCTTGGTGCGCTCGGCCGGGGTCGTACCACCCGCGTCCCGCACGGGCGATCCAACATCTTCCTCCGGCGCCTTGCGCTTGCGCTTGTTCAACTCTGCTGCAACTCCATTGCCCAATTCATCGATATCAACACGGTGCCGAGTGTGTCGGGTCTTGCGGTTGCTGTGGATTCCACCGGGGCTCGCGGGGTTGGTAATGCTGAATTGGTTGGGGTGCAGGAGGAGCGCATTGGTGTCCGCAATATCAAGTTGTTCCTTCTCGCGCATCAGGCGAGAACGCTTGCTTGAGATACTCTGCATAAGACGCTCGCGCATTGTTCCTGCCAAATGATTGAACTCTTCCTTGGCAAAGTGCACTCGGAATTCATATTCGCGCCGGTGTCGCTCAAGGTTGTTCTCGTGGCGTCCCTGGTAAAACAGTCAGATTGATGATCAATTCATAGCCAAGAACATACTTCAAAACATACCACAATCCGAGCCATATCCGCATCACGCGTTTCCTTGACATTGTTCACCTCATGCACAAATTTGGCATAGTATGTTCCGGACAGGCTTGCCATTTCTTTGGCAAACTTGCCACCACCAACAGTCTCCTCGATAAGCTGCGCAACATCCTCGGAGGAATCAGGAAGCGGACCAGCATCATACGGGTTGGAGTTGTTAATAAGGGTCATATCGCATTGCAATGAGTGCAACTGCTGTCGGAACTGGGCATCGCGGTTCTGGCTGAACGTAGCAGTCAAATCGTGAAGACGTTCTTGGAGGGCAGAGCGACGTTTATCGCGTTTTGAAACAGGTCCTGCTGCGCCAGAGGGGCTGGTGGATCGACCGCGTGAAAGTAAGCTGCCATGGTAGGCGGGCCCGGCCCCGGGAGACGGGGGAGGAGAGTAGGCCATGAATTCGAGGCGTTGACAATCGGAGAAATATGAAAAGTAGAGCGGTGCAGAGGTCAAAGGTAGGAAGACTCGGGGAATGATCGCAAAGAAGAAACTAAAGGCTTTTATAGTATATGCAGACGTATAGGACCAGCAAAAAGTGAAGTGGAGAGGCAAGCCGCGACGTTTGTACTATGGCGCCCGAATAGGGTTAGCGTCGGGGCTAGGTTTTTCCCCACCGGCGCATACTATGATTGCTTTACGGACGCTCTTTACCCATTAGCACTAACATTCTTTACCTCCTTGCGGAATCAAACTAGACTTTGAGACATGCTGTTAGTGTGGATATGCTTGGTCCTACTTAGGAGGTCTTCAATTCCTCTACCTAAAGTATCATATGAAAGGGCACCCGATAGACTATTTCCATCAATTCTAGGACCAATTGCAAGTTTCATCAGGTTCGTGATCACTAAGAAAAGTTAAGGCGGTCATTTTAGAATCTAGAGCCCCCAAAGTTCTCGTGGCTTGAGACTTTGAGCAACCTTAATGCAGATGCGACCTAAAACCCAAGTAGACTATTCAAATTAAGCGTTATCTAGGAGAATAAACGCCTCTCGGTACGAATACCTTAAATTGAACGGTGCCTCTCATGTAATATCAGCTAGCCAAGAAAACAATACTCTGGTAACTATGCAATCCCATTATTACTGAACAGTTTCCAAGCTCACAATTCAGAGCATCTGAGTAGAGTTCTAGTAAGCAGGTTTCCACCCATACTCAGACCAGATAGTGACACTTACTCTCGGGCTTCCAATCACATCAAACAAGAGTCGGTGAAGCGATGGTGCCTGAAGATGCCTGACCATAAGATAGGAAAAAGGGGCGAAAAAGGAGATTTTCCATTTATGAAATTCATATATTGGACTTTATAAACTTGTCTTATATATTAATCACGAGGGAAAAAAAAAATTAAAAAAGAGATCATGAAAATCTTCGCCAAATGAGAACCAACATCATGGGTATTCACAATCATTTCCGTCCGGCCAAAGAACAAATAAACACGGCCGAAAAAAGGACCAACTCCAGGGACACCAGTGGTCCTATGACATCGCAGTCGACAGGAGCTGCAGAGAGAAAACATGTTTTAAAACGTGGTAGGGTAAAGAGGGGACGTGAAGAGAAGAAAGGGAATTTTATAGGGTCGGAGAGGTGAGGGTGTTCGCCATGATTAATGGGTTCGGCGAATCACGAACACACCTAGCTCAATCCCATCGCGAGGCTCGTTGTCCTCGCCATAAGGCCGCTTGCGGATGCCTTCAAAGATCTCACTTAGCAGCATGGCAGAAGTGACTTCTTTGGTGTCGCCCATGCCTGAGTTCATGGGCTTGTTGACCGGCGGGCGACGGCTATTTTGCCAGTGCATGCTGAGCACCTCCTTCATACGGGCCTTCTCTTGGTGAATGAACCATTCCACCCAGATATTTCGGTCCAGATGGGTGCTGGCCCGGCCAGCGTCAGCAACCTGGAACTGTGAGGAGGGTGAGCTCAAAGCATCACACAGAGAGTTCATGTTCGCCTTCATGGTAGCGAAATCGTCCATTTGAGAAACTGTTGATAGTTTGCCCAAGTAGCGGCCTACATCGGCAGACAATCCATTAACCACGACAAGTTGCCGCAGGAGAGGGTCTAGGATGGGGCCCAAGTATTGTGACTTGAAGGTGGATGCACCTTTCTTGGTCGGGTACACGAAGAGAAGGGAGCCGCCGTTTGGAGACAGCTCACAGAGACGATCGACAAGGAAGGATGGGCGGGTGGGGCAGAAGACATCACGGTACTCTTGGGCGGAGGGTGGGGGAAGATACCGCTCCAGGACGGAAATGTGAACGCTGTGGGGAGGAACAACGGGCATGGGAACGTGGGAAAGATGACGTTGGAGAGGGCCACGAAAATCGTGGTAAGCACTAACAACTGCGGCGCTGGAGAAAACGGTAGCGTTGAAGTAGTCTTCAGCGGCAGTAGGAGAGCGAGGAGTGCTTGGGGGAGAGTGAGGAAGATTGGACAGGCTGAATTGTTCGGGAACGGCATGAGTGACATTGATATATGGTGATTGGCCGGGCTGTAGGTGGTTGTGGACAGCCTGGACGATGGAGCAGAAGATGCTGTCGTTCTTCGACGTGGAAATGGACTGATCGGAAGTACGCGGATATGGAAGGGTTTGTGAGACGATTTTAACGGCATCCGATCGTGGGTTTGACATTCCCAATGATGACACTAGAGAAATCAGCAACTGACCCACGCAGGCAGATTATACAAGAACACCTACCAGTGACATTGATTCCGTGGTCTAACCAAGACCCAACATCCTGCTGGCAGTCCATCTCGTCATGAGGACCAGGACTGCCACCCGAACTGGACGAGCCGTGAGACAGCCCGTCTGATGGGCTGCTTAATGTATCCGAGGGGCCAGTAGGCGATGTGTTCATTCCTGGGCCATCATCCATCATCGCGGGGCCGTGGTGGGGATGTCCGAACAACAACATATCGGACTTTGGGTCCCACGCCAAGTGGTTATCGTCTTCTGGGGGAGTGGGAGGTAATGTAGTGGGGTAGTCACCCTGGAACGATTTGGGCGAGTTCCAGGGCGAAGATTGCGTCGACGAAGCTGTCAATGGTCTCGGCCCGCGAGACACGGTGGTGGACAGGCGCAGGCGAGAATCGCTCGACCGGGTTCTGGACTCAGTTCGAAGCGGCGAACCCGAGCTGCGTTGTTCCCACGAAGGAAAGTGGACGGCTACACTGCCCTTGGAGAGAAACCGGGACACTGTAGATGGTTTGGTGCGGACGGATCCTTGAGAGGCTCGTCGACGGAGCTTGGCTGGGGAGGGACTAGCGGAAGCCGAGTCGGGAAGGGAATGTTGCGAGTGTGGTCGATGGTCGTCCTTGACGGAGTGCATGGTCAGATCGCTGGGGAATGAAGGCCACCCGGGTCCATTGCACACTTGATTCATCCAGGCAGTCCGGTCGGGAGGGCGGGCGACGGACAGCATGGATGGAGCCGTGGAAGGGGGAAGTGTGAGAGAAAGATCCGGGAGGTTCAGGAGGGCGAGAGGAGAATAAGAAAGGAAAGGGAAAGAGATGGGGGAGTAAGGGGAGTAGAAAGGATGTGGATGCAAAACTTGAGTACCGGGTACCCTGGCCCAATATGGCGGACACACGAGCAGCGCAAGTACCCAGTACGGGAGGCAAAGAAGAGTTGGCCAGACTTTGAAGGTCTAGACCACCAAGAGTCGTCGAGTCATCGGGTCCCAGTTTTGGTTTTTTTGACTTTGGCTTTTAATTTCCTCCCCGATGTGGAGAGTGTGGCATAAGTCCAGGGTTTATTACAGCGGTCATATTATTTATGAATTTATTCGAGAATTAAACGTCTTACGGAGTAACTCCCAAGTCCCTTGGAATCTGTGTAGCAGGTTGTTTGGGGGGCAGCGTTGCTAAAAATGTGTTCACGCCAAAGTCTAGACGAGTCGGCGGCCAAAGCTCTGCAGCGTGACTGGCTGTTGGGCCCCACGCGGGCTGGGGCGATCATTCTCGATTCTGCATCGAGTTGATTGAAAATTCATGGCCTCAATCTGATTTCATGGAGCCCCGTCGTGTGTCAGATTTATGCCACTTTGCACGGTATGGATTGATTAAATGGGATATTAACTGGTTCCATCCCACGGGGTCATGAGAGAGAGCCCCCGGAAGAGGCAAGTACCTGATACCTGATCTGTCGTGTGCCCAGGCCTCGCCCCCAATGTACCCTGTACAGGGCCTTCAGGTTACCGTTTCCGGGCATCAGGCTCTTGCCACCTCGGGTGTTGGGCCCAAAAGCCAAAAGCCAAAAGCCAAAACTCAATAACTCTTCTATGTGCTTCCCGGTGGTGAGCCTTAAGCTGTGGACCGAGAGTCTGGACTCATGAGGCGCCCCGGCGAAAGATTAATCTAACCTTTTGTCCACGCATATAATTTTATGTGAGATGAAGACCTTGTGCCCCATGCACATGGAGCAATCAGAGCAATGGACCGATCGGAATCAAGGTTGGACCGTTGGTTAATTTCCACCGTCCAAAGTACACGATCTGGTTCGCAGTCCAGGATGATTTCCCCAGTCTCCACCCGGTCGCAGGTAGAGTGGGAACTTGCCACTGACGACCTCAAACGTGTCATCTCGTGCAGTCTACGGTCATGTCGAGATTCAGTAGTGAAAAGATATATTGGAAATAAAATTATGATTAACATTATCAAGCATCATAAATCATGATTCGCTGCAGCGAACCGAATGTGGTAGGACGGAGGTCTGCATTGTGCGACCTGCAGGTCAAATGTGCTAGGCGTCCTTTTCCCGGGTCGCATTCTGACAATGTATGTGAAAACATTGCGAATCCTTGCGTCTCGTTGGCTCGCGTGCGGAGGGGAAACCCGGAAAGGGGTGCGGGGTTGACCATGTGTTGGCTTCGAGGCTTTGGGAAGCCGGTTTTCCACTCAGTTGGGTCCCCCCTGTGGCCTTCCCAAAAGGGAATGCCGGGGTTATGGAGCCTGATTTACCAGGCACTGGCCGAAAGCCATGGAAATTGAGGAATGTGGAGGGGTTTTTCAATTGAAACCTATCCCTGCGGTTCATCCTTCACGAAGTCATGGATCGTTGTCGGGACTGGGTCGCGTTGTTGCCTAGCGGCTGGCGCATCTCCCGAGAGCAGTTCCACGAGTTCCAGACCAGAGAAGACCGATAGCGCTGCTCCTCGCGGCTCAGCTTCACCTGTTTCCGGGCAAAGCTCGAGGCCTTGATGGCAATTTTGCAGGCTGGACGCTCATACACGGGCGATGTCATTAGCGGAGGCGTATCGTAGGTGGAGCTGTCCAGGTGGGTGCGCAATTCGTGGCATTGGCGAACAAGCTGCTGAACACCATCCGTCAAGCGGGAAGCGCGGTCTTCAATGTCGGGCCAGAACGCATCGCCCCAGAACGGATCCTCGCGAACGGCGGTCTCGAGCGCGTTGAGCCAGCAGGTGAAGCCGGAGCGCGATCCCGCGAGCTGAGCGGCCACGGTAAGGAATCGTATTGTAGGTTCGGAATGGAGAACATGCAGAACGATGCAGGTTGGGCAGCGCGCAGTAAGGTACCAGTCGTGCTCCTCGATAAGAATACAGTGGAGCCAGGCAAATGCGCTGCGCGCCTCCCCGCGGAACGCACGTTCGGGCTCGGCCCCCTTTTTGCTAGGTAGAGCGCGGGTGGCCACTCGTTCCGCCTGGTGGTTGATCAGGAAGAGAGGTACGAGGAGGGTGTGAATTATGTCGCGATGCAGGCGAAAAGCTTCTTGTTCGGTCGAGTCGCATTCATGGCGGTGGGTAGAGCAGAAAGTCGGGCTTTCCATGCCGCAATCCTGACGGCGCAGCTGCTCCCGCATGGCGCAGAAGGCTTCATTACGTTCCAACTCGATCTGGTCGCGTAACGAAACGCGGAATGGGCAAGGGGTCTCGGAAGACATAATTGTGGGGACGAGTATCTGTAGGTCGATCAAGAATAAGGCAGATATAGTATCGACTAAGGATGAATTGAATATTCGACTAGATTAGACAACCATGTCGCCATAGATTCAATCATGAGTTTTTATCTGGTATAGGAAGAATAGTCGAGGATTCAGGGCGAAAGTCAGGGCGGGATTCAGGGCTAAATGCCAACGCCGGATGCGGACTGTATTATAGGGGTCCCCTTTGCGGAAACGTCATGGGGGGTTGCAGATCGCGCAGGGACTCTGGGTTTTTTGCCTTTTGAGTCCAGCGTTCAGGGTAGAGGAGTCGATCGCAATGGATCCAGCCCCACTAGCTGACGAACGCAGCCATGTGTGAGGCTTACTATTGGCGGATTTGGTCGGAATGGGTGGAGGCGAGTGGAGTTTGGAACAGAGTCTGGACTTTCCAATTCTCAACCCGTGGCGCACAAGCATGGTTGACCACTCTTTTCTCGTACTATAGATAGAGTCGTAGCTTCCCAAGGTCTTACTACTCGTCACGACTTACCTTGATAACAAGCCCATCAGCAACGGAGGCGCCCGGGAGTCTAAGACATTCACGCCACTGATCGATTTAATTTGTGTGATCGTATTTTCAGTCTGATACATTTGCTACCCTCCGATCGGCAGAGCGGCCCAAATTCGACCGTGCCCAATACCTAGACCTGGATGGCCGTTATATCGGGCCAGTTGACCGCTAATCGGAATCCAGAAAACTTCCAAATGTCTCCGTAGAGTCGATCGTTCCCGACCAGAGAAAGTGGAGACAGGGGCCCCAATCAGTTGATAGGCTTCTTTTTTTCCCTTTTATCTTCTCCAGATCAATCATACCATGTGTTGTGCATTCCAATCATGGTGATTTATGATAGGTTGATTTTCGATAGGAGTACAGTCCGGTGTGCAGATTAGATATGTACCCATTAGACCTCGTGTGTACTGCTACTGCTGAGCTCGCGAGAGGGGTTAAAGTGGAACTCGGCACACTCCGGCGTCGGCGGTTAACGATCGTCGTTCATGGCTGTTCGCTTTTCCATGGCCAAATGATCATGGCCAAATGATGATGGCGATGGCGACATAGGTAGTCAAGCTCTGAGCTATTTAGTGTGTCTTCATCATCCGGTTGTGGCATTGATGTGCGCGACCGATGGAACTTGGGGTTAGGGCTGGATCCAACGGTTCACTCCGCGTGGAGAACATTGTTCGATGAATTTTATTTAACCCTATTTACGGATTTGTTGACAAAAATCATTTCCTATCAAAGCTTATATAGCTATATAGTTGCTCTAGTGTCTATAGTTCAATATCATTGGTTTCAAAATAGTCCCAGATGACTCCATTGACCTACGTACCCCCGTAATCTAAGGCACGTTCGAGATTGGGGCAGAATCAGGTCTATTGTCGCGCTAGCTGCCACTGCAATCTCAATAATGGTTAGTGGTTGCCAAGCATTTCAATTACCAGGAATTTCCTACGTCTTCCCTGCTTGCGCAGCTTTTGACCTTTTCTGTTCTCTCTGTTGTTGTCGTCGGTCGCTCTTTCCCTGTCCCTGAAAGTGACTCTCTCGTTGTCCACAGGGTTTTCTTTGTGTGATTCTTTCAACTATTTTGGAGCATTCCGATCTTGGCGGCGTCAATTGTGATTGGTTTCTACAGTCTTACAGTTTCAGAGATAGCCTATCTTACACCATGTTTCCCTCGCTCGCGCTCGCCCCATTGCTGCTGGCCGGCTTGCAGGCTCTGACCGTGAACGCCGTCCCCACCATCTCCGCCACCGGTGCTAAGTTCTTCTACGAGAATGGTACTCAGTACTACATCAAGGGTATGATCCGAGTCCCTTCAATTCCAAGATTTGGGGCTAATTGAGTCTCAGGTATCGCCTATCAGCTCACCCCCGATGATCCGCTCACCAACGAGGCCCAATGCAAGCGCGATATTGTTCGCATGTCCGAGTTGGGCGCCAATGCTATCCGTGTGTACCACGTGGATGCCAGTGCCGACCACGACGGCTGCATGACCGCCTTTGCGGATGCCGGCATCTACCTGTTCGTCGATCTCGACACCTTCACCACCGCCATTGACCAGGTCAGTTGATCGTGATTATGCCAACACATCCAACGCTAACAAATATTTGGGAATAGGACGCCCCTCACTGGAATGAGACCCAGTATGAGCGATTTTCCGCCGTTCTCGACGAGTTCCAGCAATACGACAACACCGCCGGTGTCTTTGTCGGAAACGAGGTCTTGAACACTATCAACGGTTCCATTGCCGCCCCCTATATCTTGGCTGCCGCTCGCGATATCAAGGCCTATCGTGATAAGAAGGGATACCGTGAAATTCCGGTTGGATACTCCGCTGCCGACATTGCTGATCTCCGCCCTATGCTGCAGGATTACGTGGCATGCAACACGAACGCCTCCGAGCGCTTGGACTTCTATTCGCTGAACGCCTACGAGTGGTGCGGCGAGTCGAGCTACTCTGGTTCCGGTTACAATGAGCTCCAGAAGAACGCTACTGGTTACCCGATTCCCATCTTCTTCTCCGAGACCGGTTGCAACACCCCGGCCCCCCGTACCTTTGATGACCAGGCCGCTATTCTTGGCTCGGAGATGGATGGTACCTGGTCTGGTGCTATCATTTACGAGTGGATCGAGGAGACCAACGACTACGGTCTGATCAGCTACGGTCCTTCCGTCTCGAACGCCGCTGCTACTAACACTCTTATTGAGGATGGTTACACCCGCCAGGGTACTCCTACCCCCATTTCGCCTGATTTCACCAACCTCAAGACTCACTGGGCCACCTTGAACCCGACCGGTGTTTCTCTGTCGGCTTACAAGAGTTCCACTTCCGCCATCACCTACCCTGATTGCCCTTCGTCGACCTCTGGCGGCTGGGCTGTCAACCCCAGCTCTCCTCTCCCCACCCTTGGACAAACTTACAACAAGAAGGAGGCCACCGCTGACTCCACTGGCACTGCTACTGGTACTGCTTCTGGCTCTGCCGCTTCTTCCACCAAGAGCGGTGCCGCTGGCAATGTGATGATCGCTGGTAACCCCGCTACCGAGCGCTTGTTCACTGCTTCCATCGTCCTGTCCGGTGTTCTGGGAATGGTTGCCTTTTGGCTATAATAAGTCCCTTGCATAGACCCGGGGCGGGGGTTTGTAGTATTCTCATATGCATTGTGATTGTGGATAGACCTCTTTCATTCAGATACATATTTGTCAGCTGGCCGTGCGCATACGAGCCATTTCATTGAGCTTTTGTACACGATACACGATATTGTTAGCTATAGAACTATTTACAAACATGCGGTTTCTCCAATTATCGATATCAAGTATTATATCATAATAGTTTGAATATTTAGAAAAAGATGGCTTTCACCAGTAGGAAAATTTTCGCATTGAATGCATATGACAAATGAAAGCCTTAGATAAGGCGGATGGATTATAAATATTGAAACATTCCCATGATACTCGTACAATAAAAAACCAAGGGTCCACGGGTCCATCTATTCATGGATAGTCAACCCCTCAATCCCCGTCAAATGAATATCCAAAGAAGGTAAAGACAACTGCGGAGAAACACGATCAATCTCCACAATTGACGCAAGATCATCCTCATCAACCTCAAGTAAAGAAGGCTCACTCCCATCATGTATATCCCCAAGAACCTCACTATCACTCCCCTCTTCAAACCCAAAATCAAAATCGGAAACAGAAGAAGACTCCAAAAGAGACATCTTCGACTTCTTCTCTTTGATTCTCCTCTCCTGCTCAATTCTAGCAACCTCTTCAACCCTAGCAGCCTCCCTAGCCCTATTCTCCTCTTCTTCCTTCCGCTGCTTCTTCTCCGTTTTCTCAGGAGAAACGCAATGCAACGGAACACCACCTCCGCCACCAACCCCTTTGCTGACCGGAATCTCCCGTATAGCAGCAGCAAAACACTTCTGCACTCGTCTGGCAGTAGGTCGCTTGTCCGGTTCCGGGGAAAGCATTGCCCGTAATACCATGAGCATCCGCGGTACGGCCCAGAAAACGCGATCACTGCCTCGATCCCTTCGGCACCGTTTCAGGGCATCGCCTTCGACTAGAGCGATCCAGGATTGCACTTGGACTGCGTTTCGGGATAGATGGAAGGATGCATCTGCCATTCCGCCACCGCGGCCGGCACTACGGTTTCGGGCGGAGCGGTGCGAAGCGAAGGAGGACAGAGAGCGCTTGCAGAGGTGGGTTAATATGTCAAGGATGATTGCTGCGAGGGAGAAGAGGTCTGAGGCTGCGGGGTTTGTTTGAACCGATTGCCAGTTTGTGAGGGAGGGTGTTATCGACGGTGCCAATGTTGAGGGTGCCACCGAGGGTGGAGGATTTGAGGACATGATGGATGCTGCGCCGGATGAGTAGGAGGAGCTTGATGTTGATGATGTGATTGATGGTGTTGGGGCTAGGCCTTTCGGTCTTTTGTTCCAGATGCGGTTGAGGGTGGTTTTAGGGCTTTGGGTTGCCTCGCTGTTTCCTGATGAGGCTGCTGAGGATGAGGATGAGGATGACGAGGATGAGAAGGCAAATGAGAAGCGGGATGGTGAGTTTGGAAGCCCAATTCGTATTACTGTGCCTTTTGAGGCGGCGGAGTCGGGGCGTGGGATGTCTGGTGAAGATATTGAACCCTCGTCTAGGGTGGATAGGGCTAGTTTGGCAGGCTTCTTTCTCCGGCCTGTTCGGCCTCCTGATGGGAGGAGGGTTCGGCTTGGTGCTTGGACTGGTTGTACAGGTGCTGCGGTGCGAACCCAGCGCTCCGGGGCAGCGTAGTGGTAGCTCTCCAGATCATTGACTCGGGGTGGTGCGAGCAGTGAGTCCAGAACATGGAATTGACCCAGACATATTTGGAAATTTGCGTCGATTAGGACGTTGGAGGGCCGTATCGCGCCGTGGAAGTGGCCGTGGGCATGCAGCCACGATAGTCCAGACATCAGACAGTGCGGCCAGGTGATAAGTGTCTGGCGACGTTGCTCTTTGGGCAGCTTTTTGAAAGCTGGTGGCTCATCGGTGAGGAAGCTATGTAGTGTGCGCTCCGTCTCAGCACCGGTAAAGAGCACGCTGACACTATCATCGACAAAGTAGGAAGCGTAGATGGACATAACATGTTCATGGGCGAGCTTCCGGAGGGCCCGGATCTCCGCCAGGACTTCATCGGCAGAGAAGAAATGTGGTGCACCACCGACTTGCACTTGCGTTCGCATAAGCACTCGACATACAGATCCAGCAAGCACGACCTTATCGACGGAGTCGTCGCGACCCTGGAGTTCATTGTGGATGCCATTGGTTTTCACCACCTGAACAGGAACACCTTCATTGCCAGTATAAGAAACATGCTCGCCTTCACCAATTCCGCGTACCGAAAAACGCCATTGGGCGTGGAAGAACTTCGTATCGAGGGAAGGATCGTTGGCGCCGGGCGATAAGCACAGACGATCGACGTTCTGCTCGGCGATAGGAAGATCGTCATCGTCGCATGATTCGTCCACCAAAGTGAAAATGCGGTCGGGAATTCCGATGTCATTCAGAATGAGAAAAAGACGACCAGCTTTGAGAAGGATGTATTCCATGTAAGTCTCACTGGTCAACCCCTCCCCCCATTTGGGAAGATCAAAAAGCCGCGGCACATTTTCGGGTTGTAGCTGATTGACAATATACTTGGTATCTAACGTCGACTTGATTCGTTCCTCGGGCCACCAAAGCGAGGTGAGTTCTTGCATGTGTTGAGCCATGACTGTGGCATGGCTTACAGGAGGAAAGCAATTTTAAAGCTGACATTTCCAACCGGGAGGAGAGATTGGGATATATAAAAATGGCGCATCACCATGGTTAGGTATAGAGTTTGAGCCACAATATCGGGAACCAACATAATGAGTGGCATCGCCCCTTGTAATAGCCGTTAACTGAGTTGAATAGGCCACTGCTCAACGCTGACTGGTGGATGAGATGCTTATCTCGTTCTCCGCAAGGAGGCTCCAGGGCCAGTCAATAGCCCGGAAAATGGTCCGCGCATGTGGCCATCGGCAGCCATCCGGTTACTCGGGACATGCATGCTCATTGAAACCGGCGTGCGGCGAAAGCCCAGAAAAGAAAAGAAAGTGATAGATCGCGTGCAGGGAGAGCGCTGCCATATGCATTGTGGAGGGTGAACCAATCTCGGGCCACAGGCTTATCTACGATTTTCTATGTCCTGCCGAGATAAGCGGGTGATCTCCGCCGTGACAGCTCTGACGCTTTGCTTGTAAGGGACAGAAATCGATAATTGAGACGCTATTCGTTTTCTTTTTCTATTCTTCCTCATTCCAAAAACTGAGGATCGACCTCCAGCTGTTCATGCCGTCGATCCTTTGTGGAGTGGTCAGGGCTTCCGGCTGTGCACCATGCAGGCCCGCGGTCCGCGATATGGGGCACTGAGGCGTGGCGAGACCCAAAAAAGAGCTAAGCGGTTTCAGATTACGCAGAAAAGGCTTCCACGGCATCCGGATAAGCTTACTCTTTATTCATTGTTCTTGAGAGGCGTTTTCTCCTGTCTTTGTATGGTTCGGCGCTTCTTGCTTGGCGCAAGGACATGATCTACCGCTGTTTGTGTTTCGCGTCGTGTACGCGACGATCTTTTTGGTACTGGCATAAATGCAGCCTAGGGATGAAGAGTCCATAGATCACACTCGAAACTCAATGTGACTGGAATGCTAAATATATTGGACTTTGCTTCTTTGGTCTGTAGCCGAACTCGTGGTAAACATTGAAAGCGCGTATACCAAAAGGGTCTCATGGCTGACAATATCCATAGATTCGGGCCTATAGTATGCTTGCAGAATCAAAACAAAACGTTTGCCTCATCTATTTAGATTTTGTTTTCTTTTCCTCAGCGCCGGGGCCGCTGCTTCTAATAGGATGATAGCAGCCGTCCTTGCTGTCAAAATTCGGCATATGCCCATTGGTCTGATAAACGGCGCGCTAATGGCAACTATTCTTTATTTGCATATGTAGAACATTGCTACCAACATCATACTGTCCCGATGTCAGCTCAATATTCTAATCTTGCAGTATGTGGCGCTTATAGTGGAAGATTTGAAGATGCGACCGCGATAGGGGTAACCCCTGATTGCTGATAGGATTGTGGAATTTGCTCATGTTGAAAATTAACTAATCTGTAAAAGACATGAAAAGTACGGTTTCAATCTCTGCCTAATCATGATGTGTACATTGGGTACAGTCCCTGGTCATGAAACTACGAAGGTGGATCCACGCATAGCCCGGACTCCGGCTGCGCTGCAATTTCAGATTAATTGAATTCACACATTTCTTTTTTTAATTTTCGATGAGTCCACTGCATCTAAGTACAACCATGTAAGTTAACACTTCAAGCCACTGCGCGTGAAAGGGGACATTCGTAAATTTCCGGGGTCGGGTGGCGATGGGAGATCAAGTGTTTACATCCAAGCTGGGCAGTTGCTTGCGGGTTAGAACAAGAAGAAAGAAGAATTGAAAGAAAGCATAGAAAGATGGAAGGTGGAAGGTAGGCTGTCAATTAGGCGCAAAGAGGTAAGCGCGTTCGGAAACGCAAGAGCAGTTCCCTTGAGTACATATTAAGGCTTCAAAGTAGCCTCTCAATACGCATGGTCGGGCTGACTGAGCCTTTTCACAGCCCTTGAGGTGCATCAGGTTGGCCGTCTGGGACTTGAATGTACGTATTGAATAGACCGGGAAATATCGAACCCAGGGGATCGCCAAGATACAGCCAAAAGACTGCGATCTTGGAGGCGCCCTTGGGATCCTTATCTGCTGTTCATCACAAAAACATAATAGCTAGATGGAAGCCCACTGAGTCCAAAAATGCTATTAACATTCTCAAATACTGAAGTACATATATGATATGATGTATGGAAAATAAGTTTTGGTCAGGTTTCTGGATGCTGATGACACTATTCGCAATCTCCTGAGAGATGAGAGGACCAATAAGTCCCAAGTTCGATTCCAGATTTAGTCAAAATGTTTTCAGCTTTCTTATCGTTCTGAGCATCTTAGAATGGAGCTAAAACAGCGTTGATAGATTTACAGCTTCAGCAGTTCAGTGAAAAATGACGTGAGGCCAATTACGAGCGCAAGGGACTATTATAGTCCAATCATGATTCTTCTATGAGTCGAGCTACTATGCAATGTTTGCCGCTTCTGGCACCAGTTCTTTGACTGTATACTGTATTTTTAAGACTTGTTGAGGCTTTTATTTCTCTGAATAAAATTCCAAGACCTCTTTCTCCCATCCATCTTCCCTTCTCATCCGCATGCTTCAAGTAAAAAGTTTCCATCAAAGGTCACTCTGATACCAGGCCTTCGGTATACTATTTAAAAGCCCATTAGGGTTAAGGGTGACGAAATAGTCCTAGATATATGTCTGCAAGAGGGGCTGCCACTCTTCCTCTTTGCTCACGGGAACAGCGCAACGAGCGCCCTGGTAGCTTCTTCATCGGGTTATATTCTATATTCACCGTCAACCCTAAAAAGGGTTCGATTCGCAAAGTCGATATCTTTGACTTTCGGCGTTGAAACAAAGGTTTTTTCTGCTCAAAAACTGCAGGGCCAAAGCCTCACTCCGCAAAATGGAATCCCGTAGGGCTGCTGATGGAGAGGTGGCGTTGAAAATACGCGCCAGTCAAGTAACCCATCCTTTAACTTAACCTAAACATGAAGGTTCATTCTGCTTATGACAGATTCTCGCATGGACGTATCATACTGAAGATCATGTGCTGTAGAGCAAGGTATTCCTTCTCGGAGAGCAGAAGCGCGCGAAACGAGCGCAGAAATCTCGATTTTATCAATGGGTTGGGCAGTCTCATCCTGTTCTGTTTTCTTATCAGCGAGGTCGTATTTTGCTTCTTCCTGTTCATAGGAATTAGCATAGTCCATGGCAGAGTTACTTTCAACTTACTCCCCATTCTGGACAAATTCTCTGCGGCAAATCTAACCTGGGGCCGTAGTACTCCTTACTAAAATCCTAGTAATAATTATGAGCTACTTATCAAAAGATTTATGGATGATTTGTCTACTAGATAACAAAGTGGGTCGAGCTGCACGGGGCATATCTTCCATAGTCATCCTTTGTGCGCTTATATCTACCCCACAAGTCCCACTGCCGGGTCGGTTGAAATGATTCCCGAGCGGGGTGACCTTCCACCAACCCCATCAATCGTGACACCACTTCATTTGACCACGCCAAACTCGCCATGTACGAACGGCAAAGGGTGTGGCGTGCCTGTCAAGCATGTCGTCGCAAGAAGGTCAAATGCGATGGAGAACATCCCTGCCAAAGCTGTACCCGGAACCGATCCGAGTGCGTCTTCGAGCAATATAACAACATGAAGCTAGTGGATCCACAGTATGTGCCTCCTATTCGTCACATGAGAAGATTAGTGTTGTGATCAAGGCAATCAAGGTCATTTTTATTTCATGGCGCTAAGTTTCAATGCAGATATGTCAAGAAACTTGAAAATCGACTCTCACAGATGGAGAAAGAGTTGAAACAGCGCCAGTCCGATCAAGATAAGAGGATTCCCATCGATTTATCTGCACAGGTTCCAGATATTCCAAATCCAGACATTGAATATCAGGAGTATTGTCAGCCGGTTCCCGAGGGCGCTGTATCCGACCCAACGGATGAGTTCCTAGCGCCTTCTATCGATGCAATCACGCCAGGACCAGGATTGCGACGAGCGGATATAGCTCAGGTGACCGGTAATTATAGCGCTGATGCACCGAATGTACCAGTATTCGAAAATCATAACCCTCAGCATGGAAGCGAGGTTGCAATACCTCCAGAGCCCAGTACAATTGACGTCACACGAATGGAAGAGCCCATGATGGAAGCCCTGATTGATGTTTATTATGACTCAATCTACCCAATATTCCCCATCATCCATCACAGGAATTTAAGGTTGCAATATGACATTTGGCTATCTGCTCGCAACAATGGCAGACGCGAAGATGACAGTGACTTCTCCGCTTTACTGTATGCATTGCTCGCCGTAGCTGCGTCAGTGATCCCTAGCCAACATGCTATTTTCAACCAGCAGGGATTGCACGTCTATAGAGATGTTGGGTTGGGAGAATTACTTCACTCACATGCAACCTCCATTGCTACTGGACGATCATACCGAGTCAATGCCAGATTTCCAATGAACATCGTCATCGCTCAAGGCCTCCTCAGCCTCTATCTCACAGAAGACGGCAGAGTCAACGATGCATGGGTCACAACGGGTCATGCGATCCGGCTGTACCAGGGATTGGAATTAGACGAGGTCGGGGATGCATCGGCTACAAATACATGGCACGAGCCTAAAAAGCTTTGGTGGTGTTTGTATATTTTAGATCGTTCGCTGTCCACGGCACTTTCGAAACCTTTGGCTATCGATGATGCAGACAGCGATATTGAATCATACGCCGAGGAAGATGAGCCACCGTCATTCCACGCAAAGACAGATCCCTGGTTCTCGGTGATTGCAGACTTCCATGTCACAATGGGTCGAATATACCGATCGGTCCGACGGATTCGCAAGGCCCACCCGTCTCAAAATGCCAAATTGAGAGACACGCTCCGGTCGCATGTGAAAAGACATGACGCAGAGCTTGAGAGGTACTATCGAAAGCAGGTATTGCCCAATATCAAAGAATCCAACCATCAAATTGGTCCTCTCGCGCTGCAAACAATTGCCATCTCATCCTACTACATCGGAGTGGTTCTCCTATATAGAACATTCATCGAGCGATTGAATATAGCAGAGCCCGCAGCGTTTCTTCGATGTGCCGAGGCTGCTTCCAATTGCATAAAAGCCACGCCTCACGTCATGGCAACCGTTCCTGCGAGTCATTTCGTTATCCAACAGAGCCGTGCAATATACGCAAGTGCCAAGGTTCTGTTGCATTGCATGCGTCTCGCCCGCAACCCGACCTTCACCAACAAAGCCTGGTCAGATGTTGAGAGCGGCTTTAACATGTTGAGGAATCTCAAGATACAGTGGCCGGAGATCAAAAAGTATCAGACGCTCACTGAGGAAGACATGCGATTTACGCAGAGTGACCTTGCTAAACATGACCTTTTCTACCACACGTTCAGCCGATATGGCGAAACATCGCCTGTGTCCATTACCAGTCTCGTTTTCGATGAAATTGATCAAGGAAGCTCCGGTCTGGACATGACCGTTCATCAGGAAGCGGCCAGAGCCCGAGAGGAGTCAGAATCGATCTTCACTCGGGGCAGTGAGTCTTCTGAGCGACAATCCAAACGGCGAAAACTGACCCCCGACTCCTTTTTCCCATGTGACCCTACAGCTATATTGCATTTGCTACCGTCCTCTGAAGAGCCCCATGATAATGAAGAACACAGCATGGGTATAGACGAGGATCTTTCTGACCCACAAGCACTCTTTCTGGGGGACTTATCTACAGACCCTTTTGATGATTCGATGCTACTCAGCTCGATTGAGCAATTTCTGTCTTATCCCAGTGAATAATCTCTGTGATCTGTTTTTATAAATCTTGTACTTTCAAAACGATATGTTCTCTAGTCTGTCAGCCATCCCAATGAGAAGGCTAAAGAAGAACTCCGCAATTCATCAATCTAAACGCTGTACGACTAGTGGGCTGGCGCAACCAGACCACAAGAACTGCACTTCCGGCTGGCTTCATTTACCATCCAATCTTCAATCACGTCCTTAAGCTGCGCTTCAATATCCTCACAGTAGAACTGCTCTTCTCTAATGATCCCAGGAGCCTCCGTATGAGCCTCTGTGTTTTCACAATACCATCGGATTCGGTCTATACATCGTGGAGGGCGAGTGCGCTCCATAACAAGCCCAACTGTATCTTTATATCTTCTTGGAGAATGAGGGATGTTTGCTATATGAACGAAACATTAGGTCCATGGCATATACGAGGATACGTAACCAGAGAATCATCATACCAGGCAAAAGAAATGTTTCACCCTCTCGAATTATAATATCGCGGAAGTGGGTATCGTTCTCAACGATTTTCAGAAGCATATCTCCCTTGACTTGGAAGAACCATTCCTAGAGCCAATTAATCAACAATGAATCAACTATTCACCTCCATTCATACCTCTGTTTCATTAACTACGCGATTATTTAGCATAGCATCCGACATCGATCACTTCTCTCATGACGACTTACTATGATAATCATTCCTGGTATTCGGGCCCCCAACGGCCATCAATATGAAGTCCTTCCCCGAATAAAGACATGAATTGTTTACAGGAGGTTTCAATTTTTCAGCATTGGTAGAAAGCCACGAGGACAACGCAAAGGGTCCCGGGATAGCAGTAGAACTTTGAGTGCTTGACAGAGCTTCCATGGTGGCAAAGTGCTCTTCCGGTTGTGAATACGGCACAGAAACCCCGGGGTAGCGAATATCTCTTAAATGGTGGATTGCAATGTCGTCGCCCGTTGCCCGCATATCCAAATCGCAAGTGGAGACTGTCAGCCGCAACGACATCCGATTGATCACCGGGTCGATCCGAGACCCGCTTCAGGGGGACCGAGCATCATCGCTTGCAAAAGTCATATAGATCGGATGGGGAATATAATAGAGTCAAAGGAATACCCAGTCGAAGGTAGTATTTTCTAAAATTTCACGTACCACGGCCCTGAAACCAGCTGCCAGCCATCTCATACAGCATGACCGTGAACTATAGCTGTTGCACGTGCTCCACAAGGGACGCCCGGAGCAATGAAAATGGAGTTCGGGGTGCGAATAGTGCATTCAAAATCGACATGCACACACATATCATGCCTCCATTCCTGCCTGATTTTTCCAAGTCGCATGGGAACCCAGACGAGAATGGCAAGGATTGGATGACTCTTCGACCACATCCATCAAATGACGAGGCAACTGGCCAGAGCGATGACATCTCTCCCAAAGTGGATATGTATGTTGGCGAGAAATTCTTCCGAACTGTCGAGCCAAATTGCTTTGATCCAGATGTGCGCATGGCAGAGATGGATGCCACAGGTGTCGATATCCAGGTCATCAGCACCGTACCCATCTTATTCTCATACGACAAACCAGTCGAGCCTGCCGCAGCTTTAGCTCAGTACTTGAATGATCACATCGCGTCTGTCTGTCGTGATCGACCAAGTCGGTTTGTAGGGTTGGCGACGGTCCCCTTGCAAGACGTGTCCAGTTCTGTAGCCGAACTAAAGCGCGCGAAGAACGTGCTCGGATTAAAAGGCGTCGAGATTGGAACTGAGATCAATGGGCATAAGCTGGATGATCCTGATTTTGAACCATTTTGGTCGGCATGTGAGGAGTTGGATTTTCCTATCTTTGTGCACCCGCTGGGATATGAGCTCGAGAGAGAAAACAAGAATCGGTGGGGAAGTTATTGGTCTGCGTGGCTAGTTGGAATGTGAGTATTTCCGGTCAAGTATAGACTTTGACATGGCGTGACTAACATTGCATAATAGGCCGAGCGAGACAGCATTGGCGATGCACTCGATTCTCTCATCAGGCGTCCTCGTCCGACACCCAAAGTTGCGATTCTGCTTTGCGCATGCCGGCGGTGCTTATCTCCCTCTCCTTGGAAGAATTCAGCACGGCTATGACTGTCGGCCTGATCTGGTAGCGCATAGCTCGCACGGACTATCTCCGGAGAACTACTTTCAATCGCATCAGCACAATATTTGGATTGACAGTCTGGTGCATGATCCAGACTTGCTTGAATTTATCTGCAAAAAAATTGGCTCCGATCGGGTCATTATGGGAAGTGATTACCCTTTTCCTCTGGGGGAAATGCCAGTTCCTGGGAAGATGTTGGTTAGTGATCAACAGATGGATAAGATGTTCTCGCCTGAAGCGAGGGCGAGAATGCTTTCAGGGAATGCGATTGAATTTCTCGGGTTGCAGGATATAGTCAAGAAGTTTCCACATCAGCAGTGATTAATATTATTGAGCGAAAGAAATAAATCATGAGTTAAAACTTTGTTGTTCAACTTTGAATAAGGAAATTGTTTAGCCAGTGGATTAGTGTAGAGTATTGATATTGACGGGAAGACATGGGGACCCCAGATGGGGAATTTTGGTGGAGAAGAGCGGCAATAGCCGCTTTGTCTTACGCAGTGTAGACTCGTGCAAGCACATTTGAACACAAAATATTTAACAACCAGCCGACGTGGTGTAGTGGTAACGAATGCACTTTGAGTATTCTCATATTCTCATCGCAAAGCGTCGGGAATACGTCCTTCCAGGTTTCGGATGGGCAGGGACTTTGACGGATGGAGCTTCAAATCCTTCCGGCAACAATGTCTTTTTTGAACGTTTTTGTTAATCTTTCTTTTTCTCTTCGATTTCCAAGCATAAAATTACACTACAATAACGAGCTCCATATTGAGAAGAACGCTGATGGGATGAACTCTAATTGGCTGTATACATTTTGCCCCACAAACAGCTCATCGGACCCCTATCCTATTGGTCATAGCTTATCCTGTAGTTATTAACCATCCATGTATTGAATTAACCAAGCAACAACCATTCTTGCTTTTCTTATCACCCTTCATAATGAGTTCAATGTCGGAGATCTGGAATCTCAGTACCCTGGATGATGCCAAAGAATATTTGGCCGGCCCAGGCAACAATTTACGCCTACAAAACTTCATTGGCAATGAATACTCCAAACATGGCAATCCCGATAGCTGGATCGAGTCCTTTAATCCTCGGACTGGGGAGGTTCTAGCAAAGCTCCCTCGAAGTGATGCACCTGATGTAGCTCGCGCCGTGGAGGCTGCCTCGGAAGCGTTTCTATCCTGGTCGAAAACTACACGACAGGAAAGATCGGATATTCTCCTTCGCATTGCCGCCATTATCCACGAGAAAAAGGAACTTTTCGCCGTTTGGGAAAGCCTCGACCAGGGGAAAACATTAGCTCGAGCTCGAGTCGAAGTTGACCGCGCGATCTCGAACTTCCGGTTGGTATTTTGTACGTCTTCATTGCTACTTGATGCTAATCTGTATCTAGATACTTTGCAACTTATATTCTACACGAAGAAGGCTCGGTCCGCTTTGTTGATGGCCAACCTTCAACTTTAACATACGAACATCGATCTCCTATCGGGGTCTTTGCGTTAATCTCACCATGGAACATGCCCTTGTACCTCCTCACATGGAAAATTGCACCATGCATTGCCTTCGGATGCACAGGCGTCGCAAAGCCCAGCGAAGTCACCAGCATGACCGCCTTCTGTGAGAAGTCCTTCGATTCATTCCAGGTTCATTTTTGCTGACCGTTCCCAGTACTCGGTGAAGTATTCAGGCAAGCCCAGCTGCCACCAGGCGTGATGAATATCGTCTTCGGTGATGGACCAGGCGCCGGATCAACGCTCGTCAAGTCCCCTCTCGTGCGAGGCGTGTCATTCACAGGTGGCACAAAAACAGGCATTAGTATCAGACGCGATACAGTCGAAGATATTGGCAAGCATCTATCCTTAGAACTAGGAGGAAAGAACCCAACACTCGTCTTCGACGATGTTGATTTCGACCAGGCTGTTCCGATAGCAGCACAAGCCGCATTCGAGAACAGCGGTCAGATCTGTCTGTGTGGATCCCGGATCTATGTTCACCACGCTATCTATGAGCAATTCGTATCCACGTTTGTGAATTATGTACGGCAACATTACCGGTGCGGTGAAACGGTTGGTCCTGTTGTTTCCCGGCCGCACTACGATAAGATTCGGTCCTACCTCCTTCAAGCTCAGAGTGAGAAGGCTACTTTTCTTTCCGGGGGCGTGCCCGCTGAGGTCCCCACGGGCGGGTATTGGATCGAGCCGACGGTGCTCAGCGACCTTGGTACAGATAGCATCGTCATGCGTGAGGAGATCTTTGGGCCGGTGGTCACAATCTCAACGTTTGACACAGAGGAAGAGGCAATCAGGCTAGCAAACGACAATCCTAATGGACTGGCAAGTGTTCTCCTGACGAAGGATGGGTCGCGGATGCGCCGCGTCGGGGAACGGATCGATGCCGGACTGGTGTGGGTTAATTGCTGGCTAGTACGGGAGCTGGGCACGGCATTTGGAGGAATGAAGGCATCCGGGACTGGCCGAGAAGGCGGTGCACACAGCCGAGATGTGTTTACGAACCTGCGGACTCTCCATATTCGTTAGTAGAACTACAGTGACTGGTTCACGGGAATGACGTAACGGACCGTTCGGATCTATCTTCGGATCTATCCGAGACTGGGGAAGAGCCATTGGGGATTTATTCATCAGTAGCCATAGCACAATTCTTTACTTCCTTCCTCCAGCTCTCAACTTGAAAACTGCACTCTCATTGGATCAACACCATGTCGCAAAGCACCCCATATTTCCGTCCTTCAACGCACGCTCAAGGCCTAGCCAACTACCCACATGCGCGAACAATCACATCCCCCGACGGAAAGGGATCCTACATCTATGTCTCGGGAACTTCATCACGTCGCGGCGATGGGACCTTCGTCGGCGCAACAAGCACCCCAGATGCAGACGGCAAAGCCACACTAGCGCTCGACATCCGCCAGCAAACAGCAGCCGTACTATCGAACATTGATGCCATTATCCAAGGCGCCTCGAATGGTAAAGCTACCATTGCGAATGTGATCGATGCGACAGTCTTCTTGACAGATATGAAAGGCGACTATACTGGCATGAACGAGGAGTGGAATCGGGTCTGGCCCGATCGGAATACCGCGCCAGCTCGGACGACTGTTGAAGTGCGGGCTTTGCCAAGGGACGAGATTATTGTGGAGATTAAATGTACAGCCTACTATGTATAATGTGGGTAAGACAAAGAATAAAAGGAATGAAATGTCGAGCACCTACGATTTTACGGGGATGGAATGATAATAATCACTATGTGAATTGACATAAAACCTAAAGTACACAAAAAACTCCCCTGTACCCATAAATCAGAAAACGCGAACCAAACCCATGTTCCGGGCTGCGTAGATAACAATTATTTTGTGAGTCGGTCACAGTGCGCATGTTCAGACAAAAATCAAAGAACGACATAACAAACGAGATTCGGGCGTAGATTGCATTAAGAATATTCGGAAATCAGTATGCACAACCCGCCAGCGGAAAGACATCTAACTTCTATCTAGATGAAGAACGCAAGGAAAGAGGCAGCGATGCCTAGGAAAACGCTCGTAAGAGCGGACTCAGTCACAGGCTGCGCCGAGTTGTAGTACGGCGTGTAACTTGGGGAGGGTGTTGGGCTCCCACTCCGGTAGGGGGTACTCTTCCAGATCGGCGTGGGGGGATGGCGCATACGACCAGTTGGAGTACCGGTCACATAGGGAACGATTGCAACGGATGGTGTGCTACCCCAGGCGGTGGTAGTCACGAAGGTGACCAGAGGCACCGTGACGGTGGAAGTGCGGTACGTGATCGTAGTGGCGGGGACAACTGGAGCAGTTGGAGTGCTTGCGCCGGAACTAAGTGCAGGGAGCGTGGGGGCGCAGACACCTCCAGTCAATGTGATGCTTGCCGGGATGTTGGTCATGATACCTGGGTTTTTGGAAACCCATTTTGCGCAGACACCAGCGAAGTAAGAGAGGCCACCTTGGATCTCTGACTTGGAAACACTCGAAGTATTGATGCAGTCTTGGACCTTGTTGGTGAACTCGCTGTTGGGGCAGTAGCAGTTGGACGATGTATCCGAGGCGCAGCTGGTTGAATTTAGCGAAGTGTTGATGCACTGCATGACAATGGTGGACGCGGAACAGGCAGGTGCTGTCGGGGTGGCCGGGCTTGGACAGTCCGTGCACACTGTCTCGGTCGAGGTTAATGTGACTGTGGACGGGGAGTGTGTAAGGAATGTGCTAATGCTATCACCAGATGACCATGTAGCCGTGGATGAGTGCCAAATGGTGCTCTCGTAGGTCACAGTCACAGTTGATCCAGAGCCAGGGGCGTTAGGAGTGGAGTGAGAATCGACACCAGTAGGAGTGGGTACGATAACTACCGGGGTAGTGATGGTCGATGTGGATGAGAGTGTGACTGTAGACGCAGTGCTTGTAGTCACGGTGTGAGTGGAGCCACCAGAAGTCAACGTCGCTGTGACTGGGCACCAAGTCGTGGTCAACCAGGTAATAACAGTCACTGTCTCCTCAGGAGTAGGGGTAGAGCTAGCAGAAACGGTCACTGGAATAACGGTCACTGGAACTCCAGGAGTAGTCTCAGCAGCAGTGGTCTCTGTAAGAGTTTCTGTCTGTTCAGGGACGCTTGGAGTTACAGTATGGCTTGCACTGCACTCTTCGCTACAGGTAGAGGTTAAAGTTACCGTAGAGACGGTGTGAGTAGTTTGGAAGCTTGTAGAACCGCCGGTGACAATTGTGCTGGTAACCGGGTGGGTGGTGATGCTTGTGTAAGTCACAGCAGTAGTCACCGTGTCTCCCGGGAATCCTGGAGTCGAGCTTGCACTGACACCGGTGGGAGGCGTGACTGTTACCGTAGGCGTAGCAGGGATGGTCGATGTGGAGGTCACAACAACCACCGAGGGAGTGCTCGAAACCGTAGTGATGATAGAAGTACCCGAGGTGTGTGTGGCAGTAAAAGGACACCATGTTGTGGTGGTGTAAGTCACGATAGTAACAATTGAACCTGGGGTGTCAGGGACGGCCGGAGTCGAGTTTGGACTGACACTTGTGGGAGGTGTCACTGTAGCTGTGGGGGTAGCAGGCACAGTCGAGGTGGAGGTCACAACAACTACCGAGGGAGTGCTCGACACAGTAGTTATGATAGAAGTACCCGAGGTATGTGTGGCTGTGAACGGACACCATGTTGTTGTAGTGTAAGTCACAAGAGTGATAGTTGAATCGGGACTACCAGGGGTGGAGCCAGCGCTAGCACCAGAAGGCACAGTAAGAGGAATGGAGGCAGTGAACTGCGACGAAGACACCGAGCTGGATTCCACGGAAGTAACCTTGGCCGTTGTCGTTTCAGGGGTGGATGCGGAGCCAGACTCCGAGGATGTTATTATGGCGGAGGTAATTTCGGGAGTGCTAGTTGCCGGAGTCGAAGCATGCGAAGAGCACTTCGGACAGATGGTCGATGTGGAGGTCACAACAACCACTGAGGGGGTGCTCGAAACGGTAGTGATGACAGAAGTACCCGAGGTATGAGTGGCTGTGACCGGGCACCATGTTGTTGTCGTGTAAGTCACAATAGTCACGGTTGATTCTGGACTTCCAGGGGTAGAGCCAGCACTAACACCAGATGGAGGTGTCACTGTAGCCGTAGCTGTAGTAGCGGGGATAGTGGACGAGGAAGTCACAACAACTACCGAAGGAGTGCTCGAGACCGTAGTGTAGGTATGGGTGCCTGAGGTTTGTGTAGCAGTGACAGGACACCAGGTTGTAGTAGTGTAAGTCACGATAGTGATAATCGAGCCACCTGGCCCACCCGGAGTGGAACCAGCGCTGACACCAGGAGAAATCGACGTGCCGGTAACAGTAAGCGGAGTAGATGTCACGGTTGATCCTGGAACGGCGGGAGTAGACAAGTGTCCTGTCTTAGTCTCAGTCACTGGGCAGATGGTTGTCGAAACAGCAATAGTACTGGTGACAATAGTAGTCGAGTCAGCAGGGCAATCCGTAACTGTCGCAGCGCAGCTAGTAATGGTAACCAGGCTGGTAGAGTAGACAGTCGATGTAGTCCACTTAGTGGTTGAGGCTGAGACTGCACTTGGCGAGACTGTAACCGGAGAAGACCCTGAAGGCTGAGGCGAATTGCTGGGTGAAATAACGGGAGAAGGCGATGACGATTGTATCGGAGAAGAAGTAGGCAAAACACCGCTAGGGCCAACAGGAGTGGAAGTCTTCTCTGTACCAGTCTCTGTCTCGGTCACTGGGCAGATGGTTGTCGAAACAGCAATTGTACTTGTGACAACTGTGGTGGAGTCAGCAGGGCAATCAGTGACCGTCGCAGCACAGCTAGTGATGGTGACCAGGCTGGTACTGTAGACAGTCGACGTAGTCCACTTAGTGGGCGTGGGAGTGATACCAGTCGGCGTAGTGCTGGGAGCGACAGAAACCGAATGAGGAGAACCAGCCGGTGGACTAGCAGCAGGTACAGAAGGCGAGTTGGTCGAACGTGAGGAGCTAGGAGAGCCAGCCGGAGATGATACAGGCAGGACACTAGAGGGCACAAGCGGGGTAGAAGTTTTCTCTGTGGCAGTTCCAGTCTCAGTCTCCGTCACAGGGCAGATAGTGGTTGAAAGTGCAATGGTAGAGGTAACCACAACAGTCGAATCAGCAGGGCAGTTGGTAATTGACGCAGCACAGCTAGTGACCGTAATCTCGCGGGTGGTGAAGACAGTTGACGTAGTCCACTTCTGCGAGGTAGTGGCCGCAACAGATGGAGTCACGGTGTTTGTGGCCGCTGGAGTTGCGTTCGGAGTAGGAACTGACAAGGAGATAGGCGAGGTGACAGGAGAGCTCTCAGGCGAGCTACCACTCGGACTGGATCCAATAGGAGTGGACTTTACCGCTGGAGTAGTATTAGCGTAGGTGTCCGTCACCGGGTGCACCGCAGTAGAGATGGCAAAGGTAGAAGTGATGACACGAGTAGAATCAGCCGGGCAGTCAGTGACAGTAGCCGCACAGCTAGTGACCGTGATCACGCTGGTGGCATACACAGTAGATGTTGTCATACGGTGAGTCTGAGCCGCGGCACTTGTCGTCGCGCCGACTGGAGAGATTACAAGAGCCGAGGGGGTTGAGCTCGATGGAGTGTTGGTAGCAACAGAGCTAGAAGGACTCTCAGCTACCGAAGATGGTTTCTGCACGTTGGCCGAAGCACCAGCAGCATGTGGGCTAACAACGTTGTAGGATGTGGGGGAGCTCGAGGCAGTGTTGCCTGGAACAACAACAACGGGGCTGGTAGAGATGGGAGACGCTTCAGCTGAAGCGGGGGTAGGAGCAGACTGAGGAACAACCTCAAGGGGGTTGGAAGCTGAGGCACCATAAGTTTGACCGTTGGCATTGGCATTGACAGACTCGGTGTTTGCAGGGTTGGTGTATCCAGCATTGCCATTGTCAGTCTCAGCTGCCGGGCTAGATGTAGGGGCAGTAGGCTCAGGATCAGCAGACGTAGTAGTCTCCTCGCCGCTTGTTCCAGCAACGTAGGGAATCGAAGAAACCCCACGTTTACGCATATCTACACGCGCTGGGAAACGCTCAACAGCCGGGCCACTCGGAATGATCAACTGTCCGCAGTTGAACAAGATGTTGTAGATACCAATCTTAGCACGGGTTGCCCTGTTGTTCTCATCAAGTTCAAAGCGGAGAGAAGTAGCACCGGCGCAACTGTCAACGGGAATGACCGCGACACGACCGCCAACGCGAGTATTTAAGCGGCAGAGGTTGCCGTCAGGCATCATGAAACGCATCTTGAGATCAATGGGCTCGGAAGCCGATGCATAGATGGTCTTGATGGAGAAGGGATCTCGGGATGAGATAGAAGGGGCAGATTCACCAGACTTGGTGACATTGCTGACGATGGATTTCTTCTGTATCATGTTAGTCACAGTGTTATGAATTCTACTATTGGGTAGTAAACATACTCCATATCCCGTACCAAAGGTGCTGCTGGAGGTGAAGCCGGTGAAGTTGAAATCAGCATAAGTGGAAATTGGGCCATCCTCCAGAGTTGCCCAGTTGAAGCCAAAAGACCGCTCCTGGTACTTGCTGCACTCCATGAAAGCAGGCTCTTCATGACTAGGCTTGTCGAACCCCCACCACTGTAGAAAAGTCAGTGTTGATCTTTTGGTTATATCCATATTTATGTAAGGCAAAACACAAAACCATAAACACAACACGTACCGAAGGGGCAGTATTGGGGAAAGCGTAAATCGTAGCTAGAAAGACGATAGCAAAAACAGACAACATCTTGAAGAGGTTGATCACCGATTGATCAGGACGAAGGGAGCCCATCGCGACGACAGGTGGTGCAAGAAGCACGATATGTTTGGAAAAACAAAAGTTAGATTAGAGGAAAGTAGCAATCCGAATAAAAGATCTTTGAGCGAGAGTGACGAAGGTCAGAAAGCTTCGAAGAGATGGAAAAGCAAGAAAGGTTGAAGGTCGGTGGAAGAAAGAAAGTCAAGAACAAAGAAAGGTAAACAACGAGAGGACGCAAAAGAGAATGCGATGAGAGTACCAGCCCCCGTAACAAAAGTGAATGATGAACCTCTCTTCACTACGTGGGGAACCCTCTCTTCTTTAATACGCGCCCCATTGAAGTCTTCAGCTATTTACTTCACGGTCTAGAGCTCCACATCCACTGTGCATTTATTCCTCATTTGTAAGACAACTTGACACTATGGGCGCTGTGTCCTCCAATAGGCAGAGGACTGAAGTACCTTATGAAACAAGGTCAACCCAGAAGAGGCAGCGTAGCATCCTTCCAGTAGACAAAGCGGAGACTACTGCAGGAACTAGCAAAGCGGCTAGCCCAGTATCCAATCAACTAGATTAACCAGTTCTTCAAGTATGGAGCTCTCAGTTCGGTGACATCCGGCGGTTACAGGAGGGAGCCAATAAGAGAAATTAAGGATCGGTCTAAAATAGGCCCCATTGACGAATGTCCCAGCGCCAGATCGACACGGGTGCACAAAGCTAAGGGTCTAGTCCAGCGGTTAACTTCAGCACCAATCACCGCTCTTCCCGGGCTCTGGAGTGGGGACCGGGTGGTCTAGGAGCCGCCAATCAGAGAATCCGGGGGGATCAGGACCCCAAAAATAGCGCCTGACGGATCTTGGTCGGCGCCATGATGCAGGCACGCGCAACCCGTCTGCATCATCTCGTTCTTCACTCCTGCGTGCATACCCAGTCGACTGTTTTGCTGCGGGTTGAGAACACTCTACTGCAAATATCTTCTCGCGCTTTGACCTCCATAGTCACGCTACTCCCTCAGAACTCCTGCTAGCGGGGCTCTCTTTCAATCTGACACATGGCTACTGTCAGACTAAGCAACTGTGGCGCAGGCCCTTTGTGTTGTTCAATGGGAAATTGTCTATAGAATAGGGACTTAAGCTAGGTTCCCTGCTGGTTCAAGTCCACCCATGCAGGGATTCTTGAAGCCTTGGTATTGAATAGAGTAATGAGGGGTCCAAGTGACATGATTCCTTTACCGAGGCCCTTGAATACGTAACTGGATGAGTTCGAGATTTAATTTTTTTTTTTTGTTCTGGTAAAAATAAAATAAGACATCCATCACTCATGATAAAGGCAAAAAAAAATATCAACTCCTGAAAATCCAGAGGTATCACCGTCTCCTCTCGAACAGCGAGGGAGTCCATGGCAAATAAACACATATGAGAAGCGAAGGAATGTAAAGGCAAAAACATCCAATGCAAGAACACAAAAATTGATCAACTTTTGGATCATCAGAACCGCCATCGATATTCCTTTTAGTAACAACATGAGGATGCGGGGTTGTTAATCATCCATGCCAAACTTAGATCTCCATCCATTTGATGAAAGATCAACAAGAGCATCAATAATCAACCTGCCTCCCGGCACAAGTCTGCCAGCGACTCAACAAATGTAACAGTGTCCGTGTGTATCATGCGATCTTTTTTCAAGATAAAAATCCAAACTTCGTGGAATCGTTAAATGGTTTTAGCAAGGAGCTAGAGAGGTACTTGGGTGCGGCGTTGCGCATCCATGAGCTTGCGACGCACAGCCTCGCCACCGGTGTAGCCACTCGCTTTGCGCTTCCTGGTGGGGGTACGCTGGTCAGTGTGTTTGGCGTGTCGGAAGACGCTGGCAGGCCGCGCGGGGGAGTTAGCGGGCATGAATTCGCGGTGCTGAGGGAGACGGAGAAGGGCTTGGTATCGGTTGTGGTTACGACGGAATGCCGTGACAATGCCCTTATCAAGGTGTTCGAGGAAGCGCTCGGATTTACTGTCCTGTTGGACGTCCGAGTTACGCTTGGGTGTTGGGGTGCCCATATTCGGCAAGGAGGATCCACCAGTCATAGGCGAGATGAGTGCGTCATCATCGAGATTGCCCATATCGTCTTCATCGGAGGATCCATTGCCAAAATCGATGAAGTCATCCACATTGAGAGCGGACTCCGGGTCGTCTTCGTCGTCCTCTTCAAAGGAGCTGTCAATCGCAAAGTCGCGGGAGGGGTAGAATGCTTCAGGGGGGCCCATGACCTGACCCCCAGGAGCCAGGTCGTTACCGAGGGCCGTCATCATGAGATTGGCGCTGGAGGCCAGCATAGGGCTGAAGTCAGTCTGGTTGGGGGATGCAAGGGCATCAGTATCACTCTCATCGATCAGCTGCAGAGTGGTCTGGCGAGGGCTGTTGTTGGCGGTGCCCGGCATGCTGTTGGCCGCAGAATCCAACCAGTCGTGACGAGAGGAAGCATAGGCTGGGATAATGACAAGATGCTTTCCGGTGCAGTCTACCAAGGCTACAGGCTTGTGAGGGTCCGCCACGAACGTGCCCATGATTGGGCCGCGACGGCGGGGGATAGTATCGCTCTTATCGTCGGTAGCGACCAGCGAGTCAGTGGAGTCCCGACGAAGAAGGGAGCGAGGGTGAGTAATGGTGGCTGGAGGGGGAAGATCCTCATCTGTTGTGTCGCCATGATCGGCTGGGGGTGTATTAGCAAAGAAACATAGAAAAGCGGGAAAATAGCCAGCATACTCTCATAACCACTCAAGCTGCCTTCGGATGTTCCCTCGGACTCGACGTGGTAAATATTGCCATGGCCATAGTCAGCATCACCAAACATATCTTCAGACTGGCGACGATGGCTACGATGGTGGTCGTTGTCGCTTTCAATCATGCGACGCAGTTGAGGGTCCAATGAGTCTTGCTGGAGGAAATCACTGGGAATTTCATCCTCAGTGTGGGAGTCACTGTCAGAAGAAGAGTCGGATCGCTCCTCGAAGTGGACACGGCGAGCCACGGAGGTTTCCACCGGCTCGCTGGCAATCTCAGGTTCACCAAAAGTGTCCATGGCACTGTAAATCTGCTCCTCGTCAAAAAAGGAAGCAGCAGGCAGGAACATCGAGTCCCCAAAGATCTCAGCGCCGTGCCACTGGTCATGAGAGGTTTCAGAGGTGGGCAGGATACGATGTTCTCTCTCGGATTGCATGATCATCATCTCTTCCAATTTTTCAACATCTTGTTCTTCGTCTTCGGCATCGGTGATGTAGTCTACCGCAGCGTAGACATCGTCTGAGCTGTCTTCTGAATCACTGTCACTGCTCACGATGTTATCGGATTCTTCATCCTCAGAAACCCGTATTCTCTTGGTCGCTTTGGCGGCTTGTCGGCCTGCCTTGCGGGAGTTATTCCACCGGCGACCAAATGACCGGGCCTGCGCCAAGGGCCGGTCTTCTTCGTCATCAGCATCATCTTCCGAATCATCGGCCTCCTCACTCAGTTCCTCAAGAGAAGAGACACTGGAGACACTGGAGACCGACGAGGAGGATGCGCGTCTTTTCCGCTCAAATGAGGCGGTTCCGCCATTGCGGGAGTTGGCCATCTTTTTCGCTTGCACAAGGGCCTTGGGGGACATATTGAGGTGTTTCCGGTTGTTATATTCAGGTGTCAATGGTCGTTGTGTAGTTTTAGAACCCTTGGAAGTTTTTCTGGATGAAAATGGGCTCGACTGCGGCATATCGGCACAGTTCGTTCGTCGGTACAGAATGCAATTTTTTTCTTCGTTCAAGTGGAGGGGTATTTTTGTCACAAGGAGCTTCCTTATTTTTCGGAGGTGACTAGAAATAGATTTCCAGGGAGATTCGGTTTCAGGGATTTCGTATGTTGGATGAAAGGGTTCCCAGGGGAGAGTTGGGGAGTATCGTCAAGGGTGGGAAAAGTGAAAGTTTTTTTTCGTAACCACGAAGCACCTCCAGTCCACGATGGACGGTCAAGTGCTCTTTCTGGGACTGTACTAGGGGGGCAATTCCGACGCCAAAGGTGCATCAGAAGAGGAACAGATATCGTCAAGTTGAATTGAAGGTCGGAGCTGCAGGACTGAGGAGCCGGCAGACAGGCTCCCCAGCGAGGCGTTTACAGCTCAACGAAAGCCATTTGGCAGGAATTCTTGACGGGTATCTTAAAAAGTGACAGTTGGTGAAAGGGGGGTTTGAATAAGGGTTGACCTGGTAAAGCTGGGTTGTTGATGAGAAGAAGATGTGAAGGGATAATAATCCAATGGATTTTTCCCGCCAAAGCGGAAGTGGGGAATGGGGCGGGTTGATTGGCCGGACTCCACGAGCGCCCATTCGTTGGCGTCAGTTCACCGCATCTTTCGCGCCAATTGTAAACTTGCTGCAATTGGAAATCCTGCACGCTATTCTCGGATTCTACGGTACAGCTGCCTAAGAGACTTGGACTTGACTCCCAAGGGGTGCTAGCTATTTGGCTCTAGTTGACTATAGGTATGGAAAGCTCTCTATCAAAGAGGGGAAGAGGAAAACTTTGCTAAGGAATGGATCCAGATCCAGAACTGGGGCAACCATGCGGGTCCATTGTGGCAGTCTTCAAATAATGACTGCTATTCATCTAGACAAATCAATTAAAACTCAAAACACTTTTCTGGACTTGCAGGCAACTGGCTCCAGCGACGTCAGACTGGCGCTTATCTACTGTAGTGGAAGGTGCAGAAGCCAAAAGTTGACCCGTGCGGGCAGAATGATTCATCGCCCGATCATGACACACTGCTGATGGGATGAATCATATTATGACTCCACACGAGAAAGTCCAGGTCAGCAAGAACACTCGCCATCCATTGGTCGGATCCGAGAGTCGTGTTGATTTTTCCGTTTCGTTTTTTTTTCCCTCCCGCGGTGGCAACTCGGGTCTCTCCATTCCGGCGACCAGAACTTCGTCTTTACCTGGGAGCTTGCAGGTCTTCGTCGCAGACCTGGGCCTTCAAGTAGAAAGGGGCGGGAAGGAACAGGCGGTAAGTATTGACAACATGGCTGCGGCTGCATCCTGCATGAGATAGATCCGCGATAATGCCCAACCGTAATACATAGTTCTGTGCCAAAAGTAAGTTATGGAGGGGGTGCAAAGACCCCTCCAAAGTAAGGGGTGATTTTCCTCTGCAAGATCATCTCCGCCCCGCAATGAATTCAGTAGAAATTTCGCCCGCTAATCCAGACCCACTACGCTAGCCTATTTTTAAGCCGTTGGAGGCGTTTCGGAGAACAGACTTCCTTTGGGTTCCGATTATTATTGTTTTTTGGGGGGGGAAGTTTTTTCCCACGTGGTCTACTATCAAGACTCAATAAAGGGTTTGAGAAAGGGGGAACGACGGAAGGATCTGGAGGCTCTGAAGTCCTATCCAGGTGAACCTGTGGCTTGGATTATTGGTGATCTGCATACCATCCCCGCCGTCCAATCACACCCATGCTCATCTTTGGAAAGTCAATCTTAATTTTCTTTGACGGATACATGCATTTCACCGCATCACTGTGTCCAAGGTTATTGTTTCAAATGTTTGATACGAGTCCATACTTATCTACTAGATTGAGCTATATACAACAGGTAGTAATATGCTCTCTCCATTTCACTGAGGCCAGTATTCGGTCCGGAACCGTAAATACCATCGCAATGATATATATTATGTTGCCACTCTGCAGCTACGGAATTGCTTGGCAACGGAACCCACCCGTTCAGCAGGAAATGGTCCCAAACAGAAAATTCTGGATGATTTCTTCTAACCTCGGTTCACGCCTTTAATTCAGCCCATCGGTTCCAAGATGCCGGGTGCCGGGAACCCCGTTATCCGTGGACTGGACCGGGAAGCCGAGATGGTGCGACTTATGCTGACCAGAGCATTATTGATCGTCGGCCAATCAAGATCGCTTGAAAAAAACAATGCATTATCTGAATTATCATCAACCCTCGCACTTCCATAAATCGTTATCATCACGCCCAGAATGTGCAATATTCTGCCTATTCACAAGCTATGTGTACAAAGACAATTGTTTCTATAAACTACTCAAGTCCCAGGATAAGGGGCAATATTAGAGGAGGGGCCCGGTTCAGTCTTTGCTCGTCCAAAGATAGATAGCCGCGACTTGGTTCGAGTAGGGACCGTGGAGGAAGCAGTGGTCTCCATGGGGCTCTGGGGCTCCGAAGCTGCAGCTTCCAATGCTGAGGATGCTCGAGCTTGTTCCACTTTTCGCACGCCCTCGCGGATCTCTTCGGCTGAAGCTCCTTGAGGTGCGGTGGTCGTAAAAGTCTCAGTGGGACGTATTCTGGCTTCAGAGGAATCCTCATTCAACTTATTGATCTCCTCCTCCGTGACCAGGCGTTCGTTCTCAAGACGGACCTCACGCCCACGCTTATGGCAGTACCAGAGCACGAATAGGAGAACTGCAAGATATTTGTTAGCGGGGACCCAGAAATAGAATCATTCGTGACTTACTAAACAACGCCAATGACCAGAGAACGTTCATGCCCAACACGGCCGGGAAACGTGCCCTCAAAAATGCCATAATGGACCGTAGCATACCCACGATCGCAGCAGGCTTAGAAACTAGCTCCTTCAGACTGGGAATGTTGACTCCCATCTTCTCGGCTGCAGCGGCAGCTTTGCCAACGTTTTCCATGTTGACTCCACTTTGAGTGGCCCGTTCACTGGCCACGGCAAGCATCTCTGGTGCCAAAGTCTCGGTCCACTTTTCAGGGAGCTTCTCGATTAGCTTTTGAAGGAAGCCAGGCAGCTTGGTATAAGTGTCTTGCAATTGGCGATTCCCGTTCGTCAGGAGCATCTCCAAGTCGCGATAGGCCGTAGGAACACCATTGATCAGATCCTTGAAGATCAATTTGAACTTGCGAAGCAGTTCCTGCGTTTCATCGCTGACGGAAAAAACACGATTGTTATCTGCTGCCAGATTCAGTCGTTCCAGGATATCTATCATATCCTCTTGGTCCTTCTGAGCTTCTTGTCCATTGTCCGGCGGTGTTGTCGTCGATGGAGGAACGGGTGGTTGAGATTGTGAAGTGTCATCCTTTGCAGCATCCTTGTCTTTGTCCTACACAGAGAGAAAACAGTATTAGTCAATCGAGCCGAAAAGGATGCGACGGCGGAAGTAAAACAAGAAGTCCTACATTCTTGGAGTCTGCGTTCTTCTTCCAGAACATTGTACTCCATCTTTTCTTTTTCTTCTCTGGGGCTCCTGAGTCTTGTGGCTTCACAAGTTCTGACTCTTTGTTTGCAGAGCCGCCGGAAAGTTGGCTCGTCCGTCGCCCTTGTTCTCCCAGCTCCTTCCCAAACTCCTCAGCAGGCGAGGCAGGAAGAGGGATAGTTTCGGCACCCTCATTCAGCACGGGGTACTCAGAGCTTCCTGGAGGAACTTCAGATCCTGGCGATGATGCTTTCGCAACAGTACTAGATCCACTTTCAGGCGAAGTGACCTGTCGCAGATAGGCTTCCTCCTCCTCGGTCAGAACAGGCTTTGGTGCTTGCAAGACCTGCGACGAGCGCCGGCGATTCTTCATTTGGTTGATATACTCCATCGTAAAGCCAGAACACACACTCAATATCAGATCGGGGGGTGGTTTATGAGAAACAGCGGCGACAGGTTTTCAAAAGTCAAAGTTTGAAACGCGGTCGGCGCGTAGTGGAGGTTTGAGCGCACACAGTTGATAGATCACCCTGCACGGGCGGCTCCAGGTGCAAATAGATCAAAACTAGATCGGAGATTCAGTGAAAGGGGCAAAGTTGCCGAGAAAAGAACGGATATGTGACATGCAAGCAGTGTTCACAGGGGAAGTTTTGATCTCAGCCAGCTCTTTCGTGATGATATCATCGTGGCTGATACGAGGAACAACCCCACAAAACCCCTCTAACACAGCCACAGCCGCAACCACAGCCACAGCTCAAGTGATGCTTGGTATCTACAGTGGGTATCTATCATCCAATGGCGCAACTTGTGGGCCATCGCAAATAAGGCAAACAAATACTTTTTTAATAGACCATTTGTCTTGAATACATGTGTGAGAGAATCAGACTCAAGACACAATGTCTGGCCAATGTATGTCCCAAGGCTTCCGGAATTTCCGTGACATAGGTGGCTTCTCTATCTCTCCTACTAAATGCATCTGAAAAGGATAACATACCGTTCTGCCAGCATCAATCTCATCGACAGATAAGCAGTTGACGAGCTGCAAGACTCTTACAACATCCGTATAATTTCTGGCCTACGGAGCGCTGGTGAGCGGGCGCGGCAATAATCTCCACCTGCAAAAATTCCCATTATAGGTCTACCGGTTGTTGCGAAGCCTGACGGAATAACCCTCCAGAAATATTCGATGGTCTCTTGAAAATGCGCCACTAGCATGTGCTGAGCTTCACCAATATATTTGCGTCCACTCGACTACCGCTTTCAATTCAGTTTTCAGATATATCCGGGATAACCCGGGAAATCCTCTTCTTGTTCATTGCGAACTTGGAAAGGAAGAGACAGGAAACTAATTTGCTGTTCTTCTATTTGCTCTAGCCGCATCAGAGTCTGATATAGTTTCAGACTATCTCTTGCCGCGTAAAGGAATAGAGGGGCTCGTGGCAGCGAGGAAAGCAAAGCTTGCGAGATCGGATGCTGTAAAAGATGTTTCGCCTTCCCCAGTTGCTTTGAATAGACACTTGATGACATAAACAGAATCCATGACCATGTTTATCTCTTATTCAAAAGATACTTATGGTAACGACCAGAGTGATTTGGAACCAAATGAGCTCGGATTCGAAGATTTTGATAAAATCAGGTTGGATATGACTCGAGACGTGTAGTTCCGGTTAACTCTCGGAGACAACCGAGGTGATCAGAACGCACCCCGCATATAAAACGGATTTTCCGCTCTGCAAATGGCAAATGCGACATGGTTGATGTCACATACGTGCATATTCACGATGTTTATTCGGAATAAAGTCATCTGCCGTAGATTTGCGGGGTCGCTGTTTCAGATCTCCCGAGAGCTTTCGCCTCTAATTGTGTTGGGCTTCGGAGATTTTTCCCATTTCTGAGAAGCTTGAACGACGAACCTCGGTTTAAGAACTGCCGATTCTATAAATGCCGAGCCGGAAGCTTTCTAGACCGGCGGTTGGGCCCTGGCCAAGCATTCGTGGCCCCGGATTGACAGGGACTCCACGGAATGGTATATCGGTGAGCAAGAGGCGTTTCACCACTACGTTGAATTCCACCCTGACGTCGTGGTGGATCCTGGATATAATACATCGGATTGTGTACAAGTCCAACTTGGGACAATTGTTTTAGACAAATTGCTGTGAAGACTGAGGAAATATGACAGATCAACTCGGATGAATTTAGACTCAATGACACGACATGATAGAGTGCATCGGGATTCGTCGGGCTTCACACTGCATGTCTTCAAGATCCTTAATAATAATTGAATTAGGCTAACCTGTGGCGGTTTGACCCACGCGAGCCATCAGGCCCGTGGTTGGCAGGTCATAAGTGCGGGGCTCTGAGAACTTGAACCACGACCGAATGTGCTTATAATTATCCTAAATAAGAGCATTTAGATTATGTAGCGTGCGCCGAGAAATCGGGAATTCAGGGAGAAGTAAGGGTCAACCAAGGGCCCATGACTGATTTTTGAGGCGGGACCCATACTTCTGGGTAGCATGCCCCACACGCCTCCGGACCGTTCGAGAGATAAGCTGCATAGTGCCATCTCCTGAAACCGGATCGGTAGGTTTGACCGATGTTTCTATACACTTCCCTGAGACTCAATTTCACAGTTACCTTGGTTACAGTTGCTCTGGATTCAAGTTCCCCCCCAGAGTCCTGCGACCCCTGCCCCTGTTCGTGAAGTCAATGTGACAGACGAACTATCAATGACACCCACGCAGTATTGACCTTGCCCCGTCATTCAAGAACGCATTGTAACATTTAAAAATGATTTTAATTAACGTCTCATCCTTTTTGGTCGCGGATCCTCCGCCACGAGCCCTACATCCCCACTGCCGATCCGAGGTTTACCCGAACAGGAATGACTCCGAAAGTCTATATGCATCACGGTGTTTGAGTCTGAGACGAATATTTCCCTTTCTAGAAAGAACGCCGCTTAGATCGAAGTGTGTGGGACTTCTTTTGTTCCGGAACATTTTCTCGAATATACGTCAAGGCGAGTTCGTGGGTAAAAGGTATTTGCGAATTGAAAAAGATATTTAAAGCACAGCATTCCCAGCATATCCCAGGACCAAGAAAAGGAAAGCAACAATCATTTGTCTGCTCTGCCATTGACTGAATTCTTCGAGCCGAGCCAATCTGCTATACTATAATCCACAATGCTTTCCAACAGCATTTCCTTCCTTGCCACTGCCGCGTTGGTCGCGCAGGTCTCTGCTTTCCCTGCGCTGCAAGAGCGGGCTACTGCGGGTTTGTCAACTTAATAAATGCAATACCAAATACTAGCTGACTGTCAAAATATAGACACTGCTGCTTGGTCCTTCCTGCAGCGTGCTGCTGACCTGTCGTCAGCTGCGTACACTGGATGCATTGGAACGGCTTTCGATGTCACCATTACCAAGCAGATTTATGATCTGACAACCAATGCTAAGGTAAAAGCCACGAAAGACTAGTTCAATGACCAGTTGTTAATATTATCAGGGCTTTGTTGGATATTCCACTACGAACAAGAAGATCTCTGTCGTCATGAAGGGATCTACTACTGGTATCGTTTTCTGACTTTCGACCGTAAAATTGATTCTGACAAACAGTAGAGACGGATATCATCAACGACATCGACACCACGCTGGTTACTCCCTCCCTTTCCGGCGTTACATTCCCCTCTGGTGCTCAGATCATGCACGGTATTAGCAGCCCTTGGTCTGCCGTTCACGACACTATCATCTCGGAAGTCAAGACTTTGGTGGAGAAGTACCCGGACTACACTCTGGAGTCGACCGGACACTCCCTGGGAGGAGCCCTTACTTACATGTCTTATGTTGCCTTGTCCGCCAACTTTCCCGACAAGGAAGTTACCAGCAATGCTATGGCTGCGTTCCCGATCGGCAACCAGGCCTGGGCCACCTTTGCCAACTCTTTCAACGGCACCCTGAACCGCGGCAACAACATTGATGACGGTGTGCCGGTAAGTCTTGCTTCATCTCATTATCTTCTGCATATGATTGACCTTGTCCTAGAATATGTACGTCCAAGCCCCATACAACTTTGTTCACTACGGAACCGTGAGTTAAATCGACCCGACCAATTTCCACCTACACCCAGTTGAGATTTAACATTCTATTTTTTTATCTAGGAGTACTACAGCTCTGGATATCAAGCCAGCGTCGTGAAGTGCTCCGGAGAGCGTGACCTTGCTTGTTCTGCTGGAAACGGACAGTACAGTGTGACCCCTGGTCATTTCTACAGCTTTGGTGTCGGGCTTGGCTACGCTGGATGTTTCTCGCTGTAAGCTGAGAATCTGAAGCTTCTACGGAATCATGGGCCCTGAGAGGCTGTGACAAAGTGGTAATGTGAAGTCCTCGCGGGCGAGAGGCTACCACATTAGAAACCTGTTCACTATGTATCAATTGTTTCACCGGACGTTGGGCTATTCAACATAGTTGGCATCGCGCGTCAGATTATATTATTTGTTGCTTTAAGCCCCATGGCCATGAGCGAAATCATAATTGCAATTTGTACCAATTGAAACATCCTCCGTTATCTCGGGGTTCCTGAAGATAGCAGCTGGGTCTAGGCTCCAAAAGCAGCGTGCATTTGGCAACGCCGATCGTCGACTCGGGAGCCAATACCATACAGCTAATAGGCGCCGCCGAATAAACACGAGTTGGAAACGACACCAGGCGGACATGATCTTGCCAATCGGAGATGACAAAATTTGCGCCTCATGCCGGCCGCACCTGCAGTTGATATCACCTGACCGTGTATCTTTAATAGCGCTCGTCCCCCTCACCCCGGCTTTCTTTTTCTCACGTCTGCCAGAGTCGACAAATTACGCACCTAGAGTCTCTCGGGACTCTTGAATGCAAAGCTCTCATCCGAAAACTGTTTCTTTCCGTCTCTTGATGAAACGGAGGAACTATTTCGGAGGGCGGCTTTCCAGACTCTCTCACATGCTCGTGTGATCTGCAGCGTCAGGTGTATTTTTTTTTTCTTTGCTATTTGACCAACTCGTATCACTCTTTTTGATCATTTAGGGTTCCTCGGCCACGTCCATTGATAACCCGTATCGCTATGTTCCGACGCTCCTTTACGTCGAAGAGCTTCGATTCTAAAAGCCGGGCGGGGAAGACCGCCAAGGCGAGTAAGAAGAAGTACGACAAACAAGCCAAAGAGAAAATGCAGGACAAAGTGGATAACCCGTCGCCGGGAAGGTGGTAATTTCACGATAATAGTCTCAGGGATAAAGCTAATCACTCGCGGTTAGTGCACTGACAAGTCCCATCATAACGATGATTGTGGGCCAGGACCAGCGTTTATTCGCTGCCCACGAGGACGTCTTATCCATTTCCCCGTACTTTCAAACTGCGCTGAAGGAGAAATCTTTGGAGGAAGGTGCAAAGCAACTGGCTCTGCCTGACGAGTGAGTCGTTCGTCGCTAAATTCATGATGACTATGAGCTTATACTCGAACAGGGAGCCCGAGATCCTTTCGTGCGTCCTCGAGTACCTATACAAGGGTGACTATTACCCACGGCTATTGCGTGGTAAGCGTCGAGACTCTTGGCATCTTGAGAATGCCCAGGATCCTCAACAAACCGGTGGTTGCGGGTCGAGTGAGGCGACGTTTTTCCACTCCGGTGTGAAGGACATTGTGCTCCGAGACACGGTAGTGTACTGCACTGCCGAGAAATACGGCCTGGAAGAGCTGAAAGATATTGCTCTTCGCAAGCAAGGTCTTCAAATCGGAATCCCGGCTGATGTGATCTTGCGATCTGCTCGGTATGCGTATGACCACACCCCGGACACCGAATCTCGACTGCGCGCTCATTACCTTGCTCTCATTATTCGAAGCCGTAAGACTTTCAAGAGGAGCGGAACTATGCAGATGGAGATGGAGAATGGTGGCAAGCTATTTTTTGATCTGTTTGTGGCGATGTGCAACCACATGGACGACCTTGTGGAGATCCGGTAGGATTACTCCCAGCTAATTGCTTGAAGGTCTTTTTTGTCTTTTCTGCTATATAAACATGACGTTGTGTCAAAGACGCTTACTTTACTCTCCAGCAGCATCAAGCGAACTCCACGGTTGTTCTAGTATATCGTCACATTGCCTTTGCTTTCGTGCCTCAGATCGAGCATTTTGACAATTGAAATTGAATCGGGAGGCATGCTTATTTGAACCAGAATGGCTTTTTGACTGCGTTGCGCTTCCTTGAACCAGTCTTTTGAATTTTGCTTTCCTGGCAAATTGACTTCTTCGATTCTCACGAGGTTGGCCGCCGTTCAACGGTTTGAAGAAACCGCCCTACTCACGTTTAATCGATTTGGTGTATGACGTTGAGTTAATCGACATTATCCCTTCTTCGTTTTGCCCTATGTTCCATTATGATACTTGCGTTCTTGTCTTCGTTGTCTGCATTGTTTGCATTCATTTACTTGAATGATTTTACGTCTCCGCTCCTTGTCTTGATGCTTCTTGGCTGTGTGATCTATTTGAGCCTTATGCTCGTTAGTGATTAAGAAATAGGAAATGAGAAATCCGGCCACCTCGAATGATATTTCCAGTATTGATCATAGTCCTCATTACCGAGTCACATGAACCTAGATATTGCTAACCCGGTAGTGCTTTCTCTATACACGCAAGACCAGTCAATATCTTTTGAGAACGTATTTGCCTGACAAGGAATTCAGTCAGGCTGTTGAAATATGAGAGATATCTTATTTTAATGGTACCGTCTAGATTACTGTCTAGTTTTGCCCTATCTTATTTGTGCTGTTCTATACATTGCCTTAGGCGATAGTCAACAATCCATTCTCACCTAAGTCTATAAAATTCTTTTCCAGATCAAATTCTTGGTCTTTCTCTTCCACCACCACCTTGCATCAAGACCTTCGGATATTTCCTAAGCATATTATTCTGCTCTGCTCATAGGATACTCTCAGTAAGTATTCATCTTCGCATCCCCCAGCATTTCGAATCCCTTCAGTCAGACACTCGCTTCCAACTGCCAATATCTGCGTCCGAGTTCGGTCTTACTTCTTGCCATTTTCTTACCATTACCGTCACATTAACACCTCACTCCACCAACCTCTCGGCGTCTTTCTTTTATTTTCATTTCATTATACTGATTATCAAGCCATTCACCTAGACGATTACCTACCCGTCTCCCTACCTAAGTCTCTGAAGGTATTTTTGTCTATCACTTTACAATACTGTTCATTGTACTCACCGATATTACAGCTGAATCCATCGAATCACAATGGGTGCAATCTCCATCTTAACGGCGGGTCTGATAAAGACCAACTCCCACAATGAACTCTTGCCAGGAGAGGCATTTGTCGTCCGTTTCAAGAATCCATGCCGCAACTACCGCACCGACATCTGGCTCGCGATCATCCTCAGCGAAGAGCTTGGACCTGGAAAGCACCTTAGCGGACGCATGAAAGGTGCCAAGGGTGCCGATGGCACATGGGACACCACTCCGAACGAGCGGGTCTACCCACTATACATGCCCGGACGCAACAGCTAGTAAGTTAAGCCAACAACTCTCAGCCCGGAACGAGAAGCCTCAAACTAACAATAGTTCAGTCGTTGGTCGCACGTTAGCCACCTATTCAAACTCCCAGGCCAAGTCCCACCAACTTTCGACCGTACCAGTACCCGTGGTGATGCGGATCTCTTTCGGATGCTGCAAAAGATTGCGCTCAAGGCTCCAGGTTGCACTTTCTGGGAGAGCATGGCCGAAAAGGAGATGACAATGAAGGGGAAGCGGAGCAGGGAGTTGTCATTGATTTTGCCAGATGGGTACGAAGATATCCTTTTGGGTGTCAAGGATTTGCCGGAATTTTCAGGGATTAGTCGGAAACCTGGTGCGTACTCATGGAACCTACTTGGGTAGCATAATCTTTTGGTACTGATTTTTGGAAGGATATCGATCTGGCTCTGCTACCACCGATGCTGCTTTTTCTATGCTACCACCCAAGACACAAGAGTCTACGACCTCGCTCTCGACAGCCAAGAATCTAGATACTGCTAGCAACGGGAGGGCTACTAACGGGGGCGATGGCCTTACATACCTCAGCTTTCCTAAAGAAAACTACGCGTTTGGCTACACCAACTCATCGTCTTCTTTTGCGACCAGTTCCAGGAAGTTTGATGGCTCCAGCTCCAGCTCCAGCTCCGCGTTGGGCAACCGGCAAGTCAATCCCTTTTCCCAGGTCCCGAAGAAATTATTTCTCAAAGTCAAAGATGGAGCTGAGAATGGGAGAACGAGTGCCGATATTCTTCAGCTAAGTCTAGAGGCATCAGTTAGGTCATGGGTGCTGGGAAAACCCGAGGCAGAAGAGATCCATTCCTTCTTCAATCATATCGTTCAGCTTCCATCTCAACCGGAATTCACACATATAAAGTCGTTTTTCCTGACCTCTGAATTCAAACCTCGCCTGGTTCAGGTCAATACCCCGGTGGATAGTGACAACACCCAGGAGGAGAAACCCGCGCTCGAAGTCGGTGATGTCAGTGGCATCGGTCGACACTGGCAATTGCAAGACATCCGCACTTCGGATGACTTATGCGAGGTGATCCTCTCTCTCGGGAATCTCTATACTTTTGCTCGTCGCTTGAACCTGAATGAGCTGATCAGAATGATCGCGTTCAAGCTGCAGGTTGCCTGGAATTCCTACCCAGGCCTTTGCCAACTTGAGCCTCTGCTCGATATTATTCTGCTGGTGTTTACGAATAATTGCTCAATGAAAGACCATTTGCAAGAGTGGATTCTCAAATTCGTTGCCGATGTGCAAGATCTGCTGCTGCTCGCTTGTTCGGTCAAGTACCAGATTGTCATGCGTGAGCTTCCGAGTTTATACAATGCTGTCTCTGATCTGCGTATGCAGCTTGTCTCCAAATCGCCGCAGAAATATACGGACCAACGCCGTCTGCTTGAGAGCCGTGGGATTGATCAACTTTGAGATTTGCGCCCGAGTTCTGTCCATGAGACGGTGCGCTATGGTGGAGTCTATATCGTTCCGCATATATATTATCTTGGGGCCTCGTATCATCAGAATTCATGCATATCCTTTCGCTATTGGGTTTATCCATGGACCGAACTTGCTACTTCATAATTTTACATATCTAGTATGGTTTTACCAATTTTCTTGCGAGACCTCTTTTTCTCGTTCCCATTTATCGTGAAATTTATGCCCCTAGAATGGACTTAATGAAGGGCTTCGTTGACCAAAAAGATATTCTGCGGCAAGATCTTATTGTATTGTCTCATAATATTAAATATTGTACCATTTTGAAAAGCAGTATCATTTTGAAACTTAGTCCATGTCACCACGGGCTTTCCCCCATACAAGAAGACTGAAATGACCTTGCAATTTTTATTGTTTAGCCAGTGGATGGTCGTAGAGTATTGACGGGAAGGAATGGTTCAACTCCGAGCGAGCAGAATGCGAAAGCAGAGATGTTCTTAAGCATCCCGAGACTTGGCAAGGCTCAACGGTCCCGGGGGCGAGCGGATTGATCAGAGGGATACCTGAAATGAGACCGTAAAAGGTCAGCATATTATAGGTACAGCCATGAATATTGCATCGGCGCTACGAGCTGAGCCCGCTAGACTTGTGAGACCACAAAGAATGCTAAAATTCAACCGGAGAGTGAGTTCGAAAGCACCAAGCTAAGAAGAAGGTAATGCTGATAACTAAAGTATAAACTTGACTAATGACCACAGGGTTATGCTATCAGTTTGCAGATGTCATCGAGTACACAAATTTTATTTCCCATGATATCCACACACGGCATTTATGATAAAACGCAGATAAGCCATGGTTCAAGGAGATTGACAGAATAACAAAGGTTGAACCAAGGAAAATGATCTCCAGATATGCGCACAAAAAAGGGATATAGACCTATATGCGCCGAAAAACAGGACACAAGAAGCACTAAAAGATCATCACAGACCGGACACCACTCAAAACCAACACGCGGTCAGCACAAGTAACGGAGGCGCAGGAGACATGCCACACAGAAGCATACGAACGACCAAAAGAGACGATTAGTTATCATCATCAGAAGCTTCTGCGTACTGTCGGCGCGCACCTCGCTTAGGGCGAGATGGAGCGGCAAATTCTTTCGGCTCGTCCTGGCTCTTTGCGGCCTTGGAGGGTCTGCCACGACGCTTGGGCACTTCGTCAGTTGCTTCTTCCTCGTCGTTCTCGGCAGCCTTGCGCTTGGTGCCCTTGACGGTGCGACCACGCTTCTTGGGCTCAGCATCGGCGCTGCCGTCGACATTGGCAGTCTCAACAGAACCAACCGCCGAAGCTGCTGGCTCTACACCCTCCTCGGCGGATTTCTCTTCATTATTGACATCTTCTTGGATGACCTTCTTCCGACCTCGTTTAGCGGGTTTAGCTTCCACGTCAGCCTTTGAAGGGCTTTCGGTGGTAGCAGGAGCAACCTTCTTGGTGGCACGAGCCTTCTTGGGCTTCGCCTCCTCGGCATCAGCCTTCAAAGGGCTTTCAGTGGTGTCGGCATCCTTCTTGGTGGCACGCGCTTTTTTGGGCTTTTCTTTAGTATCAGCCTTGGATGGGCTTTCAGTGGCCTCATCCTGGGATCGTATTAGTCAGAGTACGATATTGGAATTGGGGAGTTTTACATTTTTATCGCCCTTCGCGCCACGTTTGCCTGGAACGCGGAAGTGGCGGGCACCAGGGCGGTTCATCTCGATGTCCTAATTCGTAAGTTAGCGGGAATGGTTCTGTCGCTACCAAAACATCACTGGAATGATTAGCTGAGTGTTCAAAACCTACTCCTTTCCAGTCATCATCATCGATGTGACCATTCTCTAGGGCACGGCGGACCTTTTCCTGGCATTCCTCAGAGAGCTCATCGTAACCATCCAGGAGGGAGTAATCGGGCTTCCCATCGCACATCTCCTCCCAGCCCGTCTTAATGTTCTCGAGAACACGAGGAGTGGTGCAGCCCCTTGAAACCATTAGCATGCCTTGAATAATAAAAGAGCATTTTTTTGGCTGGGCAAGTTGGTACTAACCAGTGGCGCCACATGTAGGCCTGAATTTTCTCACTGTCAATCCAGGTGCCTACACGGAGGGTGCCCTTTGGGATCTTTTCCTTGGCATCCTTGCACTCCTTGTTCTGACAACCAGCACGGTTGGAAGAAGCGAGTTCTGGGGATCTAATTAGCTAGGTAAAACCAAACGGATATTATGTATTGTGCGTGGGGTCAGAGGTCTGGTATCCGGGGGAATACTATCTGCGGCGCTGCGACCAACTGGATAGTCTCAACCGCAACCCGAGGCGCGCGTAAGTCTCGCGTCGCTGTTTTCTGGGAGTGACCAGGTTCCCCTGGTAGTCAAGAAGATACAAGATACAAGAAACAATACGTAACTAAAAATTCAGGCGACAAAAAGTAAATAGCACAGACTTACCGAAACGATAAGGCATGGTTGATGTAGGACGCGCTGCCCAACCTCGCGTGTGGCTTTCTCGGGACTAAGACAAGATGGAGTGAATAAAAAACCAAAGAATTTCCCAGTAACTACCAGTTTGCACTGAAGAAGAAACGTAGGACCGGGGAGAGGCTGGGTTGGATGAGAAATTTCTGGAAGAAGGAAAAAGGGTGGAGAGTGACGTGACGCCAGCTCCGGCTGCAAATTAAACAGTCGCAAAGTATGTCAGCCACAACTAGCAAAAGACGTCCCAACTTGAGCGTGTTATATCTAAATCGTTCAAGAGAATTTCCTGCTTATGCTTGTCTTCTATCTAATGAACTAGGCCCTTTGCCAAGTAGAACTCAGGGTTTTTGTTCGTTTCAGGGATTAAGATCAGCGACCGTCGCAATCATTCCAGCGACATAAAGAATCGCCATCTATAGCTTCAGAATTAAAGTAATACAAGAGGCTTTGCGCGCCCAACATAGAGCTTCGATCTTTTTACCAGTGAACGTGTATTATCGGATCATAAGTGATTATCTGGAGCTAGACGCCGGGCGATGGCTGTCATACCGTGCTATCTTCAAGATCTCTAAACTCGTGCATGTGCATTATAGCCAGTTTACAGGCCCCAGATCAAAGACTCTTGGTCTTGCAAAAACAAAATGATCTTGATTACATCTGCGAATCTATGAATATTGGGATTCTTTATTCTTACCAAGATTTGAATGAAAGAAAGCTTCATCTCGATCTGCCTTTGGGCATTGATAGGGAGAACTCTAGACGATAGAACGGTCGCAAATCAGAATTCTCTCACGAAAGAAATCACAAAACATGAGATTATCTGGATGTTTTCAGGAAAGCTCGGGCGTAATGGAAGCATTGCTGTTGAAACTACTTAACCACCCCGAATGCGGTTAGCGTGTCGCAGCTCAGATCTGGCATCGCGAACTTCTTTACCATCCGACACTCGCTCAAACCACCTCCCCGTCTCACAGTGCTCTATTGAGAAATTGTCATATCCCGGAACATAACCTTGATCCTAAGGCTACAGCACCGGCTGCTGTTTCCCTCGCCCTGTATCCAATTTATACCCAGTCAGGGAAAGCGTAAATCCACTGCTCTCCAACCTACGAAAAAGCAACTCGCACACAACCATAATGTCCGAGCCTGGCCCCGAATCCCTCCCTACCAGCGCCGATCCACGCAGCAAACGGCCCACCAAGCGTCGCGCCCTCACACCGCTCTCCGAACATGCAACAGAAATCAAAACACTCTTCAAAGACCCATCAAAGGAGATCCGACTTCCGGACTCCAACCAACGTTCGGGGCCCTTGCTGTCTGCACCACCGGAGATTGTGACCAATGTCCAAGGTTCTTCGGCCGGAGCGGGCTCAGGCGAATTCCATGTCTACAAGGCAAGTCGGCGGCGGGAGTATGAGCGGGTGCGACAGATGGAGGCGGAGGTGACCAAGGAGAAGAATGATGCGGAGTGGGAGAAGGAACGAGAGGAGGCGAAGAAGAAGGACGATCAAAAGACGGATAAGAATCGGCGCAGGAGAGAAAAGAAGAAGGCTGCGAGGGGGAAGCAGAAGAATGCCGGTGCAGGCGGCATGGAAGCTGATGGCCCGGCGCCGGGCATGGCGAAGGGACCAATGGCTCCTGGTATGCCAACGGCTACTGGGGGTGAGACTGCGGATTCGGAACCGCAGTATGTCGAGGAGGTCCCTGGTGTGATTATCCACGAGGAGGACTAAGTTTCACAATGCTCGTTGGCATGGCCCTGTTGTACAATATTAATACCCATCTTTACTCGAAGAAGTAAATAGATCATATACTAAAATTATGCTCAGTCCCCTATGGATTTTCGAGGGCTACCGCAATCCCCGACCTGGCGTTAGTCTGGACCTAGAAGTAGGAGACAGGGCTCTGAATTGCTGAAAATGTATCTTAACCTTGGAACAACCTCAGCATATTGAGAAAGTGATAACCAAGGCTTGTCGAATTTCAGTTGTATTGCCCCAAAATGGCGCTATGGGTTATAAAAGGATGTTTCAACTGTTATATGCACCTGGAATACGCCCTCTCCCAGGGAAAGAACTACACCATCTTGTACACTAGCCAAAGTCAGAGCATTGCAGGAATCGAGATTTAAGGACGCGTACATTCGTCTCTCAATGAGAAACATGATACACATATATTTGGGCACAAACGGCGTGTCCTTGGCAGATCTCACAGATAAGAGACTTTGTCGACCTCCGCCGGTCTTCCGTGCGGGGGCTAGTACCCCGGCCTCAAACCCAGGCAGCACGAATTAATAGTTATAAGCAGATCTAGATATTCCCGATGTGTTCCCAACTGCGTGGAAACAAAACTGTAACTCCATTCATACCTGGCCTCGGGACTTGATCAATTGCTGTGTCCTATAACTATTATCAGGGTGCTGTTCTACTGAATTTCACCGCACTTGCTATCCACACAGCCGCACACGAGATTAGCTGGAGAATCAGACAGCAAGATCCATATTCTGAGTGTTTATCTAAAACATGTGCTTGTACTGCGCAACTTCATCAACAGAGGCATCACTTACAACTTTCTCCCGTAGCTCCTCCACACCCCAGCGAAATGGCTTTCAACGTCCTCACGACCAACGCAGTCGATCTGCAACAACAACTTGAACAGAAGATGGTCACAAGCACCCAAATTGTGGAAATCTACTTGACGCAAATAGATCGCTATGAGCCTGCACTCAATGCATTGATCTCGCTTGCTCCGCGGGACAAAGTCATCGCAGTCGCTAAAGCTCGGGATGAAGAGCGCGGGAATGGACAAATTCGGAGTCCATTTCATGGCATCCCAATCATTTTGAAAGATAGCTTTATTACAGCATCGGAGCTGGGCATGAACACCACGGCTGGATCGTATGCTTTCCTCGGGGCCAAGGCGTCAAAGAACGGAAGTATCACTCAGCGGCTGATCGATGCGGGCTTGATTATCCTTGGGAAGGCTAACATGACCGTTAGTAGACATTCAGCTTCCAAGAGAACTTTATTAGATTGACAATCGATCTAGGAATTTGCTGGCATGAAAATGACCATGATGATGCCCGGTTGGTCTGCTCATGGCGGCCAAACTCTATCACCGTATGTTGGAAAGATAGAGGATAATGAGAAGATACTTGGTCACTCAGTGAGTAGATGTCATCGCAGCTGTGATGCTTATACTAATTTCTATACAGGCTCCTGGGGGCTCATCAACTGGTTCTGCGGTTGCTGTAGCCGCTGGGTTTAGCCCTCTTGCTATGGCTACTGAGACTATAGGCTCCATCGTGACTCCATCAACACGTGCCGGTCTGTACGCACTTAAGTTCACTACCGGGGTCCAGGATACTACTGGGTTATACACCATGACGGAGTTCTTCGACAGTCCGGGCCCTATGGCAAAATCATCAGTTGACATTCGCGTTCTTTCTGAGATTCTGCTCAGTCGTTTATTTGATTTCTCCCAAGTTGGCACTTGGGAAGGCCTTTCGGTGGGCTTCCTGGACCCAAAGATTTGGAGCATGTCATCGGACTTTTGTACGCAATATGAGGGCACAGCAGAGCAAATGGTATGCCACTGTCATTCCTATCAAAAAGTTCAGATCTTGAACAGTCGATATTAGTTGGACGAGTACGAAGAGACGGTTTCTGCTCTAAGAAATGGAGGCTGTCTTCTTAAATATCCAGTATATTGCAAGGATCCCTCAGCCTTACCGAACAACATACTGCCAATCGCCTGTAGGTCACCACGATATCAAAAAAACTCATGATGGCTAACAACTTTTAGATTGGGACTTCAAGAATGTCTGTATTCCTGGATTTATTGGATTATTCGACGAGTGCTCTGTGAAAAGCGTTGCAGATATTGTCAACTTCAATAAGGAAAACAGCGAAATAGCCCTTCCTGCACGTAGGTTCAGAGACAAGATACAGCCCTGTGATTTAACATTGGAGGATCGCTAATAGAACGCAGCATTTGCCGAGCAGAATGACCTAGAAGGGGCGATGAACACCTCTGAGACAAAGGAAAAAATAGATGACATGAAGCAGGGCCTTCGCAGGGCCGCAAGAGATATTCTGGATAGCCTTTTTGACAAGGAAAAAATCAATATTCTGGCAGGTCCCGGAGACTCCTCGTTATGTGTTCATGCTTCGGCTGCAGGTAACAGCCGCTCGAGTCTACGTTCGATTCCTCGTTGCTAATGTAATCAGGGTATCCTGTCGCCACAGTCCCAGTAGGACAGCTTCGCTACAATGATCGGCCGTTCGGTCTATGTCTGGTGGCCATGGCAAACGAGGAGGAAAATTTATTGCGGTTCATGAGAGAGTACGAAAGAGTTGCTCAGTCTCGTCCAGTTCCGAAAGTTGGAATGAACATGGCTTAGATTACAAAATGATTTCGAGTCTCACAAGAATAAGATTGACGAGATCCTCTGATACGGGTGATCGTGGCATTTCTTGAGCCTTTCAATCTCAATTTCATCCCTCTACAAGGCTGTTGTTCACGTGTGGAAATAGTAATGCGTGTTCATCTCTACTTTGAATGATAGTGCCCGGAGCTAGGGCTCTAGATACAATGAAGCTTTAGGTACTGGCGAACCATCCAATTTGGCCCAACTCGTGAATTCGTAGATATCTAGGATTGCTTTAGCATGGGTACTCGCAGAATCTTAGTCTATTAGACTTAGACCCGAGAATCTACCTCATAATTGCGCAAGGTCCTAACCCGTACACCTGCATTCATAGCATGAGCTGTGAGTACTTAACCCGAGCCCGAAGCAATAAGCACGGTCACTTCGAACTATGTTGTTACCCACACTTATTACGTTGTGTTGCGATGCACTATCTACATCGCGTATACTGATTTAGTTAGACTCGATACGAGGTGGGGCTTACATAACTCCGATAACCGAACTCCGCGTCAGATATTCGATAAGGAATGCATTGTGGAAGACATTATTTTCCTCACCAAGGTACACCCTACAAGTCAACTTCTCCCCTTGCACCCAGTCCCTTCTACCCCTACTGTACGCCCAGACATGGTTGCTACCACGTCGGGGTCCAGCGCGGGCCGAGAGGCGGCTATCGGGTTTGCCGAGGAAAACGATCGGCAAGATGAGACTACGACTCTCCTTGGATCTCACAAGTCCAAGAACACCGATGTTCGCATATCGAGCACTTCATATGGTACATCACCGGCAGACGCTGATGATCCCGACGATGTGGAGGAGAAGCCTTTACCAAGAACCCAAGTTCTGTTGCTCTGCTATGCCCGGGCGATAGAGCCACTGGCATTTTTCTCCATCTTCCCGTATGTCAGCCAAATGGTCCAGGATAACGGACATGTTTCGGCCTCGGATATTGGTTTCTACTCGGGGCTCATCGAATCACTGTTCTCCCTGACACAGGCTATTGTCATGATTTTCTGGGGAAAACTAGCCGACCGCATTGGACGCAAACCTGTCCTGGTCTTCTCCTTGCTCGGTGTCACTGTAGCGACTGGCCTATTTGGACTGGCCAAATCGATTCCACAGATGATTCTGTTCAGATGCATTGCTGGTGTCTTTGCCGGGACTATTGTCACCATCCGAACCATGATTGCCGAGCACAGCACGCCGAAGACCCAGGCGAGAGCATTCAGCTGGTTTGCCTTTAGTGGAAACCTAGGTATCTTCCTTGGGCCTCTGCTTGGTGGTGCCCTTGCCAACCCTGCAGTCCAGTACCCGGGGGTCTTTGGCGGAATCCGTTTCTTCGAGGACTACCCCTACGCTCTCTCGAGTTGGGTGGTGGCGCTAGTAGGAGCTACTGCCGCCTTGTCTAGCGCCTTGTTCGTCGATGAAACACTGAAGAAGGACCCAGCTGCCACTGACCGCGATGGTGACGAGACTGCCTCGGAAGCGCCACCACAAAGCGGTAATCCCTCTGCACGGCAGCTCTTGAAGGCTCCCGGGGTAAGCATGGTCATCTTCATATACGGACACATCATGACCCTCGCCTTTGCTTACACGGCCATCGTCCCGGTCTTTTGGTACACCCCCGTTGAACTTGGAGGATTTGGCTTCACGCCTATGCAGATTTCCCTGCTAATGGGATTGAACGGCGCCGCTCAAGCTGCATGGCTGCTCCTCGTATTCCCTCCATTGCAGAAGAAGATAGGATCGAACGGAGTGATTCGTCTTTGCGCCGCAGCCTATCCCTGTTTCCTTCTGACCATGCCCGTCGGTAATATGCTCCTACGGATTGGAACTGATGTAGCTGTCAAGTCATTCTGGGTCTTTACACCGATAGCGTTGGTCTTTGGTTGTGGTGTCAGTATGTCCTTCACCGCGATTCAGCTTGCCCTCAATGATGTGTCGCCTTCGCCACGGGTCCTAGGGTTACTGAACGCTCTGGCATTGACTGGCAGCAGTTGTCTACGTGCTGTCTGCCCGGCCCTATTTACCACCCTCTATGCTTTGGGAGCGAGAACACAGCTGGCGGGAGGCAATGCTATCTGGATATTCCTAGCCCTCTTTGCCTCCGGTTTGTCGCTTGGCGCGAGATACTTGCCGGAGCCCAAGCCGATCCACAATCGCCGGAGCCCCCAATAAAAATAACAGGTTTTAGGCTAGCCGAAACTGAGCTTGGCCAAGAAAGAAACCAGTGGTCCTTTTGTCATTTCTAATTCCCTATTCACCAGCCAATTGTGAATTATAGCATACATGCATTTGAGATAGAGATTTAGGGAATGCAGCTGATGGCCATGCACTAAGCTAGCCAGTAGTGTACAGGGAGTACCCATATGACGGTTCATTTTGGTCTAGGATGTTCATACAAAAAAGAAAACCTCAGGGCCAGTCGTGTAGCATTATGTACGGACATCAGGTGCATGAATCATCTTTTTTTTTTTTGGTCTTGCATCTATTACTTACTCGCCACCACCGGGGGCGCCAACTTGTTGGGCCGACTTGCCGCTGCAAATGTCATCGACACGGAGGAGCAGGCATGCGGACTAAAACAAAAGTTAGTTAATCATAGATTGCCACGGATTGAATTCAAGTATCTTACCTCGACCGCAGTCTTAATACTCTGAAGCTTGACGGCCTCAGGTTCCCACACGCCGTACTCGTTCATATCCACCAGGTTGCCAGAATCGCCGTCCAGACCCCAGGTGTTGTGACCCTCAACATGCTTTGCGCGCAGGCGGGTCAGAACACGGATGGGGCTTGCACCAGCGTTCTGGGCCAATGTGCGGGGAATGACTTCCATCGCATCAGCAACGGCCTTGTAGGGCCACTGCTGGACACCCTCGATGGAACGGGCAAGCTGGCTCAATTTGACGGAAACAGCCATCTCGACGGCACCACCACCGGGGCACAGACGGGGGTTGAAGATGACGTTACGGGCAACTCCCATGGCGTCGTGGAGGTTGCGCTCAATCTCGTTCAGGATATCCTTGGACGGGCCACGCAGCAGGATGGTGCAAGCCTTGGGAGAGTCGCACTTGCGCATAAATGTGAAGTACTCGTCACCAATCTTCTCAATCTCAAACAGTCCACAGCGGGTACCGATATCTGACTCCTGGATGTCGTCGACACGGTTAACGATAGTAGCGCCGGTGGCACGGGCGATACGGTTGTTGTCTGTTTTCCGCACCCGGCGGAGAGCGGTGATGTTGGCCTTCATGAGGAAGTGCTGTGCAAGATCTGTAGAGAATGAAGGAGCGAATAGTCAGCCATATGACATTACCAACGGGATATTAAGACTCAATTCCATACCGGAAACACCCTTCTCAGTGATGACAACGTCAGGCTTGCATGCCAAGATGGCGTCACACATGTGCTTAACCTGCTCCTCCTCAATCTGCAGGATACGGTTCCAGTCGTCCTCCTTGGAAACTTCAATGTTTGTCTGAGACTCTCCCTTCTTGTACTCCAGGGGGCAGTCGAGCAAAAGAATACGGGGGTTCTCGATTCTCCTCCGCATCTTGGGGTGAGTAATATCCTTGTTGACCATGACACCGTCAATGACCTCGGAGTCCTCAATTTGACCACCCGGGATCTTCTCAATACGAGCATAGCGCTTGATATCGACCTCCTGCTTTCCACCACCAACATCAAAGGAAACTGTCCGCACTGCGGTCAATGCAAGGCTGCACATCAGGTCGGACCACCGCGAAACAAACTTGGTGCCGATGGAGGCCTGGATCAGGCTGGCCATGGCCTTATCATCGTGAATGTCGACGGGTTTGGAGACCTCTCCAACAACTGTGAGAGCATCGGCGAGGGCGCGTTTGAAAGCGGAGATGATAACGACGGGGTGGATGTTGCGTTCGAGTTGAGGGAGGGCCTGAGCGAGCATCTCACCAGCTAGAATAGAGTTAGAAAAACCTCTAGATAATCCAGTAGAGAATCAAAAGCATACCCAAGATAATGACTGTTGTGGTTCCATCTCCGACTTCCTCATCCTGGGTACGGCTGAGCTCGATCATGCTCTTGGCCGCGGGGTGCGACACCTCGATCTCTCGGAGAATAGCGTGACCATCGTTGGTCAGAACAATACCGCCCATTGGGTCAAGCAACATCTTCAACATGGCCTTGGGACCGAGACATGACCGAATGATATCGGCGACACTGGCGGGGTGGAAATTGTATTAGCAACGGACGGAGTGCATAACGGTATGATCGAAAGAGCGAGGATGAGAATGAACGTACGTCTTAGCAGCAGTAATGTTGGAAAGCTGTGCCCGGCGACCAACCTGTCGGTCGCCAGCATTGGTGTCTACTCAGGGGACGGAACGTTAGTGAATGCCGTCAGAACAATTTCGGGGAAAGGAGGGGTACGCACTCATCACCACCACCGGTGCTTGCATATTGGCGGTTATGTAATGTGTCAAATGAGAGAGAGGAATGAAGTCAAGCAAGATGCTAAACAAGACTCCCGATGAACAGAGAGAAGGCTAACTCGGGACCGCGTTGATGTCGCCCGCATCCCAAATTTCCAAAGTGGGAGCTCCCTGGCACTAAACCCAAACGGGTAGGGACAAACCAGGCAAACAAGAACTACATCGAAATCATTGCAAATTATCGAATTTCACTTTATTCTATCCGTATATCATGATCAAACGAATCAATATGATACATATGCTATAATTGAAATTTTGGTACATCGAAAAAGAATAAATATTGTAAATATTGTACAGTGTTCTCCCCCCGTTCAAATTGAGGAGCCCCTCGACAGCTTTGCCTTCCAACAGACGGTGTGCGAAGTTGGACAATCTGGTCATCATAGATCCCCCTTAATACTCTCGGCTTTCGCCAATATCCACCACGTCAAAGACACCCTTTTCGGGAAGGCCAAACCGTTTCAAGGCAGTCTTCAGCTTCTCGGGCGGCTCGAGGACATCTTCCTCGGTCAGGACCCAAGTTCCCCAGTGAATACCAAGTGCGTTCTTGCATTTGGTGTCTTGGAAGATTGAGACCGCATCGTGCGGATCACCGTGGGCGGGACTCCATACATGGCGAGGAGCATACGCACCAATTGGAATCAGGCCAAGATCAAATGGACCCCGGAACTCACCCACTTGCTTGAACGCAGGGCAAACAGGGAAGTCATACTTTGGATCATGATCATCCTCTCCTTCAGGAAGCTCAGTGACTGGTCGGTACCCAGTGTCTCTGTTCAGAAAAGCCTCGTCAGTATAGCCACCTGCAGAGTTAGGAGCACAACACACCCTGCAAAATAAACCTTCTTGCCCTCGGATTCAATAGCCCAAGAGCACCATAAGGTTTTGTTCCTGTCAAAAGGGCCACGAGCACTGACGTGCTGACATGGCACGGAGCTGAGCCGGGCCGTGATCTCTGAGGCCTCGGAATGTCCTTCACCCGCAGCCTCGACCTTTGTCTCCTTAGTTGTTGGAGACAAGGTAATATCGCACTCCTCCCACCAGTCCAGCTCCGTAACCTTCTCAATGCCACATCGTTGGAACCATGTCTTGTTACCCAGTGGGACGAAGAAGTGGCAGTTGGGATGCTTCTTCGCGATTGCTGTGACTGTGTGGTATGATAAATGATCGTAGTGATTGTGCGAAATCACAACCGCGTCGATTAACGGAATATCAGTGGGCTTGCAGGGCGCGTCAGTGAAGCGCTTGGGCCCTAGCATGTTGTACGGCCCACAGCGCTCCTCAAGAACTGGATCAAAGAGAACTCGAAGGCCACTGGGAAATTCAATATAGTAGGCCGCATGACCCAGCCATGTTGCGCGCAACCTTGGGGTGTCACGACTGGGAAGGAATTCGGGTTTTCGAACAGGTACTGTGGGACCACTAGTATCTGGGACATTGGCCTTGCCGGTCAAACGACGCCTGTAAGAAAGTTTATGAGTATATAATCATCCATACTCAGGGTTGTCGACTTACATCATGACCTCCCCCACACTTTTGAGGCTCACATCCCGCCATGAGCTGCCGATAGCCTTGGGTTAGTGTCATGCCACATGGGAAAAAATTGCGCTACTCACTCCCACGGATTCCTAAAGCCAGACTCAGCATGATGGCTCTTTTTAGACGCGTCCTCTGGGGCTGCTCTAGTTGGAGTAGTAGCGACAGTAAGGGCGTACAAAATCTGTGTCGTTGTTGAACCCATTTTGCGAACAGACATATAAGGCCGGGTGGTAGGCCGAAAAAAACGAGGGAAGCCACGCATGGGGGGCAGAGACTCCTATTTAAATACCACCCCCTAAGACCAAATTGATTGCGCTACGCGCAGGCTTTCGGCGTTGTGATTGAAGAATGCCGGGGACAGAAAATGCCACAGGAGCTAAACCGACTCCGTTTCTCCATTCGCGATAAACCCGATTATCTCCGTGTCGGTATTCGGCATCGTCAACACTTACATTCGAAGCTGACGGACTGGATTCTACTTCATACCTAGAGCTCGAGGTCGTTTAAAATGTATATATAAAATCAAAATCGAAAAACAAGATATCAAACGTTAGAACCATGTGTTGCCGATCATTCCCCATGGCTTGTCACCGTTGTACAACCGGGGGATCACTCGGGCCGATAAAACTCCGATATCTTGACTTTCTTATCGCGGATCTTTTGGTTCATCCACCACACATCTTGATTCCGCCATGGAGTCAGGCGTATCTAATGCTGCGCCCAGTGCTGCAGTTGCGCCAGCGCCATCTGCAGGTGACTTGATCCTTCAACAGAGGACACAGTCCCTTCAGAATGCGCCGTCGGCCTATATTGGGGACGGTAGTCTCTGGTCGCAATTAACCTCTAATCCCTTATTCACAGCAGTACGTCTCACCAAGCCACAGCTTCAAAACTGATCACTGACAAGTTCGATAAAGGGCTTTGGCCTTGCAGGTTTAGGAGCGGGACTCACCTTCGCGCAACGGGGTCTTCGCCAGGGCGCCGCCTTGTTACGTCGTCGTATGTTAGTTGATGTCGAGATTAGCATCAAGGACGATTCATACCCATGGTTCCTCCACTGGATGACCCTATACCAGCAATCACAACTAGGTGCGACCCGTGCGGCTACCAATTCCGGCTATCTGGATCGTCTTCTTCAGAAAATGACTCCCGGGATGCGCCATCTCTCCATCCAGACCCAGAAGGTGGAACATTCGAATGGCGCGATGAACACACATTTCTCTTTGGTGCCAGGACCAGGAAAACATGTCTTACGTTACAAGAATGCGTTCATTTTTGTGAACCGCGTCCGTGAAGCCAAGTCTCGTGACCTCCAAACTGGAAAGCCATGGGAGACGATCACTCTCACTACCCTCTACTCCCATCGCCACATCTTCGAAGACCTGTTCACCGAAGCCCATGCATACGCTGCCAAATCGCACGAAGGAAAGACAACGATTTATAATAGTTGGGGTACAGAATGGCGGCCATTCGGCAACCCGCGGCGCAAGCGTCCGCTGGATTCGGTGATTCTGGCGGAGGGCGTTAAAGAGCGCATTGTGGAAGATGTTCAGGACTTTATCTCAAGCTCATCTTGGTATTATGACCGAGGCATTCCGTATCGACGCGGGTATCTGTTGTATGGACCACCCGGGACTGGCAAGAGTTCGTTCATTCAAGCACTGGCAGCTGAGCTTGACTACGATATTGCAATTTTGAATCTTAGCGAGCGTGGACTGACCGATGATCGGTTGAACCACCTTCTTACCATCGTTCCGAAGCGCACCTTGGTTCTGCTGGAGGATGTGGATGCAGCTTTCTCCAATCGCCGTACGCAGTCCGATGACGATGGTTATCGCGGGGCAAACGTGACATTTTCAGGTCTACTGAACGCGCTTGACGGAGTGGCTAGCGCCGAGGAACGCATTGTCTTCCTCACCACCAATCACGTCGAGCGGCTTGATGAGGCCCTGGTCCGACCGGGGCGCGTGGATATGACTGTTCGGCTTGGCGAGGTATCGCGCTACCAGGTTGGCCGCCTTTGGGACCGATTTTACGAAGATCTTGACACCAATGGGGCTCATCGAAAGCTATTTCTTGATCGGCTCCAAGAACTGGGCCTGGTTGAGGATGAAAATGGCCACAAGGCTGATCGCTCCAGAAACACTAGCGCTGCAGCCCTTCAGGGGCTGTTCTTGTATAACAAGGGCGACATGGAGGGTGCGATCGCCATGGCCGAGGGACTCACCTATTCGGTGCATGATGAGGCTATGGAACATAGCTAAGGTCCCGAATAATTGTACCATTTAATGTAAATATCCCAAAATGTATAGATATTGTGTCCTTGCCTGCAACTTTGCAGACCTCGTCTAATCCGCCTTCAGCTGTGCCGCCTCGGCCGGTTGCATGCGCTGAATCTTTAGGTCGTTGAACTTTACGGTGAGATTTCTGCAGAGTTCGACCACCAATCCCCATTTCAGTCCCTGATTATGTAGGGATTTAGTCACTTGGACCACCAATCACTTGGCCTGGGCGAAGCGCTTCTGCAGTCACTATCCCCCGTCTCACCGGTTCAGCCAATCACATTCGGCACCAGCTAAGCGCCCACCCCAAAAATAGGGCCTATCACATACTATGACCATGTATTGTGGAATCGCGTGAAGCAATGGGTGCCCATCAAAGCAAAAGGGTATATGTCAATCGAAACATCCCCCTCCCCCCGGTCGCGTTCTTTTGCAACCTCGAGTCCATCCCGGGTAACCGAGTCTACATTGCAGTGGAGCGCGGATCTATATACAACCAACTTCAGATACCATAGCCATGAGTCAATTTCAGTTATTTCCACCGCCATCGACGGAGGTGAAGCCCAAGAACCCGTTCCGCAAGGGTGTCCAGAAACCTCTCCCAAAGACAGAATCTGGACCTTCAATACCTCTCAATGAAATCAAAACTTCTCCACAGACAACAGAGTCGGTGCTGTTTCAAATCATCGAAGATACAAAGTCTCTTCCTCCTCCACCCCCACTACCAGCACATCTCGCGCGGTCAAAGTCTCCGGCGAAATCGGTTTCATCTATTGATTCCCAATCTGCACGTAGCCGAAGTCGTCAAGACAACCAGTCGAGCCACAAAGCTTTGCCTTCTCAAAGTAGCATGAGCAATAGCAGTGGTAGCTTTCGAACGACCACTCCGGCTACTTCGCCCGAATCATTCCAGTCATCTGTCTCTCCGGTTCCAATGAGATCGATGTTCCCCCAATTCGATCCGAAGATACCTCTTAATCAACAAAACTACCATCTCCAGATGCTTGCCAGTGCCCCAGATTCAAAATCAAAGCCACCTCGGCCTAAGCTTACGCTTTCACCGACATCTGAGATTGATCAGGCTCTCGGACCGAAGACTGTGCCTGCGAGCGTGCTCAATTTTCCAACTGGAGTTTTAGACCCGGAAGAGTTTCGGTTTTCCTCACCGCAAGAATTGGACATGCTATGGGAAGCTGCCAATGGCCAACGACCCCAGAATCTGTGTGGATCATTTCACCTACGTCTGACAAAGTGAGTCGGTACATGACTATTGGTAGCTTATTACTTACTTTATATAAGAAACGGGCCAGCAACCTTCGTCTTCGGTAATTCAGAACAACCATTTTATACGCTACAAACCTACTCAAATGATGAACTGGCTATCTCTCGTAGTGCGCCATCAAACCCCGATAATGATGTGCCAATCATGACATTGAGCCTTGAAAACCGCAGTCGCCGCGAGCACCCCAACGATGGACTTGTCGCGCTTCTATTTTCACGGCTGGCCGCTATTCTTGCAATTGAGCAAGCGGATGAAGTCAGCAAACAGCACCAACTTTCAGGCTCGGAAGCCACAGAGGTTGAGAGGAATGCCCTGAAACGGGCCGCGGCTCAGGAGTCTTGTCGATTGTCTTGGAACCGCAATCTGAGACTTTATGAACTTCGGCATCCCTCGCTATCCAAACGGCACCCGCCAGCCCTAGTAGGGGCTGCAGGGATTCCACTTTCTCCTGTAGAGGCTCAATCCTCTGGCATTCTGTATATCACTGTCTCTACCCCGTCTAGCGATCCCAACCTCAAACAGCCACCGACAATCATTGTTACTGGACCGGTCTCATCATCTTCTATGGAGGCCGCGACACAAGCTGCTAATCCACGCACCTCAGTCCTTCCCGTGACAGATTCTGACGAGCCACTTGCGACGTTGGACTTTGCTACTCGAACACTTTCCATCTCTCCAGCTGCCGTGATTGCTACTATTCCCTCACTTTATGCCGTCGACTCTCTCATCGCTGCAATCTTGGCTGTGGCCGTATCCGACGAAGCTACAAATCCAATCCTAGCGAACATGGAACTTGGATCCCCCAAGTCAATGGTCTCAAGCATCACACCGAAGTCACGACAGGGGGTGCCGTTCCGTGGAAAATTGATCACAACCCTAGCAGAACGTGAAGACTACGCCGAGAGTCTCGAGCTGGCATCTCAGATTGAAGCCGCCAAGGCCAAACAGGATCGGCCGAAAGCGAAAGGTCCATTGAAATTCTGGGATCGGTCTAAATCTGCACCGCAGAAGGTCGAACAAAATCCAAAGTCTAAGAAGAAGCAAAAGAACCAGAAGATTGTGGTTGAGGAATTCGACCTGGAGAAGTATGGTCGGTATGGGCATTCTTCGTCACGAGAAGGTGAGAAGTTACCTGGCATCATAAGGGGCATATTAAAGATTCTATTCTTTGGCTTGGACTTGATTGTGAGAACATTGGCACTTTTTGTTAAGATTTTGGCATGGGTTCTGGTTAATTCTACACGCTGTGTGACAAGTGAGAAGTTCTAGGCTGGACTTGGAGCAAGATTGCGTTCTCTCTTGAGGTTCTTCTTAAATTTGGTTTAATGTGGGTTGAAGCGGTGGAGTCAAATATGTACCAATCTTGTTATACCCAATGAAAGATTTTTGACTTTTGGCTGTTTTTTAGAATCTGTGGCTTGACAGCAGACAACGTGCTTTCAATTCGTACTCGCTTTCGATGGCAATTGCCACCCATGTGTAGAATGTCCCAATGATCCGTGAATACACCGGTTAATATTTTCAGCTGCCCATGTGGGGTTATAGGAGTATTTATCCTAATTACCCCATTCGATATCGGATGCTCTCTACATAATACCCAGGTAGATGGTGGGCCCGCTCAAGCCTACTGGAGAGGGTGAACGCTCAATGGCAGCACACTCAAAGATGTGGGTCGAGTTAGCCATGGCAGAAGCCAAACGCAATGGATGTAAAGAAAACACGTAGGACAAGCGAGACACAACTAATAAAGCCTTGATACCTAAGCGATCTCTGGAGGTGTAGAAATGTATCCTTCAATATTGTCACTAGATAACTGGTAGATATACCTACCTAGTGCCCATACTAACACCTGCCCAGTTGAGCATAGTGCCCACCTCAACATAGACCGGTGGTACGTAACTTGGTATAGTCAGGTAAAATAGAAGGGTCTCCCGACCTCGGAATCCCCACCTGGGCAATATATATCACGATCTCTTCATAGCCGCAAGCCCAGACTTGTTAAGGCCCCCTCCCGAGGTCCCTGTGGACCCAATCGGAGCTCACTTACCATATTCAAGCTCGCTTGCCCAGGTGGTACTATGTATCATCATATAGGGGCGATATTGCAAATCAATTACGTACAGATTTTTAGATTTAGACATAAAGCCTCGTGCTCATAGTGGCGATTTTTTTCCATTAGTGCTTACTCTGTTGCTATCGACGATTATTTGTCGGAGCTGCCAGATTCCACTTCGTATACGAGGTCGCGAACATTTTTGGAAGGGCTTTTCGGTCACAGAAAACTCCCCTCAGTGAGCGAAGTGTATATTTTTACTTCCATGCCTATGATTATTTTAACACCAATATTGTTATGCTCAGGTGTGCGCACTGGCGAGATTTAACTCACCAAATGTCAGAGCACTAAGATCTCCGCTATCGGAGACGGTAAGTGGGTTACATCGCGCCGAGCCGAGACTTTTCGGAGAGGGGGCCGTCAGATGCTTGAATGAGCGGGCCGTGTCTGCAGGTCTACTCAGGTCTACACGGGTCTACAGGAAGATATTGCCAGCGACAGCCTCGGTCGAAACGAGTCAGATCTTGACACGATACTTTCCGATGCTTGTGGTATATATAGTCACTCGGTCACAAAAAGAAGTTTATATTTAAGTTTAAGCTAGTATTTCTACGGGCCAGCCTGCATTGTGACATTAGAGACTGTCAACCTTTGCGTATTCCAGCTTGCATTGCAGATCACCTTGGCATGCTGCTTTTAGCGAGAGTCACGCAAAGTTTACGGAGATCCATTTTCCTGATATGGAGGAGAGGAATTTTATTCAAATGATCAGTGATACTCATCTAAACGCGCCTCTTTACTGCACCTTACTGTTTAGGTATATTGGATCTTTAAATGTTATACTATTCAAGATTAGATAACAACCCCCCCCCCCCCCCGGGGCCAAGCTATCCACAATTCAGTCCAAGCTCAAGCCGTAGCTCTACCTTTCGGCAAAGTAGGGAAGGTAAACCAGGCAGATCGTCATTAGGTTTGAACTCTTACTCTAACAACTCCGCCCAGTCTTTATACGAAGCTAACAATACGATGAATCTAGCGCTAAAATTTTGGATATATGTAACAACTTGTTGATGCCAAACTTTATCTCTATCGCAGATGGCCTGCTCATTTTCCAATCTGAACGCTGTTTAGACATCTTACCAAGCTTTTACCACGAGGCTCAACATAACACATATCTATAAAATTCCCCCCTCCCAAGCAGACGTAATGTGGCTTCCATTGACATGTCCCATTAATTAAGAAGCGCTTTAGAAGCACGCTACTTGAAGTTAGTGTCGGGAATAACAATAGGAGCGTTTCGGTAGATGGAAAGTTAGATGAGGGGTAAAAAGGTAACAATAATAAACAGCCCCTTTACCACGCTAGTAATGCACAAAAGTACATGGAAAAGGTACATGCAAGACTTTTCTGCAGGAGCAGGGTCTGCAGAATTAGTGTCTGCGAACCCTATCAACTATGTCAGCATTCTAGACGCCATACAAGGAACAACCGCCCCCTCCCCCCGCCAGGTGGTTCTAAAGAGATCGGAAGACGCAAGGCTGGACTTAATCAAAAGTACACTTTGTCAAACAATGTTATAAGCCTTCATTTTTATTCCCTGTCCTTTACGTAGGGACTACCCAAACCCAAAATACGCCCACAGGCTTCGCCTCCAATGTTTCACACGTTCAATGTGGCCGCGCCAGCACAGAATGGCCCCGGTCAACGCTTTTCGAGCTCAGAATCGCCTTCCAGACGACAGAAAGTATTGCGAGCATGCGACAGGTGCCGTACCTTTCGCACCAAATGCGGAGAGAAGCCGTGTTCGCGCTGTGTGGATGATAAAGTCAGATGCACGTGGACCTCCAGTCCAGCCGCGAAGCAGAAGTCTAAGATCCTTGTCTCTACTGGGTGAGAACATCTGCCAATTGAAATTTAATGATTACTAATTATTACTGTCGAAGAAGAGAGCAGCACCCCAAGCCTCCCCCGAGGGACCATGTTCGACCCGATGCGTCTCCAGATAAACCGGAAATCTCCCTGGCGCCAGTCACCGTCTCGCATAATGTAGACGGCAGTCGACCACTAATGCCCTCAACCCCTGCCGGTAGTGCCACCGAGATTCCCCATCATGGCCGCATGAAGCTGGACGGGCACATGGAGATGCTCACCCGTCCGGCGTATGTCTTCGCCAAAATCGATGCCTTCTTCGCCGATTCCAGGACCGCATCCCGGAACTCCGCCAATGGAGCAATGGCGGATCTGAGAACTGCATATCCGGGTCCGTTCCCTGATATACCGCATATTGTAGCGACGGCAGATAGCCAATCCCGTTGCAAAGAGCACTTGACCGAGGACCAACAAACATATTTTCTGAGAATGTTTTGGGAGACTTATCATCCGCTGCTGCAAGGCTGGGATGAAGCAGAATTTCAGTCGCTATTGGATCTTGATCGGCGACAAGACTTCGAGGTCGGAAACCTAACCAAGGCCTTGGTAAATTCTATGACGGCGTTAGGGATCCAATACGGCCATGGGGCTGGCCTGACTTCCCGCGTCCTGAGCTTGCGCCATTGTGCCATCAACATCTCGTCCATAGGGTGGGAATATTTCCGTCGCTGTCGCGATTATATCGCCCTTTTGACAGAGCCCACACTCTTATCGATGCAATGTTATGCTCTGATGTCTCTATTTCTCATGAATGCAAGTTATTTCAGGGAGGCTTACAGCTTGCTTGGCACCGCCATTCGCCACAGTCATAGTGTCAATCTCCACGAAGAGCCCAGCGAGCATCTTCAGCCAAAAGAGAGAATTGCTCAGAGACAGATTTGGTGGCTACTCTTCGTGCTCGATATTAGATGTTCTCAGCAGCTTGGAAAGCCGGTCGCTGTACAAACTGCTACGATCACCTGTGCTTTGCCGTCAGCTGAAGAATTAATTACGATGCCGGGGAACACGGAGGTTTGTTGGAAGAATTTACATGTCTCGGCCTATTTCGTTCATATGGTGAAGCTTGCAGTATCTCTTGCCGAGATTCATCGACTGATTTCCACGTCGAAATTATACGAGGACGCCAGCAACTTCACCGCGCTAGAACAGCGAGCAAACTTGCTAGGAACATCGCTTGTGGGCCTAGAGAAATGGAGCAATGAGCTACCGGATGAACTTCTTAGCCCCAGAAAGAACACGGGCTACACGGAATCTATGTCCACGGCAGAGAGCCCGATCGTATTAGAGCTTGGAGCACCCAGCTGGCTCCACCACCAACGGGTCCTTCTTGAAATATACTATCATAATGCTTATATTCTGCTTCAGCGGCCATTTATCTGCTTTCCACAGCCTTCCAAATCCTGGCCTGTTCAACAGCCACACACAGATCTCCATGCTCGCAGCTCGCTCCAGCACGCCATCACCATGGCAATTATCATCCACGACCTTTGCTCCTCTTCGGACGTTTTCTTTGGCTCGCCCGCAATACTTCACCCACTGTGGAATGCCACGGTGACAATTTTTGCATTCATTATAGCAAACCCCTTTTGTTCGCGATCACGTAGGGCAGCACAGTGGATCTTCAAAGCCTTGGCTGTATTTGAGGTCTTCGCAGCAACCGAACCTTTCGCTGCTCGAGCTGAAATCATCACAAGATCCCTTTTCGCTAAACTGAATGATATATTGACCAAACTGGATGGCAAGCCAGAGCAGTCTAACCACGGCAGAATCGCCTTGGGGATGACACTGCCTCCATCTCCCGATACGACCTCAACTACGCCATCCGTGGACCCGGTTGACATACTGACGGGGTCTTTTGCGGGTGGGGGCTTGGAACACAACCTCGATAACGCATTTTTTACGGACGACAGCATATATTCCTCGATTGGAGCAGTTGAGATAAACACATGGGCAGCCTATCAAGATCATCTTGACATATGGAATGGCAGCCACTCAGATGGAACTCATGACACAATGAATGCTCTGGAATAGGGAGCGCTGCTTGGGCAAGGGATAGAAGCATTGGGTCTACTTTCTTTGGAACTCACGAGGGTTCTTTTGTGTGACGTGTGTATATATGAACGAGTATTTAGCACGGCAACCTGTTATGGGCTAGGTCCCGCCTTGCCATCCTACTAGCTAGAAACGGCGATAGACGTATAGCGCATAGATGAAGATCGGTTTTCTTGTACAAAATTTTCTCTCAATCTTCATCCCTATCTCACACTGTTCCAAGTGGTCGTAGACACGACTTCCCACTTAGGCTAGGTACTTGAGAATTTACTCTCAAGCAGAATTAACAACTCTTCATCTTGATCTTCCGTCTGGTTTGAGCAAATTATTACTGCAAAAAGACCGCAGTGGCGGCCTAACGGGAGCCAAGGCTCGAGTCTTTTGATTCCATTCCTTAATTTGACGATAGGTAGGTACGTTTACGCGGATGTGTGGGCCCGCGGCTGATGGCTGTCTTACGTGCAGCAGCGCTCCCGCGATAAAGAGTGCTTGACCACACGCTGCGTTGTCCTAATTATCCACAATGGACCCTTTACAAATGATCCACGCAATACCAAGTGGCCACTAGGCATGGCTTCCGGCCCGTTCCGTTCCAGAAAGAGTCGTTCCGGAATCCTTCAGCCCGTTTAGGGAGTATCCGAGTGGACCCATTTTCTTCATCTTTTTGCACCATGTTTCAGTAAAGAATGGAAGCTGCTGGCCCTTCTCGGTGAGTTTCCGTAGTAATTGACCAGGATGTTCGTATCTACTCCTCCCGAGGATCATTCCTCTTTCGTAAGGGATCTTTGCAACCGTGAGAATGATGGTTCTATCCGCGCCGCCAATTGGTGGGAATTCCGATAGCTAGTTATAATCGTATCTATGAGTGTGCCGGCCTAAATACACCTCATGAAAATCTTGTTTAGTGTTAGCAGCCAACGACCATTCCCGAGGTCGGCGGAGAGCCGGTGCCCTGAAAGAGTAATTGAGGTGCATCGGGGCAGTGATTTGACAGTCTCCTGTTCTTCGGTACCTTTCGTCTAGTACTTAGTCACCACTGATTACTGTTGTATTACTATATCCTAAAAAGGATAACGAAATATAAATATACAAATATCATCGGATGTTCTTGTTTAGCACAATTGTGTCCCTCTTTGCTCCCATCTTTCTTTCCAGGACAATCGATCCACTCATCTTGATTCTCGGGCTACCCCCGGCGGCTGTCAACCATCCGTATCAAGATGAATCAAATTCCTGTTTTCGCCGGCTTGGGCTCAGATGCGCTTTTCTCGGAACGAACTCTCAGGACTGCGGCCGAGGATGCTAGAACGCCAGAGGGTCAGATTATACTACGAGCATGCCATGGCATCTTTGTGAAAGAGATCACTTCCATCATTCACAGTCAGCGCCTACCCTCAGAAATCAATCTTAAAGACTTCGTGGAACCGGATAGTCTCATAAGACCTCAGACTTGTTATCAAAGAAATAGTATCATTCAACATGTATCTTTGTACACAATCCAGCTCCTAAGATATTTACGATACTCGAAGGAGAAGCCTGGTTTGCTTCTTGGTGTGGCTGGATTCTGTGCCGGATTGTTGCCTTGTGCAGCGGTAGCCACGTCCAGGAATATCATCGAGCTGCTCTCTCGGGGCCAAGACTTCTTCTATGTAGCTCTGCATTTGGGCATCCGGATCGAAAGCTACAAGCAGACTACGGTGGTCAAAGGAGCCTGCCCACCACACCTGCCCTTTAGTTTAGTCATTGAAGGGCTTTCGACCTCGCGCGCCCAGGCGCTGCTTACAGAACACAACAGACAGGTATGGGCTTGTTCATAATCGGAAGGATCAAAGTGCTGATCTAAAAGCTATAGTGCCCTTCCTCTTACGTTTACTTGAGTGCCATCAACTCTGATACTTGTGTCACCCTGAGCGGTAGAGGTGATCATCTACAACAATTCAGCCAAAACAGCGTGCTGTCCCAATGCAAGATACGGCCAACCAATATTTTTTCCTTTTATCATGACCGTCATCAGCTCGATGGAGTCCGAAAAGATGTACTCCAAGACCTTCGAAACAACATACTTTCACTTTCAGCACCGCTTCGTCTTAATGTCCCGATATTTTCCAATATTGATGGGAGGCCGATTGGTTCGGGCCAGGTCACAACGTTTGAAGAACTCTCTGAGAAGCTTCTTGAGATGATGCTGTTAGAGCCGGTGGACTGGGCTGCAGTCGAGGATAATATTCTTGCTGCTATCAAGCGGTCAGCTTGCCATGTGGATGCTTCTTATGAAATTTTGAATTTTGGTCCTGGGTACGGCATGTCGAGAGGCAGATATACCCTCCCGGATAACGTGACGATTCTAGCTGCTTCAGCCGCCGAACCACAACCCTCGCCGCAGGATGCTTCCGGGTTACTGTCACCTGAAGATATCGCTATCGTGGGCATGGGCGTGGACCTTCCGGGAGCTCCCAATACCGATGCGCTTTGGCAAAATTTGGTCCAAGGCGTCAATTCTTGCAATGAGGTGAAGCCTGACAATTCCAAACATCCCCCCAACCACTTTCCAACTGACTCGATCTCTGCAGATTCCGTCTTCAAGGTTCCATGTGGGAGACTTCTACCAGAAGAAAGATGGCCGCACTCTAAAAACAAAATACGGCAACTTCTTAGAAAACCCATTCATGTTCGACAACGAAGTATTCGGAATCTCCCGTCGAGAAGCCCATTCCATGGACCCACAACAACGAGTCATGCTCCAAACTGCCTACCGAGCACTTGAAGACGCGGGATATGTGCCTGATTCAACCCCATCATTCTCCAGGAAGACTTTCGGTTGTTTTATCGGAAACGCTACATTGGATTACACCGACAATCTGAGGGACGACATTGATGTCTACTACAGCCCAGGTAAATTATGTCTTCTTTTACTCTGATCAACACCATGGCTTGCTGACTGTTCCTCATGAAGGAACATTGCGCGCTTTTCAGAGTGGACGGATATCGTACGTCTTCAAATGGAGTGGGCCATCTATAACCTTGGATACGGCTTGTTCTTCATCCATGGTAGCCATTCATCAAGCAGCACGAGCGATCCAGGCTGGAGATTGCCGATCAGCATTGGTTGGGGGTGTAAATGTCATCACTAGCCCTGACGTGAGCGGATCCCCTCCCTTTCATTGATCTGTATTTGAAGGAAAAGGCGAAAGTCAATGGAGCCATTTTTCGCAATTGTTCTCAGCTGACAGCGCGTTAGATGTACCTTGGTCTCGATCGAGCACATTTCCTAAGTCCTACTGGCCAGTGCAAGCCTTTTGATGATTCAGCAGATGGTTACTGTCGGTCTGAAGGCTGTGCGGCTTTCGTGATCAAGAAACTTGGTGATGCGATATCGGAAGGTGACCGGATACTTGGGGTCATCCGAGGAACCGAGATCAATCAAAGCGGCAATGCGCATTCCATAACGCATCCCCATTCACAAACTCAGGAAGAATTGTTTCAAACCTTATTGAAGAAGACACAAATTCATCCCCACCAGGTGCGTCATCCCAAACGGATAACTTATATCGTCCGCTGGAATATTAGATCTCTCCCAGACATCTTTCGTTCAATTGATGTCATTGGATCCTGACGCAATCACTGACCTTTCTAAAGATTACCGTGGTGGAGACACATGGAACGGGCACACAAGCTGGGGATCCAAATGAGCTTGTCAGTATTCGCGGTGCATTCTGCAGCGGTCGAGATCAAGAGAATCGTCTCCATTTTACTTCTATCAAAGCAAATATCGGCCACTGCGAGGCCGCTTCTGGCGGTGCAGCCTTAGCGAAATTGCTTCTTATGATGAGACACGGTAAGATACCGCCGCAGATCTCTCTGAAAACACTCAACCACAAGATCAAAGACCTTGGCACGGACGGATCTGTCATTGATCGTGACGGTGCTGATTGGCATCGACCTTCGAAACACCCACGGCTTGCTCTACTTAATAATTTTGGTGCAGCTGGCTCCAATGGTGCCTTGATTCTGCAGGAATATCCCGATCTCAAACTTCCCTCTCAAGATGAGGACCACGGCGAGGCTCACAGTTATATGCTTGGGATCTCAGCTAGAAGCAACACAAGCCTCTTGGCCTATAAAGATGCTTTAATCTCTTATCTGGAGGCTCCTTCAGTCCCGATCTCTCTTCGTGACTTTACTTATACCAGCACAGCTCGCCGCCAGATCTTTGATTACCGAATCTCTGTTACCGGTTCTACCACGCAACAAATAGTCGACAACTTGAGAAGTGCAGATGTTTGTAATATTCGCGAGTCGGCAGATCCACAACCACGTGCTGTGTTCGCATTCTCTGGTCAAGGATCACAGGTGAGGCTTCAGTACACTATAAAACCATTGAAATAACTAACAGAGATTGCAGTACCTCGGCATGGGCCGAGAGCTTTTGACTGCCTATCCCGAATTTGAGAAAGTGGTTCTCGACTGCGAACGATGGTTATTGAGCAATGGATGTCCGGGATGTCTCAATATAATCGCATGCAAAGACGACCAAGAACGGGAATCTCCCTCATCTCCCCTCCTACAGCAGTCTCTCCAAACAGCAATCTTTGTCTTGGAGGTAGCGATAGCCCGCCTTCTATACTCTCTTGGTGTCATGCCAACTATTGTGCTGGGCCACAGGTATGTTCACTCACCGAATTTCTCTTCTACCGTTCTGTAGCTAACTTGAGACACAGCCTGGGAGAGTACGCTGCCCTCGTCATCGCTGGTGTAATTGATTTACAAGGCGGCCTGAAACTGGTAGCACACCGAGCAAAGCTCATGATGGAGCTGTGTCAACTTGGAAAAACGTCAATGCTCGCGGTTAACCTCAGTGCAGAGACCACGAGGCGACACATTGACAATAGCCCACAGTTCGACAATTTGTCTATATCTTGTGATAACAGTCCATCTGACTGTGTTGTGGGGGGTCCAGTCGGTCAGCTCCAATCTTTGAAAGCAGAGCTAAGTGCGACAAAGACGCGGTCAAAGATTCTCGATGTTCCAATGGCCTATCACACAAACGCAATGGACCCCATATTGGAACAATTGACAGAAGTCGCTGAGACACTCGAAATCTCGAGTCCGACAATCCCTGTTCTATCCAACGTATTTGGCCGCATCATTCAACCTGGCGAAAGAGCTTTCACTTGCAAGTACTTTGCTATGCATTGTCGACAGACTGTTGCTTTCAATGCAGGAATTGATGAACTCTCGCGAAATGGAACCGAGGCTGGAATCTGCCGATGGATAGAAATCGGGCCTCATCCGTCTTTGCTACCAATGGTCAGCACTAGATTGAATAGAGACACTACAGATCTTTTGCCCTCGTTACGAAAGGGAACCTCGGCCTCTGCTGCGATTGCTGGACTCCTATGCAATCTTTACCAGAATACTACCGCATTGGACTGGCGAAAAGCTTTCAACAAGCGAGCAACCTTAACCACCCTTCCAAATATGCCATTCTCAGAGCAAGAATTTGGTGTTCACTATCCACATGAGGGTGCTCGGAAAGACTCAGGAGCGCGTGACCTGAATACTGACTCTGAAACTTCGTATCATTTCCTGTCTAGGATTGTTCAACGTCCATCGGAGACGAACAACGAAGCCATCTTTGAGACGCCTATTACGGTCTTCAAGGAATATATTCTCGGTCACCAAGTATGTGAGCACGCTCTCTGTCCTGCATCAGTATACCACGAGATTGTCCTAGCTGCTTCCAAGTGGACACAGCTCGACAGAGATGAAGAGGTTATCAGGAAACTTTCTAATGTGCTGTATACGGCACCTCTATTGTATTCGGACGACTCTTCTGCAATCTTGAGGGTTTCCATCAAGCCAAACGGTGACCACAAAACAGACTATTCTTTCACAGTAGCCTCATACAATGCAGGCTCAGACCCACAGCAACAAGTGGTTCACTGTCAAGGGCAGCTGAAGATACAGTCTACTGCTCATGCTCAGAAGTATGCAAAGCTAGTGCCGCTCATGGAACGGCAAAGGGAACGTTTTCTGCGCAACGACCAATCAAGCACGCAGGTGTTTCTCCGAAAAGCCATGTATGAAAAGGTTTTCACGCGGGTTGTCGGATATTCTGAACTATTTCGGAAGGTCCAGTCTATACGCATCGACCAAGATGAAGCACTCGCAGTTTGTCGTTTCCCCAGTTCGCAAGGAGAGCCATCAGGGGCGAACACGGTTCTGATGGACGTTCTCCTTCATGTTGCTGGTTTCGTCGCTAATCTCAATATCGAGAATGAAGATGTCTGCATTTGCAAGGAGGTCAAATCTGCAACCATGATTCGAGGGTTCCCTTTCTCAGATACGACGTTCGAGGTCTATTGCAGCAATGTTGAAATCGTTGCCAGCAACGTGGTCATAGCAGATGCATATGCTGTCGATTCACAAGGCGTCATTGCTGTCTTTAAGGGCATGGCCTTTCAGAGAGTGAAACTGACAAGAATGGCTCAAGCTCTCCGATTGACGGCTGCGAGATCTGGTCCTTCGCATCAGAATGTCCCAATAGAGAGGACCAAATTGGTGGCTCCAAGAGCTTCGGCGCCGGTCTCAAAGCCTATTGACATGCCTGTTGACAAGCAACCAGTCATAAGAGAGATTATCGCCAGAACCTGCAATCTAGAAGCATCAAACCTATCCAGAGACACCAGTCTTAACGCCATCGGTTTTGACTCGCTCATGATCATTGAACTTTCTTCCAATTTGTCTTCAAAGCTTCAAATCTCAATCGACCTATCAGCTCTGGAGGAATGTGAAACCGTTGAGGACATCGAGCAGCTGTGCAGCGATGGGAGCCAATCAGGATCCACACCTACCTCAGAAGCAGAGACTGTGGACTCTGTCACTATGCCAACAACTCCGCCAACCCCTGCAGATAAGCTACACGTTGCTTCCATAATTGCCGAAACATGTGGTGCCCATATCACCTCAGTCAAGTCAGATGTAGAGCTCGAGGCTCTTGGTATTGATTCGCTGATGATGATCGAGCTGGAGGCTCGTCTGCAAATTCCATCGAGCACCAAGAAACTATCATCTCTAGAACTGTCAGAATGCAGAACAGTGAGAGATATTGAGAAACTAGTAGGTCCATACATAGCGAACTAAGCAATGACATTTATTTAGCGGCGTACAGTCAGCCCTGACATGCTATAGGTTTTTCCAGATGAAGTAAAGCCAGATCAACTTGAAGTTAGAATATCTTCTCATTTATCTTCCCAAAATTGTGGTGAAAGACTGTCTCCAGTACCACAAGCTGAAGACAACAAAGTATCGACCTCCACGAACATCAAGATTGCGGCTATGCTCAGGCTACAAGAGCAACCTGAAATCGTGCATGTCGCTGACGACAAAGCCCCTGAAAGCGCCCCACTCTTCCTCATACATGACGGCAGCGGCATCTGTGTTCAATATCACCGGCTGAGACCCTTCAATCGCACAATTTATGCGATCCACGACCCTAAATTTCTGGATCCGGATTCTTGGTCAGGGATTCCTGCTATGGCACAGTCCTACGCACGGCTTATTGCAAAGACAACTTCCGGCCCTTATATCATTGGTGGCTGGTCGTTTGGAGGTGTTGTTGCATTCGAGGCTGCTAGAGTGCTGATGGCAGGGGGCCATACTGTCGCCGGTGTAATTCTCATCGATTCTCCGCCGCCACTCGATCACCAGCCGCTCTCCGCGAAGATCATCGACGCGGTTACAAGGACTGAGAGAAATAAAGGTGGTTTGACTGGTGAAATGATTCGCAGCCTCGTGAGAAAAAGCTTCACAGCCTGTGCGGGTATGCTTGGGGCTTTTAATCCAGAGGCTTTGACAAGTACCAGTCGACCAATTCCACAGACTTATTTACTCCGATCAAGGGATGGCTTTCAGCTAAGAGACAGCAATGATAGCCAGGGAGTTGAGAACGCTTGGTTGCAGGATCGATCTGAACCCAGAACTTCTATTGAGGGATGGGAGATTCTTACAAAGACAAAGATGCCTTACATGGACATACCAGGCGACCATTTCCAGGTCTTTGACGCTGCAAATGTAAGTCACTTCTGTATACCTAGAGGCAAGAAACACGCTAACTTCACCCATATGGGCAGATCCAAACTGTATCAAAAGCCATTGCTTATGCATGCAGCGAATTAACAGAAGTGCCTCGAAGTTGAGAGGCTTCGATATAACGTTTGTGTGGATTGTACAATTTGAACTTGAAAGTTTTCAAATATAACTATAATGGCTATTCTTGCTTTATTACTTGGGGGGTTGTAATTATAACATGACAATTGAAAAAGTCATGATGAAATTGTACTATCATGACTGTAGAATATTTCCAACTATGTCCTAGCCATATCCAGTATCTTGTAAATTTCTTTAATGTTTGTGGTGTTGACAGGTCGAATAGGTAAGGAAGAGCTCAATCTTTGTCAGTATTGCAGGTTGAATATTGAGGCGAACGGAGGAGCGTAAACCTTTTCATTATCCTGCCAGTGCTTCCGGTTTAATTAATTTCCACTGTTTTTCGTCTAGTGTGCTTGTAAGGCTACGGAGAACACGGTTATTTTATAGATTCTGTTAATGAGCAGCTCTGAAATTACATTCAAATTATCTCAATCAAGTCCTCAATGGGACCGTGATCACTCAGAGCCCACATGCAACAACCCCCAAATTGAAACCCGGCGCATACATGACCACCTTTTTGATCTTCAGTCCTACCGCTCCTACAAGCTTCGCCCATTGTTCCTCCGACCGCTCCATCGAGCTATGGAACGTCATCATTGTCAGATCCATTTGTGTAGACGCTTCGTCCACATGCTCAGTAGGCAAAACCATTTCATCGAGCAAAATAAGAGAATCTTCCTCCAGAGCCGGTACTAGATGACTCAAGATCTTCATACTATTCTCATCTGTATGGTCATGCAAGATCATTCGCAAATAGTAGTACTTGGCACCTGTATTCTAATCAGTCTCAATAAATATAACTCTGAGTTTATTATTTGCTTACCTTTGATGGGCTGTGGTTCGAAGAAATTATGCACCATTCGCTCGACGTCACTTGGAACGACTGATTTGGCGTCCTCGACTGGCTCCGGCAAGTCCTGCAAAACCACACGACCGGATAGATTCGGGAATTGCTCCTTGAAGGCGGCCGTTTGATATCCAGCGCCGCCACCAACATCCACAAACAGGGGCTTGTTCGATGGCCAGCCCTTACTTTCTTCTTCAAAGGGGTAAAAGCCGAAGCATTTGGCTTGGGACCCCCGTTGTGCTTTCATGAAGTGATTGAAGTGAGCACTTCTTACCGGATCGCCATGAACCCAGGCAAATGTGTGCAAGTCAGTTTTGTAAGCCCTTTGGAAGATCCCGTCTGTGAAACTGGTAGGGTTCTTGTAGCCAGTCTCCGCAAGGTAACGGGGCATTTCTGCAAATGTTTGGTTGCACATGTCAAAGTAGACATATAACCCGGCTTGAATCTCGGGCTTTGCTAGATTGAATGTATATGGTGTCGCAGTAAAGGTGTCTCTGCCAGTTTCTTTGATCACTCCAAGTGACGCCAGATACCGTAGAATACGACCTGTCTTGAAGTTAGAATTTCTGGCATTTTGAATTTTGATTGGCTGGAATTTGGTACTTGCCGAGAAGCAAAGGGTCTGCGGAGTGCTTGGCTGCTAGGTGATCGATAGTCAAAGGCTCTGCACTGTCAATGAGATCATTGAAAAGGTTCAAGTCAAGAGCTGTGCGGATTGAAGCGAAGTGAAGATTCTAGGCGAATTGATTTAGCTTTGAAGATAATTGCTCGGGTTTAGGAAGCATACCATGTGTATCACTCTCTGCATGGCATCTTCGGGGGCTTCGATGCTGTATTGCAGGTCCCGCAAAGTGTCTAGAAGCTTTTTGCGCTCGACATAATTGGCCGAAGCAGCTTCCTGCTGTATCTTCGTGATCAAGCTTTCCATTGTGTAGATTTACTTTGTGTTTCAGAGCAGCTTTCCAAAAGTTTGACTGAGTAGAGAAATGCAGGAAGTCTTCTCTCTTAATAGCATCATGATGGAATACATTGGAATGCCTTTCCAATTGGTGGACCGATAAGTATTCGCTGTGTATATGCAGCTCTGTCTGGGGGGTGAATGTGACCAATCGGAATCTCGTAAAATCTGACAAGATGTCAAGCAAACGTACCAGACAGGGAAAATATAATTCCGACTATCTGCCTCTAGAGAAAGAAAACAAGCAGATGCTACAAGCACAGATTCCGCAAGGGGATATTCCGAAAGGAGACATTCCAGAAGGGGAAAGGGAGCGGCGAGGCGGGCACGCGGTACGGGCCGGATGATCCCTTCCAATCAGGCTTGGGTGGCTGCGTGCCGCTAGGTCCTGCAGGGCCAAAGTACGTATATTCGTATTTACATCAAAATCAGTGTAGCTAACTGACTGACCAATGTCATTAGTCAAGGGAAGAGCTCGTGCTGGAAATTTACTTCGAGCTCGAGGCTCTGCGCTTCAGAAGACGATTTATGAGTGCTTGTCTGTGGCAGTCATAAACATGATCTCAGGGAGTGTCGACTTTGGGTAATTGATTGCCGGTTATTCTATTTACTAGCTCTCATAGGTCTCTGTTTAATAAGGAGATGAATGACATCAACTAACTCGTGAATTATACTTCAGCGCTTCCGAGCCTGAGGGGTTTTGGATTCCAACCCAGAGGAGATACCAATGACACTCTCCCCTTCTGTTCTAGATATCTCATCAGCTCCAACGAACCCATTGCTTCCACTACCATGTGTACCGTTGGTCAAGCCCTTCTCCGCAGCCTTAGCCTTGGCAGCTCGCGTGGCTGCTGTGACATCCTCGAGGAGATACTGGAGCTCCGCATTGGTCGGTTTAGGTCCAGTAGAGAGGTTTGCTTCTCTATCCCAGCGCTCCTTGGCGCCCCAAAAGTCGTCCACTAATCGCCGAGTCCAGAACGAGCTTTTCATTTTTGTCACAGCAAACTCCCAATCCGTCGTGTATTCTTTGAAGAATGGCTTGTAACCTAGCAGACCCCCAAGCCACCGGCCAATAACCACACTAGTCCAGTATCCGAAGAAAAGTCGAAACGGCATCCATGCCGGCGCTGGGGTATAATGTCCACCTGCATCAAGCATCTGTAATCAATCAGCGCTTGTTTCGAATCACGAAGATAAGAACACGGACTTGTAATTTTTGAATGAAATCAAGACCTCCTTCATAGAGCAGTGCATCATGCCAGTATCCATACCAGTTCTCAAAGAAAACTCTATCAAGTTGGTTGTCGATCCCCGCGTCTGAACCACTCAGTAACACCGTCATGTATTCGCCTGAATCAGGGTGGATGCTGAAACGATGGATATGGTTCGCTTGGAGAGATACCTCTCCGTCTTCGGGGGTAAGATTGCGGCATACGCCATCCACTTCCGCCACACAAATGCCATGCTCGACGTGGAAAAACTCGTTCTGGTACCGATGGAAGTGCATTGCCGGGCCATCGGGCCGCTGGGGACTGTCAATGAGCTTCCGCAGTGTGGAAGGGATAGGTCCTTCCACGTCCAGTCTGTAAGTCTGACGCATCATAAAGCTTCGACCCGGAGGCGGCTCCAACCATTCGACTGTAAGGAGACCACCAAATCTGCAATGCGTGGTGATTAGCATGAAGGAACTATGTGAGTAGCTCCTAACTTTCTTGTTTGGGGGGGTCAGGATCGACAATAGTGGCCCGATTCATGTTTAACTCACTTTCGAATAGTACTCGACCCAGCAGACGAGTGATAGGGCACAAAGGGGGTAAGGAGACCCATCTTGTGAATTGGAGAAGTGAAGTTGCGCTGGAGAGGGTGAAACCACCAAGTCCGCAGATTAGAGAGCACGACAAATGATTTTTAGAGTGGCCGAAAAACGAAAAACCAGCTTAACGCCAACTCACTATCTTTATTATTATCTTGTAACTTTTTGCTTTGCCCTCAAGAAAGCTAAAACACCGGATAGTCATAGATTCAACGACTTCAGTGTTCCTATTGGTCTCGTTCCCAACCTGGCATGTGGGGCCATCCTTATCCACCGCAGTGGCACCACCTACTTGGCACGATCCGATCCCTATTGTAGAAATCTATCGGCATATCAGAGACTTGGATTGGCATAGTTTTTTTTGGTCTAGCTCCTTTAAGCCCAATTTTCAACCCGTAGACGGCATTCCGAGAAGCAATATCGGATGAGGTCTACCCCACCAACGTCCACGGCGAGGCGCTGACAGTGATCAAGGCCAAATTCCGATCCCCCTGCAGCGTTATTAGGGGATTTTTTTTTTTTTTTTTTTTTTTTTCATTATACAGCTCGTGTGCCAGAGAGCTACTATTAGTGCACATATCGTCTGCGACTACGATTTCGAACGTTCAGAAGAAGGTGGAGAAAATGGTCCGTGTTATTACCCTGATTCTTGTTGTCCAAGACGTTGACTCTAGAGCTCTGAAGACAGTTGATATAACCGGTTTACATATCATCGTCGTCGGTGCAGGCCTTGCTGGTATTTCCGCTGCAGTATCGTGCGCGTTAGCCGGCCATTCTGTTACCGTCCTAGAAGCAGCAAAGGAACTTGCAGAAGTATTCTCTCGTTATCCAATTCATTTCGCGAATACTGACATTGCCTTACTTAGGTTGGTGCAGGCCTTCAAGTCACTCCTAATGGCTCGCGCCTTCTCAAAATATGGGACCTTCCTCAGACCATGTGGTATCAGGCAGCTGAACCAACACAGTTAACTGTACATCGGTATTCTGGGGCAGTGCTAGCCCGTGAGGTTGATTTTGATAAGAAAATTCGAAATAAATACGGCGTACCTTTCGTTGATTTACATCGAGTGGACTTGCAGCAAGCTTTGTACGAACGGGCTCAGCAGTTAGGAGTGAAGTTCCATTTGAACGAGCGCGTACAAAATGTTGATCCTTCAGTGCCGTCGCTAACTACCATTTCTGGTCATGAATACCGCTCTGACCTGATAGTCGGAGCCGATGGCTTGTGGTCACGAACTCGAGAATGTTTCCTAGGGACTGCCGATCCGCCCAAGCCGACAGGAGACTTGGCATATCGAATTGTTCTTTCTCTAGATCAAATCAAGGAGCCGGCATTACGAGACTGGGTTAGCAATCCCGAAGTTCATTTTTGGATTGGTCCTAGATCCCATGCTGTTGGATACTCTTTGAGGGCGGGTAAGATGTATAATCTTGTACTACTTGTACCAGATAATCTACCTCCAGGTATCACGAAGCAACCTGGAAATATCGAAGAAATGAAGCAGCTGTTTGAAGGCTGGGATCCAGTGTATGCAGAGCTTGATCGTTTGTTTTGCAATTCATGGCTAACTCAAATCAAGTCTCACTCAGCTTCTAGGCTACGTTGACAGAGTTGATAAGTGGAAACTTATGCATAGTAAGAGACCACGACATCACTGCTATTGCCATTTTCTACAGTATACTGACAGTATTGTATTACAGGGGAGGAGCTTCCGTCGTGGATAAATGAAGCCAATAATTTTGTCTTGATGTAAGTCTACCAAAGTTATGTCCATAATGTCTAATGTCTCGAGCCACAATTAACATCTGACAGTGGTGATTCTTGCCACCCCATGCTTCCATATCTTGCACAGGGAGCCAACTCGGCCATGGAGGATGGAGCAGCCCTAGGGACGATTCTAAAATCCGTCACAAAGAAGGAGCAGCTCCCGAATGCTTTGCACATGTTTGAGAAGGTTCGAAAATTAAGGAGTGAGGCTATAGCTAGGGAAACATTTAAGCAGGTATGCACCCTTTTCTATGCCAAGCTCTAGCTGCACATCCTATAGGTTTCAGGTATACAGACTGACTTCAGGGACTCTTGGCTGTAGAGAAATGATTTTCACATGCAGGATGGCCCTGCCCAAGAAGCACGAGACATAATATTCACATCACAGCTCGACAAAGAAATTACAGGCGCTTTTCCTAGCCGATGGTTCGTGTCAATCTAGCCCAATGTGCATTCATTTCTGATTCCAAACAGGACATGTCCCGTTGTCCAACCATGGATATATGGATATGATGCGATAGCCGAAGCCGAGACAGTACTTCAAGGCAAAGAATTGCCCAACATTCACGGAAAATCTCTACCACAAATTGAAGCGATTAAGGGAAATTTTTGAATGGGTAATTGAGTTCTGTAATTGAAATTTTCAATACAAAAAAAATGTGTCAGAAATATCCGGGAAGAGTAGAAATAATTAACTTGACGTTATGATAACTACATGTATCTTCCGAAGGTGAATAACAAGTCAACTTCGCTTTTTTTTTATAAGATGCGCAATAATATTGTAACTGATGCTCATTATACCCTTAGCCTCAGGACTGGCCGAGCTTTGGCTACCTGGCAAGAGTTTTCTCGGTGTTATATAGTGTGCCAAAAGTCTGTAGGCACTCTAAGGCTTCGGAATGCATTTACGTAGCAATGGCGGTTCAAGCGAAAATCAGATTTCCATGAATGTATTTCGTATCATTTTAGCAACAGATTGCACTCTCTATCAGAAACTAGGAATTGGCTGTTGTGTAGGAATCAAATGGGCACCTACTTTCTCCGAGGCATCCCTGACAAATCCCACAAACGCATCTCCTTGGCCCTCGCCAACCCCTAGCTCATCTTTCACGCCATGAATACTTGTCAAATTGATGTCCAGATTCAACTCCTTCCTCTCTCCCGCCACAAACCCAGGGTCTGTTTTCCAGCCCAGTGCAATGCTCAAGATGTTCCTGATCCGTCCTGCGTTGAGCTCGCAACATTCATCCCTCGCTCCTTCTTTGCCTCCACGCCAGGCGACGTACCCATCCGGACGGACTAAAACATAATCGTAATTTTCCCACACATTCTTGACATGCTTTTCTCTGGCATCCAGTTGAACGTGCGTCAGTGGCATCTTCATTACCTTGGCTACAGCTTTGAATGTGGCCACTGGGGACGGTGCTTCGTCATTAAAGCTGATGTAATCATTGTTTGTTTGATAGTCGCTTTCAATCCTTGAGAAGTCCATTAAAGACCACTCTTTTCCATAGAGATCCACAATGCTTGTCTGATCATCTCTCAAGAACACATGCGGTGCTCTATGACCGGGCCTTGTACTTGGCGTATAGCTCATGTTATCGAATCTGGGCTCTCTTGTCCCGTCGCTCACAATGACTTCACTATTCAAATATCTCAGGTCGAGTTCCACTCCACGGTCGATGTTTTCAGGTCCCACGCTGTCCAGGTGGCTTGCTACCTCAGCCCGTGCCTTCTCTCCTTCCTCGGTTTCCTCGAGGAAAATGTCTGTGTTCGGGGCCATCATGGTACGCATGACCATAGGAGTGAATTTTCCAATGTGGGCATCACAACGTTCGAGACGCATCATCATGTTCGGTCTGCGCTCATTCGTATATGAAGTGATGAGGTTGCTTCCACCGATGCCTTTGTGTAAAGCTGAAAGGCGCCACGCTAGCGAGAAGGCGTCTTCTACGCCGCTGTTCATGCCGTAACCGCCATGTGGAGGGTTACGATGAGCAGCATCACCGGCGAGGAACACACGGCCGTGTCCATGACGACTGACGTAGGAATCTGCGAGACCAAAGTTCGGGCGCCATGCATTAGCCAGCATGATTTCGTCGATTTTGAATGTGTAGGGCTTGCCGAGACTGCCAAGAACACGATAAGGGATTTCCTCGGGGTGTTCCTGAAGCTCTCTGATGGCTGCGGCATCAGCAGAGCAAGGCTCGTGACAGGTATAGGTATCGACATCGTCTTGATTAATCATGAACCCGCCGTGAAGGCCAAAGGCGTGCCACCATTTGCCGAATGGAGCGAGTTCCGTGAGTTCTTTGGACCGGAAGTGAACCATGAAAAAGGCCCCTGGGCTGGGTAGAAAGAAACACGGCCATGTTAGCTGGTGATATTTTGATGGGTAAAACACTCACAGAGGTCTCCCCGGGAGATTAATCCCGATGCTTTTCCTGACTCTACTCTGAGCACCGTCTGCGCCAACCAGGTACGGTGCTCTCACGGTCCTTTCCTGGTTATTCGTGTCTCTGAAAGTAGCAGTAACCCCTTCGTCATCCTCCGCAAGCGATACAAATTTGTACCCAAAGTGACCTGAAATCAGAGGTTCGGCGAGGCATTTTTTCTTCAGGAATGCTTCGAGCACTATCTGCGAGCAACGCTGACCCGGCTCGGCTGGCTGTGAGCCATCATTATTTGCGTGAATCTTCGCGCGGTATTCATTGTTGCTTGGGATATGCTAGTAGAAGTTGTTAGTGTCATGACGTGTGAAGGCTAGAACTTCATTTAAGCAAGTCCAAAATCGAACAAGATTCCTGACTTAAAGATTCTTTACTTCTCAAAGTCGTAATTCTTTTTTAAGGGTGACAGACATACCCATCTACTAACGAGCTTTTTCTTCTGCCCGCAAGTGTTGAAAAAAATAGTATCCCATTCGCTATGCTGTGGTATAGCCCCGGGTTGTTGCCGATACTCCTCAACAAGCCCCATTATACGCAGAATCTCCATAGTATGGCAGCTGTTGTTGTCCATCTTAGGCCAGCGTGTCGTCTCGGTACTCATTTCGCATAACGTGCACGGCACCCCCAGCTGTGCCAGCCTGAGAGCTGTCAACATTCCAACCGGGCCTCCTCCTACTATGAGAGGACCTGGAGAAAACATCGTGTCTTCTGGCTGGATGGAGCCCATTGTGGAGCGATGGAGTGGTAGAAGGAAGTAGTATTCAGAAATATTACAGATTAGAGTCTTGGTCAAGATTGCTTCGCGTCTACTATTTCTAGAACATGTCTGTTTAACAGACGTTTCAACACTAATATTGGGTTGGCATAGTTGATGCTTATGGCATGAGCTTCTCTACCTCTACAAGGAGAAGATGGAATCTAACCCCTGCCGGAACGTATCCCAAAAGGGTATACATTCTGGCCAGTTCCGATTGGACGTCTGGAAATTGGCCTTATCAGGTGGATCCCTCCTCCTAGCGTAGGCAAGATCTACGGTTTACACTTTGCCGCTTCCTGAGTTTTAGTGGTAATGTTGACCATATCTTACCGTTGGCCCATTTTCTTACCAAAAATATTATAAGTTAGCTTGTAAGCGCTTCCAGTATTACGCTGTCAACTATTCATACTGCACTCGGATGTCATGAAGCTTGACCGCTTAATTGCTATACGTGGACAAATGGCCCTTGTCAAAAAGGCTCAGAAGCGTCTAGACTTGCATGAGCGGCCAACAGTCTCCACTCAGCGTCTCCAAGTTTTGTTCGCGCTCCTCTAGATTGGCGAATTGGAAGGCAGCATGGTACCAGGGGTCTCAAAGGGTTCCGAGTAGTGGAGCAGCTGAGCGTACTACTACTAACCCGATCCCTACTAGTCAGCCATCCATATTGGCGTATACCAGGGATCTACGGCCTAAAATGGCTTCGCCTCCGGCCCGCCCCGTTCGATCGCCGTTTGAATTTCTGCAAAGAGATGAGCTGGTGCATTGCTAAAGAAGTCTGAACTTTGAGTGAGTCACTGACGCTCTTTTAAAGCACTGTAATCAAAGAGATGGGCACCGGCCCGGGACGTGCGGGCCGCCTGGGCCGCCTGGGCCGCTATCCAACCCTGCCCCCATAGCTATGGTGCTATTAGCCTATTTGTATTCTGCTTGTAAGCGGCGAACTGGTTTTTTTTTTTTTTTTTGAAAAGAAAATAACGCCGCCGAGTCACTTCAGACGTGAGATCACAATCACTATAATGTCTGAATCCTCAATACCGACGCCCATCGGCACCCCGCAAGATGAAGAGAAGGCCTTTCAACCCCCCGTCTCTGAAAGCCCTGCTCTGGACTCTCTCCCGCCAGAGGGTGGCCTCCGAGGTTGGCTATGTTGCGCCGGTGGTTCCCTAGGTCTGTTTGCTACCTTGGGCTTCTTGAACGCGTTGAGTCCTTCCTTTCACGAAAAAGCTTTACGACCTGTCCTTTCGCTAACTTGCACAGTATTGGAATTTTCCAAACCACCTATCAAGAAACTCTCTTGAAAGACTACACCTCATCCGACATTTCATGGATCTTTACAATCCAACTCGCTCTTATATGGGCTCCTGGCTCCCTATTCGGTCGCATTGTAGATACCTACGGACCACGCCCGGTCATGCTCCCATGTACCTTTCTTTGCGTCTTTTCACTGTGCATGACGAGTCTTTGCACCGAATACTATCAAATTATTTTGGCGCAGGGTATTTGTTATGGACTTGGAGCTGGAGGTATTTTTACCACCTGCTTGGTATGCGTGAGCCAGTGGTTCGTCAAGCAGCGAGGCCTTGCTATGGGGATTACAGTTGCGGGTAGTAGTATTGGTGAGTAGCAGACCCTCCTATCGACCTCTATCATGCGCTGATTCAATTATGACCAGGGGGCGTGATATTCCCATTCTTTCTCCAACTAGTCATGGAAGACGTGGGATTCAATGGCATGGTGCGCTACACAGCGCTCTTTGTAGGCATCATTCTAATTGGCGCCTTCTTCCTTGTCACTGCGCGACTGCCTCCTAAGAAGTGGAACTCAGAAATGGCATGGATTGACTTCACACTGTTCAAAAATCGTGGCTTTGCTTTCTATGCCATCGGCTCATATTTTGTGATGTGGGGATTGTGGGCACCTTTCGATTATCTTCCTAGCATGGCCCAATTGTCGGGAATGTCAGATTCGCTGGCCCTCTACCTCATTGCTATCGTGAAGTAAGTTTTTCCACTTTTGTTTTCCTCAGCAGAACTGACATAAGGCAGTGCTGCTTCATTTTTCGGAAGAGTTATCCCCGGGCACATCGGAGACAAGGTGGGGTACTTTAATGTCATAACCGGGTCCGCCTTGCTCAGCTGCATTATGATACTCTGTTTATGGCTGCCTTTCGATTACCATTCTTCAAATGCCGGCCTCATAGTCTTTGCAGTGGCTTATGGCTTCTTCAGTGGCGCCTTCGTTAGCATCATGATGCCATGCTGCGCAAAATCTGGCAGCCTAGAAACCCTGGGCAGACAGATAGGTACTTATCAGGGTGTCATAGCTATCTCGTAAGTGTTCTTTGGCTCATTTGAATGATTGCCCTTTTGAGCTATACTGATATCTAGCAGCTGTCTTACTGGTTTGCCCATCATGGGAGCTATCTTGGGGAAACAACACAATTCGACCTATGAGGGGATGCAAGTATTTGCGATTGTGACCATGTTTGTGGGTTTCGTTTTCCTATTGGTTTCTCGCAATGTTCTGGCTGCCGCTCACGGAACATGGAGGTACTAAACCTATGACGATCCGCTACGTCGTCAATTGATGCACAAATCAAACCTGCTCAATTTGGAAAGTGAATCCCCTAACTCAGGAGAAAGGAGCCGGGTGTATGCAAAACAGGCCTCGCGGCCGAACATCACAACCAATTGAACGGACCAAGAATCATCAAGGGGAGGGTATTGGGCATACAGGATAATACTTTAATTTTTAGCATCTGATGATTGACTGAATACGCGTTGGGGAGCGTAGCTTTTGGTGTTTTATGTCTTAACTGTGGTCCACGGTGCTAGGACCACAGTGTTGGAGGGCTCATATTCCTGCAAGGTTCCGACGGGCAAAACGCCTGCATACCTAGGCACTCTCACGATTTTGTTCCAACATGTCAATATGGTGTTGATTGATTGAACGAGTATCTACTGGAGCTGTATATAAGTTAGACTTTACAAAATGCGAACTAAAACAATGCTTTTGGAATCTCTCCTCGCATGATGTATGGTTTATGGATACGGTGACAAAAGGAAGTTGACTGGCGGAAAGAAGGGAGATACTTAGTCAGAGGTATGTGTAACAATCAATTCACCAGACTTATCATGTAGCACAAACAACCTTTCACCGGCATCTATCAGTGAGATCGAGTTCCTGTCTGCTCAGGGTCCGGGTCCGAGCTGCCGCTGTCGGAATCGACTGTGTCTGCTGCTAACACAGCTACTGATTGGATATTTGCACATCTAGGACGTTGCGAGACTACTGCACTTCATTTATATTATTGATCTGTGAGTATGGGAATCATCACTTGGCTAGAAACCTTTTCGCGGAGAATACCGGTATACTCTCATAGTACCACCACACCAACTTTAAGCTTATATTAGAAAATCGGGCCGAAATAAGGTAGGGTAGATTGCATTAGCGCTAGCGAGACCTCAGGGTCACTGAAGTCAGACATTCTGGTGGCTTTACTTCATACCTACGGCGACTAAGCCGCGTTAAAACAAATATACAGCTCGCTGCGTCTAATAGCACCGTACCTGCGGCGGGTGGAGAGCGGTCCGGGCGGAACGCGCGTCCCGGTCCGTTGTCCGCACTCTGGAATTAGCGTTTCATGAGAACGTCAATAACATAAGGCTTTCCTGCACCTAGCCGTTCTCTCCTCCCTTCTTTTTACACTTCGTCATCAGATAGTCATCAGCTCTCTCCTGTCGCCTAGGCCCTAGGATTCAACAAATACCATGACACCTTGGCGAGCCACACGTCTCCTCAATGGAGTACGAGCTCTAGTTGGCGGTCAAGGCCCCCCTTTGATTCTCATGCCAGGCTGGCCACAAACAGCAGAGGCTTTTAGTGGCATCCTTGAGCCCCTTTCAAAAAAGTATCAGTTTTTCGCGCTCGACCCTCCGGGATTGGGTGATTCGCTTCCACCCCTCAGCTATGATACTGCGAACGTGAGCAACATCATGGCCGAAGCTATTCACGATACCGTGAAGGAAAGACCGTACCACCTAGTTGGCCATGATGTGGGTGGATGGATTGCTTATCCTTGGGCCGCTCAATTTCAATCAAGAATCAAATCGCTCAGCATCTTGGACGCGTCAGTGCCGGGTTTCATGCCCAAGTTTCAATTTCCGCTGGATCAGCAGACAAACATGCGTCTTTGGCAATTCTCATTTCACGCGCTTCCAGAATTACCTGAAATTTTGACTCGCGGTCGTGAACGGGAGCTCCTGACCTGGTTTTTCAATTTGAAGACGGTTCACACAGATGCTTTATCCGAAGATCATTTTGAACGCTATATCAAAGCATATTCAAGACCAGAAGCGATGAGCCGGGGGTTCGAGTATTATCGAGCTTTCGAAACGAGCGCTAAACAAAATCTGGAGTTTGCAAAGAAACCACTCAATATCCCTGTCTTAGCTTTGGGTGGGGCTAGCTCCGTCGGTTCGGGGATGATTCATTTGGTTCAAAACTTCGCGAACAACGTCTCCGGGGGTGCTATTGACAATTGCGGGCATTTCCTCCCCGAAGAGCAACCATCTGCTGTCGCGCACAGGCTGCTGGAGTTTTTGGACGCCAACGAAACTGAGTGAAAATATTTAGACTCACCTTACAACATACTGTATCGGTTTGGAAGTTGTGTCATTGTTGTTGTGAGTGCGAAGAGACATGTACGTAAATTGATGCAACTCATAGTGTAGACTAGCAGGCTAGAAATATAGATGCGTAAAGGGTTCAGGCAGAAAGTAGGTAACTAGGATGTAACCCATGAACTGTTCTTTCTTCCTCTCAGCTTACCTAGCCTTCCCGTCCAAAAAATAGACTGTTTCCCTCCTTTACCTACCTTTTTAATTGATCTGCCCTCTCACAGCTACATTTAGTGATTGCCGGACTTCCACTGGCTATAATTCGCTCTGAATAATCAAAGATCTCGAAGTGGAAATACAAGAGTTGACAAAACTATATTCTTTGGTGGCAAGCAATAGTCAAATAGGGCTCAGGCACCCGTGGACAGCATACCTCAAGTAGATGTTGAGATCCATGTCAGGAGAGCAAGGCGCTTCGGCAGTGAAGTCTGGTATTGTTTACTTCGATGTGCCCAATAAATATTCTGTAGTTTCACCCGGATTGTCATTAGTAATAAGCGCCGTTGTGCAGAGATGAGCAATGCAGGCCACTTTTCTTTCAACTACAAGCCACTTTTCTTCTCCACTGTTTCCAGTGGTTCGCAGACACGGTTCCCCACTAGTCAAGTTTGGCACGGTGGATCCACCTGTCATAATTGTGGTAATCATTGCCGAGCTCGGGATAAACAACTCTTATACAAGCGATTTCAGCTGACCATGAGCTAGTTGTGGTGGGTCTGCCGCCAATAGTACCTTAGATCTAGTCCCAAGTACAACTAGCGACACACGATGAGAGCTTGAAATGGATCCACGGAATATTCGGCTCGGCAAGGCCGGGTTTCCATGCCCATGTTTTGGAGTTTATTTGCAGGCTATTAACATGTTTAAATAGTCTCTCCATTGGCCCCGGTTTCAACGAGGTCAAAAATTTCATATCTCTACCGTTGGCCAGCGCTGCGGCAAGCATAATATGGCAGATATCTCTGAACTCCCGTTTATTGTGACTGAGCATGTCATTGACGGACAGCATGTTCGGGAATATCCCAATGCCACTGTGGATCCGAATTCCACTTTCAAGCTTGTCCTCAAGAGATATACGCCAGTCGACAACCTAAACCCGCAGCCTGGTGACGTGACTATTATTGGAGCACATGGCTGCGGCTTCCCAAAAGTGAGCAGATCCACTCCAACATCCCTTGTTTGAGAAACATTTAGGCTAAAGTGAACGTTAGGAGGTATATGAGCCTCTATGGGAAGACCTACTCAATCGAAGTCGACAGGATGGCTATCGCATTCGCTCTATTTGGATCGCCGATGTCGCAAACCTCGGTGCCAGCGGTGTTGCAAATGAGGAATCTCTAGGCAATGATCGTGAGCACTCATCATCCTACATTACAGCTTGACGCAACTAACAGATTCAAGCATCATGGTTTGATCACAGCCGTGACCTTTTATATATGATAAACAAGTTCCGTGACGAGATGCCACAGCCTATTGTGGGTGTGGGACATAGCATGGGTGCAGGGCAACTGTGAGTATCGCCAATGCGCAGAGATAACCCATTTTCGATCAGTCTAACCTCCATCCAGAGTCCTACTGTCTCTCCTTCATCCCCGTCTATTCGCATCTCTAAGCCTTGTGGAGCCCGTCATATCACCAGACATTTTGACAGGCAAAGGCCCCTTGCTGACAGTCATATCACTCAAAAGACGACACGTCTGGAAATCTAAAGCAGCAGCTATTCAGGAGGCAAGAAAGACGCATAAGGGATGGGACAAGCGTGTCCTCGATCGATGGATTCTCCACGCTTATCGCGAACTTCCATCACCCACTTCCACCCATGAAAATTGTACAGCCCAAGTCGACCAACCAGTAACTCTGGTCAGCTCAAAATACCAAGAAGTACTACAGTACCTCCGTCCAAACCCATCCAGCCACAGACCTGTCGGCGAAGAAGCTACCCCCGATTCACCTCCCCACGACCATCTCCTCTACCCAGATGTCATCGGACCCCCTCAGACAACCACAGAATTTTACAGATACGAGCCAATCTTGGCATGGAAGATGCTCAAGCATGTGCGTCCTCCTGTTCTATATGTTCTGGGGCAAAGTAGTCCCTTTGCCGCGCCTAGAACTCGCGAGAGGATTCTCAATAGGACGGGCGCCGGAATTGGAGGGAGTGGTGGCGTAAAGGCTTTACAAGTTGAAGAGAAGATTATTCCGGGCTCTCACCAGCTACCACTGGAAAAGGCTTCGGAGACGGCTGCTGCTGTTGGTCCTTGGATTAGCAGATCGGTACGGCGTTGGAAGGATGATGATGCGCGGATTGCAAAGGGTTGGGCTTCTCAGCCGATGAATGATCGATTAAAGGGTATGGCAGATTGGATTCCCAAGCTGGAGAAGATAATGTCTTCTGAGAGAGGAGAGTCGAGGCTTTGATCCATAGAAAAAGGTACAAGGGCAGTGTTAGGTCTGTTCCTGCATGTTTAGAATGACCTTAGACTATTAGGTACTTCAGCGATATGGCTTCAAAGTTACTAGATGCGGTAATAAACATATAGTTTCTTTTATCTCTTGCTCTCAACGAGTATATTTCTGATCGCGTGGGCTGCTGCAAATCGTGAGCTCCACTGCCCAATTTCTAAATCATCCTGCTGAATGAATATGTGGAGGATAAATCCAGAGGCTAGATTTTTTTGTTTCTCTCCCTTCTGTAAATGAATTCGAGTCATGTAGTCTCTATGCAGGCTAATTTTGGCACAAGGAATGAGATCCCGTTTTGTGTAGAAAAAACTATCGTTCCGTTAGCCCAAAACACCGTCTGATCGCCTCGGTCGTTTCTCTTACTTGTTTCAGTTAGACGAAGCTGCATTGAGCGAGGACGCTCTAAGTGGGTCAGGGTCCGGGACCCTTGAGCGATAGGAGAGCCAGTATTTTCTTTTGACTTAGGCAGTTGCTTCTCAAGAAGGGCATTGGAAGATGAATCGAAGGATCATCTTGGCTAAAGCGAAATTAATCAGATTTATCCAAATTAACCCACGTTTTTGTGTTTCCGAGATGTGCCTCAATCTCGTATTCACAGCCTTGTCCCGAGTCCCCACGCCCCGACCCTTTGCCAAGAAAGATAGTCGCTCGTCCCACCAGTAAGAGAAAACGAGAAAAGCAAATTGTGGACTAAATTCTGTCCGACTAACTAAAGTGAGCATCGGCTACGAGGCTGACACAAATTGTCCGTCGAATTGAAAATAATGAGCAATTAGGGGGCTTGAGGGCTATGGTTAGCCTCTGTATATAGGTCCACAGAGGCCTTGAATCGCGTGTGACTCCAATTCACCCCTATTCACTCGTTTCATGATGTCTATATTACGGTCAATTGGGCTGTATAGCCTTTCTTTTACTTCCGTGGCATTGGCATCTTGGTTTCCAAGCCCTGATCCCACGCCTGCTGACAGTGGATTTCAACTCTACCTCCCCGAGCCAACACCTGCACCAGAGATAATTGAACGCGAAGTCACGCCTCGAGATTATACCGATGACTCGACTCCGACTGAGTATTACTCCAGCTCTTTTTATCCAGTCACAACTTCCACGTCATGGGTACCCGCAAGTGTGTGCGGCTATATAGATGGCATTTGGGATGAATGTACGCACGCTCACGCCTTCTTTACCAATCGCACCAGCTTGGACTAATTAGCTATTACCTGGTAGACAACTCCATTTACTGTCAAAACAATAATCAATGCATCTTTCATACCGCCGATTCTGGCTACCCGGGCATGGTTGGCTGCTGCGATGACAACGATCCAAGTTTATGTATCTACGAAACAACATGCTACGATGCCGACGCCGTATCTGCTACTCCTAATCTAACCAACGACCCAGATTGGTGGTTCGCAGCGTATTGCACGGATGCTACATATTCAGCCTGCCAAACTTGGATATACCCCGAGTTGTCCATTACCGATTATGGATGTGCCGAGACCGCGACGATCGAAACTCTTTATTTAGAGGCGACTTCTACCCTCGATCCTACCTATAGCAGCTACTACGAAGAGTATCCCACTATTGCCGCTGTCAGCCCTTCTTTTGTGGATGACGACTGGATCAACGTCTATGTCTCAGGCACAATGGCTACGGCCACAACAGACAAAATAGATAAAGCGACCTCCGCGCCTGTCAGTTCGACTCCATTCCACTCGAGGTCATCCACAAGGACGCCTTCGCCCGATACATCGAACAAAGGCTCGTCCACAGATACCGCAGCTATTGCCGGTGGTGTCGTCGGCGGAGTCGTGGGCGCAGCTGGCATCGGTGCGGCGGCCTTTATGTTCTGGCTGCTTCAAAAGAAGAGAAAACAGCAAAATGAAGATGCTGCACATGAAGCCTCTCAACCGGCTTTGGGGGGAAATACACCGCCACTACACGCTACGACTATTATCGTTCCTCCGCAGGAAGTTGACGGAAACTCGTACCAAAAGGTTGCCGAAATGGACGGATATACTGCGGATAAAAATTTCGGTGTGGCTGAAGCTGTGGGATCTACTCCGGATCAAAAGCCTCAGGAGACAGATTCCAAGAATTTTGTTGCGGAGCTGCCTGCTTCTTTTGTTGAGACACGGCCTCTTTCCAGTGATACATCGAGGCCAGGTACGCCCGAGGGTCGACGGGGTTAATGAGGACCATGGTGCTTTCTTTCTTTCTATTCTTTACTGTATACCCCCACGGCCTTGATATTAGTCCGTGACTGTTGGTTGTAGTATCTTGCACCTGTATATATACCACCCTGAACATAATTTAACATAATCGGAGAATGAAATGATGTCAAAGTAGAAAGTGCCCCTCAAGCTGCCCATGTGTCCAGTTTTAAGATGACTGCATTGGTGGATATAAACGCCGGAGCATTTGAACAACAATTTCAATATTCAATGCTGACCGGGGAATTATCGATGCTTGTCTCCACCTGCAGTCCACCAATTAGGTACCTATGATACTGAGGTCCGCGATGGCCCGGACATGGTCGTGACTGTAGATCATTCCATATACGTTGCTGTCAACCAGAGATTTGCCACATAACCTTGAGAATGAGTTATCCACGGGTGCATGATCATACATAAATAGCACATGCAGATATTCTGTGTATATTAATAGATTTTATAAAAAGCTTCATTTCTATATTGTGGAAGGCTGCTAGATCCAATTCCGATAAAGCCTTCTGCTAGCTAGGTAGACTTAGGTACAGATAATCGTCCGAAAAATCGGATACATGCATGGCATATCGATAGGTCTCTTGTCTCGTAAACAATCCTACTTCAAGCGCAGATCTTGGTTTGTTCACATATAATCGAAGTGGACGAAGACAAACAAAATAGTCTATGAAGGAGATGTCCCGACCACTCAAGTAACATTCCTCGGAGGAAAGGGTCACCAGGGATACAGAAAGGCACACCCCCCAGAGACATGACACTGTAGCACATTTTTGTGTCATTCCCAAATGATCGACAGAGGACAGCCACGTATACAGCAAATTTCGCCAGAGCAGATACCAGCGAAAGCTAATGTACACAGCTTGGAGCGCCTTCCCCCTTCCACTTACGGCAAGAGAGCTACATACCTTCACGTCATGACCATCACCACGACCAGATCGAGGAGATCAAGGGATGCAGAAAGGGCCAGTTATTCATCTTGTTTACCACGAATACCATTTTCTATTTAAATGGCCCTCGAGTCCGTCCGAGTCGCGCCGCGGTTCTTCCCACATTCGTTTACTAGACTGTCCTTCGTTACACCCAAACAAAACCACAAAATCAAACACGATGCGTTCTTTCATTGCTGCTGCCCTCCTGGTCGCTGGAGTTGCCGCCCAGATGACCCTCGGGAACATCGATGCGTGTGCCGTAAGTGTTTCACAGCTCACATCACAAAAACAAACCAAGTCTCCTAACAAGATACAGAATGCCATCTTGAATGACATTGACGTCGCCACAATGAAGGCCTGCTCCAACAAGAGCAATACAGACTGCATCTGCTCCACCGACCTCTCAGACAAGATCAGCGACAAAGCAATCGACACCTGCGCAGATGCAGGAATTAGCCCGGATGACCTCAAGAGCAGCGTGTGCTCTAGCTCCAAATCCAGCGTCGCGGCCCCAGCCCGCCACGCCAGCAAGCCCATGGAGCCTGCCTCAAACTTGGAGATGGATATGGCAGCTGCCAAGCGTGCCTACGCCCCTCCCATCGCCGAGCACGGTGCTGCCGAGCCGGCCGTTCCCCGTGTCATCTATGTGACCGAGACCAAGACCGAATGTGGATGCAAGCCTAGTGCCACTCCTTTTGATCCTTCGCATCTGTCGCAGATCCCTGTTCAGGTTCCTGCTAGCAGCAGCATGGGCGGTATGGCTGCTGCTTCGGCTCCTGCCTACTCGCACGGTGTTGTTGTTGGTGCTTCTTCTGCTTCTTGGCCTTTTGGCTCGCACAGCGCTACTCCTACTCCCTCTGGTGCTAGTGCGCAGGGTTTCAGTCCTTTCCAGGGCTCGGCGCCTACGGTTGCCGTGCACGGTGGTGTTGCAGCACTTGGTGTCGCTGCTGTGATGGGATTGATGATTGCTCTGTAAAGAATTGGTTGAGGTAGATATATGGATGCTTCTTTTCTTGGTGACTGAGCCATGATGTGAGTCCGTTTCGGTATGGATTTTAACGGTCTTATTTGGGAGTTCATATTGGTGTTTGGGGTCAGTTTATTTAAAGATCGAAATTGTAATGATCAATGGAACACGTAACATTCAATTAATTCAGTACTGAATATTTCCTAATCCTGACTCGTGTATTGATGATGTATGTTTGACAAGGAACGGCCAAGTCCGCAATCGTGTTGCAGTATTTCAATGTGCAGCCTTAAGCGTGGATGGCCTGCTGCACACGTGGGTACAGCTGCACCAGCTTGTAGTAAATATCAGGGTGGTCATTGATCATGACCTGAGGATCCCAGCCCATTGCCACAAAGATTGTCTCGACACCGCTTCCAATTGGCGTCATGAAAACCTGACAGACCTGAAGACCAATTAGAAAAGAGAAAGCCATAATGACGGCAGTAAAATCCCCATCGGCGTTGTAAGCCGGCTTTGTGAATTGCAAGTACAGATATGCCAGCAAAGCACAGACGTAAGCCACAAAAGTAGAGCCCATAGTCAAGACAGGGCCAATCAAACAGTCCTGTACCAGGGCATCAATACCACGATCGCGCATCATCTTCCATGTATCCTTGGCAGCCGGGATATAAGGCTTTCCGTATAAAGCGATGTGGCAGAAAGCGTAGCGATTGAAAAATGTAACCAGCCAGTCGAGCAGCGCGATGAAACATCCCAGAATCCAGACAAAGATCGACCCGACAATATTACCCTGTGCGGCTTCTTGTCTTTGAGCGATCGAGCACACCTGGCGCATCATATTTATTATCGCAAGGATGAGACTTCCAAAACTGATACTACCAAATGAATAGGTCGTCGCACGACGGAAAGCGCCGCGAGTCGCACCCTTGGGCATGCCGCCCGCGGATGCGCTCCAGAAGTACCAGGACCCGTACACTCCGGCGATAGTAGTGTGCACCGTGTTCTTAACCCATTCACTGAACCAATACATGGCAAAGGTGACATAAGCCACCAGACCAATCACTTTCGCCGTGCTACAGCCGCCGTTCACACAAGCTGGATTTGTACCAGTGGAATCAGGCTCATATGCGACATAGATCGAGACCAGGGTCACAGAAAACCATGCTGCAAAAGCGACAGTCACGATGCCGCCTAGCGCACTAACGAGGAAAACGTTTCCATAGCCTCGGGCAACATCCATAGTAGTCTGCAGCATAAAGGCAGTGAATGGAATACGCGGAATCCAGCTGATGAAACAGATAACTGCGAAGACACCGAAGAGCAGGAATACTATTCCGCCTCCATATTGCTTGCGTGCGATATAGTAGATCCCCGTTGCAAAAGCGAAGACGATGTTCAGAATGCCTGTGACCCAAATGAAGGTCTTGGTGAAGTAGCGCGCACCCATGAAATATGCCCAGGAGAAGACTAGGGCGACGCAAAGGACGAAGATGAAAAGCACAAGGGTATTGGTGTTCAATGAGAAATCATTGCCAGAGTTGTAGATACCTCCTCCACTGAACCCTTTGTGGACGGCGTACGAGTGGATGGTCAAGCCTGACACGGCAACATATCCCAAGAAGACTGCGATCAGCTGTAGTAAATTTTGGTGAGCTGCTGTTCTATCTTGGGTTCGTAGACAACTAATAACGTACCAAAAGACCTGCCCATATATCGTTGTACTTCGGTCCGTCGACCTTGAAGGCTTGATCAAAGGTCTGACCGGACTGCGGTGGTGGAGCTGCATTCTCAGGGTATGGAGGAGGGGGGTTTGGGCTCCGCTGCTGGCGGTTGGTAATTTCCATTTTGCTGGTAGCCATTAGTATAGCCGGTTTGACCCTGAGCATCAAAGCCCTGGTTAGGGTTGTAGTAGCTAGCGGCTTGCCCACTCATAGCTGCATGCCGTGGGGAAAAGATACAATAAAAAAAAGATTAATTCAGTGAGGGATTCAAAGAGAAGCTGAAAGGGGGTTGGAAGCAAGGAGCTTTTGTTACCGCTTTAAAATCCATGACGACATGCAGCATCGCGGTAGGAACCATGATCGGCCCAATGATCGGCCATGTAGGGTTCAGGACCCTTGAAAATACTCGGTAGCGTCAAACCCAATTTTCAGCGCCAAGCATTATAATTTGAATGCCTGGACGTCCTAATTACACGGCTGAAGGAAAAAGAAAAAAAAAGAAAAGAGAAAAAAAACTTGTGTAAATTCCATGTGTATTCCAATATGCGATGAATGATGCGATTTCCTTTGATTCCCTCACGACGCCTTCCAAAAATGCAAGGAGATTTCCCCGCCTAGCGGGGAAGTTCAATGGGCCTTATCAACTTGACAAGGATGATTATGATTACATGAATTAGTGCAGAGATCCTAATTGGCCTATTCCGGTCACCTGAATCCAGACCTGCAGGTATGCCAACAGACACGGTCTTGGCCAACTCGGCACAGGAGATTCAGGATCGACTATCGAAATGCATGGTGCTTCAAATTGCGCCAAGAGTCGGCGACCCGATGTTCAAGGCCCGGTTGGTTGTTTCGACGATGAACAGGGAAATCGTCAGTCGCTGGCTTGAGTTCACCCTTACTGAAAGCGACCGACCGGCGCATCTTCTCTTGACGAACAGCAGTGCGGCGTGCAGCTCGAAGTTCTTCAATTCGACCTTGGCCCACTCGATGCTTTCGCAAGAAGCAGTCATCGAGCAAAGTATTGGCATCTAGCAACTTTTTGGGCACAGTCTGCACCACCTGAAATACCTCCATGGGATCCGAAACAGCCAGGATATCCCGCTCACACGCTTTGAAAATAGCTAACGAAACGCGAAAGAATGTTTTTGAGCCCTCATAGAAGAAAGTATCCCAGACCCGCAAGGTGGTTTCCAGAGGGAGCGTTCCAATAAAGACCGACATGAGCCAGTTTGTCAGGCCCAGAGTGATGTCTGGTAAACGCGAATTCACATTCAGTGGTGGGGTTTTACGACCAGATGGGTTTCCACCCATGCTGGAGATCTTGGCATATATGCCCGGCATCGTATCTCGGAGCAAAACCATAAGGATCCAAAGATCAATGTTTGCGCCCTCCAGGCTAATTTCATGTGTCCCAGGCAAATATAGCGAGGTCACGATGTGCAACATCCAGAACGCTTTCTCCTCTGGTAAAAAGAGGAGAAGCATGCCCGTGATGAAATTGAGTGACTGAGTATAGCCGATTTTTGGGTTGTGGAGGGCAAAAGCATACAACACCCGACGAAGGGATTGTATCATTTGAGTCTCTGTTGGATTGCCACTTCCAGCCTGCTCAGCAGCATCAACAAACTCGGGTTTAAAATGAAGGTTGTCGGGAAAGGTTCGATGAAGATCACGCTCAATGTGCTCTTTATCATCATTGGTGGGCGACGCCATAACTTTTGCCACAAGTTGATCGTACAGACCAACGTTGGCGTTCAGAAGCTCCCACCCGCCAGCATACCAGAACCAAGCCGCGCCCCGGTACTCCGAGGGAATGCCTTTTCGCACAAAACGCTTTAGTTTATTCGACTGTGCGGGAAATGTGCTTGGATTTGTGGTTGGAAGCCCATGCTCCTGGAGCATGGCATGCCACTTCTGTCTCCGGTGGGCGGTATAGTTGGAATATGGGCCATTCCAGGCGTCATACTGCTCCCGAGTCACGTACTGTGTCGCCTTGCGGAACCCATACTCGTCTCTTGTATCATTTTCAGAAATGAGGGGTGGAGGGACGAGGCCGGGAATAAAGATTTTAGATTGTTCTCGTTTATGAACGGATTGAAGGTTTGATGGTTGATCTGAGGATAGAGGTTTAGGTGATGTAGGCATCGAGGGAGAAGGCGATGTTTCTTGGTGTTCGGATGGAGCGGTTTCGGGTTCAATGGGAGTTTCTGAGAGGGTTTCTGGGACAGCAGGCGCATTTATGCTAGGTTCCAGGTACACGGGTTCTGGAAATGTCGATTGCGGTAATGGAGGTATTGGAGGGATATCCTCCAAAATTGGTTTCGGGGGCGGAATGCCGTCTAAATGCGTATCTCGAGATGGGGGCGGAGTTAATGAGGGCGCTTTGCTGTCAGCTCGAGACATGGGGGATCCAGGCTCTTCTGTGACATCGCTGAAGCCATCGAGGTACATAGAAATCGCATCTTCCACGCTCATGCCCTCGTCCATGCCGTAAGGGGCATCGGGTGTATCTGGGGACAGATCGGTGATCGAACTGCTCTTCGTGAGAACACTACTGCGCTCTGTGCCACTGTGTTGTTCGATACTAGATCGGGAAGTCATAGCAGAGTTGTAACTGGTTCGGAGAGTATGATCATCCGCACGCCCCTTGGTTGGGAAACGCGGTAGCGGTAGACCATGGGCGTTGGGCTCTTGGCGTTGGTCTGGGAATTCCTGCAATCGCGGCCGCCTGCCGTGCAGTCTAGATGTAGACATGGATATGCGCAGGCCGCCCCTGGCCGGCGGGGCCTTGCGAGGTGGTGGCGGCCAGTCCGGTTCATTATCGCGAGGGTAAAATCTTGGGGGTTGTCGGTCGGGTGATGGTAAAGGGGGAGGGTAGCCGACGGATCTCTTCGCCCTCCAATCTTCTGGAATCTCCTGCGGGGAGCCTGCCCGGAGAGACATTGGAAGCCACGGTCGGTCATCTGAGACGGTATGGATTGATGGGGGAACGGGCGAACGAGAGCGCGGATCGTATATCGAGTTGGGAGAACGTGGAGATGATCTCGGGGTCGATCTGGCGGTTCGTGGTGCGCGTGAATCGATTTTCAGAGGATCCAATCGCGCCGGATGAGCGATCTTTCGGCGACCGCGTAATTCAGATTCCTCAAAGGGAGGCGGGTATCTCGAGCTTCCATTTTCTGTGACCATGGCCACGAGCTAGTAACCAGTTCCCGCTGGACATTTGTTGTGACGAAAAGACCTCAGTGACAGCCGTGAAAGCGTTAAAACTAGTCTATAGTGGCGAATAGAGTGTGGGAAAGCTGGTCGTTGCGTGTAGATCAGTGTGTACGTTGTACACGACGGGCGAAAAGAAAAAAAAATGGTATTCAACGAAAGGCCGAGCGAATGACTCCAGGGATATCAAAGGGTGTCAGGAAAGGAATGACAAGGGCGACACCAAGCCAACGGGGAAAAGAAATATGAAGCGAGACAGCCTGCCAGAGGACTGGAATGAGGACGAAGCACTTGAGTTGAGACAAAAATCAACAGACGCCTGATCTAGCTTAGCGTCACATGACGTAGATTGGCAAGGGCGTTTCAAGTTTTCAAAGTCTATTTGCCGAAGCTGACTTGTCTATTGGCATTTGGGAGGTTTCGTTGCCGCTGTTTCTGGGGATACGAACTGCAGAATCCGTATAGTCGAGCTGTACAGCATCCACTCTATTGTTCTTTGCATGCACAACGGGCCCATGGATCCCTTGTATACGGAGTACAACCAAACGGATCGTCCGGGATTTGGTTGCTTCCCCAACACATTATTTTTATGCAGTGAGGCCATGGGACTTTCTAGATTTCTTGCATTAGATTCTCCCTTATTGAATATTCACAGAAACCCTCGCCTCATTCACGGGTATATCCTAGGCAATGTTCTCAGGGTCATGTTTATGTTGGAGTGGGGATCGGGTGCGCCCGCTGTATATCCATGGACCCCTTCACAATCCCTTAATCTCGGAATAACCCAGTTCTTGAGCCCAATTAAATTAACTGCATAATAAGTGCACAGGATCCAAGCTATCTGGAAAAACATCAAGCACAAACATCTTACCCAACCAATTTCGAATATATCGCCTTCAAACGTAGATGTATCAACAAGTTCAGTGTACCTTATCGTCAAAACGGTTCGCGACTAAGCTTAATTGTGATGGGTCAACCGCACATCCATGTGCTTCTGCCTCACAAACCACGCGTTAACCGTTGTCCACTCCTTCTCCGGATCCTTCAAAGTGATCTATCGCAGTAGCCCAGTCAGAACAGACTCCTCAGCTCGCCAAAAAATGCTCAGCTTACCTTGTAGGTCAAAAAGAGAGACGGCACAAGTTTGTAGATCTCCAACAGACTGATGTTCTTCCCTATACACGTCCGAGGCCCAGACCCAAACGTAAAGGTAGCTCGCAGCATTTGCTGCTTCCGGGTTAGATACTCGTTTTCTGATTCCCCGTTCATCTGCAGCCATCGCTCAGGGATGAATGAGTCTACTTTCTCACCGAAACAAGAATGCCGGTGTATAATCCATGGATTGGCGCCGACAACTGTTCCTGCAGGTAAGAACGGTCCACCATTGGGAAGCTGGAGTCCCCCCACGGGAACGACACGCTCCAGCAGCAGACCCACAGCCGGATGCAGGCGGAGCGCTTCTTTGATCACGGCATCGAGATATGGTAACTCCTCTTGACTTTGCTTCCAGGAGACTGGACAGGAGATCCGATTCTCCTGGTAAGCGACTTTGAGCTCATTATCTAGTTTTCTCGAAACTCTGGGATGTTTCAGCGTGTAATAAAGGATTGCTCGAAGTGAAATAGCTGTGGTATCGGAGCCGGCATTCATGTTGCTGATCGTGTAGGATAACACCTGATTGTCTGTCACGATTTTCGGGTGCTCTTGCTTAGCCTCTAGGAAGCGAGCCAAGAAATCCCTATGTGGTGGCTGGGACAATCCGCTGACATTCTTCTCGTTGGATGCTTCTCGGAGTCGTTCATCTAGTCGAGCACGCGCAAAGCGAGCTACAGCACCCGTCGACCCCCCTGAAAAAGCTGTCGCAGGGGATTCTTGATGAACAAATAGTCCAAAGAAGGTATTTGACCAATCTGATTCTATTGAGCACGCGTATGGCGGAGAGAGAATGGACACTAACCTTGCCAGAATAGTCAAGCATGCGTTCCAGTGCAGCGATGATCCCACCTACATCACCCCCAGTTTCCAAGAACCCGAGTGGCTTACTGAATGTCAACTCACCAATAACATCAAATGCATCTGCCCGAACAAGTCAGCGGGTACTTTGATATCCTGGAGCCACTTACAGTATTGCAACCAAGAGGCGATGTCGCAGATCTGGTTCTGTGCGACAAATTCATCCAGCTTTGCAAAGAAAGTCTGAATGGTCTTGTCAACAAACGGCTCAAACTCGGTCAATGCGCTCATAGAGTAGGCAGCCGAGATGGGCCGCTTAATTGAAGCATGAAATTCCTCATCCGTGGTAGTAAACAGCGTAGGTGTTGGTTTGCCATTGACTAATTGTTGTTGCACATGATAAAATTCAGTCTGCCCACTTGGAAGGTTAGTGGCGTGAATATATTTCGGGTAAAATAATAGTCAGATTGATCACCCACTTTTTGATATCCCTTGTTGATTCCATAAATTATTTTCAATGCATCCAGATCCCAGACACTGACCACGTTTGGACCCAATCGGACATAGTCTCCGTACTTTTGATGCAATCTGTAAAGACTTGCCTCTGCGTGCCCATGGGCCACGTCAATGAATCTCCAGAAGTTGGATAGACTTGCGAGAAAAGGTCCAGGCACGGATGAGACGCCCGATTTAGACCAGTTGCGCGTGAAATGGACTATGACAAGAAGTAAAACAATGCTTGCCGCGTGTTGAAGCAGGAAGGACACGACGTCTGAGATGATTGCCATATTACCTTTGGCTAGCCTGATCGCGATTACATAGGATTGTTGAAGCTCCAGGTACAAAAAGTATTTTATAAACCTATTCTGCAACCAAAGGGTTCATGCCATAGGTGCGTAGGGTCCAAGTAGATATCTGTGGGGGTGGGGCTTTTTGCGGGGAAGTTCATGGCGACTTTAATTCCGCTGGGGGGGGAGGGGGGGAAAGCATCATGGTACCGGGTGTATTACGTATTCAGCTTTATGAAAGCTTGGTTGACTTCCCTTCGGTTCCAAATGTAATTACCGAGGCATGGTCTTATATGTCAGGCCGTTTGAAATCCAGTTCAATGATCATATATGCTGTACCAAGCATTGCTTTTATTTGTTTCCAGTTCTGGGCTTGTGCGTGGCTACCCATATTCAATATGGAAGTGCCACCAGGCAATATAATAGAAGTAATGCATTATTCTATCCATCAAGATGCACCGTTGGATGTATTTGGACCGAGTGAGCACATTTCCAAGGCAATAATGCAGAGATGAACGCCATCGCATCAAGAATTTGACAGGTCACACAAGTAACAGTTGTTTATTGGAAGGCATGTAGAATGCGATAGCGTTGAAGTCATTATGCGTGGCTCGGGATATCCTGCTTCGTTATTCCGCCATGGCATGTTTGCGAGTCCACTCCCGCGCAATCTCCCGGTACCGGTTATTGTCGTTGTTGTATTGATCAGCGATTCTCCCCTCGATAGCATCATCAGGCATGGGCTCCGATAGCAGTTGACGAGCAAATTGCAAGACGGCTGAGATCTTTGAGCTAGGTTTCCACTCATCGGGTCTTAGCATACCCAAGCACATGCTTCCTTTTTCATCGTTTGTAATGTTGGGGTGGTAAATTCTTGTTGCGAAAGAGACGGTGGGGGGCTTGAAAGGATATCCGGTTGGTAGAGAGAGTTTGACTAGGAATCGTCCTTTCTACGGAGACAAAAGCATTAGCAAGGTAATTCGAAAAATCGAAACGAGAGTATGCGTCTTATTGGAGCCGTTTTCCTGCCTTGGGGAGCCCCTTCCTGTACCACCAGGTAGGCAGGGACACGCTTAGGGAAGGTAGAACAAGACGTGACTGCGCATGAGAGAGCGTTTCCTTACTTGGTATGGTGACCCTTCAGGGCCGTCCATGTACACCTTCCACTCATATAGGTCGGCTTCGTCAGCCAATTCGACACTGATGCCTTCTGGGGGTGACTCTGTGAGCTCAGCCAGTTCCTGTGTGGAAAATAAACGTTAATGGACATGACACAATAAGAAAAAGAAAAAAGACAGATGTGTAGTTCCAGGCAAATTTACCTTGGCAATGCGCTTCTGGCTCATATCGTCGAGATGATGATATCGTGGCGGGGCGCGTGATGGCTGCGGGGTGTTTTAAGAAGCAATGAGGCGCTTTTTGGAGACGTCAGGGTATTAGGACCTGGTTTCAAGGAGGCAATAGGCAAGGGAATGGTAGAGACAATATCAGGAATTCCGAGTGGTGAGTCACTGGGGCTAAGCGTGATCTTTCCGCGCAGTAAAGCTCGGAGCTCGAGAAGTTCGGACTTGGTGGGGTACCCAAAGACGTCAGTATATTCGGCCCGCAAGGTCAACTACCAGAACTCGATGGATTATGCCGCCAGCGCATTTGAAATTTGCGCATTCTATTTATAGCAAAATATGATCTGCTGATATCTACGATAATTTTTTTGAGGATAACCTGGCAATTTCCTTTATTTGGCCAGTTATGCTAATGTACCTGATGGTCGACTCAATAACGATTATTCCCGCTGCAGCATGACCATCAATCCCATACAACCCAATAGAACGGTCTTCATCCAGGGGTGTTCCGATAACATAATTGTGACATATCCAACCATCGGGATATAGCCCCTCACACTTCCAACGATGTCCTCTGAAGAATATATTAGCTTTGACTCATGGAATCAGTCGAACGAAGAGCCCCTCGTCACGACTTGAAAAGCATGACATGTTTTATCAATAGGAGATGATAGCATACCGTCGCGGTTCAGGTGATCCTGGCCCTTTGCATACTAATGTAGCCTTGATTTTAGCTTTTGGTGATAAGTTGAGGAAGGGTGGAAAGGGACTAACCAGTTCAGTGTCATCGGCCAAGTTGTTATCGCCCTGAGTAAGGAAAGCAAAGTCAGTAGCCGTCATGAAATATAACATAATTCGACAATGCAACGTACCTTGGTCAAAAGCATATGAGAGCCCGGTGTCGAGTCACTTGTCAATCAATCAGTATCCAACTCAAAACAGACAAAGTCTTCTTCAAGTTCTTCACGACAGTCAACCTACACTGTGATTTCCTTCACTTTGTTCCCCTTGGGCTCCAATTCCGGAAAGGTTCGAGAGACACGGTGGACGATGCTATACCTATCGTTAGCGGAAACCCGGACCAAAAGATAAGATAAAGTAGGTTGTGGGAATTCGTACGGGATGTCCTTTCCTCTCACGTTATACCTAGGCAATTCCCAGTCAGTAAGGCTGATTCTCATCCGTTGAGGCAGGGAAGTACGAACACAACGACCTCTCCAACCTCCGTTCGAGGACTTCTATTCCACAAAAACAGCAGGTCGCCACGCTGGAAAGCGGGCTCCATGCTGCCACTCAAAACCACAACAATTGGGCTAGATGAGGCACTGAATACCGATAGTCCCTTCCATAGCATGAAGGCTGTGGATAAGACCTGCAGACCCTTGTTAATCCACCATCCAGGCCAGAGAACAACGGAGATATCATACAAGGGCAAAGTTTAGCACCTGCGCCATCGTCTGGCGAACGTTGGTGGCGCCGGAGGTGAGCGATGATAGCATAGTGGGCGATTGGCGCGTAAGGCTAGCTAGGAAAGGGAGTTCGGAGACGGTTGACAAAAGGATATCGGCGACTGTTCAAATCCACCAAAGAAGCTTCGGTCAATAGTGCGTATTAAAAGGACTCGAAAAAAAGACAGAAGCCTACCTGTGGCGCCCAGTCGTGCTGAGTGGTTTGTTATGCGGAGCTGATCACCGCGAATGCGGAGAGGTGGCCTCCTCCCGCATCACAACAGCTGCCTTGTCGCCTGAAACACCGCCAAGCCCGTCAAGCTGTTACAATGTTCTAAGCTTCCTGGATAACAACACACTTGGAGCATGAGAAGAGACCTAGAAATGAAGTCAAATTTGAAATTCCTGGAAGACCATACGTCGATATTTCTTGATACTCAATTAATATAACTCAGACACGCTGACGTCCTTTCACTACTCAGCTCCACGGGCTCCGCGCGTTGCTGCATTTCTCCACCGGGCAGCCCAGGAGGGTTTTCAGCCGATAGCTCCGGAGGTTCTGGTGATGGTACGATGACATGGATGGATCGTGTTGAGCAGAGGCGCAGAACTGAGTCCAGTACGTTACGCTGCCCGTAGATTGGTTATACCAATTTCTAATAGTAATGTCGTAGACTTCGACATACTGTAGTTCCATGAGTTTTGAGTCACCAATTAGCATTTATGTGTTTGATGAACGAGCCTAATGATCCACCGAGCCAGCGCAGCGTTGATCCCATCCTGGACTGAATTTACTCAGTACCGCATGAAGAAGTTTTAGAAGTTGATGCCAATTTGAAAATCTGCAAGCGGCGATGTGCATGATGTGCAGGGTGGATGTTTGTAGTCGTAAGTGGGCCCAACCCCATGGATTTGAGTATCGACAAATCTATTCACAGGTACCCATGAAGTTAACGCGAAATTAGTATGCAAAGCGACTAGCACGACGATTGACTGATTCCATGGCTACATTACGTCCTAGAAAGCTTGACCTGGTGGGAAATAATCAGCAATGGCCAAGCATGGTATTTTGACGTACCGGATGTGATACTTGTTTTATAGCAACTCAGACTTGAAGAGGGAAGGGACTATCGTGACGATGCGAATTGCGAATACCCTAACGAACAAAATCGACTTCAGCTACCCGGAGCTGAGAAATTTGTACAACAGATGTAATACCATTGGTAGGATCAAATCCCTTGTTCATTCTTTGATTTTCAGTAGCTTTCAATTACTTTACAGCTTTTAGAAAGCCGTGCGCGACAGTGGATGTGCCTCGCGTCACAACTACTGTAGCGGCATGTGGGTGAAGAAGCTTGTCCTGGATTCTTGAAGATGGTATATACTAGTCGAGTGTGACATCACATCTTACGGACCAGAATTCTTATCGCTGACCTTGGAAGTGCAGAATATTCATCATGCTCCTGATCGACTGGGAAAGTCCCCTTCGTTTCGCAAGAATGTGGATAGCCTTAACCTTGAACCACCCTCCATCCCTTGAAGACGGGTGTCACCTGTACGCGCTTGATGACCTTAGGACGAGTTCCTCGCAAAATGAATTTTCAAAAGATGCGGCGCTTTTTGAATGCCATGAGGGATTAAGGGACTTTCCCCTGTTATTTGGAATCATGGTCTTCCATTCCTAGCAATGATGCATGATCTCTGCATCAATGGGATCCCCACAGTCCCGGAAAATTACAGATCCAACAGTGGGCCCTAGAACACTGCAGATCTCAAGGGGAACGTCCATTCCTCGGAATGAAAGATGCTGCTTCCCCCTGTGTGCTACGTACCAAGCAATCAACCTCGATGCACATGTCAAAGTCCCCGTGAAATGACATATTTCCAATCTTTGCTTCCATATAGTCACCCCCCTCCTCACCAGATGAGAGGATTTTCTATTAGGGTTCAACATGACGTCGACTTTGGTTGACATCACGGACGAGCCTAAGTTCTCGCTCCGCAAGCAACTACGAGAAGAACGCCTTGAGCTTACATTAGATGGAAGCTTTGTACGATGGATGCGAAACAACCCTCAATACCCACGAAATTGGTCTACGACTCGGAAAATCTATGACACTGGGCTTGTCTGCATATTGGATCTTTTTGTGTGCGTACCTTGTCTTGATAACAACGAAACTATCTAATATGTCTTTACATAGAACTGCCAGCAGCACTGCAGGCGTAAGTTCCAGGCATAGCCAACCCTTCTCTTCCCTTCGAAACCCAAGGATCCTGAAACGGTATATAGGCGGGCGCTGCAGCAAAGGCAAAGGATGAATACCACCTGGATTCAACCGTTGCAATATTCTGTTTCGTTACACTGTATGTTTACTGCCACTGAAAGTTGGCAGCCCTCTAACAAGCTCCAGTTTTCTTCTTGGCCAGTCTTTAGGCAATGTTGTTCTTCCTCCATGGTCCGAGTCTTTTGGTCGCAAAAGAATTTACATAATAAGTAGTGGCATTAGCTGCATATGTTCTGTCACCATTGGCTTTTTGCATTCTCTACCGGGTGCAATTATTATGCGCATTCTTGCTGGGATATTTTCAGCTGTACCTGCCACCGTTGTTGGTGGGACCATTGAGGATCTCTTCGACACAAGAGCCCGCATCTGGGTCGTTTTTTTCTGGACCATCGCCTCAAATATTGGCTTAATCATAGGTCCGATTATGAGTGCATTCATTATTGAAGCCCTTGACTGGTAAGTCATTGAGAGCTCGAAATCTTATCGCCTGTCCTAACAAAAGCATTAGGCGATGGGTGTTTTATGTCTACGCCATTATCCTTGCCGGTATTACGGGTCTTTTATGCTTCATCAGAGAATCACGATCATCCTGCGTTTTGTCCTGCGAGATAAACCGCTTGCGCCAGGTTATTCCAAATATACCACCACCGCTTAATCACGACCATTCTCCCGATATGAGGACTTTCGTCACAGAAGCTCTCTTCAGGCCTGTTCAGCTGTTTTTCCGAGAGCCCATCATTTTTGCTATTTCCATGATGATCTCAGTCGCTATGTCTCTTATCTACATTTTCACCGAAGCTCTACAGCCAATATATGAGTCCATGGGATTTACTGCTTCTCAAGCCTCGTTGATCTTCATGGCTATTGGCCTTGGTACATGTGTCAGCACCCTCACCAGGATTCTGGATTGCTACATCTACAACAGCCGACGAAGCCGAAACCTGCCTATAAAGCCTGAGCACAAACTCGCGGGATTAGCAATTGGTGTACCATTTTTGGCAATCGGTTTATGGTGGTTTGGGTGGACGATCCCGCCCAAAGTTGAGGGGCCAAATGTACCCTGGATTGTCCCAACCCTTTCTTTAGTCCTGGTCGGGTATGCCCTGACAGAGTTAGATACCGTCTTGTACGCGTACATATCGGATAGCTATCTGAGTTACTCGGCAAGTGCTACCGCTGCAGTCGCGTTTATGAGAGGATTGCTATCTGCAACCTTCCCGCTGTTCACAAAACAGATGTTCAGCAAACTGGGAGCCAATATCGCTATGTCCATATTGGCGACCGTAGCAACGATCTTTTGCATAGTTCCACCTTTGTTTTTGTGCTATGGTGAGGAGATACGGCGGCGGAGTCACTTTGCAAAGTACAGTTGGGAGATTCAAGACGAGATGGGGAAAGATGAAGATGATATTTAAACCAGCGTATATAGTGAGTGCGAAAGGAAGAATGTATGAGCTAATTGATGATAAAAGCGCAGGAGCCCGCAAACTTGGAGCAAAGAGGCAAAGGTACATCGGCAGCAGGTGTATATAACGTATACAAGCAACGTTTCACGAATATTTTCATAAGATTCTAAGCTGGCTGGGTAACATCACTTTGGCCAGCCTTTTGCTGTCCTACCTCCGTCTGCCAATATTTATGCTGCTTTCCGCGTCTCTTGATAAGCCCGTAAACATCGAATGGATCGATGAAAGTCTGGATGAAATGACGAGGATCGTCATAACCTGGGCCTTCAATCTCCGTAACTCCGTCCTCGGCTAGATAGATGTTATTGGAACGTGGGAGCTTTTGCATCGGGTGAAATACGTTGAGCAGAGTGGTATTGCTGTACATGAATACAGTCTCAAAGAACCAGAAGAACCACTCTTGCTTCAGGACAGGGCTGATATGCTGAATGTCGGTGTAGTTGTTCAAACTTGCTGCGCTAAAGTACTCGACTGTGCGATAGATTGTTCGAATCGTAATAAGCGTGCAACTGATGTACAAAACAATCAGGCAACGTTTAACCTTGTGATTCAGTATCCCGGCTCGTTTGCAGTTGAAATGGAATCGAGAAGCTAGGGTGAGAAATGCTGCCATCAAGGCCAGTTGCAAGATCAGAGCTGCCTTGAGTAATGCCTTTCCAACATCCTGCTGGCTAGGTGTAGAGTTGGCTTTCGCAAGTTGCACTGCACCGTTGGCGGTGATGGCTTCGATCACAATGCCAAGCGCGATGAAAGTTGAAAACACACGCCCGGGATGCATGGGTGAGTGGTGTGGAATATAATAGAGAATTCGACCCAGAATGAAATAATTTGCACCTTCATATACAGGTCTAGAGCACCAGGTTAGTGGGGATGCCTTTCATGCGAAGGTTATGAGGAAGGCGTACGGTCCAGCGAGAAGTAAGACACTACTCGCGATATAGAGATCAAGATTGCCCCATTTTCCAAATGACGCGACTGCTCGAGTGATAAATCCGCCAGTGAAAAGGAGTGCTGACCACGGTAAGAGACCTGTCACTTTCCAGGACTTGTATCTCCTTCACAAGAACATTGATTAGCTGGGCACAATACTGCTGGGGCAAGTGAATCACACATGGTTTGGTAGAAATGGATGGCCCCAGAAAGCGCAAAAAGAATGGCAAATGCAATGGGGGCACCTTTATTCGGTGCATAGAACCAAAGGCTCCCATCCTCTGTATGGGTTAGTCATATCATAATGGATAGAATGGATGAGGGGCTTACGATATGATCGTTGTTCGAGCATGACGAGGAGTGGGATTTTCTGTCAAGGTCACAGCAATGAGTAGTATGATGTTTTAAAGTCTTTGTCGTATCGACGAATGAGTGGATAATGCTGCGCAATAGGTAGGAACAGTGCTTTGCAAACCTCTACTGTAGTGCCGAAAACATGTAGGCCGGGGGTCCGGAGTCTTCAAAAACCAAGGCCACGGTAAATATATAATATACCATCGCTGTAAAAACATCACTCTGCATTGAGAGAAGCGAAAACGAGCTGCCCGATTGGGTCACGACCCACGAAACCTTATCGAGCCATGGGACGAATCATTGACCGCATGTCTAACCTCCGAACACGAGTTTCAGACGTGCAAGCGCATGACAAGGCGCAGGGTTTGTTTGCCCGGTACGAGATCATTTTGGGTCTGAGCGTTGATCTGTTGATGCCAGGAAAGTGCTTATGACCGAGTTCCCCAGGACAAAGTGGTGTCCTGCCAAAACGTGCATATTTGAGTACGAGCTTGCCGAAACAGGTAACCCTCGTACTCGGGAAGTGGGGACTTGAGGCGGAGCCTCACTTTTCGGAGCTTAGCGCGCACGATGAGATGGGGCTAGGCACCGAGAAGATACTTCCAAAATTTGTTTCCATGGTCGATTTGATCCACATGTAGTAAGCTCAGATATCGTAAAAGTTACTGATAGATTTGATGCATGCGCCCATTGCCTGGTAGGAAATGTATGACTATGTTGTCGAGAGCACGTGACTTGTATAGTTGCCGTGACAACGCATGGTACATCCACATTGGGCAAGCGCGATGCGGATCTGTGGACAACGAACTTGTTCTCGACTCTTTTTGGCCTTCGGACCTCCACAACTCAACGCTCTGGAGCTTCACGTCCAGGAAATACGCCCAAATGCCGTCAAAACAGCCCCAAATGTCGTTGTTCCAGGTCTACCTTCGTTTACGCCCTCCAATGACCGAAAGACAAGATGAATCTGATCGCTTCCTTGCTGTTGAGCCTCCCGAGGCACAAAATGACGGCGAAATTGTTGCGCCAGTTCCAACGCACATCACATTACAACCTCCAAACGATACACGAAAGCGCGCAATTGAAAAATTTGGGTTCACGAAGGTTTTTGAGGAGAGCGCCACCCAGCTGGATATATTTCATGATACTGGGATGGAGTCATTAGTGAGAGGCGTGCTGAAAGAAGGTCGCGATGGATTGGTGGCAACCTTGGGAGTGACAGGAAGTGGAAAGGTCCGAATTTGAGCTTATGACATGGCCGACTGGACGCTAACAGCTGGAACTCCAGAGCCATACTATTTTAGGATCCAAATCGCAACGAGGAATCACTCAAATGGCTTTGGATGTTATTTACCGATCGTTACAACCAACCCTCAAGACCGACGACGGTAGCATCACTCCCATGATGCTTGCATCACTTGCCGGCTCAGATACTTCGGAAGCACAAATATTTTCTGCACAGGCGTTCCTGGAAGCCGTATACGGCGAACCCACCGGAGGCCGCAACTCGAGGCAACAGACTCCCATGAGCCCTTCTCGTGCACAAACCCCACAGACGGTACGGAAATATGATACCCTGAGTCCCCAAGGATCGCCGATCAAGCGTCCACTTACCCCCAGATCTGGCCTCCCAATGCCATGTACCAACCCTGGAAGCCCCCGAAAGGTGGAATCAACTCCAATGTCCACTCATTATCGCACGAATTGGCCTATCCTAAAGCCGTCAGCGATTGAGAATACTGGATGGATGGATCAAGGACCTTTTAGTCCCCTTCCTTACACCCGTTACAACTTGCATGAAGCCCGTTTAGCTAAATCTCGCCTTATTGTTTTCCAGGAGCCGACACCTGCACTTGTTTTCCCCCGCCGCCAACCTCGTGAACGACCTATCGCACTCCCCAGGCTCCCCGATGTCAGTCATTTGGCCGTTGACTTGAATTCGAATGCCGACTACGTGGTACTGGTTTCGATGTACGAAGTTTACAACGACCGGATTTTCGATCTTTTGTCGCCTGCTATCAACCCAGGACAGGGAAACACAATGTCTCGTGGGAATATCCAGAAGGACCGCCGTCGCCCACTACTATTCAAATCTACCGAAGGATCGCCCGATCGAAAGATCGTTGCGGGTCTCCGTAAAATTGCCTGCAGCAGCTACGAAGAAGCCCTGGCAATTTTGGATGTTGGTTTGACCGAACGCAAAGTGACAGGCACTGGAGCCAATAGTGTTAGCTCTCGAAGTCATGGCTTCTTCTGTCTCGAGGTGAAGAAATTAACTCACAACAAACGATATGGGGAGGCTACCTGGGTAGGAAATACTTTGACAGTTGTGGACTTGGCTGGTAAGTCATGCTCTCGGTAGTGCCCAGGATGTATATTCTAATGAATTCAGGGTCCGAACGTGCAAGAACCGCGAAGACAGCTGGTGCTACCCTTGCGGAAGCTGGCAAAATCAACGAAAGTTTGATGTACCTTGGCCAATGTCTACAAATGCAGAGTAATTTGCAAGACGGCGTTAAGACTGCCCTTGTTCCTTATCGCCAGTGCAAGCTCACTGAACTCTTATTTTCCAATTCTTTCCCAACCACTACCCAGATGTCTCGTGGCCACCACCCACAAAAGGCGATCATGGTTGTCACTGCCGACCCACTAGGCGACTTCAACGCAACTTCCCAAATCCTGCGTTATTCTGCACTGGCTCGTGAAGTCACCGTGCCCCGGGTCCCTTCGGTAACAGAATCAATTGTCTCTGTTGCTTCTCTCCGCGAGCGTTCTATCAGTGGACGCACATCACCCAATGATGTACCCTCACAAGAACTGGAAAGGGCTCTGGCGGAAATACAACGGCTGACAAAAGATTGCCATGGTCTTGCCGTGCGTTTGGCCGAGGAGGAAATTGCTCGCTCCGAAACGGAAATCAGACTGCGGGCTGCCGAAGAAAGATGCATCGATATTGAACAAGAGATTCGTGAGGAATGCTGGGCTGAGATGGATGAAACTATGGAGGCAGAGCGAAGACGTTGGCAAAGCGCCTGGGACGAACAAACTGGCCGAAATGATGATCATGTTGATCGAAAGATTGAGCTGGTTTCACGTGGATTCAACATTTTCGAAGACCCTGAGCCATCATCAAATGCCAGAGTTGAGGAATTGGAAGACGAAAATGAGCAGCTTCGTCGTCGTATCGCTACTCTTGAGCGTGAAATGCATTCTCATTCTCCCACCCGAAAGCCCCGGACGAAGAACGCAACTCCTAGCCATGCTTCCAATATGCTAAGCCGAGAAAGTGATATTGAAAATGCTTTAAAACGCATGAATCAGCTTAATCTTACTGACACCATGTTCTCTCCCGCCACTCCAAGCTCTTCACCAGGCAAGAAGCAGAGGAAGCTAGGGACGCGGAAGCTTGACCTGGGCTCAGAATTTGATATCTAGGCTATTGGGCTCGATTTATCACGACCGCAATGAATTTTTGTATTTTTCACGGAACTGGATCGGTTGATACACCCTTGGGCGAGGATACCACGGCTTAGGCGTTCTGGATGTTGATTTGTTGTGTCGAGGCTTCATATGAGATTCTTATTTTCTTGATCCCATGTTTTACTGTACTTGAATATACCTTTATTTTCAATTCTAGATTTGAGCTTTCGCAAATGTCCATCTTGTACTTCAGATTCATCGTGAACTTCAACATGTTGTACAAGTCGCAAACCGTACGATAGCCGTAATAAGTCGGGATCTTGCTGAGCGTCTACAATGCATGGAGTTTTGTGATTGCACTGTCCGCATTCAAGATATTATACACGCGTAAGAGCACCACCTGCTTGGTATCAATCCATAACCCAATCCTTGGGCTTCCTCGACGCCAGCCCGTGTCTTGAGAAAAATAAAATCAACTCCATATCCGAAAAGAGAAATATATCCCATAGTATGCAAGAAAACCACCTTAAGCGGGTGTGGTATCCATGGCTTCGGGCTGTTCGGTATCCTCAATGGGGGTTGGGGCACCAGACTCTTTGCCATCAGTAGCGTTGACAGTCTCGTCGTCCCCATTATCCCCGTCATCGTTCTGATCTTCTTCATCATAGAGTTTGCTCTCTTCAATATTTGTGTCTTCGCCATCCTCCTGTATCTCGTCATCGCCAACGTCGTCAATATCTTGATTTTCCTCTCCGCCAGTCTCAGTGGCTCCGGCATCGCCATCAACTTCGCCGTCATTGTCGTTGTCATTGGCACCGTCGTCTTCTTCGTCATCCCCTTCTTCAGCACCTTCTTCACCACTGCCAGCATCATATTCAGTCTCGGCATCACCCGATTCGCCTTTTGGTAGATTAGGAAAAAGCATAGCCTTCCGCAGTGAAGAAGTGCTTTCAAGCTTTGATTCGTCCATATCGCTCATTTCAGTCTCATCGCCAGGGTGTTCGGTCTTGCCTTCTCCCGCGAGAGCCGTGTGCTTGCCTGTGCCTTGTGGAGTAGCGGCTGGTCCAGATGTCGTTGCCGAATTAGAGCCACGTCTGACCGGAGTTGATTGTTCATTGTCCGCAGTGACCGCCTTGCTGGCTGCCGTACGAGGAGCCAGCTTCAATGTCACAATTGTATCCGCCCGCTTCTGGATATCTCGACGGGCAATACCCTTAGTACGACCACGAGGAGCTGGAGTGTCCGAAGCTGGGAGAGAAGCTGGGGGAATGCTAGCATCGGCAGCGCCCTCGCCTGCCATGAGGAGATGATCAACTTTCATCTTTTCTTTGTTTTCCTCATTGACCTGCTCAATAAGGAGAGGTATGTTGAGCTCATACACGCGAGAGTATAGATCTGCAATAAGATCCTCAAACATGGTCACCTTCATAAAATTGTTATTGAGTTTCTTCAACTCCAATGCGTCTCGAATAAGCTCTAGAAGAGGCTGACTTTCAGGTGAAAGTTCGGCCAAGCCCTCTAGGCGTGCCGTCTTGGTAGAGAATTCCTCCCATCCGATGGGTTTGAAAATGCTCTCTTCGTGGCCCTCGTTTATTTGAGCAGCTCTCCGAATCATCTTTGCGTAAGTGAGACAGATATCTTCCCACAGCTTTGTGTGATTGATGAAATCACCCTGTTTCTTTCTGACTCGGCGTAGCAATTGGTCTAAGCTGGCACGATCATCTAATTGATCAAGCAAGCTGACGAAGAAATAAACGTAGCGCGTGGTGTAGACAAAGTGTCTACCAGGTCGTTCAAATTCTGGCCGCCATACTTGAATGGTCAGTGTTTTTGTGAAGATCTGCGACATCTCATGCTTGGCGGCGATAGCAGTCGTGGCGTTCTTGTCGTCATCATAGATGATGTGTGCAGCCTTCTAAAGTTAGCGATGATGCGTGAGGAGTTGGGTATTTCACGTAATGCTGTACCTTGCTGCTCATTCGATGATGCCAGTTGGATTTGTCAGCGCTCTTGAATTTTTTGATTACCTCAAGGATGTATGGCTTCCATCCTTCCATATTCTCAGGTGACTCGACCTTGCGGGCCCAAGGAGTTGCACTCAGAGCTTTGATTCCCTCGGTAAGCTAGAACAATATGAGCTCAGGTTATGAATAACAAATATAGGCTTGTGTGCTCACAGTCAATTTTTCTTGAAGAACAAGTCTGTGAACGACCGACAAAAGCTTGAAGTGGGGTTCGAATATCGGATCAGCTCGCGAATCCCTGCGCTGCGGAAGAGCTGCAATAGCATCACGAAAGGCGTCCAGCACATCTTCCACTTCAACGCGTTTTGAAGTCGTCCGCAATGAGTCATCGCAATTAAACATCTTCCAGAGACATTTGCCAAGGAAGTAATGAGTCCTAGTCGATAGTTAGTAATTGCCATTTGCAACATATCAAATGATTGACAATATCACTAACATCCAACGCTTCGGTTTGTCAATGGTTGCTCTTCTGAGGAGATTGCTGGCAAAATTCCACACTGAATACCTGGATATTTCCTTGAAAGGCTGTGCCTTGTACATTTTCTGGCTTTCTTCACTGCTGAAATGCCGAGAGAAGTCCGTTAAGCTAAAAGCACCCATTGATAGAGGTTCACGTGAGGAAGAATAGAGACGGATTCCAAAGTCGGTGTATAGATCCGACAGTAAGCCTCGAGTATCGGTTGTGGGCTCAGCGGTTTGAATAGCCGTAGACACGGCCATGGCATAGCAATGAATAGCATATCTTTGCGTTGTCGCCAATTCACTGCGATTGTTGTTAATCTTGTCCGCGGCCCAGGTAATATCTTCCTCTAATTTTGCATCGTATGCTTGTGCCAGTCGATACCAGGTTTCCCATCTGCCTGTTCCATGGTCTAGATCTTGCCGGAAAAAGTTGATGGCATCATCCAGCTCCGAAGTTGATCCAGGACTCAAACGTTTATGGGCGCGGAACTTTGTGAGGGTGGCATGGCCGAGGAGGAAGTACCAGCCTTTGGCGGCGATTTTGGCATTTTCGCCAGGCACCGGAAGCATGGAAAGTTCTGTCACACCCTGAACTGCCCGACGAAGATGCGACGGGTTGATTGGGGCCTTGATGTATATGTTGAAGAGACGTCTGTTGAATGTCATTTGCGGTGACTGGGCGGGAAGTCTTGCAGGGCCAATTGCTTGCTGCATTTTCTCAATCGTAGTCTTCAGTTCAGACTTTGACAGGTCTTTCATGTTCATTTTCTGTGCTTGTCTCATCACGAAATCGATCATCATGGTTGCAGTATGACGATCTAATTTCTCAGGAGAGCATCCGTGATCAGCAGTCCCGTCAAAGGGCGAGAACTTGATGCCATGGAGATCATAAAGCACTTGGCAGATGTCGAATTCGTAATCCCCCTTGGTTTCAAGATCCAACAGCTCAGACTTGATGAGCTTCAGGAATCGTTTCTGGGAGTATCTACACATCGACCGAACCCCTAGGGCATTATGCACAGAGCGGAGGATGTGGATGCGATCTTCCAATGGTTCGGGGAAAGCATCTTTATTCTGGGAGATTGCTTCCAAGAAAATGGTGTACTGCAAGATCCAGCAGCGCACGTAGGTTTCCCTCATCCTTTCCTTGAAGCTCTCTAGGGATTTTGCCAGACCTCCGCGAAGATCACGCCCAGAAATCTGACCCACGCGAATCGAGTCTTCGTACAAAATGAGACTGTGAAGAAGTCGAGCCAATCGAGCAACAGCGGACATAGAAGATTGCAGATGTTCCATATCCAAACATTCAAAGGCCTTGTCAGCCTGCTGCAATACAAGCGGGATGGTCTTGCTCATAATTCCGTCGAGTGATTTGAGCCAGCGTAGTAAAGTGACTTGGCGGTGTCCACTTGATTCTTGCAAGTGCTTGATATCCTCAATCTCGGTCATTACAGTCTCAATACTACGCAGATGGCACGAGATCACCTTTGGAATGTAGTCAATAGCCTGGTATGTCTCCTGGAGCCTTCGCCAAAGAAACAATCGTAATGTAGCATCTCCTCGGTCAAGGAATGATGCCATTTCACTCAAATGTGATGGAGCCCCAGACATGCCATTTCCAGAATCTTCCAAGTACTCCACTGCCGAGGGCTCAAGAATTGGCTCGATGGCCTCAATAAGTGATACGGGATCCTCTCCATCTGCGTTGAACACCTTGGCGAAAAAATCCATGCACTTGAGTTTGAGAGCCTCCTGATCTATGGTGGCAATTGAGAGCTCCACCATGATTGAATTGTTCACAAGACTGACGATAGGGTCGCCTATGGAATGGAGAATTTGCTTGAGGTCTTGCAAACATAACAACACATGCTCACGATCAGCCTCGCCGGCGAGGTTAATGTGGAAAGTCGACGTCCACAAATGACGAAATGCAATGTTCTGGCGACACTCTTCGGACGGGCAGTAGTTAACAGAGTACTCCAGGGACGTTCGGGCTAACATGGCCCACCTAGCTAATCGATCACGCTGGGACAACTTTTGTTGTTGGCTAGGCTCCGAACTGAGATTTTCAACAGAGGCAAATATGTCCAAGTGAAGCTCATAAATAGACTGGATCATCTCCAGTTCAGAAAAGTGCTTTGGTTCATAGTCGAATGGGGATCCAGCATGACACCCAAGGATGTGTTTTTCAACATTGGCGACAGCTTCAGACAGCCTGGTGAAGATGAATTCGTCTTCTCGAAGCAAAATGTCCACAACGGTGGCTTTTAACCCTTCTGGCCATAAGAAAGAGGTGTATGCAGACTTCATGGGTGCAAACTCCGAGAGATCATCGCCAAATCGCGGCATGAGAAGGCACTTCAACCATTCGAAAGAGGTGTCGTGTGGATGCAGACAATTTCTATTGATGGTGTCTGAAAAGGCATAAAGCTCCTCTCCTGAAGGCAGCTCCTCTTGAATTAGTGACTTTCGAGATGTTTTTCTGGAATGCTCGAGAAAGACAGCCAGTCCAGACTTGCTAGAGCCAGAAATGTTCTTCAAGGAAGGGGAATCGTCTTTCTGTTGCATCAGCCGGGACTTTTCGTCATTCCATTGCTTCACTATGCCACGCAAGTCCTGGAACAGCCTGGTCTCTGCGTCTTCCGGAACGTCGTCTGTTTCATTGGCATTGGCTAGTTTTCCCTTGAGGTCTTTAATCGTTCCAAGAGCTGCAATGCCTGCTCTTGAGAACAGAGACCCAACAGTATTAAACATCCACTCATCAGCATTGACAAAGATTTCAAGACGGTCTTCATAGAACTTGTCTTGGTCGAATGGAACCTCGTCCAATGGTACCAATCCATCTGCATTGGATTCACGAGCTCTCGTACGCCGACTTTTCATTCTGCCTCCTTCTGATGGTTCTTCGTTTGCTGCCGAAGCTGATGATCTTTTTCGTGCACCAGTTGGTGATTTGGATTCGAATTCCTCTCGGTTCGCATCGCCTTCGCCCTGTATCTCAGTCTGGTGAACAGATTGACCTTCTAGAGACTCTATAAGCTGTTTTTCTGCACTTTGGTCTATTGAAAACTGTTCATCCGGGAGTTCTGCCTGCTCTTGAGGGTCCTCGGCGGGGTGGTCAGGTTCGGTGGGTTTTTCAAGTTCGGCGGGTTGTTCAGACTCGGCGGATTGTTCATTTCCTTCAACCATTTCAACATCTTCGTTCGCTGCTGTGGTTTGCTCGTTCCGATCTTCAGCGTCGTTTTCGGGGTCCTCCATTTTTACCAATGCAGAGTCGGCTTTCTCAGATTCCCTACGCGGCAGGGTAATCTGAAAGGACCAACTAGGAGCAGCACCTGCCGGGGCTTCCTCTTCATCATCTATGGCCTGAAGAATCGCTTTGCCCACTGACTCCCAAGTTGCATTAGGTGGTGTGAGCTCTCGTCGAGAGGTGGACAAAGCGAGAGGACCCTTGGATGAACTCAATTGATCTAGACCAGTCGGCAGATTTGGCAGGTAAGGATAAGGATCTTCATGCTGCTTGAGGTATTTGATGAGAGCCTTCTTCGGTTTCTTGATAGGAACTTGGGAGGCCGACAGCCCATCAAAGAGGGATGTAAGAGTGGCACGTAGACGCTCTTCCGAAAATATTTCCTCCAGTCCAAGCTGTTCCGACCGTATCTCAAGGCGGTTGTCGTCGTCTGCAAGTACACTCTCCAGGCAAAACCGATTTAAGCGATAGCTCTCCAGAGCACTGCTGAGCCTGGCGCTTTGTCTCCACAAGTTGAGATCCGTATCGTCTCGCTCTAGAGCATCTGCAAATGACCCCAAAGCTTTCCTCGATGCCTCCGTTGTTTTTATTGCTGTATTTTCCACCGTTTCGGAGTTTTGTGGGGCGGTTCGAAGGTATTCATGTAGCGAGTCAAGGACGTATTTTCCGTAGTTTTTGTAGGACAGGTAGAGGGTCTGAAAGAGGCTTGACGTGGAATCGTTGACATTGAACTCGGCGATAGTATCAGGGCTTTCGTCAATGACAGCTGCAGCTTGCGTATCCAAGTCTGCTGCTCGCTTGAAATCCGAAATCGATTCCGGGTATTTAAAGATATCCGACTTTAGTAAGGAGTCGTAGGCTTCAGCAGCTTGGGCGTAAAATTCCGGGCCTTGTGAATGAAGTTTGAGGGCGTTTTGGTATAGCTTCAAGGCTTCTTCGATTTGAAGCTCCTTAGTATCGTCAACCTCATCTTCAATGCCATCGTCCGGCTCCACGTTCAACGCGACCCAGCTCGCCATGATTCGAGCTCCCGCGCAGGGCTAATAAGGACAGAGAAATGAGAGACTAAACAGCTGAAAAGGCATCGCCAGCCTTTGGTCTCAACCCTTCAAAGTCAAAACTAGACAAGAGAGAGATGATTTGCTCTAAGGGAAACCACGACGCCAAACACGGGTTCCGCGCGTGGCTACCCATATGAGGCATGGGTGCTCTCCGCCTTTGTTGCCTGATAGCCTGAAGCTCTTCCGTACTGTTTAGCTGATCATCCCCTCACTCATCCTTTGTGACTTTTGGTTTGTTTTTTAACGGATAACACCCTATTCCTGAGTTTTTCTGAGTTGATTCCCCCATACACCATTTCCTGATTCTGCTGCGCATTGAGTGCAGGCGCCATGGTTGCGCCCGCTGTCCCTGAGTATGTTCCTGATCCCCCGGTTTACGTGTTCCCCGGCACTGCATGCGCATCGCCATTGTTCCCGATCGGCAGGGGGTGAACACTGCGCAAGTGGCTGATAATGTGACTGACACGGTGCGACTAATCTAGGATTCATGAGGAGGAGGAAATATATGTTGCTGTCGATGCGCGCTCCGAGTCTTTGCAGAGCTTGCGGGAATTGGGTCCCCCGGACCTGGTATACCTAGTGAAGCAGCCCAAGGCCAATTCAACCCGTCAGGTAGGTCCAAACATACTCCTATAATTGGTGGCTCAATTCACTAACAATTGATTGCTTTGGCCCCATACAGACTGGCGTATACCACCATGTAACCGGAATCGACGCTTCCTCGTCCGCTAGTCTTGCCGCCTATGTTAATACCCTTACATTCTCCCCACTCGATAAGACACACAAAGTAGTATCAGGAATTTACTGGTAAGGATAAGCGATTTGCGCAATTTGCAAATCTCATTGCTAACGTCCACCCAGCTGTTACAATGCATTCTCCCACCTGGACATGCGAGTTGAAGTCAAGATTCCTGGAAGCTTGGAGGCCTACTGCATTGATGAGCGTGGGGATAAGCGCGTGGCTACGGAGGCTCTCTGGCTAGAGACTTTCCTCTGCGCCGTGCTGAGAGCTTATCTGTACGCCGACGATGGAAGCGGAGATCAAATCAAGAAGATTGTCGGAGTCCGTCGCTTCAACCCGATCACTAATACAGAGATGGAACACAAGTTCCTGGATGCTGCTGAGAAGCTGTTCTTCCTTGGTATGTATCATACTTCAGACTGATAGTTTCGCTTGCTCACAATGCGATAGGACGGCAACTCAGCTCCGATCCCGAAACCCAAGTCCCAAACACCGTGAGCAACCACCTCACTTCGGGTATTCTCAAATACATCCACACAACGGGCCGCTACACATCTGGTATCAATCTGTTTGAGAAGCTACGCACAAGGGACGTAGAGGTCTCGTCCCTCCTGGCTCGAGTACAGTTGATGGCCGACGAGGAAGTCCAAGCAGTCCGCCTTATGTACGATGCTTTACAAGACGTACCGATGGACTATGCGCTGCTTGATTGCCAGGCATCATTCTGTCAGACTAAGGGCGAGGGTGAAATGGCCTTGGAGTGTGCTAAGCGGGCAGTGACTGCTGCCCCCAGCGAGTTCAGCACTTGGGCTCGACTGGCGGAGGTTTACGTTGGTCTGGAACAATGGGATCTGGCACTGCTAACCCTCAACTCTTGCCCCATGTTCACCTACCAAGATAAGGATACTCCGCGCATGCCACAGCCATCTCGTATTATGCTTCCGATCCTTTCGGAGAGCATTCTTGACGAGATTGACGAAGGTCAGCCCAAGCAAGGAGATCCTCACGATTACATCCACCCATCTCTCCGAAAACTGCACGCTGCTGGTTACCAAGGAACATTTTTGAAGGCTTACAACATTTTGACGAAGATCGCTGCGGCGATTGGATGGGATCAGCTATTGAGAGCTCGAAGTGAGGTGTTTGTTATGGAAGAGGAATACCGCGTCGAGCGACAACATGTGCCTAAACCCGCGCACTCACTCGAAGTGGAGACTAACGGTGCAGCTGTTGGCAAGGATGACGAGGAAGAAGATTCAGCATCCGTCTCAGGCCCTGGCCCGGCAGAGTCTTCCATTGAGGCCACCACGAACGGCAATGGTGACGAAACCCAGGCCGAGGATACTATCGAGCGACCTGAACAGACAGTCGCTTCGGAGGTGGTCAAGTCTGGAAATGATGATGTAGGTTAAGCCTTGCACGCATGTTATCATTCGACTGATTACTGATTATGTTTTGTACAGCCGGACCCTTCGCACAACGCATACACACAGTTCCGCAACAAGCGTCTGTGCGAGCGGTGGTTGGACAACCTTTTCATGGTCTTGTATGAAGACCTCCGCATTTACACCATCTGGCGAACAGAGATGGCCCAGTTTCGCCAGCAAGCGATAGAGTACAAAAAGTCCGCTGCGGAGTGGGAAATTCTGGGCGAACTGGCCGAGCGCCTTCATCACTTTGATGAGGGTATTGAGGCGTATCAGAGCTGCCTGGCAACTCGCTTTTCACCCAAGGCTATGCGTGGTGTCTTGAAACTATATGAGAAGAGGAATGACACTCGCGGAATTTTGGGTGCACTCATTCGTCTGATCGCATGGCAATACCGCTGGTACTCTGAGGTATGTATCCTGCCCCCTTCCCTTTCAAAAACGGGATTCGGAGTACTAAAATTTTTCAGTTCTCTCCGGAACTGTTGTTCCTGATGCGCAAGCTGATTGAGGATGAGGGTGCTGTCAAGGTTCGCAGTATTGTTCAGGCTACCAACTTGCCTCAGCCAGTCCTGGATCTCACTCATCAGTATTGTCAGCTGTGTGCCACATTCCGCAGCAGTGGCAGCGACACTTGAAGACGACGCTGGTAATTACTTTGTTTGATGAGTGGGATCAAGGCCTTTCTGTAGCCATATGCCAATTTATCTGCTTTGTATTAAGATAAAAGAGCGCCTGGAGGAGAATGATGATCATTCATGAAACCTGTTTTTTTTCTTATTTGTTTTGTGTTTTTCTTCTGCCAATGAAATCGTCTCCATATAGCTTAGATCGCAGTATATAACCTTGGAAGATATTATTATTATTATTCTTTGTTCACTCTAGGAATTGCAATGAACTCATCTCACCTAGACGGCTATGAATCATGGTCAACAAAGATGGATTCAGATTTCAAGTTTGGATGTTCAAACATCAAAATGCGTTCGATCGGATAAGATCAGAAAGATGTATTGTCCCGCAACCTAAATTATGCTTCTTCTGTCCTTTTCAACTTAAATGTGGCAAGCGATAGATTTTCTCGCATTGTCTGATAATAGGTAACCCTAGGATAGATATTCGGATAAATATTTTCTTGCCCTAACTTGGGAAATATATTTGCCCTTTCTCTGGTACCTACCAACAGCAATCATTTAACCAATTCCTGGCCATTGAGAGGCCCCGGCTCAAACAGATAAATTTACTCCTACAAAAGGAACCCAGCATGACGGTAGTTAGACCTTGATAAACTGGACTAATAACCAGAATGAAGCTTAGAGATACAGCGAGCAGTCCATTATACAGCCATCTTATAAGGACCCGGGAGACGACAAGCCGTGGTCCCTGATAGTTTATTCCTCAACTTCATCAACCTCATCCAAACTCGCTTCCTTAGGAACAACATCGCCCTTGGCCTTAGCTGCAGCTGCAGCAGGCCCACTAGTCTTCGCCGTATCATCCGCCTCTTCTTTTTCCTCTTCATCTACCTCTTCTTCTCCTTCATCCTCATCCTCGCCTTCCTTGTCTTCCTCGTCTTCCTTATCACCATTGGCGACTTTCTCCTCGGCAGCGGGCTTAGTCTTTTGCTTCTTGGCGGCTGGAGGACCTGAGGCGCAAAGCGAAATAGTTAGCGATTGAGCGTCAACGACAACGTTAGCCACATTTTTGCAACTCGTACCTTCGTCTTTGCCTTCTTCCTCGTCTTCGTCCTCATCAGAGTAATCTTCTTCCTCCTCCTCTTCTTCTTCTCCGCCTTCTTCGTCGCCGACGTCACTTCCTACCTCCGAGTCTTCATACCTAATGCGCGCATGGGTTAGAAATCATTCTGTGGGTTGCCGGGGCTTCTGTCTCGGTAATAATAATGCTTGGGGGCCATTGCGATCAATGCGCGATCAATCGTAGGATTTTCTGGTTGCGGTGATATTTGGCGCAAAGTGATACTTGGATTGGATTGGTTGGATGGATGGATAGACGCGGAACACTTACTCCTCTTCCTCTTCGCTTTCGTCACTAGGAAGGGCCTGAAGCTCCTCCTCGGGGTCGTTCTTTCTCTTGCGAGTGGACATGGTGATATTATTAGAGGTATGGAAGAATCGGCTTTGAGATTGGGGCCGAGTGGGAAGTATATAGTTTTGGGAGAGGGTGGGAGAAAAAGGGAGGTAGGAGGAGGGAGTTTCAGCCTCGCTACCGGGGGGTCTTATAAGAGTATGGGAAGCGAGTGGCAGTTACCGGAGCTTGGGAAGGGGGGAAGAAGGAACCAAGGGAGAGGGGGTGCATAAGCTGAGGTGACGACATGGGATAGCTTACACTACGATTTTGTGGAGACGAGTGCGTGGTCGTGTGGGGAGGAGTGCGTGTGGGTAGAGGAGGCTGGACTCCTGATTTCTTGTTCTATTTACATTCCGCTTTCCCCCAAGTTGCTCAGACCCCCCTAGGGGTTGTAACTTGTGAGAAGGATCCTGTATCCTTGTTCCCTCCCAAAATAAACCGTCGCACGGTAGATTTTACCCCAACCTACTGTGCTAAAAAGTCAAAATTCGCCATGCTCGGATCTAACAAGTTCTCGTCGAGTCCAAACCCATACGTTCCGACCATGTCATAGATCAGGTCTGGCGGTGGAAATCCTTGCGCCATAGCGTTCGCGCCTCCGGGCACGTCGCGTCCGTCCACCAGACCGCCATTATTGGCGCTAACCTGCCATCCAGCCTCCCAGGTGTCGAAACGCTCTAGCATCTTACCCAATCCACGGGCAATATGTCGGGTCAAGTGTCGCTCACCGGCGGAGACACAATTCATCAGTTCAATCACCCGCTCAACCAGCTGACGCACCTGACGAGCGTTAATGCTGAGGTAGGCTGAGTTCCAGTTAATAGCGACCTTGAGCAGGAAAACTGCCGAGAAGGTGACCATGGTATGCGTGAAAATAGGAACGCCGACAATCGCATCTCGGATATCTGGCTCTTCGAGGACCATGTTTAGGCAAGCCATAGCCGAAGAAATAGCGATGTTAGCTGATTCTTTACGATCCATAGAAAATACGGGGGTATTGGTCGGTGATAGTGCGCGAAGGGACAGCGAATTAAGTTGGAACTTCGCGAAATGGTAGTGTAGGACCACACCCTTAGAAGGGTACGTGCGTACGTATGAGCTGTCAGCTATTGTGGGATTAGTCAAAGTTTCTGCAGTGACTGGATAGAGCAGAACTTACCAGACCGAGGCTGCCATAGCAGTCGCCATTGATCTACTGCCACATTGTATACCCGCAGCTGACCAAAGTCCTCCTCGGTAAGCGCTTGTTCTGTATCGCTGCCAAATGTTCGATACGCTTCCGTCAAAATCATGAACAAAGCAACTTGCGCCAAGAGTCGAATGTCGCCCGGCACTATCATTGGCATTTCAAGAAAGGCCTCGTAGTTCCGGATCGCAATATCCTCGTGGATCACGGGCGGCCGCCCGTAAGCGATACTAAAGTGATGATCGCATACATAAAGCAGGTACCACAGCTGTGCACGCTCATACTGTTCAGTATGTCCACGGGTCAGTCGCTGGTAACTTTGGTGCAGACCCATCTCCGTTGCAATCCGCACAGCATGTCCGGAGAGTTTCCAGCTCAGCTCTGACAGCCAAAAGGCACCCACACAGAGACCTCGGATATCGTCTAGCGTGTGTGCTCTGGTGAGAGCCATATTTGACACTAAAGAAACATACTCATTATAGCATCGGTTCAAAGTGGCGGTGCGATTGGGAATATGCAGTGCTGCCACGGTTAGAACAGCAGCGGAAAGAAGAGTTGACGCGCGACGGACAGATGTCAGATCACGATGCACCAAAATGATTCCGCCCCAAAGTAACTGGTTCATAGTGCGACTGAAATATGCGAAGAGCTCCTCTGCCTCGTGAATAGATATAAGGCCCCGTGTAATGAAGTCTTCCTCTAGTAATGTTTTCTTGGGTGCCTCGATGTGAACATTGCGTAGATTGCGCAGCTTCGTGACTTCGTATAGACTGCGCATGGGCGCTGGAACCAATTCTGGATCTTGCAAATCTTGCTCCGGAGAGGGCTCTCGGGTAACATCCATCACCACTCCCGGTCCTTCATGGTGGCTAGGATGCGGTTGCATTGTGTCAATGGATGGTCGGTGTGCATGGTTCGAGGCAGCGGGACTGGAATTATTTTGAACATCCCCTGCTGCATAAGACGAGAGATCAGGTAATCCTGCTTGTCGCAATAGTTGCGACACAGCTGCCTGCAGCTGCTGCATGGTTGAAGCCGCTTGGAGTTTCCATCTAATGAGAAGAATCCAGATTAGTTCTTCGTGGCTGCGGGCCTCTTGGATTTTTCGGTATACGCACATCCCATCGTCGTCAACAAACTTTTGTGAAAAGTCGTTTACCACGCATTTGATTCCACTGCGAATACATTTAGTACAATTTGATTCGCCGGTGCGAAATTCGCAGCGAATCTTGTGTCGTTTGCACTCCGCGCCTGGGCAATTAGCGATGCGAACATGGGTGTGGGGAAGCGCCAAACTCACATGCGCGGGCTTTGGAAATCTTTGGTGCCTGCTTCTTCGAGTCTCCTGATCGAACAGATCCCTTTGGAGAATCCAAGCCGGCTTCTGTCGAGGACCGCTTGAGTGGAGTAGAGGCATCCATGCTGGGGTGCTACAGTGATGCAGTCGGTGATGCTCCGGGGTTTAGGGGCAAAAGGTTTGGCGGGGAAGCGGAGGAGAAAGTGGATTTCCCGTACTGGCCGAGGTGGGTTTTCAACCAAGTGTTCTTCATTTCCTCCTTACAACTTCACATTGGCCGAACCGTGTTTTCATCGTCCCAATTCCACATCAAGATTGCCCTGAGCTCTCTATTCAAAATTCCAGTTCAGCTGATATACTTCTGACTAGAACTAACTTCAATTCACGCACAGTAGCCAAACATGACGTTATGCAATGTGTCCAACACATCGGCCTCTGCTCCGGGACCAGCAGAAAGTGCCTGAACAAGAAAGATGACGAGATCCAAGCTTCTGAGGACCCTTAGGTGGCTGGCGAAGCCCATTCGTCCTGGCGATCCACCCCGGACCAAGCCCACCCGGCCAAAGTCCGGTGCAGAGGACCACCAGCGGATCGTTCTCGGACTTGATGCGAATGCGGAGAGCAGAACATTGCTCATAAACTCCGCCAGTGACAACATTCCTGAAGTTCCAAACAATCAATTTTACTGTCATTTTCTATCATCATGCACATCCTCATCACCGGCGGCGCCGGTTTTATCGGTCAATTACTCGCCAAAGAGCTCCTTAACGACCCCACATGCCGCGTTACACTGACCGACATCCACCAACCCACGATCCCCAGCGGCGTCAAGTACCCACAAAATGCAACTACAGTGAAGGCAGACCTCCTCACAGCAGCAAAGGATGTGGTGGACTCTTCAATTGATGCCGTCTACGCTTTCCACGGAATTATGTCGTCTGGTTCCGAGGCTAATTTCGATTTGGGCATGAGCGTCAACGTCGATGCCACCCGCAATCTACTCGAGGCGTTGCGACATGCCTGTCCCGGTGTTAGAGTCATCTACTCCTCCAGCCAGGCTGTATATGGTCAGCCATTGCCAGAAGTGGTGACCGATAGTGTCATTCCAACACCCGAATCCTCATACGGCGCGGAAAAGATTGTTTGCGAAACACTGGTGAACGAGTATACCCGCCGCAAGTTCATTACAGGCTTTACCTTGCGCTTTCCCACTATCTCTGTTCGTCCTGGTGCACCAACAGCTGCCGCTTCCTCTTTCCTCTCGGGTATGATTCGTGAACCTCTGGACGGGAAGGAATGCGTCATTCCTATTGAGGATCGGTCGTTCAAGTCATGGCTTTGCTCGCCTAAGACTCTAGTGTATAATCTTCTTCTCACCCTCCGTCTGCCTGCAAACTCCGTGCCCCCGCACATTCGTCAGATCAATGTTCCTGGTATTTGTGTGACCGTTCAGGGTATGATGGATGCTTTGGAAGCTGTTGGTGGCAAGGACAAACTGGCTCTACTCACAGAGAAGGCAGACCCTGCTCTGATCCCAATCTTGAAGTCATGGCCCACACAGTTTGATAACTCTCAGGCCATTTCTTTGGGTTTCAAGCGGGACGTGTCATTTGAACAGGCTGTGAGGGAATACAAGGAGACATTGTAAATATTATGATAAAGTTTCTGAACTGCGTCGCAACTTACCATAGAAAAGTTAAGTATGTCCGCACTAGTAAATCCATTTGCAAATGCATGCTGACTGGCACATAAGCTTCTTCCACCTCAATCAATATGTTAGCATGCAATGTATCAGTAATCCCCAAATTGTTCAGCGTGGAGCTACCCCGCCATCTCGCACGCTTGTTCCAGTGGAATCTTTGGGCTCTCGACCACATCAAGGTTATTTTCTTTTCGGCCCAAGCATTTTGATTGGTGTCTTTGTTCTAAACATGATATAACTCAGCATCAGGTATCTTGAACATAAAATATTGGTGGTTGCTACAGCGCTGAATAGTGGTTGCTTCAGCGCTGAATAGTGATTGCCGATCGAGTACAGTATATGATTATGAATCGACTGGAGACCGAATCATACTTAACCGCCTAGGATGATCATGTTTCCCCTCCTCAACAACCTTCAATCCTAGACACTACCGTTCAATCTAGCCACGCCCTTCATTATCATCAAGAATGAGTGCACCAACGAGAACCAAACGCCGGGTTCTTCGTGAAAAGCCATATGCTGAACCCGTCCTAAGCGGAGACAGTCCCACCTTTACCTTAGAAACCACTGATCTCCCAGCGCTCAAGGAAGGCTAAGTTCTATTGAAGACGCTTTATTTGAGTAATGACCCAGCACAAAGATCATGGATCTCGCCGCTCGCGGATGCCGAGCGATGATACTTGCCCCCAGTGCAATTAGGGGAGACCATGAAGTCTATGGGAATTGCCCGTGTTGTGGAATCTCGCAACCCCGATATCGTAACCGGCTCTCTGGTGACGGGTATTCCTTGGTGGTCCGAGTACTCAATTGATGATGCTACAAATGTGTCTGTACTCAATCCCCAACCTGGTCTACTAGACACGCATTTCCTGGGTGCACTTGGACTGCCAGGATTCACAGTTTATTATGCCTTGACGCAAATTGTTAAGGCGAAGAGTACAGATGCTATTGTTGTTAGTGGTGCTGCTGGTGCTGTGGGCAACATGGTTGTTCAGATTGCCAAGAAGATGATCGGTTGCCGCAAGGTATTTCTTTCGGTCGTCAGTCTTTTGAGTGTCCAATCTAACTCTTTATAGGTAATTGGTATTGCTGGGACAGATGAAAAATGCAGATGGGTGGAGAAGCTTGGTGCAGATATTTGTTTGAACTACAAATCGCCATCTTTCAAGCAGAACCTTACCCATGAGACGGAAGGTTTTGTCGAAATTTACTTTGGTGAGTTATCCCTCAACCTTGTGCTTGAAATGAAGGAATCGACTCTGGCTGACCTGTTATCAGATAATGTTGGCGGGGATATCCTTGACTTCATGTTGTCCAGGCTGGCGAAGTTTGGGCGTGTTGCCGCCAGGTAAGAGACACATCTTCTTTAACGAGCATCACGTTAACATGTACAGCGGTACCATTTCCGACTACAACCGTGACTCGGATACTACAGGTTTGAAGAACTTTTATGTAAGTACCCACGCTTTGTTTTTTCATCCACCCCAAGAATGTTTCATCTCATGAAAGCCTTATATCCAGCAAATTATTACAATGCGCCTACAAATCCTCGGCTTTATTAACATCGACTGGATTGAGCACCTGCCAGAGGTCCGAGCTTTGCTTGTAGATGAATGGAAGAAGGGCAATCTAATCATTGGGGATGAAAATGAAATGGTCATCGATACTGACTTCGAAGATATCCCTCGAACCTGGATGATGCTTTACTCGGGAGGCAACACGGGTAAGCTTGTCACAAAGCTGAAACACTAGATTTATACAGCTGGTTGTTTGAAAAAATTTCTACTCGTATCCCCTGCCCGTTGTTGTGACTTTCATTGCGAACGTTCCTAGAAATGTAACTTAAAACGGGGACTATCTGCTACGGTTGATTATTGACTAACTCGCCTTTTTGGAGACAACCATGGCAATAAGCTGCCCATTCAGACCTCCCCTCTCTTTGGACTCTCAATGCTTGTGTCTCTCGCGAAGATTGTTTTCTTATCAACGCTGAGACTAGAATAAATGTAACAAAGGTTAAGATACCAACAGACCCCCACACTACCCCACACAACTCAGCGTACAGTGTGGGGCAAGTGCCGAACTCCTAGCAAGACCAGTTCCTGTTGTCATTGTTGCCTTCCTGAGCACGATGAGTTGTGTGAACGGCAATGGCTATGGGCGAGCTAAGCGGGCATCACGAGTGCCCTCGGCTTGCCAAAGATGTCGTCGACAGAAATTAAAATGCGATCGCGAACGACCATGCGCGCTCTGCACTCGAACTGGAGTCACCTGCATTCCGGAAAATCGCCCCGCGCAAAGAAAGCGCAGAACGATCAACCGGGATGAGATCAACAGCCCAAGCCAGTTTCCTCTGAAAAGGGCTGCACCTGCAGAGCCCTTGGCTGAGAACTTCGAAGCCTGTCTCGGCAATGTGATCAACACACCGGAAATCATTGCTGGTGGTTCTCGTGAATTGGGCGACAACGCGCTAAACTACCAGAACTCCAGCGATAGAACGTCTGGGTGGTTTGGACCTCATGCGCGAACTTCATCAGTGGGCATGACTCAAGAGGTGAGCATTACATTTCCTAACAAAATGGACAAGTCGCTGATATCACCTTCACAGATTATTGAACAGTTTAGCCCGAAGACGGTGCTTGGAAGTTCAACTTCTGCGTTACCTGGAGGCTCAAAGTCAGAGGAAATGCCCGGTCTTCCAGAAGGCTCAATATCGATTGATGCCTTGAATTCTGATTTTCCGCCAAAACCTGTGGCAGACTTTCTTTTGGAAACTTACTTTCGTGCTGTTCATTGGTTCATGATGGTGTTTCATGAAGCAACATTTCGTCGCCAATATGAGATTATTTTGATGGGTTGTGGATATAATAATTCCAAATCCAAGCTGCTATTGATACTTCTTGTCCTCTCACTGGGAGCGCACTGCACCACAGATGAACGCTTCAAGTCGCATTGTACAACCTTCGATCTCGAAGGTTTTCGCAAACAATCATTGGCAAAACTTAAGCTTGCTAGATACCTCGGATGTTCAGTCAGTGCAAGTTTGTGTACTTCTTGGTTCCTTTTACCTTTACCATGGTCGTCCAAACCTGGCATATGTGATTCTCGGCGCGGGTATTCGATGCAGTCAGATTATAGGGCTGGATAATGAATCTTCATGGCGGGAGGTATCAGAGATGGACAAGGAGGAAGGACGACGAAGATTTTGGGCGCTGTACGTGTTCGATAGGTGGTTATAAATCAATCTCCTTGGGTTACACTATCTGGTATGTTGAACAATCGAATCGAATGGGCTTGCCTTACTTATAGAAGGCCTGTCTGGTAGTGGGATAGTACGGAGATGAATTGAAAGGTGGCAGATTAGCGAATAGCAGCTGTGGCACTATGGTACAGTAGCGAGGTGTGGCCTGTGAAGTCAATACATGTATTCTTGATGTATGTATCTGCATGTGCGCCACTAGTTGTTCCAACATTGGGTTATTCCTTTCCACCTCTAGCCTTCCCCATCGACTCTTTATCATAGAACCGAATCAGCGGATAGCCCATATTCTACAGATCGGCCTTCTGTCATGTTTAAGGCTAGGCCAGCCACTAGCGATCGAGAGTCCTGCCTGCTAAGAGTCCAACGGATCTACTTTACAGCCAAGAATACGACTTATCGTTCCATGCAATACGCAACTACCGTTTTCTGTATCCCATATGCTTTTGTGATTAGAAGCCATGTAGTTGGATGTGACCTATCTAACTATCTCGTCACATTACATTACATTTGATCCCATTGTTGAGGCCATGGGAGATAGCGGTCAAGACATGCGTCCCGCTTCATAGCCACTAACGCATGTTATGCAGTGCCCAGCACCTTTGTACTACGCACCCACATGAAGGGTGGGGTAGTAAATAGAACCTCCCTTTCTAATTTGCCACTGGTTAGCCGTAATGACGTGTTGATTGGCAATCATCGAATTAATGCTTTCCTGGCTACATCTACAGTATAATACTCAGATGTGAGTAAAAGTAAACAATGATCAACACATCAGTTTCCTATAGTAGTATGTACTTGTGAAGAATCCACTTGGCCTAACCAAATAGTGGAAATTGCCATCAGATTCACCGCAGCTGAAGACCGTGTGAAAGACTAGATCGACGCGTTACCAGGCATAATTCGAGTACTGAATATGTCTCCGAACGTTACGGGCCGCTCGGCATACGATATCCTTTACGGTTTCAACCCCGCCGCAACAATCCCAGCGGATGTACCAAATCCTGTCGAAAGCAGGAATCATCCACCGACTCGAAGCCGCAGACTGTATTGCCTGTGCCCACGGAATCATGCGCGAACGTTTTGACGGCAAGCACAGTCCCCTCAAACTTTGAGTTGGTGACCGAGCATACATCCGGTTGCACAAAGGATATAACCTTCCAGCAAGCATTAGCCGCAAGTTCGGTGTTACCGTAAAACCGGGGTAAAAACTGAAAGAGAAAGTGATAACTGACTCAGTCATTGTCGCACGAATATGTCGCGAAGCTGTGGGCCGGGGGGATGGCTGTCAATTAAGCGCCAAACTGAAAGTGTGATAATATTTTGATCGCGGCTCTATTTCACCATCAAGACAAATTTGAACTGAAGATTGAGGGTGCTCAATCCAATGGCGTGCATCTCGTATAAGTTCTGTTTCTGTTTCGGAGTTTCCAACCTCAATACAGACTGTGAATTTTTTGCCATTCAGCGGCACCTAGCATCCATCTGGTTGGGAAGCTGTGTTCCCTAGTTTGATGGTAGGGCAGAGATTCTGGGAAACAGATTTAAAAAGCAGGCCCGTCGATGTCAGTTGGGTAATAATCAAACCGCAAAGAATTGCCACCAGCGCGTCGTGGGCTTCGGCTGGCATTCGGATGCGCAGCTTCTGCTCGTCTAAGTGGTAGAGGCATTCGATGTGTTTAGTTGTTAGTGATCTTTCATTCTGGAGAGTTGCGAAAAGGTTTTAACAAATACAGAAAAGAACCAGATACGTGCCGTATGCTTTGCGTTGACATGATGCAAGATTTAGGCTTCGATTTGCGTGGTTTACTTATTGTGTCTGGGTGAAAAGTTCCTGAATTAAGGGAGCATGTTGATATCATCAGACTCACGACTTTTTAAGATTGTGGGTATGGATTCGTTGGCAAGAGAGGAGGTAGTTGAGGATGAGAGTAAAGTAAATAAAAGGTACTAATAGGAGTAAAGTGAGAGTAAAGTGAGAGTAAAGTGAGAGTAAAGTGAGAGTAAAGTGAGAGTAAAGTGAGAGTAAAGTGAGAGTAAAGTGAGAGTAAAGTGAGAGTAAAGTGAGAGTAAAGTGAGAGTAAAGTGAGAGTAAAGTGAGAGTAAAGTGAGAGTAAAGTGAGAGTAAAGTGAGAGTAAAGTGAGAGTAAAGTGAGAGTAAAGGTATAGATAATAGTAAAGTAGGGGTAAAGTAAAGGAAAGGTAAGAGTAAAGTAAAGGAAAGGTAAAGATAAGAGTGATGAGATACAGTCACTTTGATATAGCCTTCTAGTGTAAAATAGAAACGATGACAATTAAAAATAACGATCGAGAATCAGGCTAATAGGCATACTACCATTTGGTGAAATAAGGACATTGCCTAATTGAGTTAGTATAGTTAAGTGGTCTTAGACTATGTTATTACAAGTTGATTTTCTCCTATATTCATCAGAAGCTAAGCATGGGTTTATGGCATTGATAAAGCCACGGAAAATAAATAAATACAAAGCGTAAGAGAATTTGAATCTCTAAGCGAATGCTCAGAAGATTACATCTAAAGAAGATCACCATGCCCAGCCATTAACTCTATTTTAGGATCATTTCCAAACCTGCAATGTTTTAGCACACATCCGTCATAACCATATTAACAGCGCTCCCAGACCTGTCCATCGATAGCAATCAGCCTATTGAAGAGCTGATTTCTCATTACCATGGCCGTCAGCTGGTAAGACTGACGCGGCTCTTTGCCGACAATGAGCAGTCCATCAACAACTTCTTTGCCTCCCATAGCCCATCCGACAACTAGTTTGCCTTTCCAGCCCAGTCCCCCCTGCTTCTTCATTTCTCGGATATCGGTCACTGGAATGGTGAACAGTACCGAACCACTCTTTTGGCTCTCCAGTTGTGCGTCGCTATGCTCAGTATCGGTTGTAAAGTAAAGCACCGGAGGCTCTTTTGTGGAGTCAATAACAACAGCCCCACGCTTACCTTTGTATCGTGCCTCAAAGCCGACTGGTCCGGTAGGTAAACTTTGTTTACCCTTTGGGCGCAGGACACCAAGTCTGTTGGCAGCATGACGGGAACCGACCACGGCGCGCATCCTATCGACGCCTCTTTTACTCTCCACTCCTGTGGCAGTAGTCCCACGAAAGAAGCCGATTATTCTGGATGACCAGGTGTTTCTGGGTATTGCGGGAGATGAACCCTCGAGTTTCTTCGGCACGGGCTTGGGCTCGGGCGAGGCAGCAATTGTAATTTCTTCTTTCGAAGCACCAACGGTAAGCTCCTCATGATGCAGTGAGGCTGGTCGAGACGGAGGTTTGCTCTTAGAGGTTGGAGGTGGTGGCAATGGTGATGCGTTGGCCTCTCCAATTCGCAACAGGGTGAGAGTTAGCTGAGCATTCGTAGGGATCCCTTTGAGCAACGAACTATAGATATGGTTAGAAAAGCAACACACCCAGGGAAGCCTTGATGTAATACTTTTGCGGCAGTAAAATCTTTTGCCAGTGAGGGATATGAAAGTCCAAAAACTTGATGCTGCGCCAAATGATGGGGTCTCCAAAAAAGACAACTCCAATAAGGAAGCCACTTGCTTTCATGAAAATATAGCTGTTTACAAATGCCGATATGAGGCACAAGGGTACTATCACCGAGGCCAAGCGTAGTCGAGGAGCAAGTCGTGGAAACGGGGCTGTGCCCGCTAAAGCACTGCGATAGGCCGTCAAATTTGAATCAGGAGTCTTTCAGGTGAACTAAAACTTACTTTCCAAACTTCTCGTACGTGTCCGTGATATCATTAATGACCTGCATAGAGAGATTGGCAGCATCCAAAACAGACTGCTTCATAGGCTGCCGGGTTTTATCATGAGAGTCTGCAGGTATTCCTCCCTGTGCAACGCTCTGTGCATCCACGGACCTGTCAACAATATCCGTGGCATCAGGTACAGCTCCTTCTAAAGCTGCATCTTCTGGGACAGCTTGATCATTTTTCCCAACGGCACTACCAACAGCAACAGTAGCGACACCGGACACTAGATTGCTGGCTTCTTGCTCAGCAGCCTCGCCTTTGAAGTTCTCTGGTGCACCAGTCATGCTATCATGAGATCCTAATACGCCGGCCTTGGGCTTCTGGACGCCGCCGGTATTCTTATCCACAAGAGCAAGAGGCGCCGGGGGAAACATAACCGGCCGACATGATGGAAAGACAACCAAGGCAAGCAACGCCATTAATAATGATGGAATGAGTTGATTCAAGAGCCAGGCCACAGCATATACTGTACAGAAAATAGCTGTTCGTCGAGGCTCTTTCCAAGACCTTAGGCGAGCAATATGTTTGATCAGACTTGTCAGACCAATTATAACTGTAGTGTAGAATCTTTCAAGGGTAGTTCTGAGTTTTTCCGGCGAAAACTCATCGTCGGCTGATTGAGTCAGGTCAAGATTCTGTAGTGGAGCATCTGGCACCGCTTTGACGTTGTAGACTTGCTGTAAGATGTCAGTTCCTGAACCATGAGCTTTTTCTTCCATCAATCACCTTATCAAATCGTCTGATAAGCATCCACAGATCCTCGTTCGATAGTCCACCAATAATTGGCTGCTGAAAATGCTTGGAAGGTTGACTCCAACCGAGATCAGTGATTTCTGCAGCATTGCCCGCTTGCTGCGATAATCCCTTTTCGTCTTGTTCAACCTGAGACAAAACATGACTATCGGTTGGCCCTTCTGGGGGTGGCTCTCCATTAGCGTTGCTGCCCTGCCGATCATGGCTGAGGTCTGTGCCCGGTGGAGAAGGTGTCGCAGACATATGGTGGATGGCAGAGTTGGGTGTGGTTCTTGAAACAGCAGCAGAAATTAGATTGAGACAATGTGGAAAGGAAGGAAAGCACGAGTATTTCAGGTCCCAGAAGAGAATTGAGATCCATGGGTTGTGTGGCTCTTTCCCTTGTTCTTGATTGTATTGGTTGTACTCCCCTCATCTACGTCATTATGAGCAGGAAAACTGACTTCAAGACACCAACACGCCAATGCGGTTTGAATTGACATGGAATCGATGGGGTTGAGTGGATATTCTTTTTACCAATAAGCAATATCTTTACATTGTTTTTTCGCATTGACCAAACTAAAAATGCCGACTATCAATACATCTGAGATCTCTGCCACGGTCACATGACACGCGCGTTCCCGAAGTGGATGTCCGCGTCGCGTCTCTCGGCCTCATGATTTCAAGCTCTCAGCCCGATGGCGGAGAGACCACTATGAGTGAGGAGTGTGCCAATCCCTTATTACTGGGATGGATCAAAGAATGGTTGGACCAAGCCCGCGAGCGTAACAGCAAGGGCGTGACAGTGTGGGGTATCTCGCATCCTTTTCGCGGTTGCCATGTTGCTGATGTCATTCTAGCTACAAAAAGGCCTACGAGTCGATGAAAGCATGTCCACTGGAATTCCAGCACCCATCCCAGGCCCAGCAGCTTAATGGGCTGGGTCCCAAGCTATGCGATCGTCTGACGGACAAACTCAAGGCCTATTGTGCGGAGAATGGGCTTCCCATGCCCGAGCCTCCTGGCAAAGGTGAATGATCTTCATGAAACTTAGAAGCGCTAAAAGGCTAATTGGGGGACTACTTAGCTACCAAGAGAACATCTGACACCGGTGTTGCTGAACAACCTGCGAAAAAGCCCCGAAAAGCTAAGCCTTATGTTCCAGCTTTGCGGTCTGGTCCTTATGCCATTTTACTCGCATTGGCAACCATAGGGGAAAATGCATCACAGGGAATGGCCAAAGCCCAATTGATCGATATAGCTCAGCCGTATTGCGACAGCTCCTTCACGGCACCTACCGACCCGACCAAATTTTACACGGCTTGGAATTCCATGAAAACCCTCATCCAGAAAGATTTGGTCTATGAACATGGTCGGCCCCTTAGGAAATACGCGCTTTCCGAGGATGGCTGGGAGGTTGCCAAGCGTATTCAGAAGACTCTACCTGGTTCAGAGAACTCGGCAGCCTCTGAGTCTCAGTCTCAGCCTGGCCCTGCTCCAGCCGACAATGATGATTCTGAAGAGTCACCACAATTGAACACTCTGTTTCAGCGTTCAGACGCTGGTGGACCTGTCGAGCCAATTCCGCTTCCCCAGGGGACCTTCACCATTGAACTTGTGCTAGATACTCGCGAAGTCCGTACAAAAACAGACCGAGATTATATCGCGAACGAACTCATCAAACAAGGCATCACCCCACAGGTGCGTGCCCTAGAGCTGGGCGATGCAATGTGGGTGGCCAAGTGTCATGATCCCGCTTTTCTCTCGCGCCATGGCGAGGAAGGTGACGAAGTGATGTTGGACTGGATAATTGAAAGAAAACGCTTGGACGATCTTATTGGATCCATCAAAGACGGACGGTTTCGGGAACAGAAATTTCGTCTCCGTCGTTCAGGCATTAAGAATGTCATCTACCTAATTGAGGAATTCTCCATCACGCACCCGGAAACTGGGGGCGGTAGTGCACAGAAATATCAGGAGATGGTTGCCTCGGCCATTGCCTCAACGCAGGTGGTCAATGGATACTTTGTTAAAAAGACACGCAATTTGGATGACTCAATCCGTTATTTGGCACGAATGACCTTGCTTCTACGGAACATATATGGGGCCATGGACTCGCCTGATGAAGGGCTTAGCACCAATCATTCTGCAGACTATTCTCCACCCTCGAAGATTTTTGTCGTTCCTAGTCGCCAGATATCCTCCACGCAATCGTACGTGACACTGTTGGACAAATTTCGCGCTCGGGATGATTCTCTTACATATGGTGTGACATTTTCTACCTTTTCAGCTTTAACTTCCAAGTCGGATGTTCTCTCTCTCCGAGATATATTCTTGAAGATGCTTATGTGCACGCGTGGTGTGACTGGTGAAAAGGCCCTGGAGATCCAGCGGCATTGGCAAACCCCACGAGGACTGGTGGAGGCCTATATGGCTCTAGAGCCTAAAGATCGTGATGCAATGATTTCAGATAGATTGCAATCGTTAGTCGGGAGAAAAAAGGTTGCCAAAGCCGTGAGTAGACGGATCGCAGAGATTTGGGGGCAGAGCGGATAGATGGAACAAAGCCCGCTGAAGTAAGAGCAACATTGATACTTCGATAGAGAAATAGTCCAAGCCACACTCCAGTTCGGGTCTGCAACATCAATCACATGCCCTTTTCTAACTGATTCATGTTTCTTCATTTGCACAGCTATCCTTCTAAGCAATCTATAAGAGGAACGTGCAAAGGCGAAACTAAGATGTCCCACATGATTGAATGAATCACTCAAGTGTAGGGTTCAAGCAATGGGCATCATCCGTTTGTACTGAGCCAAAGAGTCCGACCGAATTCATCATATTTTCCATTAATCCTAGCACTTGCTACCAGATTCCTTCTAGTATTCCAATCTGAACATCTTCTAGCCCAAAAATACGATTCCTGATTGTCAGGTGGTCAGGATGCCAATCGCACATCCCAAAGATTTCTGCATATTAAGGTCTCAAAAACCGAGATGAAGTCAAACTGTTCGAGAGTCCTCTCATCATCCCCTTCGATTTCGGCTCTCTGCAAGATCCCCAGACACCGAAAGAAATCGACGCGGTCATTGACAATAAATGGTTGCAGAAGATTGCCAAGTGGGAGTGGGGTATGCAATTCCAGTAAGGACGGGGTTGAAATTCCATCCTGGTTAAGAAGAGTCACTCCTTGGCTACCTTCAAATTCCAAGGTGTGAGTACCCGGATGATGATTGCTTTGAGCTTCGAGTACTGCGCCTTATTTCATCCCATGTGGTGTTCAATTGCATTTAGCTTCGCGTCGACAAATATTAGAAAATGCCAGACTGTTACGCTTACGAGACTTGGCTATTGGCCACATCCATAACAAAGCCTCCGGGGGTGTTCCGATACAGGAGTGTATGCCAGGGTAGGGCTTAGTGATCCGATCACGGTGCCGGCCGTGGTCATATCTACCCCTGGATCTAGGAGTGACATAGACACCTGGACACCTCAATAGCGTCTACGCAGTACGTGGGGTTCGTTGACGTAGGTGCCGTGAATGACATCATCTTACCCACCGGGATCTCCCACTAAGCCGAGAGTGGCTAAGGCCGCCAAGGTTTTCAGATTTATCGACGGTGATTGGAGCAGATTCTCTTGTATAAAAACAGGGTTTCTGGACCCAGTCGACCAACGCTGTAACATGAGTAATATAATAACTACGGACGCTGATCCCCGCTTCTCTTTCAGATGATCTGATCAAGTTTGTACCCCTTTCGCGGCCCAATTAATCATGGCCGCAGTCATCGGCCCTGGCACACATTCCCGCTACCGCCTGGCCCAAGAGCGGGAATTCTACAAGTACTGCCCCCCGGATGCTGAGACCTCCAGCCGAGCTAACCACTTCACAGGTACGTCCCCAGCGAAGACTCTGCCTCTCACTACGCCCCTTGGGATCATGACAGCAACCAGAAATTCGTCCCACAGCCATGCAAGGATCCCGCATTGACATCCTTCGCCCAACTATCTGCCCTTCGGCTCGGTACGGAGCGCGCCCTAATTTCCTTATTCGATCGCACCCACCAACATGTGTTGGCAGAGGCGACTCCGACTTTGAGCCTCGTGGGTGGACACAAAGCAAACGATGTCGAGCAGTTAAAGTTAGGGTGCTGCGTGTTTCCAAAAGAACGGGGCATTTGTTGCCATGTCGAGACATCACAACCGGAGGATAAGAAGGAGAATGCAGCCAAGGATTCCGCCCTGGTCGCATTGGACGTCGCCAAAGATGATCGCTTCACTGCAAACAAACTACAACTGCTAGCCCCACTATCTGATGTGCGCTTTATTACCGCAGTGCCCATTTTCAGCCCGCAAAAATACAGAATTGGGGTTTTGTGCGTGATGGACAGCAAAGCAAGGTCATCGGCCCCCGATAGCGATTCTCTTCGGTTCTTGAATGATATGGCTGCGACCGTGATGGACCACTTGGAAATGAGGGAAATTAAACGTCGAAACCACCGAGCTGAAAAAATGATCGTCGGCCTCGGTAGTTTTGTGGAAGGCCGGTCCACCCTCCGAGATTCGTGGTGGGAGGCCAATTTGCAGCGTGATGGCTCGAAACAGTCTGGTCAATCCAAAGAGGGTCAGTCGGGCGCGGAGCAGCAGGATATGCAAAAGCTCGCGAAAGAAACAGAAAAAACGAGCCACAAAAATATGGTCCTTCTGGAGCCGCCGAAAAAGGACGACGATACCGAGAAGACAGGCGTTAAGGACACAGATGGTAACACGAGTGACTCCGCCAAGTCACTCCAATCCACCAATTCCGGCAATGCGACACCATCGCAAAGCGAAGGAGAAAAGTCTCAGCAGCAACCTGGAGTCCAATTCACCCGGAATGGTGCTTCCGTACGCAGCGTACGTGCAGGAGAGAGTTTGAAAGACAAGACTCTCCCGAATAGCATTCGAAGTATCCTCTCGCGCGCAGCCAATCTTCTCAGAGAGTCGATCGGGGCGGAGGGGGTGATGTTTCTGGATGCCAACAGTGAGCGTTTTGGAAGTCTTGTCGACCAAAATACTCGCCGAGTCTCAGGTCCTCACTTGAAGAGTTCCACGTCCAGCTCAGATGAAAGTACAGATTCCGCGTATTCAGACAGCCGAAAACCATCTGATGCGGGCCAAGGCTCAGACTCAGACGAGCACTCGGGCATCTCTGAATGCTTGGGATTCTCAAGCTCGGGTACAGCCACTGACAGTGATCAGAACCGAGCGGGTCATAATATCGTGGTCCCTGAGCCTCTTTTCACGTCGCTCATCCGGCGGTACCCTCGCGGAAAAATCTTCACATATAACGCTAATGGGACCCTTTCAGACAGTGACGATCCGACTCAGAGTGTATCTGGGTCAGATCGTAGTGGTGCTTCCCAGAATTCTGCATCTGCTTCATCTGGTAAAAAGAGGCGCAAGCCAGCTTTTCAGCGAGATGCTGACGATCTGATCACTATATTTCGCGGGGCCAGGAACATCCTTCTCTTGCCCATCTGGGACTCGGACAGAAAGAGATGGTTTGCAGGAACGCTGGCCTGGACGAACGAACCGGACAGAATTTTTACTTTCGAAAATGAGCTCGTTTATATCTCTGCATTTACGAATAGCATCATGGCGGAAGTTCGCCGAGTAGATGTGGAGATCTCAGAGAAAGCGAAAACAAACCTCGTTAGTAGCATCACTCACGAGCTTCGAAATCCATTACATGGAATTCTGGGAACGGCAGACATTTTAAGTGACACTGCCATGAATGCACTTCAGCATGGGATGGTTCACACAATCGAGTCGTGTGGCCGCACCCTGCTGGATACAATCAATAACCTGTTGGATCTTACCTTTATCGATCAATACAGAAAAGGAGGCAATTCTCGCAAGGGGAAGAAGTCACAATCTATACCTTCCCGAGAGATGTCTTCATATTCTCGAGTGTCGCTGGACTCCGTTCTGGAAGAAGTGACCGAGTGTGTGTTCGCTGGATACTGCTTCTACAACCATCCTCAGGCGCCCCCTCCAGCTCTAACAGAGTCGTCCTCCCGTTCGGCAGGACAAGCCAGCAAAACTGACGCAGTTGGTCCTCGATCCAGTCAAGTCACTGTCATTTTTGACATTGAACCTGATACGGAATGGGATTTCTACACGCATGCCGGTGCGTGGAGACGTATTCTCATGAACATCTTTGGAAATGCGCTGAAATACACGACCTCGGGATACATCTATCTCCAGCTTAAATCCGTGCAAAGTGGCACTGGTTCCTCGCGCAAGTCATCCAGTAGGCACAAAGATGAGTTTGAGGTAACTCTTACTGTGAAGGATACTGGAAAAGGCATTGGTGCCGAATATTTGCAAAATGGTGTTTTCAGTCCCTTCTCGCAGGAGGACCCACTCGCATCTGGGAGCGGACTGGGGTTGAGTATCGTTCATCAGGCTGTTGGGTTCCTCGGTGGCTCGATTGAAATTGAATCTACCAAGGGTGCTGGCACTAAGCTGTCGATACATACGCCACTTATGAAGCCTCCACCTGGCTCAGAGACTGCATCGTCAGCTTCGCTATTTCATTCACTAAGAAGATACACAGAAGACAAGACAATTGGCTTCCTGGGATTCGGGCAAAACCTGATCTCTCAAAGAGATACATTCTTGTATTCATCATTGGAACGAATGTGTCATGACTGGTTTGGTCTAGAGGTGTCCAAAATCTCGCCATTAGAAGGCAAGCACGACCCTCTCAACTTCTATCTGGCGATACAGACAGAACTGGACTGTGAAGACGTTGGGGGAAGAAATTTGTTCGGCCTTCCTCAGCATCTCCATAGTGATGATGAGTTGACCTCACCGGTTGTCGTCATCTGTCAGTCTCCCGAGGAAGCTCATAGTATGTTTGTGGCGTCCAAAAACCGAGGTGACTCGACTTTCTTCGAGTTCGTGAGCCAGCCTTGTGGGCCTCGGAAATTGGCTCGTGCACTGGATATGTGTATCAAGCGACAGCGTGATAAACAGAACGGTCGACGGGGCAGTGATGAGCCTACTCGCTGGGTGGAAATGCCGGAGTCTTCCCACTTGCCTGTGGATGTTGGGGCCAGCGATCCCCCTGATGACAGAATGAAAATCAGTAAGCGGCCAACAGCGGACACCATCGGCATGGACAAGGATAAGGACCAGAATTCTCGCCGCACATCGCTGGAAGAATTTCAGAGACCTATAGAAGCAGAGAATGATGCTCAGCCAACACCATCCCCAAAATCTAGCGAGGGTGAACCACAGCCTGGCAAACTATCTGCTTTGCTTGTTGATGATAACGATCTCAACCTTCAACTACTTTGTGCCTATGCAAAAAAGGAAGGCTATGAATACATGACAGCCAAGAATGGCGCCGATGCAGTCGACATTTACAAGGCTCAACCTGGAAAGTTCCAGGCCGTAATCATCGGTATGCTCTACTTTCACTTTGGCTTTGCACCCATACTAACTTGCTTTCAGATATTTCAATGCCCGTCATGGATGGCTTCGAAGCATCACGGCAAATACGACGGTTAGAGAAAGAGCACCGCGCTCAACTCCCGGAAGCAGAACGAAAAGCATTTCCACGGATCACCATTGCTGCTCTGACTGGGCTTGATAGTGCCGCGGCCCAGAAAGAGGCTTTGGGTTCCGGTATCGACTCATTTCTGATCAAGCCCATCAAGCGATCTGAAGTGCAGAATGTATTGCGACGTTAAGCATAACGACACCTATGTGACGAATGTTTTCCATGATCACCAACGAAATATGTACATTTAGATATTTGATTTTCAGTACCTACCCAAGCAACTTTTTTTCAAGGCGTTTTCCCCTATTTTGACACTTCATACATATCCATAGATAGATGTTAAATTATTACTCCGCCGGTATTCAAAACCTAGATACTGATATCCATGGACCTAAAGTGATAATATACAAGTCTCAAAGGACATAGGGGATTTCCTCTGCCACTTATTGACTGAGTAATCCATGTTCGTTCTGTTTGCTGCCGTTGTGCACGTAGTTTGCGCCCTTGAGCACTCAGAGCCAATACCAGGCAGCCTATGATTGGCCACACAGCCAGACAGCAGAGCTTCAAGCGTCATCCCCACCCCAGTGTACAAGGTTTACGGGGGAGAGATGAATATAAACCTCCATCCACTAGTGACTGCGAATTGGTCTAGTGGTAAGACCACCTTTCTTGCGAGGGGTCAGATTAGATCTGGTGTTTCAAGAAGTCCTCGTCCCTCCCGCCTTTACAAAACCCGCTGACACCTCCGGTTTCCATGCAGTCAAAACAACGGGTAGTGTGCATCCACCAGGCAATTTGGACCTGAGTGGAAGGGGCACGCTGAGTGAAGGCCAAGATATTTGGGGCAGATTATACTAAGCAGAAGTTGTAACTCTTCGGTGGCTTGATACGTTTTGCGTGGTCGTGTTCCACTCCGTCATGACATGTTAGGTTCCTGCGCCTGAATGTAACCTTTCGTTTTCAGCCAATTCGAGGAGATGAGCTTAATTGTCACAGAATTTTCTAGTCCAGCTTGACGAGATAAAATGATAGAACCTTCGCTCAGTGATGCTTGCTAGACATACAATTTCGACATTTCAACCAAGTCACGTTTCGACTTCAGCCCCTGGCTCCTCGTGTATTGTCTTATCTTAACCACACAGCACACCCACCAAGCCAGTGCACAATAGGACTCAACCAACATGGTTCTAGGCATTGCAATGATGGCAGGCATGCTACCCACTATGATTGGGCTAAACGAAGCAACCAAGGGGGCTCGGGACCGCGAGGAAAGTCGCAGGGAGGATGCCCGAAGAACTCGAACCCACTTGATGGCTGTATGTGATGTCGATGAAGGATCCCTAGCCCAACGGCAGCAGGTGCACAATGCCAAGATCTACTTGGGACTGGATCGTAGGGTATTGTGTCCCGAATGTAATACATGGACAGAGGATACTTGCTGATAAGCTTAGATCTACATTACCAAAGACCCAAATTCCACCCTATCCCCATTTAATGGACATTTCGAAAACCACCCTTCTTTTGAGGAAGACAACACGGCGGGACTTATCTCAATGAGTGGGGAAGACAAGCCACTGGCAAGATGGGTGTTTCTTGATTCAGATACGAATGAAATGAGATGGGGAGGGCGGCAGGATAGTGACGGTCATGTCTGTGGGCCGTTTGACCTGACCGATGACGAACAGTATATTACTCTGGAAGATGACCAGAGATGGCTGGCTGTACGGTTGCCGGAATACTCTCAAGAGGGCCACGAGACCAAGCCCTTGGGGATCGTTGATCATGATAATACTGCGGCTACCTGGAGACTCTATTTTGACCGCGGTGGCGGTGCCTACTTACCCGCTGGGGCTGAAATGATCAGGATCTACTTGAAGCGAACTCCAGCGGATTCCTGACAATGAAGATTTGAAATCAGTCACAAGTACCCCAACAATTAAAAGGATGTGATAGTTCTCTAGTTTAATGTGCCGTCGAAAATATTTACGGAATTTTGAAGAATTAGGCTACGTTGTAATCCCCGAGAACATGGTGGACACCTTACGTTGCACACTCAGTGTGTTATTCCCGGTCTTTGGCATATGGTATGAATGTGGCTGTGGATGGTATGCTTTGATTATTGGATCAAATGTAGACCCAATTATAGATACGTATTTTTGGGCAGTTTTCCCCTGATGTCGTATAGACCCACAGTAGGTGGGATTTCCTCTAGTCAGGATGCGTCCTATTTGGCCCAACGACCGCAACCATCCAATTTGTAGGATTGTGAATGCGACTACTATTCCTACGTTGAACCACAACTCTCTCCCTTGTGGTCATCAGTATTATTCATTATCTCTAAAATCTCTACTGGTATTCGTCTTTGTACGGTCTTTTCATCGCTTTACTCTGATCTCAATTACTATCAATTGTAAGGTCGACGGCGTACCCTGTTTTTATCCATGGTCTGTCTTAGCTGTCTCACAAAGTATCCTTAGTTGACTTGTAATATAAACGGCAGAAATTGCATCCTTTCCAATGGAAGGACAGAGAAATGTACGTTGTTGGAGCCCCAAATCATATTCTGTCTCACATACAGAGCATGAGCATCGTCTTCGACGTTCTATGTCAAGACTAACTTTGTCGCCACTATACCAGGGTACTGATAAAGAGAATTTGATTCTCTCGGGAAATTCGGAAGCAAGCAATTGCTGCAAACCAAATCCAAATAAACGTGTCATCAGCCACGTCGTCCCTGTGAGGGTTGAGCCTCATGAAGGTGGCTCTAACGCTACTGTCTGCCCGAAGACTCCAGCCAACAAAGTTGATTCAGAAGTTATAGCACTGGGTGACATTCTGGAAGGGCTCGGACGGGGAGAGAACGAGAAGCAGGAAGAACTGTTTCGTCTATTCTTCGGCATTGATGCGGGTCGTGAGCTTGATCTCAAAGTAAAAATCCAAGGAAGATTTGTCGTCACACTATTGTACTCTCACTATTGCTCTTCCTGCTGATGACCACTATGGCTAATGCAACGACAGGTTATAAGAGTTTCCAATGCATACCTACGCCGCTGATGTTCACGAAGCCTGGTAGAGACGCGAGGGCGGGGCAATTGATCAATGGAACGTGAATTGGTGTGATGACCGTACTGTAACATAGATAACACCAAATTGTGGTTTCATTGCAAAAACATCTGCTGTCAAGTATTTATGTCCTGCGGCTCTGAGGCCGGGTTGCCTCGTTAGTATAATCCGTTGTTTCGGCGGGTCGCTGCGCTGACACGGACATAGTTGATTCCTCTTCATGGTCGTAAGATTAGCAAACGGTAAGGGGGTTTTGATCTAGTTGGGTCTCCTGACATCGACAAGGTGTGCTAAATCCGACCATAAAAGGCGGCCGAAAGCGGTCATCAACTCCAAAACCTCTTGCCACGACCCACCACATCGACACCATCGATAAGCTGTTTTCAGTATCTCACTTACCTGTTCATATACTCGTTTATGTGGCATCCGACAGATTGTGATCTTTGATTACTGCTGGCCGGGATAAAATGTACACAATTGGTCCTGAAGCCCCCAAATCAGCGTCAATCGACCAGTCTTACTCCCAACGACCATTCGGTCTTGTCTATTATCCCATGTCTGAACTTGTCCGCTTGAATGATTTCTCTGTCCAGAAAACCCTAATATGAAGGGTACGTGCCCCTAATACCATATCTCTCTTTTTATACTAAATATTACGTCAGCTGTACTCCAACGAGTCAAATCAGCTTGTATAACCGTGGATGAGCACGTGATTTCCTCGATTGGAAAAGGGCTTCTTGTCCTGGTCGGGGTAGACAAGGACAGCACTAAAAAAGGGAGCGGATTCATTGGTCGGGCGTATTTTAAAAGCTGAGTTGTGGTCCGAGGAGAATGCCGACAATGTGAGTTGTAGGTGGATCAGCAAAGAGAACTATAACGTGTCGTCTAACAAATGATCTCTCAGGATGAATGGGTGAAGAATATCCAGGACATAAAGGGGGAAGTGCTGTGTGGTATGTTAATGTTATTCAGGCGTACCTGTTAAGGTCCTCACACAAGGCAGTGCCGCAATTTACGCTCCACGACGCCCTGGAAAAGGGGAAAAAGTATGAAAAAGCTGACGAAGACGCTGTACGTCAAATATACGATTACTTTATTGAACAGCTTCGCGAAGCCTGCCTGCCAGATCAGGTGAATAATAGCGTCTTGGAAACGAAGGTGGATGTTGAGCTGCTCGATGATACACCCATACGTTTCAACTATCACAGTGCAGACGAAACGGTATAGGCCCACCCTTACTTCGGTGAGACTCCCGGAATGTATGGCTGTGCTAATGGCGTGGACTGTATTTCAGGTCAAGATTAAAATCAATACCCAGATGGCGAAGAAAGGAAAACTCGAAGACGGGAAGTAGACCTCGCTGGGCGAGGCTGCGGAAGGAGGGAGAATGGGCTATTGCTTCCAGGTTGCCCACCTCAGTACTAGTGGAAGGAAATGCTAGGTATTAACGGCATTTGCACTGCGGTATTGGACAAGCCGGAACTGAGAGTCAATGTCATTGCTCCCGACCGCGGAACGTCCGACCTCTTCTTCTGAGTCATTCCAGGAAAAGGTTAAACCAGTCGCACTTTCTATGAGGTCCGGCGTTTATCTCCACAGATGTGTACGTGGCACGGAACTTCCAACTTATGGGGGATTTGGTTTGTCACTCGAGACATCAACCCTAGAGACTAAGGCAAGGACCCCGGAACACCTGAAAAAGATCCAGGGAAGAAATCCTCGTGCCAGAAAAATGGACGATGAACATCTCATTTACCCACCGATACCACTCATCGACCATATCAAGAAACGACGACATCAAAATGTTCCTTGTTCGGGACGGCCAGAATAATCCCATTCGACTCCAAGATGAAAAGCCAAAGGGAGTTTCCAAAGGGGTTGTTACCAACTGCTAGTGTCTGCTACTGGTACATTTCGGCAACGTGACGCTGGCATCATCGCAATCCTATCGCCATATTGATAGACTTGGCCAACTCGATTGTTTTGTTTTGCTGGATACGGTTGGGGCTCAAGGTAGAAGCGGTACCAATCAGATCTTGTATTTCGTCATACATTGTTCCCGGGAGTTGACAATATGTGGACGAAAACGGTCTTGAGCAATGCAGACCGCTAGCGACTATTGTGACCACACCATACATTAGAAGCCGAAGGTTACATTGCTCACCATTTGGCTACGTAGTGACGTATATATGGGCAGTCTATGAATCATGTGCTATACGTGTAAATTATTTGACTATAAGGAAACCCTCACTAAGAGTGACACGGCATGGATAACCATTTTTGAGGCTCATCATTCTCACATCCATCTGCTGTCTCCCGCCCCAAAAATCCCAGAGTGAAAAAGACATGTCGGACAGAACTACTAAACCTCCTCTTGGGTCAGTACCCTCATCCATCATCGCTTCAGGATTATTTTTTAATCGCGCTGTCCTGTCTGCACGGGTCGGCATCTTTATTTGCAGAATTCAACATGCTGATTCTTGCCTTTAGAACCAACCCATCAGACACTCTAAAGGGTGGCAACGCTGCCGCCGGCTCAAAGGACAACGACAACGACAACGACCAAACGAAAGACAAAAAATCATATGATGTAGATGACACACCGCCGACAGGACCATGGGGTAACCGGGGCGTCACCTCACCCAAAGCGGGAACAAAGAGGGCACCGCAAAAGGATTCGAGCCTGAACGTTAGGATCAATTTGGACTTGAGAGCTGATGTTGCTCTGGAACTTCATGCGGTCATACAGGGTGATGTTACGATCGGGCTTTTCTAAGATGGTCTCTAACTTTGGCACATCATGTCATATAACGTATTCGGTAAGCGAGTAGGCCATGTAAGCCAGCCGGCCACCCCAAAACACATCATAAATGCGATAAATTACAACTCTATATCTCAACAATATGTTAATCAAGTGTGAATCCTAACATATCACTCTGTGTTGAGGTTCTGGCGCTTTAAAGGAAACCATTTTGAGGTTTTATGTGGGTTGGCTGTTAATGAACACAGAAAAGTTTTCTTCTTCACATTAACGTAAATTTTGGTAATGTAACAAAACATTAACTTTGAGATTCAATTTGAATGCACATCTCTCAATTTCGAGACTTAAGATGGGGGACATTTAGGTGCTATTTGGAAAAACATTTCAAATTGGGTATCTTTATATGCTCACTTCTTCAAGCCAAGCACCTTCTTAACACTGTCCATGTCAAATCTCAAAGCCAAACTACTCGAGACAACCGAGATACTACTCAACGCCATCGCTAACGCAGCCCACACAGGGCTAAGTCTCCAATGGTCACTGACAGTAACCAGCTCCCCACCGAAATTCTTCTCATGGTGCCCACTAACAATAGGATAGAAAACACCAGCAGCCACAGGAATAAGGCAAACATTATAAACAAGCGCCCAACAAAAGTTCACCCGGACTCGCACAAACACTCGTCGACTAAGAAGCACGAGTTGGAGAATGGTGCTCAAGTCCGAATTGAGCAGAATGAAACTAGCCGAGTTGATGGCAACATCAGACCCAGATGCCATAGCGATACTCACATCTGCAGCGGCAAGTGCGGGCGAATCATTCACGCCGTCGCCGACGAAGGCAACAATGGGTCTCCTGGTGGACTGATCGTGCGGACCCTTTGCGGAACCATCTTGAACGCTGGAGACGAAATTGGCTTTCTCAGCTGGGAGGACATTGGCCATGACGTTTGATCGCGAGATGCCTAGCATATCTGCGACCGCGTGTGCTGTCCTTTGATTATCGCCTGTGCACATAAAGACTTCAACATGGCGCTTTTGAAGTTCGGAGATCACGCCTACGGCCTCAGGGCGGATTGAATCTGAGGTGGCAAAGACGACTGCGGGAATGAAGGGTGATTGTGGGGATTGTGGGTCGATGGCGCGCAGAGAGAGGATAGCGATTGATTTGCCGGCTGTTTGGAACCGGGAAAGCAAATTCGAGACGAAGTAAGAGTCTGATCCGTCGGGTAAGATGCTATTTAGGAGGCGCTCATTGCCGATGGCAGCTTCGTATGTTTGTTCTGCTTGATTGACAGACACGGTGAAAGTTCCCTTCATTCCTTGGCCACTGATTTCGTGGATGTCGGATGTAAGCACGTTGACGCTGGGCTTTGATTCGCAGAAAGCTGAGATTGCCTGGGCAATGGGGTGGTTGCTGCTCTCCTCCATCTTGCGGCCGAGAGTCCATGCGATCTTTTGGAGATCCTCATCGTTGATCAATAATTCGTGGTCCGAGACCTTGAGGCTTCCTCCTTCGGTCAAGGTACCAGTCTTGTCGAAGATGATGGCGTTGAGCCGACTGGCCTCTTGGAACGCTTCACCACCACCCTTCACGAGGATTCCATGTTTTGCGGCAAGACCACCGCCAACGAACAAGGCTGTGGGGGCAGCGAGGGCCAATCCACAGGGACAAGCGACCACGAAGACTGCGATGGCAAATTCCAGACTCCAGAATGTCCATCCTCCCTGTGCGACATCCAGATAATCGCCGGGCAACACACCCGAGTGGCCTAAAGCGAGCCAGATGATGAATGTCAAGATAGCAATCAAGGTGATTGCAGGAACGAAGTGGGATGTGATCAGATCGGCCACTCTCTCAAGTGGAGCACGCTTGCTCTGACCCTCACGCACAACTGCAATGATTTGATCAAGCATGGACGATCCGCCGAGTTCAGTAACTTCTATTTGTACAGGTTGACCAACATTCACAGAGCCAGTGTAAACCTGATCACCTGCAGTCTTCTTGACGGGGCGCGACTCTCCTGTCAAGGAGCTTTCGTCAAATTGGTATGTCCCTTCGCCAACCACGATTCCATCGGCCGGGGGAGATGCACCGTGTGGAATGCGAACAATATCACCCACTTCCAAAAGGTCAACAGCGACGCGGGTAATGCGATCAGAGTCCGACTCTAAGTCCACGTTGTTCTGTACCAGGAGTGCCTCGGAGGGGCGAAGATTCCCCAACGATGAGACTGCATCTCCAGTCTTAGATTTGCTGTATGCTTCCAAAAATCGGCCAGCAAGAATGAAAAGCGTTAAGAAGACAACCGTGTCAAAATAGGTCGAGCTAGCCGCACTGGCTTTCGTTCCGGCCACGGCGTCAACAATGAGCACCGCCAGCGACGAGAAGTATGCAACTGCAGTTCCTGCGGAGATTAGGAGATTCATGCTGCCAAAGCGGTAGAACCTCCGCAAAATCGGTACTCGACTCCCAGGGCGCCAGAGTGCATGAATCTCTTTCATCGCTCGAATGTGGAATACATCAGTGCCGTAGACCATGACGGGCGTTGACATGATGAAGAGTGCCCATTCAGTGCGTGTCACACTGCCAGACCAGATTTTCTGTTCGAGGTATTGTCGAGTTGGATTGTGCGAGGACACGAGGGACATGAATACAATGCCAATAAGGAAAGTTGGTATGGCCACAGCGAAAACAAATAGGAGACGGAACAGTAGCTTGTTTCGTTCATGCAATTGCATGGCACGGGAGCGCTCTTCGATACTAGGAGGGTGATAAATACTCGCGTTAAAAGCACTATGAGCTTCATTAATTGTCGTCAGAATCGTTCGGATCGTCAAAGCAGGCGGTTCGGGGGTATAGGTTAGTCTGAGGATCGGGTTCTTCTCCGATGGTACCTCTTCCACAGTGATGTCTAAAAGAGACTCCAAAGAGGCGAGAATTTTCTCGGGGCAATGATGGCAGAACATTCCATCAACATGAATGGAAATAGTTCTTGCCTGCATAGTTGTCTTCTCGCTCTCGAGGGATCCGATACTGTTGACAACGGCATCATATCCAAGATCCTCGATTTTCTCCACGATATTGTCCAAGTTCTCTCGTCCTTCAAACTCCACTCTGCCGCTATGGGACAACAAATTCACCGAGACACTTTTGACAAAGGAGAGCTCTTCTAAACCTCGCGTGACGGATCCAACGCAGGATCCACAGGTCATACCAGTGATTGCGATCTCAGTGACAAAATTAGTCGGAGTCGGCTCGGCGCTGGAGGACGTGGATACGGCATTCACTTCATCAACAAAAGCTTCGAATCCAATGTCTTCAATTTGTTCGGTGATATTTGTAACATTCTCTCGGGGTTCAATAAATCTCACGGTCGCACTATTTGTAAGAAGATTCACGGAGACTTCCTTGATACACTCAAGCTCTTCGATTGCAGCGGTGATACTATTGACACACGACGCACAGCTCATGCCTCCAATACTAATCCGTGCAATGAACTCGTCACTTGATAATGGAGGCTTTTCAGACACCTCGGGTATCTGAGGAGTAATCTGTGAATAGTTATTCCTTGCCAGGGTCGAAGTAGAGGCAGGTATTGGACTGAAAGACGGTGACGGCTGCAAGACGTTTTCAGTCCGTCCTTGACCGGCCTCAAGATCGGTATCCCAAGCCTCATCCGATTTGATTTCCTTGTGTGGGATCCCAGTCTCCGTCAAGGTGGAATGGCGAGAGAGTCCATCAATATCCTCTTTCTTGCATGCATCACAGTTGGCAATATGACGTTTCTCACGACTTGTATGCAGCTTTTCTCTGATATTGGAAGAAAGACTGGAATAAGATGTCCGGGGCGTAGCAAACAGCATCGATCCGCGAGTATTCCAAGCTGTTGTATCAAGCTCGGAAATAGCTGTTCCCCTGAAATCATATGTTGTGACATGATGTACTTCGAAAGCGGCGCGGATTAAAGCAGCGACAAGATCTGCTGGCTGCACAATGATCCCATGGGTGACTCGCACTTCGTGGGTGAGGATAGACACGTCGATATCCTTGACGGTTGGGATTTCGGAGAGGATCTCAGTTACATAGGCCACGCATGAGGCGCAATGAATATTGCCCACCCAGAAGACACTGCGCCTTGTGTCGAGATCTGGATCTTGCGACTGCATCTTTGGCGTATGTGATGGGCTCTTTGGCGATCGACCAGGCCGATGGGTGTAGAATATCGTATAATGGAGAACTCCTTCTGAGAGAAAGAAATTATCTGAAAGGCACGGATAGCTTCGATCACGCCCTGCTGAACATGGGGGACCTGGTTGTTTTAAAAGCTCGTTCGGCCTACCGCGCGGGTAGTGGGTCGGTTTGATAGTACCAACGAATCGCCACCAGAAGTCTGCAACCACGAGACACAAAACGTGTCATAAGAGATATAGGGTCAAGGTGGATGACCAATGGTTCTGCTGGATGGCTGAAGAAGAAAGAAAAAGAAACCCTTTCGAAACCAGATGGGTGGCGAGTGAAAAGCGCGATGCGGCATTTGTGCGTAGTGTGTAGACGTGGATCGCGCACAAATGCCGCAGCTACATTCCAATCGGCGAGAGTCATGACCTTCGTGCAGTATGCCACTAGCAGCGATTGAGGGAAAGTATTAGGAATGTAACCACCTATCTGAAGGTTTAAAACTCAGCTACTGGACCTTGTGTCCGTGCATGTCAGTCTTGCCCTTAGTATATGTATAGATGTAGCAGGTGGTGGATCGACATCACCGTAGTTGCCTCGAAAAACGGGCATCAATTCAATATTGCCTATCTCGGACTACATAATGGGGAGCGGACGTCTTGAGTCACGTGGACATGACTTCTTCACTTCCAAAGGGACGAGAATCAGTTGTGGACTTTTCAAGTCTGAAACAAATCCAAATATTCTTTCTTTTTTTTAATGTATCTCGAAGATTTTTTCTCTTCATCATCGCTCCCATCTTTCCCTATTCTGATACCTGATTCAACAACATCGTCAGCGAGGCTCGAACACTCCCCCTAGTGAATGAGGGGGGGGATCCTCTCACGTGACTCCACCACTGAGCCACCGGTGCGGCAAAGCCAAGAAGAAACTTCTCACTGCGCGCTCGCCCCACCATCGCGACTCATCAACGCGCATCATGACCACAAAGCCCGCGCGCATAGGGCCTCCTCGGCCGAAGGCCCCAATTGGCCGTTTGGCCACCCTCAAGTCCCCCGCGACTGCTATCAATCGTCCTCAGTCAATTGGACGTACCCATCCTCCACGACCGAAAACACATCCAAAGACAACGAACTGTCCAAATCCAGGATGTCCTGCTCCGCATATTGTCGAAGAAGATGGACAGAAGCTGTGTACCGGGTGTGGTACCGTCATTGCCGAAACCAACATCGTGTCAGAAGTGACATTCGGTGAATCTTCCTCTGGGGCGGCTGTTGTTCAAGGCACTTTCGTCGGAGAAGGTCAAAGTCATACCCGAAGCTTTGGTCCGGGCTTCCAACGAGGCGGTGGCATGGAAAGTCGAGAGTTAACAGAAGCAAACGGTTTGTGATACATCTGTTTTGACGGTTTTCTCATGAAGACTAATATCAGCCAGGTAATACATACATCTCTCAGCTTGCGCGACCATTGAACATCCCGGAGAGTGCTACCAAGGCTGCGGGTCAGGTGTTCAAGCTTGCTGTCGGACTTAATTTCATTCAAGGTCGTCGGACCAAGACCGTGGCAGCAGTCTGCCTTTACATTGCTTGTCGTAGGACAACCGGTAATACAGTGATGCTGATTGATTTTGCCGATATTTTGATGGTAAGTTACACCAGGATTATCGAAGAACCCATTGTCTAACCTTCCCTAGGTCAATGTTTTCAAGCTTGGTCGAACCTACAAAGCCCTTATTGATGAGCTTCGACTGGGCGGCACCACCTTTTTGGTCAACCCAATTGACCCAGAAAGCTTGATCTATCGATTCGCCAAGGCAATGGAGTTCGGCCCTGCTAATATGCGGGTTGCTGGTGAGGCTGTACGCATTATTCAACGGATGAACCGTGACTGGTTGTCTACGGGTCGACGGCCAGCAGGTACTTGCGCCGCAGCTCTGCTCTTAGCAGCACGCATGAACAATTTCAGACGAACAGCTCGTGAGACCGTCTATATAGTCAAAGTGACCGAGATCACCATCAATCAGCGCTTGCACGAATTCAGCATGACAGAGAGCGGAGATCTCACTGTAGATCAATTTCGTTCTGTGCAACTTGAGAACTCGCACGATCCCCCTGCATTCACTCGAGCGAGGGAGGGTCACAAATCCAGTCGCTTTACAAAGAAGCCTGCAGGAGCAATAACCGAAAATGATGACAATTCAGCGAGTGCGGCAGGCTCAGCTCAGCCTAGGCGCGTTGATGCAGATGGTTTTGCAATTCCAGACCTTCCGATTGATCCTGCCTTAACGGATTCCACTTCTCGACGAGCATCTTATAGCAAAGCAGCGGAAGAAGTCCTTGAGGAAAGCAAGTCAGAAATGGCCAAATCCAAGGGGATGGATAAAAGCAACGACCCACGTCGACCTGCTCTTCTCGCCAATCCCACGCCAGAAGAAATCGCATCCGAAGACGCATTAGTGGACGAGATACAAAAAATGATGAAAAGGGGGTCTAAAATGGTAGAAAGTCTTCCAGAGTCAAAGAGCATTGTACCTGACGCCGTTGATATTGGCGATCACGAATTTGATGACGACCCGGAAGTTGCGAACTGCCTTCTCACCCCAGCGGAAATCGACCTCAAAGAGGCCATCTGGGTCACTGAGAACAAGGACTACCTTCGCGAACAGCAAGAAAAGATGCTCAAACGCGCGTATGCCGAGGCCACGGGTGGTGGCACAACTCGCAAACCTCGGAAGCGCCGAAAGACCCGTATGGGCGATGTCACCTATCTTGAGGGTGAAGACGGTGAGCATGGCTCTCGTGCGTCGACCCCGGCTGAGGCCACACGACGGATGCTGGAAGTGCGCGGATACAGTAAAAAGATCAATTACTCTCTGCTTGAGAACCTTTACAGTGGTGAGAAGGAAGGCGATGCTGCGCAAACTAAGCAGGAAACTCTGAGCCGAAGTCGCAGCCGCAGTCGCAGTCGCAGTGTGAGCGTAGTATCCCGCCAAAGCCTTCCACCTGCAGCCACACCTGGTCGGCGACGACGAAAGGCCGCTACCCCTGCTCCAGCGTCGCCTCCTGAGCGTCCTCCTGGGCCTGCTTCCGTGTCTGCTGACCCTGTATCGGTCCCTAAGTCTGCTCCTACTCCTGCCTCTGAATCCGCTCCTCATCCCACTCCTCCTCCTACAGCACCGGAGGCTACACAGAAAGACACCGGTCCCGAAAATGAGCTTGCAAGCGACCAGAAGGATCCCGATGATGTGGAGGAGAATGACGATGATTATTACGTTGATGATCACGTTGATGAGGCATTCGCAGGAGCGTATGGGGATGATTACTACGACGTCAGCGATTCAGACTAGACATAACAACATCCTTAAAATGAATTTATAATAGTTGAACCCTAGTTTCCACACATGAGTGTTCTATGTATGTATTGAATCAATCAAGTAATATGAAAATGCTGTCTACAGAACCTTGGAAGACAAACAAATTCCTAGGTAGAACTGTTCCAAGAACTCCTATCAATATACAGATATCAGTATTACCTTTCTCATCTTCGTCCATCACCCAGATGCCTCTGCTGTCTTCTTCAACCTTGATACCTTCTTCGCACTACGCTGCTGGGAAACAAGGTGGATGTATCTACGAGGGGTCACGCCTAAACAGGAAGTATGGGTAACACAAATCTGTCATTCAAGTGCCTCTACTGCCTTCAACCCGCTAGTATCCTTTCTGATTGGTCAAGGTGAGGGCATAGGGCTGAGGTCGTCGGAGGTACTCCGATTGGGAAAGGATGTCGTTGACGATGCATTCGCTAAGGTCTAAGGCAAGGACTACTACGATGCCAGTGACTTGACTACTTTGGACCGGAGAGCCTTGTGATTATGCGTATACATATTAATCAGCGACGGGCTGAGCCCTATTTTCTGCTTACGTATATGTGCATCAATATCCTTAGTATTCCTATATGTACCTAATCCACCAAGTAATACGAAACTTAGAAGACTGCTATGAAAGACAAACAGAAGTCAATGCATTGACTCACGTCTACTCCCATAATCCTTGTTTCCCTACGCATTCGCCTCCAAGACCATATAAATAATCAAAGAGCCCCATCGGCCCTTGTAATGATCAAACGAATAAGTATCTCAGGTAATGCGCATATTCACATGCTATTGGATTCAAATTCAATTCTAGGTTCTTGCCAATGGGACTTGAATGAGAAATCTCACCACATTCATATGCTTATCTGTCTGTTTTTCTTTTGTTTTTATTTTTCTTGTCTTTTCTTTTCTGGCTTGGTTAGTGCATCTTGTACGGGTGCTTGGCGATCAAGTCCCAAGTTTCGAGTTTCGTCTGTCGAGCTGCACTTTAGACCTTAGAGTAGCCAAAGCACGCCTTATTTTATTACTAAGTTACTTGTAAATCAGTGTTATGCTATGGTGACTACATGCCAAGGTCTCAGAATTAAAATGGGCGTGCTTAGGTGGTTCTATGTATGCTCTAAACTTGGAAGTGCCCACTGAGACCTCCGAGTCAGCCGGAATCCGAATGGTCTTCTACAACATTGGAGAATATATACCGAAGTTAATATATGACATTTCATTTTCTCATTTGAAGTCATAAATGTGGTGATAGTTCAAGTCAAATACATGCAGATACACAAAAATGAAAATAAAAGAGAAAATAGACAGCCACTATTACGACGCCAGAAAAATCAAGGCCCCACCGGTTATATCCAAAGTGAAACGCCATACCCACACACCCTCCAGGGGCGTGAAATGGACCGGGCTGCGCGAACTGGGTCAGTTGGGCGCAAGTGAGAGGAACAAAACACTAAATCCAGTAAAAATTAAAGAATCAAAAAAGAAACAAAGAGTCGGAATCGGCGATCGTGTCGGAGACGTTGTGGTCGTTGGTGTCGAATGCCGACAAGTCGTAGGCTCGGGGATCGAACTTTTTCGGAGTCATTTTGGTCTTTTGTTTCTTTGTATCGGCGAACGAATAGAAAAGTTGAAAGAATATCGGGTACGGTTTATGAGTCGATTTCCATTCCCATTTCGACGCCTCCATTCAGCCCCGCTCCCATGTCGATTGGCGCGTGCGAGTGAGTTGATAGGGCCTGCTGGAGAAGAGGTACGCCGGTATCACCGTTGGTGTTGAAGGGGTTGGCGGAAGGGGGATTGCTGGATCGGCTTGCAGCGGCGATGGGAGAAGCGCCCTCGAAGATGATAGGCGTATTGCGAAGATTTTGGAGGCAAGCATCCCACGAGGAGGCCACAAGTTGAGCTTGGGTGAGATCGTCATTGAAAAGGTAGAAGGCAGGAGAGAATGCAGAGACGGGCGTCGCGGCCACGAGGTAGGCGTTTAAAGCGCGACTTTTCATGAGGATCTGCGAGTCGCGCAGGTACGACGCGTACTGATTGTCGATGTACTTAACCCATCCACGCACAGCAGGCGCCAGGTCGTTGTCAGTATCCATGCGTTGCCAGCTGATGCCGAGGAGAAGAGTGGCATCGTCGATGAGGGGTTCAGCAGGTGGTGAGGATCCACCAGCCAGATTGCGGTGCTGATCAGCTTCGGAGCCGTTCAGGCGGTGCTGGTTCGAGGAACGTGCGATATCATCAAGACCTGGGGCGGAGATATCGAGTCGCTGAGATTTGCGGGAAATATCGGCGGCATCAGATTGCGGCGCATTCGACAAGACGGAGGCCGCTTTGGCAGCTTGCGACTCGGCCGTCTCTTCGTACCATGTACCAGTTTGACTGTCGGCTGAGAGAGCCATGCCAGTTTGAGGATTCAATAAGACCATTCCCTCGCCGTATATGGGCTCTTCTTTGGGAGCTGGAGCGGGCTTCGGTGCTGGGGGCATGGCGAGAGCCTCTCCGAAGGAGGCATCGTCACGCGACCTCTTCCGGGATGGCTTGGGCGCAGTGGCAGGAATAGGTGCCGAATCGGAGCTGAAGATAGGCTGGGTCGAGCCACCCTTCCCAAGCATCGAGTTAGGGCTTGCATGACAGCTGAGGAAGTTGCTGGAGGAGTTCAGCAAGGACTGAGACGGGAACTGAGTGAAGGCGTGTTCCTGGGTAGGAGAAAGACCCATGGCGGGACCATCGGAAGGACGATTGAGGATCATTGGCGACATTTTTTTCATAGATTAGGAGAGAGAAAACTGTTCTGTAGGGTTATGTGAGCAGCACACCATAAGCTTCAACCACCTATAGATCACTAGCCAAAACGGTGGAAGGTGATAAGAGGAAGGATAGATAGGTCCAAGACAAGATAGGAAGTATGAAAGAGATGGAAGGTTCCGATTGTAAAGAAACCAAGATGAGAAAGGGGGAGAGAAAAGAGGATTGAGAGATAAGACGAAAGGGAAAGGAAGAAGAATCGCGCAAACAAGCGAGAGAGCGCAAAAGAGGATCTGAGGCGATCCTATCTGCAATGCGGAGGTTACCATACAGGACGACAATACTTGGTATTGGAGGGCTGTTCCGATCGGCCATTACGGTAATAAATCGAAAGTGGATCTCCGAGAAGTCGGCGCAAGCGGATTGCGCTGTTTGGCTGTGGGGGTGCCTTCAGCTGCAGCGATTGACCAATCACGGAAGCTCAGCGGAGGTCCAGCCCTTGGTTCCAACCGATGCACCTGTGCGCACCTGCGAGGCCCCAGCCCGCTCACTTTACATGGGATACATGGGGCCAGGCGAATACTACCCTACACCAAAAATACGTAATCACCCTCAGATACTAAGTCTATTGGAAATATTATGATGACAAGAAGAGAAGAAGGGGGGGGGGGAAAGAGCAAAAAAAAAAAAAAAAAAAAAAGGAACAGAATCACGTAAAAGTCCAAAGCAAACCGACACCAGAGCTCGTGCAAGTCTAACATCAATGTTCGTGGAAAGTAATAAAAGCAAGGACACCACCAGCAACACCAGCTTGAGACCCGTGGACGGTATACATCACGAGAATGCGGTCGGAAAAGGAATAAAGAACATAAGAACAGCCGGAGCCCTGTTCCATCATACGGGCTCAGAAGGAAGGGACACATGCTGGATTTCCTGCATGTCGCCGTGCCGGGTTCAAAATAGATCAGGAAAAGGAAAAGTAGGTGGAAAGCTATTTTTGAGTCGCCAACGGCTAGCTAACTTCATGGGCTGGGGCCCACCACATCAGAAAACATTTTATGATATTCTCGATGGAATATTTCCCCGGAGATCGAAGTCTTCTGAGGGTATCAAGTCGTTTAGTTGGCCGGAGTGGCACCACCAATAATGCTCTTGACGGACTCGGGGGCGTAGCCTGGGGCCATGGTGCCAATGAACAGGAAGAAGATGAGAACGGCGGCGCCGAAGATGACGAACTTGCGTTGGGCAGGGCGAGCGTTGCCATACTCAGCCCAGGCACGACCCGCCTGGCCAGTGTACTCGCGGATCTTTTCACCACCCAGCTTGTAGTAGACAAGACCGACGAGGGCAACGGAGTAACCGAAGAACTGCAAAGCAGTGACCGGGGTGTTCCACAGCATCATGGAAGCAGCAACCAGCAGAATATCCTTCAGGACACCGCACAGAGTCATCACCAGAGATGAGGTCTTGCCAATCTGCAGAGATTGTTAGCTTGAATTCTGGATAGGAATTCGAGAATTGCTGGAACTTACCAAGAAAACGACAGAGACGTTCAGCAGGAAGGCGATCATAGCGTTGGCGATCAAAACCCAGACACCCACGCCGTAGATGTGGTCCATGGTGAGGTTGGGGACCTCCAGGAAAAGAGCAACGGAGCCGTTCATCACAGCGCAAATAGGCGCAAAGTAGTACAAGGAGACCATGGGATCCATCTTGAACTCAGCGGAGCTAAGCAGGCGTTGCACCATAACCAGACGAGTGGCCTCGAAGACAATACCACCCAGCTGGAACAGGAAACCGACCATGACGAACTTAATCTCTCCAAATGAAGCAATGACGACACCAATGACGATGATCGAAACGTTCATGAGGGTCTTGTAGTTGACAGGAGCCATACCCATACCCCAGGTAGCAAGAAGGACAGCAACGGGAGTAGTGGCCTGTAAGTCCTGTTAGCGGAATTTCCCCGACTGAAAATATGCGGGGGGCCAAACGCACCTTCAGCATTTGAATGAAAGCAACACTCAGATAGAGATAAGTCATGTTACCGCAGATCAAGGACAGACTGAACATGAGACCGATGGGGACAATAGCACGGAGGTAGACACGGCCAGTCATCTTCACGGTCTTGCGACCATCAAGGACGGTGGTAGTGCGGGCAAGGATCTGGGTCATGATAGTCGCGAAAGTCAAGTGCCATGTTGTAAGGACGATGGCTAATGTGGAGT